AAAAAAAAAAAACCCAATCCACATATCAACATTCCAAAAGAAACACCCTCACCTCTCCTAACCACACATAACACAGCTAAGACCGCCTACAACGCCACTGCATATAAACCACCCACCTCGTAACCTGCTTTGACCAGAGCCTTGACTTCGGCGCCGGGTCTGTTATGCCATGTCCATGTCCTGTCCTGTCCCTAGTAAATAAACCGTTCACACTTCTTCTCTCGTATGTACACAGCGTACCAGGCCCTCGGCCCACCCCCGAACCTCGCACGCTGTACAGCACGCGCGCTTGGCATCCTGCGTTTTGGGGTGCGGCGGTTTGGGGGTTGTAGATGTAGATGAGGAGACGAGGGATGTCCTGCTAAAAAGCCGAGGAAGTGATCAAACCACTGCTTCTTCGGGGTGGTAACGTCCGTCAGCGCGAACCGAGATCCATCGTATAGCGAGACAGGGGACGATATAAATAGTTTTTATAGAGTATGCTTTGTTTAGTTTTTAGTTTGAGTTTTGGGTATGTATGAATGGGGCTTCGAGTGCACAGAGGCTCTACATAGGTATCCTAACTGGGACTCTTCTTCTCCTCGGTACAAGCAAGACCGTGAGTCTCGCTTCACGGTGACGGACGCTGGATAGATGCCGAGCGAGTTTGGTACCTCACGTACAAATAGCTACACGTGTAGCTGGAAACGGTTCCATAGCAGCCAATGGCCTTTTTATGTAGGCCGCGGCAGTGCTTTATTACTGCGTGATTTGGTTCACGGCCGGCCCGTTTGGAACTATTTATACATCTACCTAGGAATGGCACAGCGGGCAAAAACGAATGGCTGAAGAAACCAAGTCTAGTTCGCTAGTGGGTATTGGATTTCATGCTAGAGCGAAAGAAGCCGCACCGAGCAGTGTCTAGGTACGGAAGCGAAGTCTTCACATAACACAGCATTTAGCATCAGCGTACGCCTCGCCGTAAAGGTCCACGCCGGCTGCGATCTCGTTCTGCTTCTGCTTCTCCTTGACCTCGTCGGGGAAGTACTTTTTCAGGAAATTCATAAGCGAGGGATCGAGGCTCACTGATTGGCGTTCGTTAGCGAACCATGACAAAGAAAAGCCCTTTCATGTACGGGTCTTTCTTTTAAGGTGTGTAAGGAGTGCAACTCACGGCTATCGGCTTCCATGACCACATCGCCCCGGCACAGGGGACAGTGCCCTTCGTTCTGCCGCTGCAGGATTACGAGACATCGGTGGCAGAAGATGTGCTGGCAGCGCAGCCGGACGGGCTTCCAGGAGACGCAGAAGCAGACCGGGCAGGTGTAGTCGTCTAGTTGTGGGACGATGGGGAGCAGTTCTGAGGACAGCTGGTAGCAGATCGCTTTTGCGATGTCTTGCGGCATGCTGGACGTTTTCAGCGCTGCGGGGAAAGTGGTTTTGACGCCTAGGGCGGTGCGCTTGTCGAATTCTGCGACGGTTAGAAGATGTTGTAGTGATTAGACAATGACAGGCTTACTCTTGAGGATCTTTTGCATCGCAAGGTCGTTCATTTCCTGGAATGCCAGGCTCTGCAGTATCTCCATGTTGAGCCGTAAGAATTGCTCCAGCGCGTCTACGCTTTCTTTCCGTTTGAACGACGAGACGATGCCGGACTGCTGGAGCTTGTCCGAGAACTGCAGCAGCAGGGCCTGAGCTTTGGCAGACTTGTTCCGGCCGCGATCCAGCTCGTTGGTGGCGAAGAAGATGTTCGACTCCAGATACATCTCGAACACCTGCCTCCACTTGGCCAGGTCCGTTTTTCTTGCCGAACAGCGCTCAGGATCCGTCACTCGGGTCACCGCTCTCCCAAGGCCTCTGACCTCGTTGCTGAGCTTCGCTTTCTCCTCTGCGTGGAGTTTTGCAAGCCCCGAAAGCTCGCTTTGTAGAGTGGCGAAGAACTCAGTGTCGGATGTCAGAGACACTTCGATCATGCGCCGAGCGCGCGGACTGCTGTTTCCATCTATGCTGCGGCTGTCGCCGTCGTCTATTGAACTTCTACGAGGAGAATCGGAGGCAAGACTCGATGAAGCAGTGTCTATCTCGGTAATCCTGATGTCCGTGAGCTGCTGAGCAACGGCCAGTCGATGGAGGTATTCCTTTGTCTTCGGAGAAAGATGGGCGTCCAAGGGCTCTCCGGTAACTTCATCCACGGCAATAAGTAGCTTTGGGTGAAATGGCTGGCCAGTCTGTTGCTTTTCGTCCGGGCTTAGAAGGGAGTATTCTGCCAGTCTTTCATTCTCAGCCTCTTTCAGTAACTGGCTCAGGGTGCTGGCATCGAGGCCAAGCTCGGCGAGCTCTTTCTGAACCCGTTTGATGCATTTCTTGAGCTGTCGATACGAGATGGCCGACTCGACCCAGTGCTGCGGAAATCCTCCGTTTTCGAGCTGTTCTAAATAGGTATGACCGAACTTCATGTGGAGCAGGATGCGGGGAGCCCTGGTCGTTGGCGCACGCTGCCTGTGGCGATCTCAACGCATGCTCGTCAAGAGGAAGGAGTAGGTGCAGACGCGGATGCAGATACAAGGAAGCAGGAGTAAAGGGGGAAGTGATGGGCAAACTTTGTCGAATTGTATTACATAGTGCTTGTCCGGTGTGCCCACGTGGGTTGAAGCAGGAATTTGTGGCGTTCGCGGCGAGGCGGCGAGACCAACGCTCGGCGCCCGGACCTGACCCGGAATGCCGATGACTCGAGCAACTGATTCTCGTCCGCGTCCGGGGTCCTCTACTTTTCTCCTCTAAAACCTTACCTGTAGCCTGGAAGACCCGTACACTTCTGTGATCCCGGAATCGAACTAGCATATCTCCGCCTTCACCATGGGTGCAGGTCAGTCCTCCGCCAACGATAGCGGGGCGTCCCAGGAATCACAGGCAGCAAAGAAAACTAGCTACTACGAGCTGCTGGGTATAGAGCGGACCGCCACAGAGGATGAGTATGTCCCAAATACCGGTCAATAAGCTTCTCAGCAGAACCTAATCTCAAACTCAGAATCAAGAAAGCCTACCGCCGCAAAGCTCTCGAGCTGCATCCGGACCGCAACTTCGGCCGCGAGGAATGGGCAACCGCCCTGTTCGCTGAGATCCAGTCCGCGCATCAAGTCCTCTCCGATCCGCAAGAGCGCGCATGGTACGATTCACATGAAAGCGCCATCTTGAGCGGCGCCGACCCGTCCGACGTCCACTACGAGCACAACCTCAAGGTCACAACCGCCGATGACATCACGCGCATGATGCGCAAGTTCAACGCGCGCGTCGACTACTCCGACTCGCCCAGTGGATTCTTCGGCTTTCTGCGCGAGACATTCGACACGCTTGCGCGTGAGGAGGAAGCCGCGGCGAGCTGGGAAGGATACGATCCAGTGGACTACCCCAACTTCGGGCACAAGGATGACTCATACGAGGACGTGGTTAGGACGTTCTACGCGGTTTGGGGAGGCTTTTCGACCAAGAAGACGTTTTCGTGGAAGGACAACTACCGGTTGTCCGATGCGCCGGACCGGCGCACGCGGCGCTGGATGGAGAAGGAGAACCAGCGGCTCCGTGATGAGGGAATCAGGGAGTTCAACGTCGCTGTCTCGACGCTGGTGGCTTTCGTGCGGAAGCGCGATCCCCGCTGGCTGCCGAACACGCAGTCGGAAGCTGAGCGGCAAAAGGCCCTGCGCGATATGGCGGCAGCGCAAGCAGCGCGGCAGCGGGCAGCAAACGAGGCTCTGATGCAGGAGGAGGTGCCGGAATGGACGAGAACCCGGGATCCGGAGGAGCTCGAAGAAGAAGACGAAGAAGAGATTGAAGAGGAGCACTACGAGTGTGTTGCTTGCAACAAGACGTTCAAGAGCGAGCGGCAATGGGAGGCGCACGAGAAGAGCAAGAAGCACCAAAAGGCCGTTTACGCATTACAGAAGAAGATGCGGAAGGAAAACAAGAATCTCAACCTCGACGACGAGATCCCCAGCAGCGGCATCGAGACCCCCGAGAATGAAGCCGAAGAATTCGACCTCATGGAAGACGCAGGCCCTACGGCCGACGACGTTGCTGAAGAAATCGAGCACGTCAACCTCTCAGACGATGACGCTGCCTCGATAGAAGAGGCTACAGCTCGCAAGCCAGCCCCCGACCCAGAGGAAGAAGCCAGCAACGCCTCCACCGACTCCGACTCCGACTACGCCCCCCGCAGCAAAGTGCAATCGCGCTTCGCAGCCGCCCGCCCCCTCTCCCCCGAACAAACGCCCGCAGCAGAAACCCCAGAAGCAGAAGAAGAAGAAGCTGCCTCGCCCGTGCCCAACGCACCCAAGCTCGGCAAAGCGGCCCAAAAACGCGCCAAGCGCGCCGCAGCAGCCGCAGCAGCCGAGCAAGCACCCCAACAGTTCGCATGCGCGGTCTGCAAAGCCGCGTTCCCGAGCAAGACGAAGATGTTCGAGCATGTGCGTGAGGAGGGGCACGCGGCGCCACCTAGTGTGGCTGGGAAGGCAGGGGGCGGGGCTGGGGGTGGGGGGAAGAAGAAGAAGGGGAAGAGGTAGGTCAAATGGTGGTTGGTGTTGGTGAGAGTGGGTTTGAGCATAGCGTGGCGTTCGAGGTCTTTATACCCTTTGAGGCGGTCTGCTGGTTTGGAATGGTGGTTGTGTGTTGTGCTGTATGTAGGTCGGAAAAGTACAGATGGATATGGTCTGTGTATATCAATTTCGTAAGGGTTCTTTGAGCTTCGACTTAGAAGATAGAATAAGAGCTTGGTTAGGCATGCTACGGTCGGAGGGTAACTATTGTTGTGATTTATATGCATTTATGAGTTACATATTTGGTTGTAAATGCATTCTCTACGTCTATCAAATAAATAACTTGTAGGAAGTGTTAAGATCTATTCGCAGGGCATTTGAAAGCAACGTCTACTCCCGTAAGTAATGAACAAGTCCAAACTCAGTCCCATCCGCTTACCGCGACACCCAACTCCTTTCCAAAGCACGCTATGCAAAACAAACAGCCATTGAGACGCTCCTCCAAACAAATCACGCATCAACATGATCACGATCTCGACAACTGCCTCTTCGTCAGTTTGTCCCCCCTTAGCAGCTTACCCAGCGTATCCTTAAAACTCTGGACCTCCTTCTCACGATCACCCGCATCCGTAATCAGATAGTTAACATCCGAAACCGCCACGACATCAACCGCAGCATCGCTCCTCCCCTTTGCAGCACCCACCGCCTCCAGCCAATGATACGCATCGCGATAAAGACGGATAGCGGCCTTATCAGCACGTTTGGGCAAAGCAACCAAGCAGTCAAAGAACAAGCGATTGAGGTTAAGAGCGCCTGTCGCGAGCAGTGCGAACGCCGGGGGGTTCATGGCCTTCTGGGCGCTTGTCTGGAAGAAGCTGCAGACGGTGAGGTCCTTGAGCAAGGCGCGATTGCGGGTGCTGGTGTTGGCGAGGAAGTGGAACAGCGCGGGCATGTTCTCGAATGTGAAGGCGTTGCTGCCGTAGAGGATTGGCAGCGCTTCGTCGTGGATTTGCCGGCATGTCACTAGCAGCTGCAGCGCGAGCGGCTTGACGCCTTCGGTTTCGCTTGGAAGTTGGTGAAGTCTTCGGCTGCCGCAGCAGTGGCGGTGCTTCTGAAGTCGTTGCTTTCGCTGCAGGAGTTTTCTATATTCGTCGAAGTTGTGGACGCGCTGCACCGTTCGTCGGTATTGCTTGGTTTTGTTGACGAGGTTGATTCCTTCGCTGTCGCGGAGTACGTGCTCGTAGATCATGTCTTTGAGCTCTCGAGGCAGTTTGAGAAAGGGGAAGATCTTCCGCTTGGGCAGTGGCTTGTTAGATGCCGTCTTTTTATTTCTCTTTGCGCCTATTAGCAGTGCCTTTTTACTGGAAAACACTGCGGCTCTACCTTTAAGGGTTTCCCCTTTACGGGCCAGTCGGAATCGTAAACATTGTCGTCTATATTGTCGTCTACTTCGCGGTAGTTGACTGCGGCTCTCTTGCGCTTGGATGCGCGCGTTGGCGAGATAGTAGCAGACATTTTTTTCTTTTTTTGTTAGGACTGGAAGTGACCTTTACTTTGAACGTACTTATCTCAACGCAAGCCAGAGTTTAAATATTCATGCATGCCGTGGCAGTGCTCTTAGCTTAGCGTAGGCTGCAATCAGGCAGCCAATCCCCGAGTCCACATTGGGTAACGCGCGAGGCATAAACACTGACCACTATAGAGTAGACCACCAAATTACTACGTACGAGAACTGTTTGCCCTCTACACGAGTTTCTAGTCTTTTTCACCTTCAAGCGAGGTTTATCATTTAACGAGATAGTAATACTTATACGAAGCGGAAATTAAATCCAGTTCAGATATGTATAGTATGTATACGCTCTAAGACTGAGGCTTGCAGCTAGACAAAGAAGATTCTATAGGGCCTGCTTATATCCTTCACTATCTCAATAGAGGGTGAACCTCGTTTGATGGTGACAGACGTTGTTTAGGTGCTGAGAAAGCGTTACTAAGTTTTTGAGCTTGAGCGACTCGGGACGGTAGACGATGCAAAATTCTAAAACATAAGGCGGCGATGGCTCTTTTGACTGTCTCGCTGGACGACCTCTCTTGACAGTGACTGACATCATTCGCGATTGAATGCTTTCTTAGGTCGTACTGGTGTTAGAAGCTTTATTAAGTAATGGTTGCGTTCACCTTCACTTGATGCTCACGCCTTGTATCGCACGTAAAATATACTCTCCCAAGACTCATGCCTTAATAAGGCTAGAATTCGAGTCGAATAGCTCTATAGTACCTACCACCGAGTTTCTGAGTTTTATACTTGGCCTTGTGCGCAACGCAACTGCTTCGAGGACCATGTCACTGGTTGATCCAACATGTGACACTATCGAAATGAAAATAGAGCATTGCGTCAAACAGCTGAGTGGGGTATCGTACAGAATGTGCAAGAAGGTATGATCTGAGCTATCGCAAAGTTGAAAGGACAAAGGCTCACTGTGTAGGTGAAAGACAGCCCTTTTAGACCGATGGACTTGGACTAGTGAGCTGCTGTTTGAGATAGCTTTTAAGCATGTTCTCCGTGCTCTCAGGGTCGATATTTTCGTTCCGCTCAACCCAGAGCCGATGAAGCTCAAGCATAATCTCGAATGCGATGAGCCAGATGATGATCCACTCTAAGTTATGACCATGCTTTTCTTCGAGACGGTTACTGAGCACCTGTGCAATCTCTTGGGCATAGGTCAGTTTTTCGTTGAGTGACCTAATGCGCACATTGACATCGAGAGCGCGTCCGACTTTGTCGTAGTTGTGCTCAAGTCCAAGCTCATGTCTGCTGTCCCAGAACATATCAGGAAGAGAGTCAGTCAACTCAGAAGAAAGGTTCAACTGAGCTCTAATGTTGAGAAGCTCTCCAGTCTTCATGAGAATGAACTGCCGTGTATAATTGAGACGCGAACCCTGGGACAAAACCGTGGGTATGAGGCTCGTAGACTTGAAGTAATTGCTTAGCATGCTCTCAAGGACGGCAAGTTTCGTGGAGCGCGCCAATCCAGATGAAAAGGAGAGCTTTGCCAATATCATGTCCACATCGTGTTCCGTCACAGCCTGACCGTCGCCGTTGTTCGTATGTCCAGAGCCATTGCCCTGGGAAACGGCGGTGCCCAAAACGATGGTATCCCCAACTACGTCGCTGTTGTTTCGAGTATAATCCTCGAGGTATTCCAAGTCTTCGGTCTCGACCTCGGGAAGTCGCGAGCCCAATGCTGCCGGGACCAAGGTTTTGCTAACCAAACGATATGTAATTTTATCCGGGACATTCCATGCGACCACGGTACCGGACGGGAATATAAACAGGTCTCCGGCCTCTTTGCTTTCCATGACATTGGCAACTTGGATATGAATGACTTGAGAGGAAAGGCCTGTTGAATATGGATCCTGTTCGAAACCTTCGGCTTTAACAAGGCGGGATACGTCGTGAAGTTTGTATCTTTCAGCGGCGCAATACGCAGTGACTTTCTGTTGAAATCAGCCAAAGTTAAGGTAACCGCAGACTACAACATACCTTAGTGTCTTCCGCGTTCACGACGTTCAACTTTGCCTTCAACTTGTTCCGCCGAGCTTCTTCGGAGGCTCTCTCCACAGCAGTCTTGGACCGCTTCCGCTTGTGATGCTTGAGCTCCTCGCTAGCTTCCGATCCATCTTGTTCTTCTTGAGCCTTGGCCTTGGGAGGAGTGTTCGAAAGGGCGCGGAGGCCAATTGGTAGCTGTGGTGGCGGGCGGCGGCTAGACACGGAAGAATATGTTTTCGAAAGGTTTATGGTGCGAGTCGGAATGCGCCTGAAGACGAGGTCGCGAATGGACTGCATGGTCGCCGATATGACAGCCTGCCTCTATCTGGCATCTGGGCATTGGAAAAAGAAACCTCGGCCGATGCAATCGGTGGTGGTGATGCGGGACAGCCGCGGGCGTGCCTTAGTCAGCCGGGATCTTCCAACGACATCATGAGCCGCGCTGGGGTGTTGTCCACGCACTAGGACACACGTTAGCTGGCAGAAAACACATTGCGCGGACCATGCCCTCAGCATGGCTGCGCAACCAAATGGAAATAAAGCGGACGACCATGTCCCGCCTCACGACGAGCCTAGCACGACCTCCGAGCCAAGCACCGCCGACGATGTCGAATCCGCAGACGACGAGGAAGACGAGGAACCGAAGCTGAAATACGATCGGCTCACGGGGAACCTGGGCCCTGTCTACCGTAATGGCGATGCGACCAGCAGTCTGGCGGTTGGAGGGGACAAAATGGTATGATTTGAACAAGGCCCGGGGTGCGCATGAGGTGTTTCGACAGCAAAGGTTGAAAGTTGCTGAAGCTTCAATAGGTCATAGGCACTCACAACGGAAACATTGTATGTACAAGTCATCAATCGCAGGCTTGATACCGGCTGACAATAACAGAACGTTATCTCGCTGCCCTCTTTTCAATCCCTCCGTTTCTACCACGCCCATTCAGCGTCTGTCACTGCCGTGTCAATATCTCCCTTTCCCCCACCGCTTCCGGACGCCAGGCCCGACCCGTATAAGCATTTCAATGAGCCTCCTCGATCGCCTGAAGTACGAAGTCCGACGATCAGTTCATTCACACCTTCGTCGTCGAGGACCCCAAAGCAGCAGCCGCTCCTACCCAGGATACCCTCGAATGACATATACATTGCCACGTCATCCATCGATGGTCATGTTTGCGTATCCTCATTGGTAGATCCCAAGGATGTTCTATTGAGGAATTTTAGAAGGCCTGTTCAGGCCGTTGCATTGTCCCCGGAGTACAAAAGTGACAGGACTTACTTGTCTGGTGGACTTGCGGGAAACCTCATCCTCACGGTCGGTGGCCGTGTGGGTGTTAGCGCGGAAGCCAATACGAACAGTGCTGCGGCTGCGGCTTCGGGCTGGCTTGGATCCATTGGACTCGGCTCCAATACTGGCAAAGACACTATTTTACACTCGGGTGAGGGTGCCATCGGCACTATCAAATGGTCATTGTCTGGCAAATTTGTCATGTGGGCCAATGAGCAGGGAATAAAGATCATGCGAACCAATCTTTATCTGGAAAGCCAGGATTCCGATGCAGCTTGGAAACGAATTGCCCACGTTGACAGACCCTATCATGGAGCTTGGGAAGAGATGACTGGGGTCTGGAAAGCCAGAGCCGAGTGGGTAGATGACGATAGCCTGGAGCGTGATGATGACCTGCTTAGCAATAGTATGGAGATGCCAGCTCCCATCTCCAGGCAAAGCTCTGGTTTCCAGGGCAGGAACGGTGCAAAGCGCAACAAGAACCGGCTGGAAAAGCTCGTCGTTGGATGGGGCGACACCGCTTGGGTCATCCACGTCGATCCGGGAGGGGCAGGTATCGGCAAGGATGTAGGAGAGAGATCTGTTGGGCGTGCAGACATTGTACACAAGTGAGTAACTACGATTCCCCTACTAACTCTTTCTAACCTCCACAGGTTACGATTCGACGATTGTATTATTTCTGGATTATCGCTTTATACCCCTTCTATACTTCTTGTTCTTGCTTACCGCACCCACGACGACGACGACAAGCCCATCAATCCTCCCACTGAGGAAAAGCCCAGGAGAGGATTCCACCGTCAGAATGGTATTCAACCAGAGCTACGCCTGATCAATGCCAGCACCTCCGAGGAGATCGACGTCGACACCTTGACTGTTAGTCGATACGAAACTCTCTCGGCGGCAGACTACCACCTCAACACATTGTTCGTGCCGACTCTCCAGGCCGGAACGCCTGCTCAGCGAAGTGCATTAGAAGCAATTGGCGAGGGCTTGTGGGATGCTGGTAGGAGTGCCACGCGTATGCTCAGCTCCGGCGCAAGTGTGGTTAGCTTCGCCAGCAGTGGTGACAATGGCGGCAGGCATCGCGCATCCATCAGCAACGTCTCTCCGAAGAAACAGGGTGCGCCACTCTCGCATCCAGTAGGATTTTCGGGTGGCTTGAAGATGTTCATCCACAGTCCCTATGATTGTGTTCTTGCTGTCAAACGGGACATGTCAGACCATCTGTCGTGGATTTTGGATCACCACAAATTCGAGGAGGCATGGGAACTTGTCGATAAGCATCCGGAAGCCATCCCGGCAAATTCGCTCCAGTTCGAAGAATCTCCTGGCAGTCCACCTCCAAGGAACCGGCAAAGTATGGTCGAATTCTTCGCCGACGACTCGTCTCAGACAACTGTCCCTGCCGAGAAACAGCAGAATTCGATGGTCGAGAAAGAAAAGCGCCGTATAGGGGACCTGTGGATCCAACAACTGGTGGCGGCGAACGATTGGAAAGCTGCTGGTAAAGTGGCCGGTAAAGTCCTCGGTATCTCCTCACGATGGGAGCACTGGGTCTGGACTTTCGCCCAAGCAGGAGAGTTCGACGCCATCACGCCGTACATTCCCACCAAGCAGCTTGATCCTCCACTGCCTTCGCTTGTGTATGAAGTGGTGCTTGGTAACTACATAATTCGCGACCGCGTCAGACTCAGAGAGTTGCTCGACATATGGGACCCTGAACTCTTCGATGTCAGTAGCGTCATCACGGCGATCGAAGCGAAGTTAAAGTCGGGGGACATAAGCGAGGTGACCCAGGAAGATGGAGAGCATGGTAGAGATTGGCGCATCCTCCAACACTGCTTGGCCAAGCTCTACATTGCTGATGGCCGACCAAGAGAGGCCCTTCACTGTTACATCCATGTCCAGGATGCGGATGCCGCACTTGAGTTGATCAGAAACTATCACCTGCTGCCCGCTGTCTCCGACGATATTCCAGGCTTCATTCTTTTGAGAGTATCCAGAGAACAGCTAGATTCCGCCTCACTCGAAGAGCTCGAGGAGGCATCGTCAGAAGCTGTACATCTCTTGATTGATGAGGCTTACCAGGGAATCGTCAAGCCTGATATCGTGGTAGAGCAGCTTCAAGAAAAGGGGTTGAAGTTCCAGCCTTTCCTCTTCTTCTACCTGCGGGCACTGTGGAACGGAGAAGGGACCGAGACAAATTACGGCACCGGCCATGATCGGATTGCAGCAGAGGGCAAGACGCTGGTCGAGGACTTTGCCGATTTGGCGGTTGAGGTGTATGCCGAGTACGACAGGTCTTTGCTGATGGAACTTCTCAAGTACTCACAGAGTTATGACTTTGAAAAGGCTGCTGCTGTCTGCGACTCGCGGCAGTATATCCCTGAGCTTGTGTGAGTGCACTCCATTTTTAACCTTCACGCTGTTTCTAAACTATTTCTAGGTACATCCTTTCCAAGACTGGTCAGACGAAGAAGGCACTGTTCCTCATTATTGAGAATCTAGAGGACGTCTCCTATGCTATCTCCTTTGCAAAGGAGCAAGACGATCCAGACCTTTGGAACGACTTGCTAGATTACAGCATGGACAAACCACGCTTCATCCGCGGTCTGCTCGAGGAGGTTGGCACTGCCATCGACCCTATCCAGTTGGTGCGGCGCATCCCAGAAGGCCTCGAGATCGAAGGTCTGAGGGATGGAATCAGGCGCATGGTTAGGGAGTACGAAATCCAGTACAGTATCAGCGATGGCGTAGCGAAGGTATTGCGGGGCGAGGTTGCTTCTGCCATGGAGACCTTGAGGTCTGGGAGGAAGAAGGCCGTCAAGTTTGAGGTGTTGGAGAAGAGTCCCGAGCACGTTGATGTGTTTGTGGATCCTCTTATGGAAGAGACAGCACCGCCGGAGCACATCCACCTCCACAGAGACGCCAAGCCCGGCCATTGCGTTGGCTGCACCAAAGCCTTTTCGGAGCACGGTACGTATAGTCGCATCCCCATTCCTATATCACAACGTAGACTAACGCGCAAAACAGAAAGAGAAACACTGATAGGTTTCGCCTGCGGCCACGTCTACCACCTGTCCTGCATCCTCTCGACCTCAGGATCGGGTTCCAGCGCCTCCGCCGCAGCGGACCTGCAAGCCCAGTTTGCAGAGGACGCGGACACGTCGAGCCGCAGCATCGCGGCGAAGGTCACGCACGCCCACCTCATCCGCAACGCGCTCCACGGCGGGTGTCCAGTGTGCACTGAGGCACGAGATGAATAATAGTCGATAGCCAATGTACTTTCCGTTTTTTGCTTTCTGCCTGCAGCGTTGCGTTGCGTTGCTTCTTTGGCTTTGGGTTCGGCTGAGTGCTCTACGCTTTACATCTTTATCTGGATGCATAGCGCGGTCGTGAGGCTTTGCTTTGGTTTTATAGCATAGTGCCGGCTTTTGTCGTGTATAAATGGATGGTTGAATGGGGTCTTTTCTTCTTTGTTGATTTTGTCGCACGTAGGTCGCTTTTGAAAACTTATTGATTAAATTTGCCGGACTGTTGGTTGAAGAAGTTCTACGTACCTGCTGATAAGGTTGGTTGAAGGTATATATCACTCCTACTAAGATTACAGAATCAGATATCACTGCTCATATCTCCACTGGTGATGGTACTCAGTACCCAAGAGCAACAACCCAAATCACTCAGGTCACCTCACTTCGTTAATCGGCTCTTTCGCGAACGCCTACAACTTTTACACCTAAATTTTACTATGTCTGAACCGCAAACCAAGGCACGTTCCACTGTTCATTACTACCCATCAAAGCACTATATACATACTCGTTATACGAGCTCAATATCCTGAACTTTATACTCACGTATGGAAACTATCTAGATACGCCACCTTTCGCAACATCGGCACCTCCACGCGCACTATTCCACACCCTCAATATCGCCAGTAGCTCCATACCCACGCACGAGAATTTTCACAGTAAACCCACCTAGTTCCCCTTCTCAACGCGGCAACTCAGCGCGATAAGTCGAGCAACCGCATCTCGTTACCGAAAAAACCTACACTGAAGAAGCCAGAGACATCAAACCCAAACATCCGTTTCAGTCACGACAACGACAGTGCTTGGCTCCCCCACTCATTTACCCCACGCGTCCAGCAACCCCTTTAGGACCCCGGCCCCCCTCGCACGAGCAAGGCATCCCGGACCCGCGCGCGCTGGCTCGGTCGGCGGCGCAATATACATATGCAGGCGGTATGGATGGCAGGCGCCAGGCGGCTCGAGCTGCTGTCCGCGCATCGCAATGCTAGTGCTGCGTCGCTGGTACGTACGTTTGGTGGCGTTGGTGGCGTTGGTGGCTGCATGGTGGCGCGTTTTTGGTGGGAATTGTCCGGTTGGTGGGACGGACGGCGTGGGTGAACTGTCTGGGGATGGACAAGGGGGGCTTCGATTAGGTTGATGCTGGGTTGGTTTGGGGGGCTCGAGGCTTGAGATTCTATGGTGTTGGGCTTGAGACTTGCGTGTCCTTATGTGGAATGTCTGGGTGGGTTCGGTGGTTGAGTCTGGGGATCTCGAGATTGGTTAGTAGGTAGTTGTTTTTGTTGTACTTTTTGCAGCTCGTTTAGGACTAACAGCAGGCTTTACCCACTAGCTGAAGCTTTGAGGGCATGTCGGTTTTGGGAACGGAGATAGAGTGGAGTTCGCTCATAGCCACTTTCTTAAGCGCCGGTCAGGTGCGGCCATCAACTCGAAACCGAAAAGCAGTCTCGCATGGAAACGCAGCAAAAGAACCGCAGAGACAGGACAGCAAGCCCACGCCTCCCTGTCTCTGACAGGAACAACGGCTTCTCCAGCTACAAACTTACGGCCAACCAACTCAAATAAAACATTGTATCCTAGACCCCGGTCCAACTCGCGAACCACTCATCAGCCAGTTCCTTATCAACCAGCCAGATGCCCGTCAGCGCCACTGACGCGCAGAGGCCCTACAGAGCGCAGACGACAAGCGCAGGCTGCCCGTTGCGAGTGCGTATGCGTATGCGCTGGCGAGCATGCAGGTACAGCGCAGTCAGTCTTAGCGCACCGTTCCGGGCCGCGAGTGCACTGATAGCGGCAGCGGCCAGAGGTAAGTTGAGTTGGGCAAAGGCAAGCCATGAAAGCGAAAACGAAGAGCTGCGGTCGAGTCTGTCACGGGCGCAGAAAGCTTGTGCGAGAGAGGTAACGCTCAGTGTTGTCAGCGCAGGTGGCACGTTCTGCTGGATTTAGAAACCTCGACGCCGCCGTCCCATGCACGCGAGCCGCATTCTGCAGCCTAACGCCGCACCGCGAGAATTGTTGCTTCGCTGGGCACGTACGTACGACGTCTCGCCACCCTCTCTCTTTCTCTCTCTCCCTCTCTTCCTCTCTTTTGCTCACATCCCGTCCTGTGCCACTTCAATGTCAGTCGCACACCGCCGCTACCCCGTCGCACCGAGCAAGAGAACGGAGGAGTATAGCTACATCCACGTCACTATCCGCGCAGTGTTTGACAGCTACTCACCCGCCATGCACGGAAACACAGCAGCAATAGTAGGTCGTAACGGCAACAACCACGGAAATCCCCACACCAGCAGCAACTCCAGCAGGCAGCAGAAGAAGAAGCGCAGCGTACCCGGCGCGCATGGCCACCACAGCCCCTGCCCACCTACATGCCTACACACAGCCAAGTCCCTCGTCACCCCCCTCTTCTCACCACCGCTCCTCCAGGCCCAGCCCTCCTCCTTAACCACCCCGTCCGTCTCCCTCCGCCCACGCACGTTGCGCCCACACCAACCCCGCCTAGCTCTCAGCGCACAAACGCACGCCTCCGCGTCGCGCCCACCGCCCGCGTGCAACGGCGCAATCGCCACACATGCACCACCACCACCACCACCAGCACGGCCGACGACTGCGCCCGGCCAGCAGAAGCAGTGCGTGCGTGCGTGTGTGCGTGTGTGTGTGCGCTGCTGAGAGCCAGCTGGCTAGCTAGCTAGCGAGGTGGGAAGGTGTGGCGGCGGCGGCGGCTGTGCGACCGCCGACGGACGGGGCGGGGACGGACTTGCTGCGCGATTTGGGCGGGCGGGCTTGCTTGCTTGCTTGCTTGCGTGTGTGTGCACAAGCTGGGTGCGTAAGTGGGTGCTTGAGAGTCAGTGGATGGTGGGTGCGAAGGAAGAGAGAGAGTGCGTGTGTGCGTGGAGATGAAAGGGAGGAGGAAGGCTGAGACAGACGGACTGACAGACAGACAGGTAGGTCTGAATCAAACAAGCGTGCAGCGCACACCAAGCCTTATCTACCCACCAGACCCAAGCATACAGCAGCGGCAGCGGAGCCGCAGGCAGCAATCAAACCACTGCCGCCTTAACCACAACCATAACCATAAGCACAGTTCCCAGCACTTACTCCGTACCTTGCTAGGCCGGCAACAGAAAAAAACAAACTCCTCTCCCTCCCTAAGGTAATCACAACTCGCAAATCAGCCCACCCCCACCCAGGCAGTAAAAAAACAAAAACCAGAAAAACTAAAAAGAAAAGGGAAAAAGGAAAATCAAAAAGAAAAGACAGCTAATTTCCCCCACCAACGCACCAACGCATCCGCGACGCCGGATCCGACTAACCCTTTCTCTGCCCGCCCTAGCCAAGCCGTATCTAGTCACAGTCACAGACGCAGTGTAGTGCAGTTAGCCTGTCTGCCCTGCTGCCCTGCTGCCCTGTCTTGCGCTGCCCTGTCCTGTCCTGTCCTGTCCTCCCTGCGCAGCAGCAGCAGCAGCAGACAGCGTCATTGCCATTGCCATTGCCAGTCCCATCGCCGGTCTCATCGCCCACAGCCCACCGCCCACCGCCCGGTAGGTAGCTACGACATCGTTACTCTAGTCCCTTAAGCAATCGTCCATCATCATCATCACCACCATCGTCGTCGTCATGTCATCTGTTTTCAAATTCCTGCCGCACTGCCTGCCTGCCACACACACACAGCAGCCCCCGCCATGTCCTGTCCCAGCCACACGCACGCACACACGCACGCACATGCAATGCACTGTACTGTACTGTACATACATACATACATACATACATACATACATACATACATACATACATACTATGTACTATATCTCGCCCGACGCGCCGGTTCGACGCTGCTGCTGCATTTACATCTGCGCAGCAAGCAGCAGTTGTAAGTTGCAGCAAAAGCACCCAGCGCAGCGCAGTCCAGACCGATCGACCAGTCCAGTCCAGTCCAGTCCAGAGCAGGCCGCAACCCCAGCCCCAGCCCCAGCACTCTCTCCCGGCTCTGATTGGTCACCCGCGCCAGCACCAAGGGCGGGAGCGAGCGAGGGCAGCGAGCGGGCGCTAGCTTGCTAGCGATGCGGGAGAGGTCCCTGCGCCGTGCGCGCTCCGCAGGGATGGCGATCAAGAGTGGGCCCCCCTGGCAACGGCGCGCGCGCGCTAGTCCCGACCTAGCCCTCTCGCGCCAGCTCACGTCAAAGGCCATTTGATGGCGTTGCGCAACGTGTCGCGGCGCTAGCAACCTAGCTATGCCATCGTCATTTGTGTCCGGAATGGCCTTGGTCGCGGGTGAGGGTGAGGTAGAAAGCGGGGTTTGCCTTTGGCTGTAACTACTATCTAGGTTGACTGTCTGTCGAAGAACAGTGACTGCGCCCAGCCCAAATGTACCTACCACCTCCCATGCATCGTAATCAGAGCTCGCTACCAAAGATTCAATCCGTCGACATTGAGCTAAAAACTCTTATGTCGAATGCATGTCCGTTTCATTCCATTACACCATCTCCGTTCCATTACCTCTCCAGCCAAAGTCATTTACTTGAATCCCTCAAGCGAGGTCCGAGCAAGTGGTAGTCAAAGTGTAAAGGAAATGCGGTTAGACCATGACCACGATCATGCCAGCTGCGACGAGGCCAGCAAGGGCAGAGTTGAATGTCTTCGGGGCGGCGTCGTTGCTCGGGGCGACCGTGGATGAGGCGCTAGCAGATTCGACTGCGGAACTGGCGGGGCTAGACTCGGAAGCACTGGCGGAAGCGCTGGTCTTGGGCGTAGAAGGAGTGCTAGCAGAGACGCCAGAAGACACAGCAGCGGTCGGGGAGGCGGGAACACCAGTAGTCTCGGCAGGGGGAGCACCAGCGGGACCACTGGGCACAGCAGACGAAGCGGGAACCTCAGGGCCGCCCGGGGTGCCAGAGGCGGCGGGGCCGGTCTCGGCAGGAGCAGTGCCAGCGGGAGCGGTGCCAGCAGGAGCGGTGCCAGCAGGAGCGGTACCAGCAGGAGCCTCGCCAGTAGTAGCGGCAGGAGGACCGGCAGGAGCAGTGTTGCTAGCGGCGCCGGGAGCAGGGGCGGAACAACCAGCGGGGTAGACGGTGGTGGTGACGGTGACGGTCTCTGCACGACGGACGAGGCCATTGACAGCGTCGGCAGCGACTAAAGAACTTGGTTAGGTCATGCACATGTCGGGGTTCGGAAAGACGTAGAGCTGAACTTACCATTGGACACGACCATGGCCATGGCGAAAGTGGCGATGAGCATCTTGAGGTTGTACATTTTGACGGCAAGAAGTGAAATCTTGAAATAGATCGAGAGAGAGAGGTTGAGATTGACGACGGTAGCAAAGCAAAGTAGCTTATGTGAAGCGGATTGTATGCCTGGCGAGCAAAGGTTAGCTAGAGGGATCGGAGGCGGAGGGATCAAGGGCGGCTCACTTTGTGCGTAGGATGCTCTCGATATCGAATCTTGTCGTGGAGAGGAAAAGAAGTGGGTTAAGGGAGGATGGCGAGGGTTTATGTAGGGCGCTGGATTGTTAACCGGGCGACGCTAGGCCAGTCCTGGCCGATTCAAATGGGGCAAGAGCCTTGTGGTGCAATCCCCCCAAGATGAAACACGCAGTGCCACCAGCGTCACTGACCAATGCCAAGTTTGCTTCACTGCAGCCATCATTTCGTTGCTGCAGCTTGCCTGAAGTTTGGAATCCCCGCCCACCTGGTGCGTGGTACGGCGGCGGCCTGCCTGCAGTTTGCCCTTGGCATGAAGACAGTAGCAACAGCAACAACAACAACAACAACAACAAAAATGGGACTCGACGCGGGTATCGCGGGGCGTCTAACAAACCCCGCAGATGGCTGTCGAGGAACCACGGTTCCAGTGGAATAGTGGAATAGTCCCGCACCTTCAGAGCGGAGAGCGTTCCGTCGCGCCTTCTTCAACGGGCCTAGCTGGACGGTCGCCGACGCGAGGCTCCTGACGTGAGGCTCCTTCCGCCCAACTCTTCGTAGTAGTCACGATGTGCTGCGTCTGCCGCCACCGGCACGCTTTGTCGTTCTTTCCTCGGTGTAGCTTCCAAATGGAGCAGTCTCCAAGTAGTATTTATACCAGCTCTTTCGCTCTCTTCTCTTCTTCTTCTTTCTTCAACACTCCATCCAACTACACACATTCGTTCGAAGTGTTGTCCGGGGCCGCTGCTCATCCATCGTTCTTCGAAGCCTGCTTCGTCCTTGAAGCATCATTGTTCACTCCTTCAGGACCGTCGCTCAACGAACGAATCCAGGATGAAGCTCCTCAGTCTCCTCATGACCGCGATCATGCTTGCTTCCATCGGCTTATTTGGGCAGAGTGATCAGGGTAAGCGGCTCTCCAAGCCGCGAACCTCACACATTTGCTAACCAGGAGTCCGCAGTTCCTCGCGAGGTTCTCATCGCTCGTCAGGGTAAGTCGTCTTCTCTTCAAGTCCGACATCTTTGCTGCCCGGAAAAAGCCATACTCCAGAAGCTACATTCTCCCGTCCTCTTGACTTGCAGCTAACTCGTCTTGACAGCTGTCTCGAGCAACGAGAGCTATGTTGGAACGACCACTCCAACGAACGGAGCTCCGACGACCGCCAGCGTTCTTGTCACAACCTCCGTTGTGGTTATTGACATCATTCCGGCTCTCTCCACTTCCACGGTCTTCCAGACCCAAGAGGTCACAGTCGCCAGCTGCCCGGCCTCGGACATCAACTGTGTCACTCAGTCTGCCACCGTTGTCACCGCGATTATTCCCGTCTCCACCACTCTCTGTCCGATTACCCTGACGTCTTCGTACACCAGCGAGATCACGACGTCAATGTACACTGTCATCACCAGCTCTGTGCCCACTCAGACTTCAGTCTCAAGCTCCACTACGCCGGTTTTGAGCACAGGGTCCACCCAGACGGTGTCGACAGCGTCTCTGACAGTTACGTCTTCGCTCTTGTCTTCGTCGGCCAGTGGCAGTCCATCTCTTTCGACCACGCCGGCCACTAGTTCGGCCTCTACATCGCTTTCTTCGAGCGCTCCCATGACCATTGTCTCCACTCGTAGCAGCACGATCATCGTCGGCTCTTCATTCACGATTTCCACGTTGCCGTCTTCTCCTGTGGCTCTGTCTACTTCCTCTGCGGCGTTGTCTACTTTGTTGACGACGGTGCCCACCTCTTTCACGGTGCTTTCTACCTCTTCGGCGGCGCTGCCTACTACCTTCACGATATTGACTACGTCTGCGGTGTCGAACACTTCATCTGCGACTCTGTCTACCTCCTCTGCGGCTCTTTCTACTTCATCTCCGGTTCTGACTACCTCTGCGGTGCTGACTACGTCCTCTGTGGGACCAGTTACAACCTCTGACATCTTGGTCACGACTCCTGTGAGGTCGACTAGCTTCATTGGATCGAACAGTTTTGCTGTCATGTCGCAGACCAGCAGCTCCGTGATTTCGGCCAGCCGCTTCTCGGTGTCAACGACGTCCTCAGTCCCTGTTACGTCGTTGAACAGCTCTTCGACGATTTCCCGTTCAAGCAGCCGCGTCGTATCGTCTAGCTCTTTGGTGAGGAGCACTCCATCGTCTAGGTTGTCTACTATCACCACTTCATCTGGCCAGAGACCCACTTCTACTTCAAGAGCATCCAACGGGACCTCATGGATCCATGTTACTCTCAGCTCGACGCCACTTACATGGCCTTCATTCACATACGCTCCGACTACGAGCGCACCTTCTTTTAGCGGAAATTCCACTACGGAGTTCGGTAATTATCCAGAGACCGGTTGGTCGATCGTTGTCCCAGGGCCTACTGGTGCTACTACCTTTGTCGTCGCCCCTTCTGGCACCGCTCCAATCACAGGCGCAGTTCCCTCTGCTACGACTTCGGGCAATAGCAACGTTACCGTGCCAACTATCCCACCTCCCCCGTACATGAACTTTGGCAACAAGCGCTCGACTGACGTTGACATGGCCTTGCTCTTGCTGCTTGCCTTTGCTTTGTTCTTCTGAAACATGGTACACCCAGCAGGCGACAGATTAGGAACGATGACAGGAGGATAACGGCAGTGTGGTTGGAGATTATGCCTTTCGATTGTATCATCTTGGAGTAAGGGTTTGACCTTTAGATGAACATTAGTACAAACTTCTTTCCAACATGTCTACATAGCCGATCTCGACCGCATAGATAGAGAGAAAGATAGATACTAATGTAACACAATCCTTGAAATGAGGCTACCAAGGCCACACTGCATGAAAGTGTTGATCGATTGTCGAGAATCGAATCGAATCGTACGTTGCCGGGACCTCGGTGCGCCCGCATGCGAGGAGGCGGCGGCGCCGCCCTTGCGCAACATGGGACGCCACGACGGCTGGCGGGATGACCGGCCAACAGGCCGTCCCCGTCGGTTGCTGCCGTTGGCCGTTTCAAAGTTTGATGACTCGGGGCTGTCGCCGTCGCCTTCGTCGCCAGTGTGCTACGAGGCAAGGAGCAGAAATCGAAACGAAGGACCGGATGATCGACGGGCGCGCAGACTACCTAGGTGCGGATCTAGATGTGACGAACTCTGGAGTTACACACACATACATACATACATGCACGGCAGTTGGGGTTGCAGCCGCGCCGTGCCGTGTGGCGTAGGCTGTAGGTCGTAGGCCGTAGGTGGTGTGGTGTGGTTGGGGCTTTTTGGGGGGTTGGAGATTGAGTTTGTGTTTGGGTTGGGGTTGGGGTTGGGGTTTTGTGGGGGTTGGTTTTAGTGGGGTTGATCTACGTACAGTGCCGCGTCGCGGGTCGTCGTCAGGGTCCAACACGGTCGCACGATCACGAAACAACAACCTTCTCACACCTTACACCAACCACGCCACGCAGCAGCACGTCGCTCAAATCAATCAGGATTCAATTCTCTATTAATTTCTTATCAAAACCTAGTCTAGTATCCCTTCGCCTCGTATATAGCCTATTACCGGTCTCTTATAGAGCGAGCTAGCTTCTTTAGACTTACGTTATCTAGCCGGTCCTACGCTTTCGGTAGCTACTTAGCTAGCTTAGCTTTAATTACTTCCTAGTAGTTTCGAGTAGATATTCTATCTCCGAAACTTTTCTTTCCTAGGTTTATAATGGGCTGTGGATGGATGGGCAGTTTTCTAGCTTTGATGCATGTTCATGCGATTTTGATTTTGAAAGAAGCTCAATTGTTTTTGTTGTATGGTATGCAAGGCTACCTAGCTACAGCAAGTTCACCGGTCCTGCTGTTGTGCCTGGGGTATTGTATCAGTTCTTTTCCGCTGCTTCGTAGAGATGAAGCAAGTCTTTTTGAGCAAAACGCCTAATACCATCAACTTCTTCCAGTCCCTCCCTCCTTCAGTCACCTCCGTCAATTTTTTGTTCCCGTCTCGCTTCTTACCCCTGCCACCTAGTCTTCTCGCTCCTCAGCATGCTGACCAGCCCAATAGGCAACAGGCTCCTCTCGCCCAGCGCCAGGCCACCAAACCGCCTCATCATCTCGCTGGCATACAGCGACACGATCCACTGCCAGTAACTATCCATCGAGAACCAGTTCGATCCAAAGCCACGAGTGCTCCACCCCCTTGCCTCGCCGGGAACGCGCACGCTCTCAGAATCGCTCGAGTCTGAATCCTCATCTGGTGAGAGAACATCTTCCTCGTCTGCGCCGAGCAGATTCGTGCCGCCAAGGCCGCGGGCGCTCGGGTAGTTGTCGATGTCCGAGAGCGAGTTGAGCGCGTTGTCCACCACTGCCGTCCGCACAAGGCTGCACTGCTTGTACGGCTCGAGCAGCGATTTGTATTTGGACCTGAGACATACGCTCGTCTGCTCGCGGAAGCGCGTGAATTCCTCGAAGCTCATGAACGGTTCGTCAGCCTCCACGCGGTCCGCGTTGTCATGGTGCTCGCCTTGGTCCCATTCCTCTTTGGCGTGCTCGTAGTCTACTTCGTCGTCTGCCAAGCCCTGCCTCAGGATGTCTTGTGGTGACTTTTTGGAGTCGGGGCGGACGCCGTACAGGTGCACGAAGGGATTGCGCAACTCGAGACCGCCCAGCTCAGCAGGCAGGTAGAAGAATGCATCCGGGATGTTGTGGCCCGGGACGTTGAAGCGCGACTCAATCACAGAGCGTAGGTGGTCCGCGACATTTCCTGCATCGCCGAAAACAGCTTGTTGGATCGTTTCAAACGCTTTGATGGCCATGTCGATATGCTCACGCCCAAGAGAATACGACGGCTTGCCAAAGTTGTTGGTGAAGAACTGCGCGACATAGCTGTTCCAGGCCTGTACCCAGGCGAGGACACTACGGCAAGCTTCCAGCTGCCGGCGAAGCTCCTTGGTGTGCTCGTCGACAGAATTCTGATCTATCTTCCAACGTCCGGCCTCGGCGTCGAGGATCAGGAAGCCCCAGCGTACCTCTCCTTTCGGCAGAGACGGGTCGAGACTAGCCTTTGGCTGTGACTTTGCATCTGCCTTGACCACCTTCGCTGCAGCGGTCTTTTCCATGTTTAGCTCGAGCCCCATGACTGCCGAGAATTCTTGCAAAGCATTCCATGCGTCGATGCAGGCGCTCTCTTGACCCCAGAACCATAGGTCGTCGTGGAATCGGTAGAGGTTCCTGCCGTGCGTTTTCTTGTTGACAGCCAGGTCCAAGCAGAACATTATCATCTCACCCAATGCATCGGACAAGACGTGGCTCATGGGGACGCCGCATTTACGCACATGCGTCTCCGCCTCAGGCCCATCATGTGCAAAGACGAGAGGGCTTTCCAGCACCTTTTTGAAAAAGGAGATAAGATCAGGCTTCACCGAGAAATACTCCAAAATGGCGTAGATAGTGGAGTGTGGCAGTGAAGGCCCGAACCACTGGAAATCGCTCTGGAGGATGGTGAACTCGTCGTAGAGCTCGGTGTTTAGGACCATTTCCGTAGAGATGAGACGTAGCAGCAATTGCTTGATCTCCATTGGGCTTTTCGTGTCATCTTCAGCCTCTTCTTTCTCGTCGCCATAGCTACGATAACCTTCATTAATTTTCGATGGCAACTGTGTCATGAAAAAATCGTTGTTGTAGGCATGGCGTCGTATTTCGTGCACCGAGGAATCTGGACCTCTTGGGCGCACATTTCCTTTTCCAAGGAAGTGTTGTCGACGCAAATAATCCTTCTTATTCATAGAGTGATGTGGTGACTGGGTCCAGGAGCGTAGATGTCCCTGGAAGGCCTTCTTAAAAGTGACAGCGCAACTGGCACCGATGATATGAAGAAATAGCGCTTGGTGAATCTCTTCGTCCATGTATACGCGATACTTGCCATTGAGCTGCTTGCGCATGTTGAGCGGTACCGGAGAGGGCTCCCACTCCCAGGTGTTCAGAGCCTTAAGGTCCATTTGCAGCACGTCAACCATTTCTTTCAGAACCTCTGGCCGTGATTGGAGGTCAATGAGTGCTTCTCGCTTTTGCCCGCTAAACAGATCTGATCGCAAAAGACCCTTGATGGCTGAGCGCAAGGACCTTTCGGTGAGCGCGGGGATATCTCCTAGCTTCTTGAGCCTATCGCGGAGCGACTCAAGGTCTGACTTCTTGGTTTTTCTAGGAGAACCATTGGAGGCGAACAAACCATCGAGGTAAGCATGGATGCGGGTCTTGTCGGTCTTCTTCTCCGTAAAAACTTTCTCTTCCCATTGCTTGCGCTGCTCATACATCTCCTTGCGTCCAGTGATCTCAAAGTCTGCATCACTATCAGGAGATGCAGGCCTCAGGAGAGTTTCGTTCGGCTTTTCAATCCATTCCGTCAAGAGCTGTCCGAACAACACAGCATAGTTGTATTTATCCGATTGAATTTCGAGGTTCTGCTCCAACCAAGTCTGCCATTCTCCCAACAAGCTGTTTGAAACAGATGGATCGTGACGTGCCTGGTCGAGAAAGTGGCTGATGTTCGAGAGGGATTTGCCGTTGCCGTTGTGGAGTTTTACGGCGAACCGCTTGTGACCTTGCACAAGCATGGCCACCTTGTCCGCAGGGCGCTTTTGTTTCTGGACAGCCTCAAGAATAGAACGCTTGTTGGCCTCAAAGTGCTTCTGGTGCTCCGCTAGCTTGGAAAGCTTACGGTCTGTGACATGACGGAGGGTGGATGTCACAGCGCCGGCAGAGGACATGTTGGTTGAGGGGTAGAGAAAAAGTCCCAACGATTACGAAAATGCTTGTGCTAAGAGATTGTGGTATTAAGTGATTTTTTGATGAGCCGGATGGAGTGGTTGCTGAAGTTGAGGTGGAAGCTGGAAGTTGGTGCTTTTAAGTACGTCTGAGGCGCAACTGCTAGTTCGATTATGGAGACCGGCCCGCATTGGTCACCGCGAAGCGGGGAAGGGCGGGCATCGCGTTGGTGCCTGCTGAGAACGACCTGAGATCTCAATGTCTCATAGGCACTCGTGTTTGACACGACGATCTGAAACCTAGATGGCAGGCCGAGAGACAGTAAGTTTCCAAGAACCCGAGAGGCGTAGGCTACCGAAAAGATTGCCAGTAGCTACGTATGCATGCTCACATCGCATTCTAGTCAAGCTGAACAGCGAAGTAGTAGTGGAAGCACAGATTACAGGAGGAACACCGGGTTTGACGGTATGGCTGTCGATCCTACAAAATCGGCTAGCGTCATCTCTGCGGTGTCTCGCGGTATCGTTGATGCCTGCGTCGGTGGCTTGTGCTCGTTCGGACCTCTCGAAAAGGCGATCGGATACCGGGCCCATACTCTACCATCGTCACCGTGAGAAGCAGCATGTACAATAGGCTTCAGCATGAAATTGGTCTCACTGCGGGCTGGGCACTGCATCATCATCACCTCAATCCGTCTCTTCATCTCTCCCCTGCTGATGCACGTACCCGGAGAGCTCGACTGGTCCACTCACGCGCTGATGGCGCTGCCGCTGCGACATCATTGTATTCCTTACGAGCATTGGGCTCTGGGAAGACGCTTCTTCCTCTATCTTGTAATCTCTATGCATACGTCTCTCATCCTGTGTGACAACTTTCTTCCCTTCACACCCAACAGTCCGACAATCTTCTCGGGCCCAAAAGCCGGAAAAGACAACCTTTGCAAATCCCATCCCACTTTCAATCCCTATACCCCATCCTTCACACCCATCACCTCCTCCCTCAACACTCCATAAACCTCCATATCCCAATACCTCCCCATCCGTATCGCCGCCCTTCTCATCTTGCCCTCCCACACAAGCCCTGCCCGTTTCAAGACCGTCGCACTCCCCACGTTTTCGTCATACAAGTGCGCAAAAATGCGCTCCAGCCCCGGTACGGCCGCGAAGGCCCACTCCACGAACGCGCGCACTGCCCCGCTCGCGATCCCGCGCCCCCAGTAGGCTTCACCAACCCAGTAGCCTATCTCTGCTGTGTGCGACTCGTTGCCACCGCCTGGTCGTATGTCGATGGTGCCAATTGCGGTGGAGGTCTCTGGAAGGGCAAGAACGTATTTCAGGATTGGTGGGTAGGTTAATTGGGCGACGTCGGGCATTGAGGTTGCTTCGGCGGCTGGGGATGCAGGTGGAGGTTCTGCGGCTGCTGTGGATGCGGATGCAGCCGAATCTGCTGTGTGAGAGGTGGTACTGGGCTTGGGCACGTTCATCATGACCCAGTGCTCTGAATCGGCGAGCGTATAAGGTGTGGGGAAGAGGTTTGTCATCCACTTGGCGATGTTGGGGTTGTTGGCATGGAGGGCGAGGCTGGGAATGTCGCGGGGGTGATATGGCCGGATAGTGCAGTTGGGGAGGGTGACGATGGGGGTGGGTGGAAAAGGCGCTTCGGGTGTGGTGGTTGACTGGAGGGTTTCTTCAGGTGGTGGTGGTGGCGTTTGTGCTGGCGGAATGGGTTGAGCGCAGGTTGGACAGATGGAGGGCACCATTGGCGCTGGAGGGGCGGTCGCCATAGCTGGGTAGGTATGCGGGTGGTGGGCTGTGGGTGAGGTGATGAAGCTGTTTATATAGTTATATCATCGGAATAGATGAGTCAAGCGGCTGTGTCAAGAGCGTCCTCTATCATGGCAGTGGCTATCGCGGTTAAAAGCGCTGAATACGAGGTAAGCACGTACTTTGAGGAAATAATCCCTAGCAAATTTCGCGAGGCTGTCCAATTGTCACAAACCAGATCTGATGCAGGCAGCAATGGATGTCACCCCGCACCGGGTCGCACTACCGCAGACCCACAGGTTTGAAACACGCCATCCACGCGCCTCGACGCGTCTCCCGTCGCGTCCTCCCTCTCAGGCATCCTTACCTACCATCCTTACCTTGAAGCAACACCACCAATTACGCCCAAACAGGCAATCGTCACCATGCGGACATACTCGCGTCAACGTACCTATGGTCGCAACGCAGCAGAACCACCAGTGAAACGGCGCCGCATCCTCGAGCCCGACGCGTCCGATGCCATATTCCACAGCGACGCTGTCGCCGCTACCGATGCACCCTTCAGTCCTGTCCCCGATGGTCTAACAGGCGCGGGCACCTCCTCAGACAATGGCTTTCCTGCGTCGACACCCCCATCGTCGCCACCGCCTGCATTGCCTCCCGTTCGACGTCCAACCTTCTCCTTCTTCGCGCGCAGGACCGCAAAGGCACCAGCAGCCACCAGCGCACTGCGCGAGCGCAGCCCAAACAACTCTCCGTCGCCTTCCTCTTCGCCGAAGAAACCGTCCAACCCTGCCGTTTCCTCCACCAAGCCCACCACCGCGGCCACGACTCCCTCCTCCCCCCCACAACCACAAAAAAAGACGCCGAATCCCAAACCCAAGGCCAAAGGCAAGCCTCCACGGCGCATGACCCAGCTTCGCCTCGACCTCTCCCTGCACACGCCCGTCTCGGCGCAAAAGACATGCTCCGCCTGTGGCATGGCGTATGTGCCCTCGAATGACGAGGATGCGGCGCTGCACAAGGCGTTCCACGCGATGAGCGACGGGGGCGTGGAGCTAGGGCGGGCGTTCGTGCGCGGGCTGCCGGACGCGCAAGTGGTGTGGCGGGGTGGGGACGGTGAGGACAAGATCGTGCTCGTGGGACGGCGTGATGGTGTCGCGGCAAGGAATCGCGTGCTGCGCGTTATGGAGGTCGTGAGGAGCGAGCTGGGGGCCGTGGAGATTGGGGAGGGTGAGCTGTGGGGTGCTTTTGGAGAGAGAGTGGAGGATAAAAATGGAGTGAAGGCTGAGAAGAGCGCGGGGAAGGGTAAGGAGAGCGCCACAGCCCAAGAAGACCGTTTTAGGACGTTCCTCTACGTCCGCGGATCCAAGTGCATTGGGCTCTGCCTCGCGGAGCGCATCGAGGAAGCCTACCGCGTGCTGCCTGATGCGCCGGCACCGGCACCGGCACCAGCAACAGAGCAGCAAATCCCGACCCAGCAGCAACAACAACATGATCAGCAAGAAGAAGAGCAGCGCCGCTCCACATCACCTACATCCTCTCTCAGTCCTAAAGAAAAAGCACAAGCGTCACCAACGGCAAGGCCAGCACCATCAGCGGCTCCAGCACCTCAAACCACACCCGCACCCTCAACAACGAACAACTTTAACCTCTCCCCCACTCCCTCCAACGCCTACAACATAGGCATATCGCGCATATGGACCAGCTCGTGTCATCGGCGCGGTGGCGTCGCGCGCGCGCTGCTTGATGCTGTGGTAGCACGGCGTGGTGTTGAAGACGGTGGTTGGGGTGGTAATGGAAGCGATGAAGTGAGGAGTAGAGGGAGCAAGGAGGGGATTGCGTTTAGTCAACCGACAGAGGCAGGAGGGCGGTTGGCGAGGGAGTGGTTTGGGGAGGTGGAGTGGGGAGTTTATTGGTAGGTTTTGTGGTGGTGAAGGTGGACCCGAGTTGTGTATGGATGAAGTATATGGATCGGAATGGTTTTTGATTTGTTTGAATAATTGTTGTTGCTTCCGAAATTCTAGATACAGCAAATGGTGTTTATAAGAGGTCTTGTAATAGGTAAATACTCCGGGTAGGCGATTGGCGCGCGGTACCCCCGCCTTAATGTTTTTCCGGAGCCGTCGACGCCAAGGCGGCCCCGGGCGGCGGCTTTTGGCAGGGCGCAACCCAGAGCTCGACCTGATCGCGTTCCGTTCCTGGCGCGCGCATCGCATCCCATTGCTTTCGCGACTTCGTCATTCACGCCTGCCCACGCTGGCCCCGCGCCGCTCCTCCACCATGGCCAACGCCGACGCCGGCAGCGCCACCCCCATCCCCACCACCGAAAAGGATGCGACCAGCAACATCCCAGAGGAGCAATGGAAGGCCATGCAGACCGTCCTCAACAACGTCTATGCGCACAGGCTCGACGAGTATGTCACACCATGCGCATCTTAGCTGCACCCTTCACTGACCGTCGCGCAGCAATTACGACCCGTCCAAGCTGTTCCACAGGAAGATAAACAAGCGCCAGGTCCCCGACTACTACGATGTCATCAAAGATCCCATGGCCCTCAGCATCGTCAAGCAGAAGATCAGCGGCAGAGAATATAAGGACTTTACCGACTTTGTCCGGGACATGGCCCTCATACCCTACAATGCCCAAGTCTACAACCGCCAGGATTCTCAAGCATACCAAGACGCGCTCGTCATCAAGGAATTCTTCGAGGGTGAGCTGAAGAGGCTGGTCAACGAGAAGATCATCACTGAAGCCGATGCGAAACTGCCCTATCTCGGTGAAATCCCAACATACGAGGATCCGCCTGCGGAGGAGCAAGAAGAGGAAGAGGACGATGAAGAGGACGAGGATGATGAGGAGGCCGAAGACTCCGAGGACGACAAGCCGAAGCGCAAGCGCGGAGCTCCCCGCTCCACCGCTGCGATCACCAAGCGCGAAAGCGGTAGTGGGAGCGGCAACAAGGAGGAAACGAAGGAAAAGGCCGCGACCGACGCAGAGTCCCGGAAGAAGCGCGGCAGGCCTCCACGGGTCGATACCCCCATGGAAGCTCGCATCAAGAACATCATGAGGGCAATACGGAAACCGCGCAATGAGCAAAAACAGCTGATGGTCAGCCACTTCGAGCGAGTTCCCGACAAAACTGCCATGCCCGAGTACTTTGCGGAAATCAAGACTCCCATGGCAATGGACATGCTGAAGAAGAAGCTCAAGCGGAAGAAGTATCAGTCGATTGATCAGTTCATGAAGGACGTAGAGCTCATGTTTGAGAATGCGAAGCAATACAACCAAGACGAGAGCCAGGTGTACCAGGACGCCGTGTACCTGCAAAAGGAGGCTCGTAAGGCGGCTGAAGAGGAAGAGCAGAAGCCGGATACGGACTTTGTCATGGAGGACGGCCGCCTACCCATGCCTAACGGTATCCTTCATAACGGAGAACTGTGGAAGGTTGGCGATTGGGTGCACATTCAAAACGCAAACGACTTGACGAAACCCATCGTCGCGCAGATTTACCGCACATGGCAAGACCAGGAAGGTGGGAAATGGGTTAATGCCTGTTGGTACTACCGACCCGAGCAAACGGTACATCGCTTCGACCGTCATTTCTACGAGAACGAGGTGGTCAAGACCGGCCAATATCGTGACCACCCGATTGACGAGGTCGTTGATCGCTGCTTCGTCATGTTCTTCACGCGCTACAACAAGGGCAGACCGAGAAACTTTCCGTCCGACAAGGAAATCTATGTCTGCGAGGCCCGGTACAACGAAGAGAAGCACAAGCTGAACAAGATCAAGACTTGGGCTAGCTGTCTTCCGGACGAGGTGCGCGACAAGGACTACGAAATGGATTTGTTCGATGCGCCGAGGAAGATCAAGAAGGTTCCCAGTCCCATCGCATACCTGCTCAAGGATGATGCGTCGGAAAATGACGATCTTCCCGAGCCAGAGTGGGGTGCTCCAAACGCCCCTCCCAAGATTGGTGCTGTACACAAACGACCAAGGGACCCCAAGGAATCACCACCACCAGAGCCTACACCTTCACCACCGCCTCAACCGCCTGCGCCGCCACCGCGACAAGACTCCAACATGTCGGCCCACGCATCGAACGGTTATGCTAGCCAACCGCGTGTTGACTATCAAGTTGCCGGCCACGTCTCACACACGCCCATCCCGACGCCAACACCGCAATCTCACCACACACAACCCTCATACACTCCGCAAGCGTCACAATACCACCAACACTCAGCCTCACCTGCACCACCCATGCAATCACTGGCAGCTACCCACCCAGCCAGCTTCCCACCAACACTCACTCCACACACGAGCTTCACCGCGCCAGCACCAACACCTCTCCCCACAAACACCTACGCAACCACAATGCCCAGCACCATCTACGCGCAGCAAGCGCTACGCCACCAGCCTCTCGGCGGCTACAAGCCTCCCCAAACAATCGAGGTGTACCGCCTCGACGACCACACGAACTCGACAATCCCGCCCGCCATCCGCGACCAGTTCCAGCAGGACGAACTAGGCCGCGTGCTCTTCTTCACGGCGCCCCCGCTGGATGCCCTTCCCCCCGCCAAGCCCGGCCGGGCCCTCGGCCACAGTGCGCAGTTCCTGGCTGCGAAGGCGCGGCGCGAGAGCCTGCTGCGGGCGAAGCGGGCACGGGAGGAGGCGGAGCGCCCAGAGCGCGAGCGCGCGGCTAAGCGGGCGAGGCGGGAGGAAGGCGAGGCGTTTGCGAGGTCGGTGCAGGGGCTGATGGGGCGGGCGACGAGAGCGCTCGAGGACCAGGTTGCTAGTGCTGCAAGGAGCGAGTTTGGCACGTTGTTTGGAGGGGAGGGGGAGGGCGAGAAGCTGGAGAGGGAGATTGAGAGGTTGGTTGGTTTGCAGAGGGGGGTTAGGGAGCGGGAGAGGGGGGTGGAGGAGATGCGGAGAAGGAGGGTGGAGAGGGAGGGGGTTAGGCTTGTGGGGACGACGGTGCTGTTGGAGGATGGGGTTTAGGGTGTGGTTTGGGTGGTTTGCTTGGGTTGCTCTTGGGAAGGGGGTAGTGCGTTGATGGGAGAGGGGAAGTGGGAGAGTGGTGGATTAATGAGGGGTTGCTGAGGGAATGAGTGCCTAGGTATGAAGCAGAACCGAGTGGAGCGGAGTGGAACAGAGCGGAGGAGAAGGGAGTTGGATTTGCTACCTACCTACCTACCTACCTACCTAGCTGCCGTTCCTGATGACGTTGTACGAATAGACTAGACTAAGGAGGTCTTTCTCATATTTGGGTGCTTGTTTTTTCTCGTCACTGCTTTGAATTTCAAGCTGAGTCTATAGAGCGCCGTCACTGTTTTTGTGGCTTGTGGGTGTGTGCGCGCTGGTTAGGGGTGGAGTTTGTGAGGTTGTGAGCTGGTTGGTAGGCTGTTTGGATGGTTGGTGGGGTGGCTTGGTGGTGATGCGCGGGGTGTGGTTGGGGTTGTGTGGTGTGCTGTTTTTAGTGGGTTGTCTTCTTTTAATATTGGCTGTTTAGGGGGTTTGGAGGGTTGACATTTGCTTGCTTTGTGGGTATGGGTGTGTGGATAGAGGCTTGGGGATGAAGTTAAGGTGTGGGTTTTGTGGCGAGGTTATGGGATAGTGTGGTGTTGTGGTTGATCTTGGTGATGTTGTTGTTGTTGTTGTTGTTGTGGCTATGTGAACGGTGTGTTGTGTATGCGTGGCTGTTGTTGAGGGCTTGTGGTTGGTGTTATTTGTTTGTGCTGATGTTGCTGTAGAGTAGGTAATAAGATACTGTAGTTGCTGACTTCGTGGTACTGTGGAGATGATGCTGGGGGTGTGAGAGGCTGGTTATGGTAGCATCGGCTGTGTCGCTGTAGTTGCTTCTATGGTAGTGCGTCCTCTATATATTTTTAGGGGTTGACGTATCGCGATCAAGGGGAGCCTGTCTGGGACACGTCAAGGCACTGTAGGTCGCGAGAGATGTTGTTATTGTTTCTCTATAATGAACGGTCCTCTGTAGAAGTGAAATTATGTTAAGTTGCTTTGGAATTGGGTATTGTAAATACTGCAATGATTGTTCGTAGCTAAAGTGAAAGTATGTAGATTGTAACTCCTCCGCTCGAAGTACCCTTGGGTGTGTACAGCGGTTGGGTCTTTCCTTGTACGGCTTAGTGCAGCCAGCTATGTTTGCTTCTGCTGCACCTTCTGTTCTTGGTGATCAACACTTCCTTCCGCGTCTTTTTTTATTCAATGTCCTTTCAATTGCTCAGCAGTTGTTGCGCCATCAGCTTTTATCACTGATTGTTCTTAAACTGTGTCTCATTGTTACCAGTCGCGTTCATTTGCCGAAAGAGCCAGCCTGAAATAGCCACTCGCACTTACAACTATCCATCTATCAATATGGAAGAAACCTCAGATCATGATCAACCGGGTTTGCGGAAGATACCTCCTATTGATCAGTCGAACACGTCTCGCACCAGCGCATCACCAGCGCCTCCGGTCACGATCACCAATTCCACCGGCCATCTAATGCGTTCAACTTCTGCCCAATCGTACAAACACCTCTTCGAAGATCACCTCTTGGAAGGCAACACGGCGCAGACGAAGTTGGGTTTTGCCTGGCGAGTAATTAGGATTATACACACAAAACTACTATCTTTCAGCGACCGCCGCAAAGCCCCAGTAGCCCGTTACCTCTGGGAATGGATGCGCAAGCATGAGCTCTGGAATGCGCTGAGCGGCCCTGATGCCTCTCTGGAAGGCCTCCAAAAACACATTCACTTCGAGATTACACTCCAGCCGTTGATTGAGAACAAAGTCTTAAACTGCAAGGCTATGGATGCCCTGTGGGCTTGTCGGCACTGGGACTTGAAAACCATCAATGATCTTCTTCCGCCAGATATCTGCCCTGAAGATGGCATCTCGGGACTCGACGAACATTGCGTAAACGTTCTGCGGAGAGCGAGCAGAGCCGTTCCCGATCACGCTGCTTTCATCCACCAACTCGTCCAGCACATTCATGGTCGTCACCCTGTTCGGTCCGAAGACATTTACCATGTTATTGAACGAAATACTGTCCCGGATCGAGGCAAGAAAACTTCAAAGAGGAAGAGGAACGATGAGAACGGCAATAACTCAAAAAGACCAAGGCAAGAAGAGGTGGAACAATCCACTCAGGAAGATCAAGGCAACGACGTATCACAACCGCAACCAGGTCAGGTTGAACCACTCTTGATAACGGACGAGGCTGACGGGTCCAGAGGTACTGTCACAATCTCCCGCGAGGAGTACGACGGCCTGAAGGCAACAGTGGAGGACCAGGGAAAGAAGATGAGGAAGAAGGACAAGAACATTAAAGCTTTAAACAGGGCGACCAATGTGCTACTCGCGAAATTCAACATGGCGCCAATGAATGTCGAGGACGAGGAGGACGACATTGGTGAGTCCGTAAATACTGTCGCCATCTCTCGCGAGGAGTACAATGGCTTACAGGCCATGGTCGAGGATCAGATACGGAAGATGAAGAAGAAAGACAAAAATATCAACGCTTTGAACATGGCGATCAACGAGCTGCGCGAGAAGTTTAACATGGCGCCATTGGATGAGGAGGAGCAGGACGGGGAGGACTAAAATGACGAGAGCAATTAGTATTTTTCTAGAATTCGCTCACTATGGCCATTCATCCATTCCCTTGTGGTTTATAGCTGAATCGAAGTTCAAGGGGTCACAGACTCAAGAAAAGCGACGTACAGGGTATAGATACATCAGACTAGAACGAGGCCACTGCGGAAACAGCACAAGTTTTCGTCCTTATCGAGAGTATAAAGTAGAAATCAAAAAGCCTAGACACAGACCCCGAATCCCAATCCGATGCGCCTAATTACGCCCTGTGGTTAACCGTGCCAGTCTTCACTTACCTGATTATGTAGACAAGTTCTCAAAAAGCAGACAACAGGCCACCGAAATCAACGTCTAATCAGCTACACCAACAAGATTCAGAACTAGTTCTGTATTTAGCAATGTAGCTAAACCCGTAGCTACCAGCCGACTTGCCCAAAACCACGCCTTAGTTAGCCAATCAGACAAGGCGAACGACAAGACCACACCTACGTTTCTGTACAGATAGATGTATACACATACAGCAAAGCGCACACCGCGCCAACCCCATCCCAAACACCAACTCTAATCTCAAGTCTTCCATTTTGTCACATCTGATATCTATCCATCCATCCCCCCCGGTCTCTCCAATTTTTTCATCCACTCATACGAACCAAGCGAAAAGCAAAAAAGCGCTACCCACCCACCCACGCTCCACTCACACGAAAAACGAAAAATGTAAAAAAACGCCGTCCATAAATGCCTCCCACACACACACACACACACACTCTCTCTCTCTCTGCTGCGTCTCACTCTCACTCCCTAACCCCCTCAATACGTCAAGACCTTCTGTCCCTTGCCCTTACCCGCCGGCCCCTCGCCCGCCTTCGAGAAGCTACACCACGCGTCCCTAATGCTCACCACCTCGTATGTGCCCTCCTCGCTCGCCTTAATCCGCAAGCTATACTCCGTGCTCGTCAGCGTCCTCGTCTCCAGGACCTGGCTCCTGCGGCCCGGTCTGGCGTTCGTGCTACGCGTGTACGTGAACTCAAACGGCGGGGAGCCGCCAAACTCGAACAGCAGCTCCGCCTCGCCGCCCTCGTGGATGTCCACGCGCGTCTCGCGACCCTTGCTCACCCGGACCGACGGCAGCTCGTGAATCTCTGCTGCCAGGCGCGTCGCCGCGCGGCATTGTGACGCCGCGTCGCTGACGCCTGTGATGACGAATGTACCGGGCTTCTCGGCCAGACGCCGGAACGTCGTACCTTGCGACATGGCCTTGCGAGCTTGTCCGTTGAACGTGTAGAAGACTTCGAAGGGCACCGCGCCCGCCAATGCGTACGCCAAGCGGTCGCCCACGCAGTAGTCCGTCCGCGTGTCCAGCTGTGCGATGCTCGGCGCGTTGTGCACCGTGATCTGGACGCGGGGAGCATCGCGGATGGCAGCCCCGCCGGGACGGTCGCGGCATCCACGTCCATCGCGCACCTTGCGGATCGAGAGCGAGGACGCGCCGAGGTGCAGGTGCCGGTGCGGGATCCGCAGGTCGTACTTGTTCGAATCGATGTTGGGGAAGGAGAGCGTCTCGGGCTTGGATGCTCCCGCATGCTTGAGGTCCACTTCCAGGTAGAAGGGCGCCACACCAGTGAAGGTGATGGGGATAACCTCCTCGCCGTCCGTTTCCGAAATGCAGTAGCTGTATGTCTTGCCCGGGTTGGCGAACTTGGCCGTCGGCCGGGGGTTGACACGCTGCTCGATGAGCAGTGGTGTGAAGACCTTGGCGTTGTGGTCGTAGTTATTGTCGGCCAGCTCGGTGAACTTGTACTGGTGCTCGCCAGGCTTCGATGTGTCCATGGAGATCGAGGCCACATTGACGGCTGCGTTGATACTCTTGTAACGGAATCCGGAGCCCGGAGCATGGTGCTCGTACTTGATGCCGTAAGGCGGAGTGCCGGTAAGAGAGACATCCACGCTGTCTTCGTCTCCCTCGCAAATCTCGTCCCTGACATATTTCCTTCCATCGAACTTGATCGAAGGTGTTTCCGGGATGGAGAGGGTCGGCCTAGGAATCAAGCTGACTTCAAACTCCTTGGCTGCTTGATCGATCGAGCCAGGACAAATAGCATCGTTGACTTCTAAGAGCTCGTACAAGCCCTTGCCTGTAATACCGAGGAAGTCGTTGGCGTTGTTGGCCGTCTTGGACATGACACCGCTGCTTGGGTCCTCGACGTTCTGGTACTTGACGTCCCAGGGTGCTTTTCCTGTAAACCTGACTGGCAGCTGCACCTTCTTGCCTTCCAAAGTGCGCAGGCTGCGCTTGCCCTCGACTTGGCCGAAGTACGCCTTCGGGCGTTCGTGACGAACACTGATCTTGGCCTCCTCCTTCAGGAACTCCTTGCAGCCCAGAGTGTCCGTGACACTTGCCAGAGCCAGAGTGTACTCGCCACCGCTTCCCAGTTTGGGAGTCTTGATAACAAACGTCTCGGTGTGGATCTGCTCGGTGACTGTCCTCTCGCGCCTGCCAGAGTGGATGAGCTCGTACTCTAAAGTGAAGGGGCCCTCTCCCTGCAGCTTGACGGTGAATTCCACCGGCTCGTCAATACAAGCTTCCTTCTTGCCAGTCGGGTAGAGGAAGTGAGCGGATGCAGAGGGTTTGACGTCTTGTTCGAGCACCAGGTCGCTTCTCTTGAGCGACAAGCCCTTGTACACCTGGTCGCTGATGGTGTTGAACGAGTACGTGTAGTGGCCTGCCTCGGGAGGCATGATGTCGAGCTGGCCTCTGAGGCCTTGCACGTCGATGTGGCCGACACGCTCGTTCTTCTCGCCCGTCTTCTTCATGGTATAGCTGACCTTGAATGGAGGCGTACCAATCAGATCTAAGCCGACACGCAGACCAAGAGGCCTCTTGGCACACTTGTCATAGATCTCCTCGGAGCTGATCGTAAGGTCCGGCTCCGGAGGGTTGAGCAGCAAGCAGGAGGCCGGCTCTTGCACATCTCCCGAGCATGTGTCCGTTGAAACAGTTTTTAGCGTGTAGAGACCGCTCTTCTGGATCTGCAACTTTTGTCCAGTGGTCTTAAGAGACTCGGTAATGGTACGGTTCTTCTCGGAGTGCTCGCCGTTCGTATTCAAGAACTCTTCGGGAGTAAACATGTACTCAAGTACGTGTGGAGAGTCGGTCAGAGCCTTCTTGTTCGTAGAGGAGAAGCGTATCGGAAGAGAAGCCTTCTGGCCCTTGGCCACCTGGAGAGGGTGTTGGGAGTCACAACCGTCCAAGACGACTGTGGGCCTCTCGTGGACGAAGAAAGCGCGCTGCAACTTTTCGTCGAGCTTCGGTGCTTCGCCTTCCTCAATACGAGTGGAATAGCTGATAACGTTTCCTAGGGCGTCTGAGACCTCGTCCACATAGTAAGTCCAGAGACCACTCTGGGCCAAAGAGTCTTGCAGAGCAACCTCGATGGAATGCGAGCGAGCCCAAGAGACGTCGAAGTAGTTCGTACGGGCCATCGCATTGGACCCTCCCCTAGAAAGCGGCGATATGAAGTCGTCTGGCTGGAGAAATTCGCTCTTTGACTCGCGCTCTTTGCCATTGACCATCCTCCTGTATTTGAGTTGCAGCGGAGGCGTTCCAGTAACAACGAGACCAATATCAGCCGACTCGCCTTTGCAGCGGGATTGGCCACTGGGCTTGATGCGTGCCTCAGGACAAGAAACGATCATCACATCCGGTCCTCGCGTCTGAACCTCCAGCTTAGACTCGTCAATGACCCTGTTCAGCCTGTACATTCCTGTCTTTTTGACCGAGTATTCCAGTAAAAGAGGATCATCATCACTCGTTGACTTCTGGTTCCTTCTCGCGTTCTTCATCAGCTTCTTGACGTTCGATGCCGATATCGAAACTGTTTCGTTCTTGCCGCTGTCGACGTCGATGCGAAGGAGCTCGATGAGCATGGGCGTGGTCTGGTTGATCTGGATGGGAATCTGGATTTCCTTCTTTCCTGCGCCCAGACAGAAAGATTCCTTTTCTGGGTTGAGAAGCGCAGAGCTAGAATAAATTAGCCTTTGTCGTGAGCGGTCGAGCCGTTGGACATACCCTTCTGGAAGAATGTGAACAATTTGTTTACCCAAAATGAGGGATTCATTGTGCAGAACACTCCATGGGTCGACGTTATGTTCCTCGATGGCCAGCTCGCGGTCATACACAAGCTTGAAGATGCCGGTAATCCAAACGCCGATAGGTATCTACAACTGTCAGCATCTTCTTGAAGTATTCGTAGGCCTGACTTACGCCAATCCTGAACATCAACATGCCATCCACCATGGCATGCACCAAGAATAAAAAGACCATGACAGGTGTCGACCATTCCAACCACGGTATCCTCAAACCCGGCAGGCCGAACAAAAAGATGGCATCTATCACCACCCATTTCATAAAGAGCCACAGGGAATCCGTCTCATCGTTGAGCAGGTTTAACCAGTCGTAAGATCGCCATGCCAGCAGCGCGCCGTAAAAGAAGACGGCGTACAATCGCTGCGTCGGAGCGGGGATGATGTCGGTGGAGATGAGGGGCGCGTTGGGATCGCGGTCGGGTGTCACCTTTGGCATCTCAGCCAGGTGAGTGCGCACCCTCGGAGCGTTGGCTGGGGCGTCATGATGCGCGCGCGGAGCTGTTTCTGGGGTTTGGGGAAATGCGCCGTAGCGAGGGCGAGGAGTGCCGTTCATCTCATGCCGATTTCGCAGTAGGACAGGCAGCGGCAAGCATTTAAGGGATCGCGACAAGCTTCATAAAGCTCCGGGAGGGCGGTGCGTCGCTGGAGTGGAGCTTGTTTGGATTTGGTGTTGATGATTCTCTCGTCGGGAAAACTTCGCGTTAAGTAGCTGTCGCACGCGTGAACCACTGACGCCACACCTACTTAACTTGACCTACTCTCCGCAGCTACGAAGTAGAGTAGGAGCGGGCACTAACTGTCGGTTATTCCTTCACTCTTTAATGACAACGATGCTTGTTCTTGCGCCTGTCGACTTCCGTCACCCTGGAAGCTACACATAAATTCTACCAACCCACCTTGACTCTCTCTCTCTCAACTCTCCCTCTCCCTCACCATGGCTACGCGAAGCTCGAAAAGAAGAAAGGCGAACGGCACAAACGGCACAAATGGCACCGTCAACTCCATTCCTGAGAACAGAGTCTTCCCCAACGATGCGTCTGTGCCCGCTACCGCCGAGGACAAACGCAACTGGCAGGGATTCTGTGAAATTGAAAATGACCCGGTAATGCCATTACCGCCTATGTAACTCCGAATTAGTACTGACTATTGGTCTTCCAGGCATTCTTCAACGTCATGTTGCAAGAATTCGGCGTGCAGGGAGTCAGAGTCCAGGAAGTCTTTGGCTTAGACGAGGCGCTCTTAGCGATGCTACCGTGAGTTTGGACCTATCTCGCAGTCTTCATTACTTCCTCTGCCTGGCTTGCCCGCTGCACTGTGGCCTTTTTTTTTTATCGCATACCTGCCTATGAATTGAATAACTCGAGTCACGTGTCACTTGCCTGAGCTTATCTCCCTTTGCGCAACCACACTACTAACTCGATCAAAGGAAGCCCGTGTATGGTTTGATTTTCCTGTTCCGCTACTTAGAGGATGATTCGACCGCTCAAGAGAGCATTTGTCCGGAACACGTATGGTTCGCAAACCAGGTAAGCCATCTATCTCCTCCATGGGGAATTACCATTCCTGACTTGTTTAGACTACCGGCAACGCTTGTGCCACAGTAGCTCTCTTGAACATTGCCATGAACATAGCAGGGGTGGAGCTTGGAGAGAATCTCAAAAGCTTCAAAGACTTCACAAAAGACTTGACTCCAGCGATGCGGGGCAACCAGATTGTCAACTTTGAGTTTATCAAGAGAATCCACAACTCTTTTGCTCGGTATCTTTGAAGACCATTGTTCCTTCATACTTACAGCTAGGCTGATCGTACTTCAGGAAGATCGACATGATGAACATCGATCTCGGTATGCAGGATCAAGTCAAGACGGCAAAGTCCAAGAAAGGCAAGTCGAAGAAGAAGAAGAAGGGTGTGGACGACGATGCCGCATTCCACTTTAGTGCATTCATGCCGATCGAAGGAGATGTCTGGAAACTTGATGGCCTAGACCGGCAGCCGTTGCGACTAGGTAATTATCACTATCCCTGCGGTATGAAGTAAACACATGTCTGACAACAGTTTGTAGAGACTATCGGCGACTCAGACTGGCTTCAACTCATCGCGCCCAACATCTCCGCTCGCATGACACAGTACGAAGAAGGACAGGTTGAATTCGGCTTGCTTGCCCTTGTCAAGGACCCGCTCATCGAAGCCCGAGAGCAACTGGCTCAGAACATCAAGACCATTCGCGATGTCGAGACGCGACTCGAGATGATCAACTCAGACTGGCGAGCATTCAGTTCCACCACAGACGAAAGCGAGAACACGGTGCTTGCTGGACCTTCGTCCGAATACCACATCACCGGCCAGGCGATCCTGACGGCCAAGCTGCCGCTGTCGATAGAAAGGAAGATCGACACTGACGACGACCCGACCACGTTGCTGGAGTTGAGGCAGAAAGCCGTCACTGAGCAAGCAGCTTTGAAGGCGACAATCGGAGACGAGCAGGCTTCCGCTCAGGCAGACCAAGACAAGGCTGAGGCTCGTCGTCATGACTACGGTCCTCTTATTCGGACGTGGTTGAGGATGCTGGCGGAGAATGGCACGCTCCAGAAGTTGATGAAGGAGGTAGAGTAATTCAGGTGGTTGGCCCTCGCAACAGAGCATGTTTATGGCGTTGGCTGACGTGGGAAATCGATTATCTGGTTATTAGCTTCGGAGTTGCGGCTAGAACGTAGAGAGATACTCTCTGGGATAGATACCATAATATGCATCTTTTCTTTTGTCTTATCTATTCTTGCTGTTATTCGCTCGCCTTCCCGACTCAATCACGCTCAAACCAAACTTCAATTACTTCAGCATAGAACATTCGCCTTCCTATTATCCAGCACTGCACAATTGCCATGTTCTTCAATAACCACATCGGTCTCTAAAACCTTCTTCCCCATGCAGATTCTCTCAGACAAACCCTCCACCCTCTTCTCAACTCCTCTCTCTCTCTCTCTCCTTACATCCCCCCAAACCAACACACCACCACCATGGCAAGATCAAGATCAAGTTCCCGCCAAAATGGCCACGGCCACGCAGCCACGCCATCCCGTCGCTCAGAACCACCCCGTAAGTCCCACCCACAGCCACCAAAAATCCCACGAAAACCCGCTCGCGCGACCTCCGTCCACTCTACAGGCTCTCTCGGCATCCCGCAGACCGGGCCCGCCTGCTCCGGACGCCCCGAGCGGGACGGTCTCCTGCTCTGCTTTGCACGAGTACTTGGAGACTTCATGGAGTTCACTGGCTTCGCTGTCTTCACAGGCTTCACAGGCTTCACAAGCACCTCACCACACCACCACGATCGTACATCTCGGAAGCGACGCCAGCAGCTCATCTCCCAGCGCGACTGACGGCCTATCGGTCGTCAGCGTCAGCGTCGCCAGTGCTGCCTGCCACGAGCGACGCAGCCGCCGCGGGAAGCAATGGCAATAGCAGCGGCACCGCACCACGAACCCAGCATCAGAGGCCGCGTCCACGGCGACGAGCAGCAGCCCGCCCCACCGAGACAGTCTCGCGACACGAACGGCGCTTCTGTCGCGCAGCAGCGGCATCAGGCACTGCATCGAGCGCAGCTGCTGCGCGGCGCACCACCACGGCCAGCACCTGGGGTGCATACCTAGGTACATGACCTGTCCGCACGCACCATGCATATAGCGCACCGGCATCCCGCCTCGCTATGGCCTCAGCAGCGCAGCGCGAAGCGCGAAGCGCGAAGCCGAGCTCCTGGCGCACGCGCAAGACGAGCGCGCCGGCCGCTGCGAGTGGCGCAGGCACATTGTCAAGGCGCATGCGCCGCGCTGCGAGTTTCGGTGTAGCGATGTGCGCTGTGCGGAGGCGTCTGTGGAGAGGGAGGCTTGGAGGGCGCCTACCTAGGTTTAATGCGCGTTTTTTTTTTTTTTTTTTTTTTTTTTTTTTTTTTTTTTTTTGAGCGGGAGGGGGTGAGGAGGGTCTGTCTTTAGATGGGATTTGGGGTCGTTGGCGGCGGTGGTGGGGCCGCTGCCGCATTGAGGCTCGGGATTGGGGCGTTTGTGGATGTATGTTGGTTGGGTTGGCTTGCGCGTTTAGACCTACCTAGGTGCTTACAGACATGCAAGGTCGGGAGTGGGGTGGGGTGGGCTTGGAATAATCATGGTTTCTCTTCTTGGTCACGGTTGGTTTTCCACTCCCTTTGATTCCTCGGCTTACCTCACATACTGTATCACACTGCAACATACAACTTACTTTTGATACTTTCACCTTCTCACTCTCGTATCTTGATGGCAATCCCGTAATGTATCCTCAACTATACTTTCATACCCATCTCTCATTCTGCTTTGCATACTCATAAAAACACTTTCTTATTCCCATACATTTCCAATACCGTTCTATAGCTACCAAAGATATACAGTGACCTGGCCTTGTTTGACAGAAAACTCAAGGGTGGATAAAACAGCCATAACCAAACAAAGGCGAGTAATATCATCAGTAATCAGTAACCTCCCCTCTTTCCTTTCCACAGTCAAAACCGAGACCAACATACCTACCTAACAACGCTACACGGCATCAGCAACAGCATCTAAGACGAACCCACCTACAGACAACCGCCCTCCTCCCATCCACGCCCTCCAATCCAACCACGCCTCCATTCCCACCCTCACAACCCCAACCTAACCCCATCACCAAGCACCTCAAACACCTATAAACACCTACTTCCCACACACACAAAAAAAAAAAAAAAAAAAAAAAAAACGTCATAGCGACGGCCCGGCCCGCCCCCCCGCAGCACCTAAGGTAACGAACCATAGTTCGCGCCCCCGCGCCGACACCCTGCACAAAGGTAGGTACCGCGGCCACAACCACCACGGTACTCTACCTATGCGCACAACCACGGCGCCATGAATACACGGCGCGCTATAAAGCCGCGTTTCTGCGCTTCTGCCCGCCCGCCCGGTCGTCTTTCCCGCCCTGACTGTCTTTTTCGCCTGACGGCTTCGCGAGTCTTCTACGTGCTTCGTGCGGACGGGACTTAGCTGCTGTTGCTACTGCTACTGGACGCGCGAAAGCACGAAAGCACTACACGCTCGCTCGCATACACTCACACACTCGCTCGTTCATACACACGACGCACGCGTACACGCACCGCCCAACCCACCCACGCGTCTGCCCGGCTGGTCCGCAAGGACATGTGCATCCCGTGGCACCGCACGCGCAGACCCCCCGGCGCCGACCCAGACCCACGCAAACGAAGCCCCGGCGACAGAAAAGCTCTCGCAAGAGCAAAAGCAAGAGTAACAGCAAGAACAACAGTAAAAGCAAAGCCAAAGCCAAAGCCAGCAACGGCAACAGCGGCAGGGACAACGACATGCGCCGCTTGAGCGTCCTGATCCACACTATGAAGCGCGCGCTGCAGCGCGTGAAGCTGCATTTACGGCGGAACAACAACAACAACAACAACAACAACAACAACAACGCCAGCAATAACCATATCATCAATAATAATGGCGCTGCTGCTACCACCGCCGCACCAGCGACGACGGCGACAAGAACGACGACAGCAAGAACGACGACAGCAAGAACGACGTCCCAGACCGCCAACACGGTCAATATCCCCGGCATCGGCACTGGCATCGCAACCACCACCAGCACTAGCGCCAGCCCAAGCGGCGGCAGGCCAGGGACGCCGCACCCGCTTAGCGGGGGCAGCGGCGAGAGCAGCAGGCTGCACAACCACCCGTCGACGACAGCGCTGCTGGCGGCCAGCAGCTCGCCATACACGACGGACTCGAACTCGAACTCCGGGACGCGGTCGGAGGCGTCGTCGTCGCGGTAGCGGCTGCGCTCTCCGCGCTTCATCGAGCATTTATGAAACGGCCCGGGCTGCGGCTGCGGCTGTAGCAGCACGGAGCGCGCGGCGCTGCTGGACACGTGGTGGCGGGTGGGACGGCGGCCGAGGAGGGCACGGAGGCGCGCGCGGCGCTGCTGGGAATGGCTGGCGGTGGTGGTGCTGAGGAGGCGGGGTGGTGGGCCGGAGCTGGATGGGCGGGCCAGCAAGCCTGCGGCCCTGTTCTGCCGGGCGCGGACATGGCGTGCGTCAAGGATGGAGCGGCTGTGGGCTCTCAAGGAAGGTTGGAGGCGGAGGAGACAGGCTTGTCGTTAAGGTGCGGCCGTGCGGCACTGATGAGCCTGTCTGTCTCTTCCTTAAATGATCTGTTTGGTTAGCGAACAAACGACAGAGGCAGATAGAACGGATGAACGAATAAAGAAAACGTATCAAACAAGTCCAAGTTTCCCAAGAAACCCGCACGGGTGCAGAAGCTACCGCAGCGGCAGAGAGGACGTCGCTCGCCTATGCAGCATCGAAAGCGGCGATCAGTACTGTCGTTATCCAAAAGGCGCAAAACAAGCAGCAAGAAACCTGTTAGCAAAACCGACCGCATGAAGCTGGTTACCCATTGAAGACGCCCAAAAGAAACGGAAAGACGACATTGTCACCGAGCTTCAAATCACATGTGCGTCAATCAAGCACACGAGAAAATCAGCCCGCAGCACAGTAGAAGCAACAGCACGCACCAACACCTTGGACGCCGCAACAAACAATCAGAGGAGAAAGGTTTGCTTGTCATTAAGAAGAGAAGAAGAAGAAAGGCCATAGGTACAACCTCACACGCTGCCAGACCACTGTTCAAGGGGTTTAGCAAAAGCCGCGCGCACCTCCTCTCCCAATCCTGCCTCTAAAAAAAATCTTTTTTGAGTTGTCTTTTTCTTTCTACCGGGTAATGCTTTCCTCTTACGTCCTTGCAGCATTCGCGCCTCTTTGTAAAAAGGCTTCTACGCATGCAACAGACTGGGAAGCAGCATCCGGACTGACCAGGTCCCCCAATTGCTCGGAAGTGGTCAACAGGTGACATTGGTTGCGTTTGAGCCAAGAAGTAGCACTCGAACAGTCGTGAATGAAGATATGCCAGTGCAGCACCGTCAGGCGTTGATTTTGTGAATGTGTCGTAATGGTGTGTCGTGGTGCCGACTTCGAAGCGACGGTGCAGAAGCCTGCACTGCGCTCGCGCGTACTAAAAGGGGATATAAATTGTAGGTTTAGACGCTAACTGCGTCCATGTCGGCCGCAATCGATGCATAAGGGTACTGACTCGTCGCATCTAGTCGAAAAAGAAGGTGAACGACGAAACTTTTGGTCGCAAGACGCCTACCGCCGGTCATATAATATCTCGATCATAGACGCGGTCAATGAGAAGAGGAGCGGCTTCGTCGAGGGGTGTCCGAAAAAAGCACAGGACGTTGAGCGGGAAAATCGGCCAGAGTCGCCAAACCGGAGACTGGTGAGCGAGGAAAAACGCTGTGGGAATTTGTCGCGGCCGGAAAGAAAGGGAAAACGGAAAAGAAACCGCAAGATAACCCAAAGCGCATATTGTACAAATGCGACAACCAGAAATCGTGAACCCTCATGGCGCCGGCGTGGATCCATTACATACCCGATGGTGAAGAAAGAAAACCAGGTGACCGTGCCATTTAGCCGTCGTCCAGGTCTCGAAGTCGTCAAAAAAGAGGATACGGGAGGTATGTGCAGAGCAGAAAGGGAAGAAAAAGCTTAGGCAGAGAAACCGAGCCTGAAGCAACCATTGAGGAAAAAAAACCAGAAGAATTGTCGACGATGATAAACTGACTCAGCCAAGCTGAGCCTTGAACCTATGTTCTAACTTCACCAGTGTCGGAGTAGACTGGGTGTCAGATTTATGCCTGGCCAGCGGGGCCAGCAGGCCTTGGGTTGCGTGGTCCGTTGAAGCCATTCTGCTGGCGCTGACCCTGAGCAGAGCCACGGCCACGGCCCGAGAACTGGCCACCACCGCGCTGGTTTCTGGGGTAGTGTTGACGGTTTTGACCTTGGTTACGAGGCGCATTGCCGTCTTGCTCCTGAAGCTGGCCCTGGGGCTGAGGTTGGAACTGACCCTGGTGTTGAGCCTGGGGCGGAGGCCTGTTTGCAGGGGCGTTCGAGATAGGACGAGGGATAGTCTCGGGCGTCTCATAGACATAGAGCTTCTTCTCAATGGTCGGGGGAATAGGCTGAATCTCGGTACCGAGTTCCTGCTCGATCTTGTAGAGGTTGAAGCGGTCGTCCCAGTTGATGAGGTTGATGGCCAGACCCAAGTGTCCAAAACGGCCGGAACGACCGATACGGTGCAGATAAGTCTCGGCGTTCTTGGGGAAATCGAAGTTGATGACAACATTGACGGCCTGGATATCAATACCACGAGTGAGCAAGTCGGAGCAAACCAGGTTGCGGCAAACACCGTTCCTGAAATCATGGAAAACACGGTTACGGTTGTGCTGCAACATCTTGGCGTGAGAGTAGAAACAAGAGTAACCGAGCTCAGTGATCTTCTTGGCAAGCAGCTCGACACGGTTGGTCGAGTTACAGAAGATGATGGACTGGTTGATCTGGAGTTTGTTGAAGAGGGTGTTCAAGCAGTGGACCTTCTGCTTCTCTTCAACGAAGGCGTAATACTGGGTGATACCACGGAGAGTGAGCTCGTCCATAAGGTTGATTTCGTACGGCTGGCTCATGTGCTTGTCCTAAATAATCATTTAGCAAACGCAGACATTCCTCTGCATTGGATGAAAGCAACGTACTTTGAAGCTCTTTACAATAATGGGGAACGTGGCACTGAAGAGCATGACCTGACGGTCCTTCGGATGGAAGGCCAGCAGCTGCTCGATAACGGGAGTGAACTCGGGGGAGAGAAGCTTGTCGGCCTCGTCCATGACAAAGGTCGGGCAAGACGAGAGGTCCGCGACACCCTTGCTGGCAAGATCCAATATCCTACCAGGGGTACCGACGATGATGTGCACGGGCTCCGAGAGACGAATGATGTCATCCTTCAGACCCGTACCTCCAGTGGTGACCATGACATTGATGCCCAAATGCTTGCCGAGGGTCTTGCAGACTTGGGAGGTTTGCAGCGCAAGCTCACGGGTTGGTACGAGGATAAGAGCTTGCGTCTTGTTGCTCTTGGGGTTGATGCGCTCAAGTGTGGGGATGACGAAGGCAGCAGTCTTACCCGTTCCGTTCTTGGCGCGCGCGAGGATGTCACGGCCTGTCAATGCGACGGGGATCGTCTCTTCCTGAATGGGCGAGGGCTTCTCAAATCCGGCCTCGAATATGCCCATCATCAGCTCCCTCTTAATGTAGAAATCCTCAAATTCAAGCCCCTTCGTCGCGGTGACATCCTCCGTCTGTACTCTGTTGTCCTTTGCAGGAATGTTCAAGCCGGATTTCCACTCGGCACCGGCAGGCGCATCGTTCAGGTTTGCCGCCGCCATCTGATTCGTGATATCCGTCGCCATTTAGGCAGTAGGTCGTCAATGCAAACGACAGGCAGATTGGGTGGGGAGGTGCAGAAAATGGTCCCTCGGCAGAGAGGGGCGATGTGGAGTGGTTGCGTGGGCGTCAAGGCGTGCGGTTTGGAGGATGACGACTCCAAGTGATGTGGGGTATGTGCGGTCGGCGGAGGATGGGAGGCTCGAGAAGCTCTTAGGGGTGGTAGGGTTCGTGGACGAGGAGCGACGCAAGGGAAGCTGGAAGGTTGCGCGTTGTCGGGGAAGCTTAGTGCCAAGTGGCAGCGTAACAGAAGACTGGGGTAGCTCGAGGGGTAGAGGAGCTGCTTGCTTCGGGTGCTCTCGAGAATGCGCGCAGGACGTCGGAGCCGGTGGTGAGGGATGAGTTGGGCCCAAAAGTGAGCTCAGGATGGCGGTTGAGTGGATTGGGCGCAAAACGCGTGATGGAGTGAGTGCGTTGGCGGTAGAAGAGCGTGATGTCTTGAGGAAATGGTAGGCCAGTTTGTGTGAGGTTGAAGAGCCGTGCCCGCCCAAGTCGCGCAAGGACCTAAAACCGAAGTTGGACCGAGACGCCGCTTAGCGCTTGCACTCACGAGTCGAGTACGCTATGAGATACCTACCTACCAGACATCATCCACAGCCATGTTTCGTCCCACCTTGCGCATGCTCCGCACCAGAAATGTCGCCTATTCCTTCATTGGCCTTAACACGGTCGTCTTCGCCGCTTGGAAATATGCAGACGGCACCATTCCCATCGAGATCAAGTCCAGAAACGCCTCCGACAACAATGTCACAATAATTGACCCGTACGCTGCCTCCAGTCAGGCTGTCTCGTCCAAGCAAGCTACCATGCAGAAAATGGTCGACAACTTCATCCTAAAGCCCGAGGACATGGACCAGGGCAGATGGTGGACGCCTTTGACGTGCAGTATCTCACACCTAAACCTCTTTCACTATGGCTTTAACATGTTCGCCTTCCACTCTTTCGCCGAATTCCTGTGGATGTCTCCAACAATGACGCCCTTGCGTTTTGCTGGCCTTTGCTTTGGCTCCGGGCTTGCGGGCTCTGTAGGCTTTCTCATGCACCAAAAGACCATGAATAACCATTCCAAAGCGGGTGCCTTGGGTGCTTCCGGTATCGTCATGGGTGCTGCTGCAATGTGCGCATTCATCGCGCCGTTCGCAAAGTGGGAGCTCATGTTTATCCCCATTGGTATCCCTGCTTGGGCCATGATGGGCTTATACTTTGCGTACGACGCCATCTTCCTCAACGATCCGAACGCAAAAGTCGGTCACTCCGGTCACATTGGTGGTGCCCTCTTCGGTGCTGCTTACTACTTGCTGCTTTTCAGGCGTCCTGCCCTCGCTCGCAACCGCAAGATTCGCTGAGGGCATACAGCCTGATTACGGTCGACAGACCGTGGACGTTACATAATCCATTGGCATATGCGGTTGTATCGAGCGATGGAGTATGGGCAGTTGTTCCGTGTGCTTGGGTGTAAAAACGGCTTCTTCGTTTCAATTGGTCTAGGAGATTAAGATAAAACACTTCGCCAGATATCTCCTTTACCTGCAGTTTCCTTTACGTTCGTATGCAGGTATTTAAATGTTGTACCGAGCATCTAAAATTCTAGCGTAATGGTCCGGAAGCAAGGGCAGCGTACTTCAATAGCACGTATCAAAATTGACAAACTTGGACGGCAAAGCGAATCAAAGCACTTCCAGGTGAGCTACTGAAACAAAATGATTCCAAGTCTGAAGTTACTGCTATTTTGTATCTGATTTATCGAATACGCCGGCTCTTGCTCAAAGAGCCGACGAAACCAGCATATCAACCGTATAACGAATCGTTTTGATGACAATCATGTACTCCAGTCCTGTTCGTGATTTACCAAGATCCGAAAAACGCGCTTTTTCCGTCAATAGAGCCATACACGCCAGCTACCGAAAGAGAAATACAAGAGAAATGAGCTGGCACGCCATGCCGCTTCGCAGCCAGGAGGCGATGCAGAGATTAGACGCCAGCGTCCTCAGGGTCAACGTTCAGGTTCCAGTCGATGGGGCCATTTTCCTTGCCGTAGCGCTGCTCCAACCACTCATTGGCCTTCTTGAAGTGGCCACACTCGAACTGAAATGAAAGTTAGCTTGCTACTACTTCACATACATTTTTCGCGGTGAGTGGGCTTACGAATCCTCTGTGAGCGCTCAATGGGCTAGGGTGAACACTCTTCAGCACTAGGTGCCTCGACCCGTTGACACCGGTGACACGCTTTTGCGCAGGCGTACCCCAAGCCAAAAATACGACACCATGGGTGCGCACGCGGTTCACTGTTTCGATGACCTTTTGTGTGAAGCGCTCCCAACCTTTACCCGCGTGACTGTTGGCGTCGTGCGCGCGCACCGTCAAACATGTGTTCAGTAGCAACACACCCCGGTCCGCCCACGGCGTCAGCAGTCCACCATTCTTGGGTGGCGCCTCAAATGAAGGGTAATCCTTCTTGAGTGCGATGTATATGTTCTTGAGTGAGGGCGGCGCGGCCGTGGGAGGCCGCACACTGAAACACAACCCATGCGCCTGGTTGTAGTTGTGGTAGGGGTCTTGGCCAAGGATGACAGCCTTGACGGTATTGAGCGGCGTATGGCGCGACCTACGAGACCAAGGAGGTTAGAATTGTGTGTACTGGATCGGCGACGCGCAGTACGAGACGCGGTAAGACGCGTAATTGGAAATGCGGTCGCGCCATGCGATAGGCGACAACCAGTTGCTGCCATCCCACAATTGACTTACCAGGAATATACGTCCTCCATTGGTGGGAAGATCTTCGTGCCACTCGCACCCTCTTGCTTGAGGAACGCCTTGAGGGCTAGGAATTCTTTGCTCGTGATCTCATCCTTAAGGTGGGCCAGCCAGCTCTCGTGTAAGGTCTCGATCTCGAGTTGCAGCAGTTCCTTCTGCTCTTCTGTGAGTCCCTCGATCCACTTGTCCTTGTCGAACTTGGCAACGACAGGCGCTCTGGCCGGATCTGTCGACATAGTCGACGACGACACGGGCTTGGGTGGACCGAAGAATGCCGTGATGCTGCCGTTGGCTTTCGGCTTCTTCGCTTCTGCGGAGGTTTGGTTTGCTGCCTTGCGCTTGAGTGACATGACGACAGTGGCAATTGATGTTGTTGGTTGGGTGTTCTAGGTATTCTAGCTTCGAGAAGGTAGATTGGTCTTGACGAGACGCGAGTCAGGCTGCAACGCGAAAGACGCGTTAATACGCGCATGGCACGTGATTTATGGCGTCATTGACCCGCCTGGCCGTTTGTTGTTTCAAGGGCTCCCGTGGCCCGCCAACGGCTATCCAGGTGCCAGGCAGACACGCAGGACTAAATTGCGGGGTGCGGGTGCAAACAGGCAGCAAGCACACGGCTGGCTGCGTCACCGTTGCGAAAGACAGTCTATATAAGGGGTGTCCTCTTGGTATCTAGGAACAACTCTCCATCTTCTCAACATCCCATTAAAACGTCTACAAATTGATCCTTTTCACTCTCATCACAACTTTCCCAAACAGACCAATCAACGTTGCCTCCACATATCAAAATGGCTGACAGCAACCCCGCCAACTTCGCCAACCGCCCTAAGGATGAGGTAAGGTTTTAGCTCGGAGGATGGTCTACGTCCAAGCTTGCTGACACAAGTCAGGTCCGTGAGATCGCCTCAAAAGGTGGACACGCCAGCCATGGCCAGCATGATACCCATGTGAGTTCGATCGATCTCACTGACTCTCCAGCCGTGAATACTGTCGCTAACGCATGACATCTAGCCCGACCGCAACCCTGATGGCACCTTCACCAAGGGTAGCGATGCCGCACGCGAAGCCGGTCACAAGGGAGGGGTCTCGCTTCATGCTGAGCATCACCCCGACCGCAACCCTGACGGCACCTTCACCAAGGGCAGCGAGGAAGCCAAGGAGTTGGGCCACAAGGGCGGCATTCACTGATTCACTGATTCACTGCGACACTGCGATGGATACATTTACGATTGATGATTGGGTTTCTGGGAACGACAGCAGATAGCTAGTCGGCAAACAATGGCATAACGATTCCTGCCTTGCAAATGCAGAGATTATCGGTCGTGAAAAGGCATTGCCTTTGAGCAATATCGGTCTTGGGGGAAGTACACTCCGCAGCATGCCCTTACTACTAGAGGAAAGTCAACCGGAAGGATGCGAAACCTGGCCGGTTTAGTCATGCTCGCGTTTGTTGCGCTGTCAAGGACATGTTCCGATCTACAGTAGATACCCAACTTCAACCGACAGGAACTAAACCAAGTGGTTAAAAATCACGACCGGGAGCTGTTTAGGAAATACATCAGCTCCACTGCAAGACGGTTGTTCGGGCTACGGACATCCAGGGTTCGGAACTGTCGGCCATGGAGAATCTTTGTCGCGGACAGGTGGTGTCCCACATGGATGTCTCGAACGTTTCCGGTGGGCATGGATGGCTTCGCCGCGACGCCGGCTGACTCGTTCCTTGGCGCAAGTCCGCGCCGATATACTGGGACTTTTTACCAGCACAACGGATCTCATACACAAGATGTCCCACGAGCCGCCGGTACCTCATATATCCTCGGCAGTCCACCACGTTGCCTCGCCCGGCCCATCGTCCGCCGAAGAGAGCACCCCCAAGTCTATCATCGAAGCAGACGTACGTTCCCCGCGTCCAGCGCACCTCTTGGCTTACCCGATCCTTTAGCCCCCAATCCCGAAGTACCTGTCTAAGTTACTGAACCCGAACAGTCGGAACCCTCGGATGGCGCCGAGAGTTACGAGAGGTATGAGAGTCTTTGTGTGTTTTCCTAACAACCGTCGACCTAGCTGACACTCATTTCAGTAGCACAAAGTCAGTTCGCGAAAGCGTCTTCGAATTCATCCGAGAGAATGGAAGGACCTATCACCGCTACGCGGCTGGTTGTAAGTCTCAACCATGATTGAATGTCTATTTCCCCGCGCGACGCTGATCAGATTTCAGCATACCTATTTCCAAACGATCGAGTATGCTTACCCAACTCTGACGTACTTGCAAGATGACTCTAACCGCATCTGCAGTCAGAGAACGAGCGCCTAGATCTACAATTCGAAATCCTCAAAGTGCTATTTGGAATGCGCAATTATTTCGCGCCCCTTAAAGACCCCCGGAAAATACTAGACATTGGGACCGGGACAGGCAAGTGGGCGATCGAGATGGGTATTTCCACCGTTTTGTTTGATGTCGCAAGGTCGACTGACTGCATCAGGAAACGAGTTTCCCGACTGTGAAGTATGCTTTAGATGCGTGCGCCATGTCTGAATGTTTGCTCACTGTGTCTCAGATCACCGGGACGGATCTGTCGCCTATACAACCTGAGTGGTATGGTTTGGCGGCGTGGGTGTCTCAGGCCATTTAAAATACTGACCAATTCATAGGGTTCCAGACAACGTTCAGTTCATCATCGACGACGCTGCAGAAGAAGACTGGTTAATAAAACCAAACTCGTACGACTACATTCATACGCGGGTGCTGTTGGGTTCTTTTGAGGATTTTCGTGACATCATCCGGAAGTCGTATCGGTACCTCAAGCCGGGAGCTTGGATGGAGTCTCAGGAGATTTATCCAACGCTATGTTGCGACGACGGGACGATGACGGAAAGCTATCCCTTCCAACAATGGACCCGGACGCAGGATGTTGCAGCCATGAACCTGGACCGGCCGCTGCGCATCGCGAACAAGCTGAAGCGCTGGTACGAAGAGGCTGGTTTCGTCGATGTACACGAGGAACTCTTCAAGTTACCGATTAACTCCTGGCCAAAGGATCCGCAGTTCAAAATGCTTGGACGCTTCAGCGAAAGCAGTTTGCTCCAGGGACTGCAGGGCTTCAGCCTGGCGTGGTTCCATCGCGGTCTCGGCTGGACCAAGGAAGAGATCGAGGTGTACCTGGTGCAAGTGCGCAAGGCCATCTCCGATAGGAGCATTCATGCATATCACAAAGTGTAAGTCGATTTGCAATGACTTCGCGCTGCCAAGCCGAATCTAGCCGAGCCATGACCTCCACGGTCTCGACCACAGGGCTGGCGTGGCATATTCAGTGTTGGCTAACTCCGCGGGACAACACAGATATGTGGTGTGGGGACGCAAGCCGACAGCAGATGAGCTTCGAGAAAAGGCTGCGGCAAAAGCCAGCCACAAAGAGATTGAGGCGATGCAGAAAGCGCACGCCACTGCTCCAGATCAATCCAAAACTGAAACACCTTGGAGCTAACATCCGATTACTTTTCTGAAGACACAGCCAGTGTTTGAGATCCTAACGGCCACAGAACAAGAGTTTATGATTATGACCTAACGAAGAGCATGGCGTTTATGGAATGCCCTGAATGAGAGACTGGAATTACAAGGTTTGGTCATGTCGGGATGCAAAGAGAATCAAACTATGGGTTTCGTGTCAGCATCTCCGTGAGCGTGCTGGAGCTTGGCAGATTTCCTTTCTTATCTCAAGAGCTTGAGGCCTGAGGCAACTACTTTGTGACGATGGTGGCATTTGACAAAGTTATCGTATATTTTGCAGCGTGGACTCGGACTCGCTCATATAACGGCCTTTCTCCACCTACTGTTATGTCGACAACTGTTTTTAGGAGAATACTGCACTCTTTTTCAATGCAGGCTTTGAGACATTGCTTGACAGCCGGCACGTGAGTGACGTATTCTCTCAAAAGTCTGAATAGGTGGGATGCAGTATCATCAGGTTGTGGCGTGAATGATGGTTAGACATTGATTAGAGGCGATCTGATTGGTTGCTGACAACAGAGATAAGGGTTGGCCTGTGCTGTGCCTTCCTAAATCCTCCTTGCTCCCACGCCAGGACGCTCCTCACCATCGACGACACCAGAGTCCGCTTGACGGCCTGCGTGCTGACCTGGGCCACCGTCCGACTATTGGCAGGCCGCTACAGAAATCCTGAAGCGAGGGGAGTAACCTGCTGTGTACCATATCCAATGGTCATTCGACGTCGTCGGCAGCCATTCGCATGGCATATAACGTCAGCTCTATCATCACAGCCGATACAAGGGGTTAAGCACCCCATCAACGGTCAAGAATCATGGTTTCATTAATTCAATCAGTCGTCTGCTGTGATACGACCCCGCGGAGAAGGAACACAGCATCGTTTCTACAATAATACTTCCTTTTGCAATCGGCGTATGTGCCTGGAGTGTCGCTGATAAGACGGAAACGCGCTACGCCAGAAAGAGAATAAGGAAAGGTTTTTGCTGGAGATGGACCTGATAAGGCCCCCGAAAGCTCATGACATTGCGGCAGTCGTCAAGGAAGCGGGCGCCACTGCCATAGCTGCACAAGGTGGAACCTGTGGATTGGTCGCCAACAGATTTCGTTGTTTGCTTGTCAAAACATCCCAAGATTGCAAGAGCCTTATCAGACACCCCGGTGGCTGCAGCACCCGCTTTGTCCCGGGTATCGAGCCCCACAGATTGATTTACCCCTGGGGACAAGCGATAAGCAATCGACCAATTTTTGAGGATTACATTGTTTGTGCATCGAGAAACTCGGTGTAACTACCTCTCGAGACGCAGTCAATCATACCAGGGCTGATATAAGACATCTGACACTCGCAGTTTGTCTATTTTGAGACCTCAAGCCGTGGCCTTCTTCAATCTCTCGTCGTCTGTCAAAGGGCTCGCAGACGTACACTCATACTCTTATCTACACGAAGAAAACCTGTCCGGAAGACCCACGACAGCAACACTCCGCCATCATGTTCAGTCTAGCAAGCTTGTATCAGGCTCCGCCTGTGAACCCCATCAACCGCAAAGCTCACGCCATCCCTGCTCTTAACCCATTCAACATGTATGGCAGGGTCTTCTTTTTCTCCTGGTTCGGTTTCATGATTGCCTTCTGGTCATGGTAAGTAAGCCTTCTGCGATGATGAAAGCGTGCATAATCCATCTCTATGCGCCTTATCTCTCCGATTCAATGCGGGTGGGCTGATCCGGGGTAACAGGTACGCTTTCCCACCGTTATTATCGGACATTATTAAGAAGGATCTCGGCCTCTCGCAGGTCCAGATCGCAAACTCCAATATCATCGCATTGGTGGCTACGTATGTAAATCCCTGTCTCCTCGATATGGACACGAGACCTGAATATTCCATGGCAACATGAAAATTTTTCAATACTGACGCAGCTTACAGGTTGCTCGTGCGTCTCGTTGCTGGATCATGCTGTGACCAATTCGGACCTCGCTGGACTTTTGCAGGTTGCTTGCTCATCGGAGCCATTCCTACATTCCTTGCCGGAGCCGTATACAATGCCTCTGGTCTCATGGCCCTCCGCTTCTTCATCGGCGTCCTGGGCGGATCCTTCGTCCCTTGCCAAGTATGGACAACTGGATTTTTTGACAAGAACATCGTCGGCACCGCCAACTCCCTGACCGGTGGTTTTGGCAACATGGGCGGCGGTATCACTTACTTTGTCATGCCAGCCATCTACGAGTCGCTCGTTGGTGACGGCTTGCGCGAGCACGTTGCCTGGCGTGTGGCCTTTGTCGTACCGGGCGTGCTCATCGTCGCTACAGCCATTGCTCTACTTGTGTTCTGCCCGGACTGTCCGACTGGCAAGTGGTCTGAACGCCAGGCGGTGGCCGATGCCAACCTACGCGCACACAGCATCGCGTCCGCCAACGTCAGCATGCCCGGCATGATCTCAAGCACACCCGAAAGCAAGAGCGGCACGCACTCCCCGTCCGCGATATCCATGCCCGACGAGAAGAAGGACAGCTCGGCCTATGGCGATAACGAGGCGCAAATCGGCGAAGAGCAAATGGTCGAGGCCGCCAAGGGCGAAGTCATCAGAAAGCCCACGCTGCGCGACACGCTGCGGGTCGTGTGCAGCGGGTCGACGTTCGTGGTGGCAGCATGCTACTTCTGCAGCTTTGGCGCCGAACTGGCCATCAACAACATCCTCGGCAACTACTACGGCAAGAACTTCCCGGCGCTCTCGCTGCAGTCGCGCGGAAACTGGGCCGCGATGTTCGGGCTGCTGAACGGGGCGGTGCGGCCGCTGGGCGGCGTGGCAGCCGACATAGCGTACCGCCGGTTCGGGCACTCGACGTGGGCGAAGAAGGCGCTGCTGCACGCGTACGGCGTGCTCACGGGCGTGTTTCTGATCGCCATTGGCGTGCTGGATCCGCGTAGTCAGGCCACCATGTTCGGCCTTGTGGCTGGGCTGGCGTTTTTCTTGGAGGGCGGCAACGGCCTCAACTTCTCCCTCGTGCCGCATGTCCATCCCCAGGCCAACGGCGCCGTGTCGGGCGTTACGGGCGCGGCGGGCAATCTGGGCGGTATTGTCTTTGCCATCGTGTTTCGCTATAATGGGACTGGGTATGGGCGCGTGTTTTGGATCATAGGCGTTGTGTCGATTGCGGTTAATGTGGCGGTTTCGTGGATCAGGCCGATTCCGAAGGGCCAGTTGGGTGGGCATTAGTGGGTTTCTTCTGTTTTTCTTTCTTTCTTGCCAGCGGGTTTGCGGTTTTCTGTTTGCGGTTTCGTCTGGGCTCTTTGGTCTCTCACGGGTTTTGTCAAAAAAGAGACACGACGTCACGATTGCTATGGTAACGGATGTATCTAAGCAATGAGCGAGCTGTTGCGCCAAGGGAGTTTTCTGGTCTTGAAGAAGTACGGATCCGTACAGGGCGCTTTATTGATAACTTCCTACATACCATCTACTGCCATTCGTACTTATTCCACACACAAACAGAGACCCGCACCCAATTCTTCTACATAGCTCGCAACACTGCCCAAAACAAATTCGAAAAAAGCTATCCCCCTACTCTTAGCCCACCACTTCTCCCATCCTACCAACTTACCCTCCACCACGCAACCGCGCGTCATCCCTCCCTGGCCCCTCGCGCAGATCCGCACCCGCTCGTCCGGAACAGCCTACTTTGGCCCCACACGCCGGTGGCGACATCGCTAGTTGATAGATAGGCCGGAGATAGGCGCGCTTGTAGATAGCGGCGGCCCACCTGTCCGCCCGCCGCCGCGGCGCTTCCGCTCCGCGGAGAAAGCTTGCATGTATGTTGATCGGGGCGGGGAAGATCGGCGCTAGTAAGCTGTGCGGTGTGGGGGTGGGGGGTGGAGAGTGGTGTGGGTATGTGTTTGTTTCTGGGCGGTTCTTGTTGGGGTTGTGCGGTTTGCTGTGTGTGCTGGTTGTGGGCTTGTGGGTGGGAGATGGTGCGGTGGGTGGGTGTAGGGAGGGTAAGCGGTCACTGGTGAATATATGGCTGAAGGGTATAGGGAGTGTACTGGTTGTATTGCAGAGATTGTCGTCTACCTACACTTGAAGTCGTGTGCCGCATACAAACTTGTTGTGTTGGGATTGGGTTGAGCAAGCTGTCGTTATGGCTTGGAGCAGGACAGGGCTCTATAGAATCCACGTCTTTCAGAAAAGATGGAATGCTTTGGAACCATATATCGCTTCATTGTAGGATTCTTTCTACTACGAGCAATAGAAGATTCCTTACACTGAAACGTTTGTTCCTGGCTTCACTGTTTAGTGTTTGCTGATAGTAGCGTGTAAGCAAGCCGATATACATTAGCAAACAAAGCCAACACAAAACAAACAAACAACCCCCCAGAACCTTCCACGACCTTCCAGCACCTTCCAGCAGACCTTCCACGCGCTTCCATTCCCCCCTCCCATAACCTCACCGCGCACGCACGGACCCCACACCCCAGGTATATAAGTTCCCTCCCTCCCCGCCCAACCAACCCTTCTTTTTTTCTCCAGTTCTCTTTGCCTTTTGGCTTAGATCTAAATGCAGTATCTGTTCTTTTTAGTCTAATCGCTAAAAGCCCTCTACGGAGGTGCATTTCGTGATTAACTAGTTTTTGGACCTCGCGCGGCGGCTGCAGGGCTTTTTGCTCTGTATGTCGCTGCCACGGTGTCGCTCGTATTGCACTGTCGCGGGCTGACGCGAACACTTCCAATTGCTTTTCTTTTTCGTTGCTGTGCTCGGCTTGTCTGGGCCTGTGAGGATGAAGCTTGCTCTCTATCTCCCCCCCTCTCTCTCTCCTTTGCTGGTAGTTGTTCTTTAGGTGTCGCTGTTGTTTCCAGTGTTGACTTCTTAATACGATTAACCTTAATGAAGCATACTTATCTCCAGTGCCTTGCTTGTCTGCTCGGTCCAAAATGCCCAAAAAAAAGTTTCCTCTGGGGCGAGAACGACAGTGCTGAATCACTGAGTAGTAGCAGGAGCAGACTGAAGCCGAAAGTCATATAACTCATAACGATAGAATGCAGAAAGCTTTGTTCCACGAAGCCGATTGCTGTTGCTCTGCGTCCGCTGTGGTGTATCTACAATGCCTACAATGAATGACGCAGCAAAAGTGAGAAGTGATAATGCGGTATCAATCTCCGCTGGACTCAGAGTACCAGACAAGAGTGAGTAAGAGTAAGCACAACAAGCCCACAGAGAGCAATCATCAAGACGACACTACGCAAGTCCCTTGCTTCCGTCCCACGTATATACTGAAGCCCTATCCCAAGAGTACCATCCACTGCCCAAACAATCCCAGCGGAACATGCACATCCAGTCGTCCACGCAAACAGAGGGCACAGTGCGGTCAACACCACTGACGGATTAGTGATGGATTCGTACGGGTGCCACCTTCCCCCAACTCCAACGACCAAAACCCCACAGCATTCCCATCCCGTCCCACCCAAACCAAACACCACTACCGCGCCGCACAGTTCCCGAGCATCTGCTTCCGCAGCTAGTGACAACCACCAGCACAGTCGACCGCGTCTTCTTTTCATTCTATCCCTATTTTCCCCAGGATGCCGAGGAAAAAGTCTTGTGCTTAAACAGCTCTTCGTCTTCTTTACCATCGATGAACTCTTCTGGCAGTCTTTCGAACGGCAATCTGAACGACCACCTAAGACGCATAAGCCACCGACTTGCGTGTAGCGTGGCAGTAGGTTAGTAGTCGCTGAAGATACTTAGTGTGTGTGTGGGCAGGATGTTTTTGTACTCACGCCTACACCAGCTAGCAAGGCACGCCAAAACAGTGTAGGTAAATATACAGCGTCAGTGTAGTAACGTAGCACACGACAAAACGGCTTAACCCCATATACGGCAAGACCGGTAGAAATAGCGACCGTTAGATACAAGAGCGCAGAGGTAGTAATACTTAAGGCATCGAATAATTGCCCACCCCCTCTAGAAATCTTACCCACCCCACGCCATAGCATCTACAAAATTATATAATATATTTTCTACTCTCTAAAATTCTAGGTCACTATACCCTTATAAGTACCTCTAACCCCTTCGAATGTTTTATTTCTATACCGTTGTAGTGTACTTTTATACCTATATATATTTACTTTTATATAGTTATATAGTACCTACTGGCCGTAGTGTAGGGCAAGGAAGAGACCTACTTAAGACACGTAGAATCTGTATATACATACACACCAACACTTTCCCACCCAACCCCGTTCGCGGGCAGCGAGCCAGGCAGGGCGTACGCTGTCGGGACTGCAGCTGCTTGTATCATTCTTTATCCCGCTAGGAGTAGACCGTGATCTCAGTACACGGTGACGGACGTTACAGTACAGTATTCTCAAGAAAAGAACCTACAGATAGTGACACCAGGTAGTTAGTTAAGCTTATACACGTACCTAATTCTTTCCGCAAGCAGCCACGAGCACGAGCACGGCCGTCAAAGAATATCCTATGTAGTTCATACTTAATAGCGAGGGACATCACAGCGCTCACTCACTCACACTTCAAGGTACCTTATGCAGGCAGACAACATCACATCATATCGCGTCACATTAAATCACATACACAAGCACGCACGCAGACGCAGAGGGAGCCAAACATAGAAAGGAGGAAAATCACGACGGATGTTTCATCGTCATCAGCTATCTACTCTGGGCAGGGAGACGAAGAAGTCGAAGAAGAGAAAAGGAAGAAGAAGAAGAGCGGAAGAGAAGAAGGCCGAGAGGAGGAGCTAGCCAGGTAGAGAAACCCGCAGACGGCGAGATGTCGCTACAGCTACAGCTACAGCTACAGCTACACTTGCTGTTACTGCTGCTACTGCTGCTGCTGCTGCTGCTGATGCCCACCACCGCCACCGCCGCCACCGCCAACAAGCGATGAAGCTGCGCCCACCGGGCTCACATGCGCCGTCTTGACCGCCGGGCTCGCCGGATCGCGCTGGCTCGCCGGCGCGCTACCAGTGCCGGACCCGGAGCCACCAGAACCGCTCTCGCTGCTGCCCTTGCGCGCGCCGCTCTCGCCATTAGTCAGCAGGTGCGACGGGGGTGGGAGATACGGCGGGGGCGGCGGAGGCGGCGGTGCAAACGGCGCAAACGGCATGCTGGAACCACTGCTGCCAAACGGGCCGCTGGGCAGCGGGCCAAACACCGGCCCCGCGCTGTGGTGGTGATGCACGGGCGGGTCGACGTTGTGGTCCGTGAAGCCGCTCATGTCGGAGAGCATGGAGCTGGATCGGCCGCGGCCCTCGCGGAACGAGGCTGGCGTGCTGCCGTTGAGCTGGCTCGCCAGCGGCGGGAACTGGTACACTGGCGTGAAGTTGTGCGCTGCGGCCGGACCCGCCGTGCCGGGAAGAGGTCCCTCGGGCGTCGTGGGTACGGTTTGGCCTGGAGGCGGGGCAGGCTGCGTGTACATGACCTGCATATGCTGGATCTGCTGGTTGACCTCCATCACCTTGCGCTGCAAGTCGGTCGTCGTGTGCTCGAACTGCATAATATGGCCGAGGTATTGAGCCTCGTGCGACGCGCGCGCCTGTAGCTGAACCGCCCGATCGTTGAGCTTCTTGTCGTGAGCATCCCGGTCCTGCGCGTTGAGCGAGCTGAGGCGTTCGTGCTGCTCGTTGAGCTTGGATTGACGGGCATAGAGACGCTCGCGCTTCTTAACGATGGAAGCGTACTCAGACTCGGTGTTGGCAAGGTCACGGTCGGCGTCGGCTTTGCAGCGGTCCTGGGTTTTCTTGGCGCCACTGAGACGGCCATTCTCTTCACGCCAGCTTCGTTGCTCAGCAGCGTACTCCTTGGATTCGTCCTCCGGGATCCTGGCGAGACCGATGTTTTGAGCAGCCATATCCGAGGTCGCCTCTTCTGCTTGACGGATGGCCTCAGAAAGCTGGCGCTTCTTCTGCTTCAACCGATCATCGGCACCACCAGAAGTCTGGATCTTGCCGTGAACGATATCCACTTCTTTCTTGTCTGCAGCAAGGGCCTTTCCGTGGGATCTCTGGTTTCGTTTCTGCTGCGCGCGTAACTCCTGGAGCTCGTGTTCGAGATTGGCAACGTTATTCCGAAGCAGGGTACGGGGGGATTGCGGGCGAAGAGATTGATGGACGGGCTGCGAAAGTGAAGCTGCGTATTGATGGTCAGCGTCCGGTCCCATCCAGTCCCAAAGCAAGAAAAAAGACCTACCCTGCTCTGCACTGGGAGCAGACTGAGTGATGAGACTAGTCGAATGGAAGGTTGTTCGGTCTGCGGTCCTAACAAACTCGCATTTGTAGTTTTGTTGAGGCGTAAGACCAAAGATCTTCCCCGACCACTTGCTCGCGGGCCCATCACCTGAAGTTGAGTCTTGTCCTGCTCCCGTAATGCTCGTCGACGCCCAGTTAGTACCGTTGAGGCGCACGTAGAACGGCTTCTTCCTGTCGATTCCCGCTCCAAGACTGGACTCCTGTTCCTCTCCGCCACTCTCCTTATCAATATTTTTTTCCATAACGCTCGCTCCAAAGGTGATCTCCGTCGCTCCAACATCCATAATCCAAACCCTATCCTCGCCTACCCTGAAATGAGCATCGCCAATGTGATTAACATCCGTTGAATTCGCCTCGTTGCTATCAGCAGAGTCATTGCTCTGCTGAACCTCCTTCCAAAAAGTAACTTTTGTGCTCGCAAGTGCGGCCCAAAAAGGCTGCTGACTCCGGACTTGAGTCGCGTGCCTTTTCTTTTTCTTAGAACTAGAACTGAAAGACCTTTCCCTACTATCAACTCCTGCAGGCGAGGGCCCAGGATGCCTTCCATCGGCCGCCGCGCTCGAGCTGCTGTCTATCGCAGCGTCAGGCGTGCTCCGCGGAAGTTGAGCTGCAGCCGCAGCCTCTGGATCTACCCTCCTGCCAGGTGTGGCTGACGGCAGTCGATCTTGTTTCGCGATAAACCAACGCCTTCCCAACCGTAGAATCCCTTGTGAAAGTATATGCAATCCCAGCACAGACCGGGGCCATCCGTGGGAAAAATTAGAAGAATCCGAGTAGGGCGACGGAGGCGGCGGGGGACTAAAAAGGTCAAAACCGCTTCTGGACAGCACAAAATGCAGCCAGCGTATTGCGTAGTGGCGGATCGACCGATGGCGGTATGCGTGGGTGCAAAAAATGATGCTGGCACAGACCGCGACGCTCTGCGAAACGCCACCTTTGCCGGCGGCGGCGCCTCCCAGCGAAATGGCGATGACGGCCTGGGCGAGGTCGAATGCGATGCCCTGCGCGAATAGGGGAAGGAGCCCCCACACGATCAGGGCCAGCAAATCGCAGAGAAGTATGGTGCCGAGCGAGGGCATGCCTTGGGATCCTTTGAAAACTTCGCTGAAGCTCGGAAGGCTGCTGAACGAGGCGGTGCTGCTTGGCGGGACGAAGGTGAGGGTAGCGAATAAGAGTTGGATGATGGTGAGGACGGTGGTCGGAAGTTGCAGCAGGATGATGAGGATGGCGACAACGTCGCGGACGGGGCACGAGGAGATGATGGTCATGGCGGTCGAAGCGGCGCTGTTCTTGTAAGCAATGGAGCTGCGGGATCCATTGAGGTGCGGCTTCTGCAGGGCTGGGCGCGGCAGCGGCTCTACGGAGCCATTGGCGTGGTCCAAGGGAGGGCCATCGTCGCCATCGTGCGACGTGTCGGAAACGGTGCGGCCACGGGCTCCAAGCGGCCTTCTCCCGGACGAGTCTTCGGGCATTTGGGAATCTGAGTTGGGCGCGTGGGCCAGAACATTGCCGGGAGCTGGGGACGGGGCAGCAGGCGGGTTTACATCCGTAGGCGGCAGCGGCGGAGAGCACGAGGGGGGCTTGCCATTCGCGAGGCCGTCGGGAGTCGGGGGAGAGCGTAGCTTGGGGATGCGCTTGCCGGGAGCCGCGAGGCCGTTCTCATGCCGCTTGTCGTGTGTGTTTGCCGCGTTCCTCTTGCCTTTCGGCGGTGGCATTCGCGAGCCGTGACGGCTTCAAGTCCCAAGGCCGGCTCGACGAGGAGTTGCCAGTGGAACTGAGCCCCAGGGGGAAGGGATGGGAAAAAGGTCAGGGACGGGTTGTGGTGCGCGGATGGTGTTGGACTGAAAAGTGTGTCCGAGAGCAAGGGCGGACAGTAGGTTGTAAAGGTACTTAGTGGCAGGGTTTCAAACGACGGCCGGTGCCCGCCTAGCGCAGCTGTCCACAACCAGCACTGCTCGACATCTCTTCCCCCCACCCCGCCAGCCCGCTCAGCCGCCAACCGCCAACCGCCAACCGCCGTTAGAAAGTCGTGAGATGGATCGGCGAATCACCGCACCCCCGCCCAGCCCGCCGGGCAATGATCTCCGTCGTGCAGTCACAACGAGTCTGTCACGCGCCCCGCTGCTATCATTCTACCTGCTGCTGCTTGCTGCTCCCAAAATCCTCGACTGCGCCCTCCTTGTCCCAGCTGTCCTGTTCTAGCCCGCGCACCTCTTCCGCCAGCCTCTTGACCCGCTCCCCGTACTTCTGCTTGGCCGCTTCCTGCAGCGCAAACGTCTTCCGGAACTGCTCCACCATGAAGCCCTTGAGTGGCGCCTTCCGCGCCCTCTTATAATCGTACACGACCACGTCCTCGACGCACCGTGCCGCCGCCCGCCGGTGCACTTCTGACAAGATGATTACATCCAGGATAAAAGAGTCCGTGTCTGGCGAGGGCTCCGAGCGCAGCTTGTGCAACACCGTCACCCTATCAGGATACGTCATGGGCTGTCGAGGTATCGAGCTTTCAGTATGCTAAATCGCAGCGGCAGAGGCACCACCAAGAAAGACGCGGGCTTCGTTGGAGAACTCACAAATTTGTAGTCCGTCTTGATACTGCGGAGTATCAGTCCGTGTCCCATGGAGGAAACCAGTTGGCTCCACTCCGTCTTATGGGCCGGGTCATGAATATTCGCATAGTTCAACGTCCAATTGACGCGCGCAGACTCGGCATATCGGTTGTACGTGACATTGTTTACATGGCCTGCGCCGCCTTGTTAGAGCAATCCCGAGCGTGTTGAATTCAACATATTGCGTACCCTTGAATCATCTTAGCCGTTGTGTTCAACATGTCTGACATCCGTGTTAAAATGCTAATTTCTCACCATGGTATCCTGCATTCGCCCGAAAGAGAACGTGCATTAGCTCCGCGTCCAGTTATTGCCTTGAACCCACCCAGCGTCCGTATAGAGTAGAGCGCACCATTTCGCCCCAGACCACGCCTTGCCTGTACAGGCCTCTCCAGCCTTTTGTGGTCAAGAAGCCCTCGCTGCCCGCTACCAGCTCCCGCCAGTCCCTCGACATCTCAAGCAGGATGGCGCCGGCGCGCTGCACCTGGGCGGGCTTCAGCCCAAACATGATGCACTTGCCAATGCGCGCCTTGAGGTCCGAGAGCCAGCGTGGATTCAGGGGAGCCGTGGCGGGAGCGGCGGAAGCGCTGGAGTTGGAGCTGGGACTTGAGGAAGACGAGGCCGCGCGGGAGACGAAGCGTGGGGTCCGCGGAGCGGCGGTGTGCGCGAGCAGCGCGCGTGCTGCAGGGTGTCTCATGACGGCGATTGGCGGATGCGCTCTTGTACGATCAAAAGACGCAGTCTGAAAGCAAAAGACGCAGCCACACGGTGAGCGTCAAGGGTAATGCGTAGGTTTGTATGGGGGCGAAGGGGGAAGGAGCCACAAAGCGTCTGCAGGGTGCATGCAAGCAGGGTCCGCGCGACTTCCGCGGTTGGCGGCAGGGCGGGGGAGATCTACCTACGTCAGCCGCACCTCAGCAAACCCATTCGAAGCGATCGGTCCGGAAGAGACATTGACACTCGTATAAGGTGACTGCTTGTCCAACGTCCTTTGTCCTTGATTCGCCATGGCTGCCTTCAACCCTGAACTGCGGTACCAGGTTATCCGCCTCTACAAGGGTAGGAAGCTCCCTACACAACATCGTGTCTTGCTGGCAACCGTCTGACCGCTCTTCAGAGCTGCTGCACCTCGGCAAGGAGTATCCACTGGGCTATGACTACTTCAGGCCCCGCCTCCACAAAGCCTTTGCGAACCAGGCGGGGTTGAGGGATGAGGAAAAGATCAAGCAGGGCATCCAGAAAGCCGAATATATAAAGAAAGGTATTCTCAAAATATAGCCGTTTATTTTCTGCAATATCAGCTGACATCGATAGAAATTGAAGCATTGTAGGTTCCCGACACCGCGAATCCTTTGTATACAACTAACTTGCCCAGGTACTATTTAAAGAGATACAGAGCTCTGCGCCAGCGCTACGATAAAATATAAAATGCCCGGCCGGATAAGCCAATCGGAGCATGAAGAAATGAATTAATGAGCATGGGTATCGAACTCCTCAAACTTTCCTGGTCCACCAGGCTCCAACCTCCAAGCATTCACCGCTGGAGGCCCCCTTCTGCGTCAAGAGGTCATCCATCATCCAGCCCCACCAACGCTGCCATTCCTCCTGGTTCTTCCCACTGACTTCCTTCAACAACGGCTCCAAGCTTTCAATCAGTTGGATAACGACGGTGAGCGCTGTGTGCCTCAGGGCGGCTTGGTCTTCCGTCAAATACGAGTCCGATTTTCCCTTCCCCTTCAATTCGCTGTCTCTGCGCTTCAGGATTCTCCCGCCTCCATCAAGCTCTCTTTCCCATCTCATCTCGCCCAGAGGAATGGCAATTCTTCGGTAGTCGACGTCGTACAGGGTGTCGGGTTCCTGCAGAAGCACCTGCAGTATGCGTGCGCACGGCATAGGATACAGCTTTCGCTTGTCTATGGCATCCTGTATCCAAGCGTTGGAATCCTGCAGGTATTTGTTCTGGCAATCCGTAAAGGGCGTTCCGGGCGAAATTAAGAAGGTCGCGGTCGCCGCGGCAATGTCGTCGTCTTCTGCGTTTTTCCCCGGGGGTGCGGGAGGGTGCGGCAATATGGAGCGTATGACAGAATCGGCCTCCCACAGCTCTATAGTTCCGCCCTTGGCCACGATTCGCATACACTCATCCAGCACCTTCTGCTGAGGCCCACCCAGAGGAACGACAAGGCTCAAATCCTTCATCATGACCAGGTCGAACTCTCCATCGCTGAACGGAAATGGGACCTTGCGCAGGTCGTGCTGCACGAAGCGCCAATTTACGCCTTGTTTTGACAGATCGGCGGCCATTGGGACAATGTCCAGCCCCGTGAACGAGACATTTCGATGCCCAAGACCGCTCAGGTAGTCGTGGCATAGCGACGACCAGTATCCGCTGCCGCAGGCAACCTCCAAAACCTTTTTGGGCGGGTGCTTCCTCATGTGCGGCGAACACAGCGGGCGGCCAAAGACGGTCGTCGCGAGGAGGGTCTGCAGGTTGGATCGCTGCAATTCGGGGAGATCGCAGGGCAGAGGGTACGGGAGATCTTTGAGGTAGCGGCGGCCATGGCGCACGATGAAGGGATTGTGCAGAATCGAGTGCGTCTCGCTGCTGTGGGTGGAAGAGCTCGAGGTTGAGCCACGCGTGGCTTCCATGGCGACCGATGACGCGGTCAGGCTGCCCGTCTCGACGCTGGAGTGAGTGCGATGGAGCAGGCGCTCGCCTGCTAAGAGATCATCGGCTGTTGCGGTCTTTGGCCTCTGGAGATGGGACGAGGGCGCATTTTGGTAGCGATACTAGCTTCGGCCTTAGCAACAACCCAAACCTACGAACGGAAACACCCCCTGACGCCGGAGGTGAAGGCAGCAAGCTTTACCATGTACCATTCCATCGTCGCTCGGCCCGTATCCCAGTCTGTCGAAAAGCCCCACTGTATCGGAGTTATCGCTCTTTTGCACGCTAACGGATCGAAGTGAAATAAATGCTGGAGGGGGCCTGAGGCACGAATATGTAGTAGATGTAGCAGTTATAGGCAAGGTGATGCGCGGAGCATGAGACGCCCGTCGTCTGGATTGGCGGGCCTTTTAGTCGCAGCTTTTCAGCCTCCGCTGACTTCGGATAGGCTCCCTGCCAGCCCCTCCACCGTAAGGCTCACCCGGACAACCTGGCCCAGTTGCAGAGTCAGCAGACCCGAGGTGGCAGCGGGCCAATCAGCCATTTGCAGGCAGCCAAAAGACATGGCGGCGCAAGCTTCGGGCGGGACAATTAGGCTCGAGCGAGTCTGGGCTCCGGAGCTCAGGAAGCACAGTTCACGTCTAGGGAGCGGGCGGAGCTGCTGGAGCTGAGGGGCAGCAATCAAGGGGTCTGGGGGAGGACCATGCGAAAGCGTGCGCGTCCAACTGCGGGCCTGGTGCGACAGAAGGATTTCTCAGCTCGAATGAGCGTCACGTTTGACCGTCTTTTTGGGGCGTGGTGGAACGGGAGCGGGTAGCTGCAAGTCACGTGACCAGGAATTCTTACAGCTCTTGTCTTTCCAAACAAACCCTGCTCCCTTGGGCTTAGCGCCACGTCGAACCGGCCATCTGAACGCCAACCACTAACCTGACGATTGTACGTCGACTGCCCAACACCATTCTTTTCGGCACCGCCTTGGAGCGCTTGAATACTACTACGACGACCCGCCGGCAGCTTTGAACCCGTCAACTGCCTAGCCCCCGAGCACGCCCAATTGCCCAAGGTGTGTCCGCCGAAACCCTCTCGCTCTCACGCCCGCCCCCCAAAGATACCCACCCCGTCCACCCACCAACTCCCCGTTGCCTGCACTCCCGTGCTGACCCCGCTCCCTCCCCAGCAGCAATAGAGCTTCATCTTCCCGGCGACAGGCGTCCGGCGCGTGCTACCTTTGACGCGCATCTGCTCAGATCACCCAGCCTCGGTCCCCCGCCCACGCCAACACACCATCTACCCTACTGTTTGCCTGGCCACGCGAGGTGTACGTCGGTCCACACTAGCCGGCTGCGCTCCAGCAGGATCGCGCATACCCTCGTTTGATGAGTGTCGGCTGCACGCTTGCTCATGTTAAGCCGAAGAAGACAGCGCCCGCAACCCCTCCCACCCACCTGACCACTTCATCGACCGACTTTCACCCCTCCGACCCCACATTCATAGCTGCGTACGATATAGAGAGCATACTACCGACGCTATCCTACTGCGTAGATGGCCGATGGTCCGTTCAGGTTCCAGCAAGGAGCCGGACAATTCTTCTTTAACCAGCAAACTCAGCGAAATCTCCCCCACCGAACTGGATCGCCAATCTCCGCCGCGCGCATAGCATTCAACCCCGACACTCCCTCGCCTACCCGAAGCCCCGGGCCTCAGTCGCCGGCGCATAATCCCTTCAGCATGTACAACCAGGCCCACGTCCAGCAGGGACAGCATGCTATGCTGAATGGCAACTCCCATCAGCGGTTTGCGATGCAGATGAACTTGGCGAAATTCCAACACCAGAGCCAACAGCACCACAACCATCAGCATCCACACAATCAGGACCACGGAGGACATGGAGCGCATGCAGCAAACTTTGGCGCCCACCAGCACACAATCTCGAGCGGCGCGTTGGCAAACGCAACCCCACACTTTGGCGCGAACCACATGCAAAACGGTACTCCGGGAAGCGTTCATAGCGGATTAGCGAAACCTCCAAACGAACACTGGGCGTTGCAGCTGCAGTACGCGCAGCATGCGAGGGAGATGACCATGTCCCACTCGCACGCTCGGAATCACCCAAGCACGAACAAGAGCGTGGTGGCTGGACAAACTAATGGGCTTTCCAAGGAATCGGAGAAGGAAGAGCGCAATCGCGCGGTCAAGGGTCGTGCCGACAAGGAAGACGATGGACAGATCTGGAAGTCTTTGGATTTCGGTGGCCAGAACCTCAAAGTGCTGTCGCCGGCACTGTTCAACTACTCTTTCCTCACGAAGCTATTCCTGAACAACAATAAGCTTACTTTCCTTTCCCCGGCTATTGGACGGTTGAGGAACCTGAGGGAGCTGGATCTGTCGCTGAACGAGCTGCGTACTCTGCCACCAGAAATCGGAATGCTAGTTAACCTTCGTGAGCTCTTGCTCTTTGACAACCATATTGACAACTTGCCTTATGAGATGGGCTCTCTGTATCAATTGGAGATGCTCGGTATCGAAGGAAACCCCCTCAATCCGGAGCTCAAGGAGATTGTCATGGAATCTGGAACTACGGAGTTGATCAGGTATTTCCGTGAGCACGCTCCTGGTAAGTTTTGGCTATGTCTTCATTTAGTTGTGAACACACGAGTTTTAACAGAGTAATAGGCCCCGAACCGCCCGCGGAGCGAGACTGGGTCGTTCTCGATGACAACCCCGTCGACCCAAAGGACAAATTCCTCGTTCTGAGCTACAACACACTTTGCGACAAGTACGCTACCCAGTCGCAATACGGATACACGCCCTCTGCTGCCCTGTCCTGGGAGCATAGGAGAGAGCTCATTCTTCAGGAAGTCCGCGCGCGTGATGCGGACATTGTCTGTCTTCAGGAAGTCGATTCCGAGAGTTACAACGAATACTTCCGCGCGTCCTTGGCCCATGATGACTACAAGGGCGTCTTCTGGCCAAAATCCAGGGCCAAGACCATGGCGGAGAAGGAAGCGAGGCTTGTCGATGGCTGTGCTACTTTCTACAAGAACAGCAAGTAAGTTTAAGAACGGACATATGAGTGATCATGGTCTGACATTTTTTAGGTTCATACTCTTAGACAAGCAGCTCATCGAGTTCGGTAACCTTGCTATCAACAGACCTGATATGAAGGGAGAACATGACATTTTTAATCGTGTCATGCCTCGCGATGATATCGCCGTCATCAGCTTCCTGGAGAACCGCCAAACTGGAGCTCGTCTTATGGTTGTCAACGCTCACATCTTCTGGGACCCCATATTCAAGGACGTCAAGGTTGTGCAAGTTGCCATTCTGATGGGTCAAGTTCAAAAGCTCGCGGAAAAGTATGCCAAGTGGCCTCCATGCACCGATAAGAGCCTGTACCGCTACGCCAATGGCGATAGCGACCCGGAGCCAGCGGAAGCTCCCCCAGAGCCGGCCCCTTCGATGAGTTATGCGGAAGCGAGTCAAATTCCACTCGTCATGTGCGGTGACTTCAACTCGACTCCTGACTCTGGTGTCTACGAGCTCATTTCTCACGGCACTCTATCCAACTCCCACTCCGACCTGGGTGTGCACAAGTACGGCCAGTTCACGCGCGATGGCATGAACCACCCCTTCAGCCTGAAGTCCAGCTACTCCAATATCGGAGAGTTGAGCTTCACCAACTACACGCCGGGATTCACTGGTGTGATCGACTATATCTGGTACTCGACAAACGCGCTCACGGCCACCGGGCTCTTGGGCGAAATCGACAAGGAATACCTTCAGCGGGTGCCCGGCTTCCCGAACTACCATTTCCCATCGGACCATCTTGCGCTTCATGCCGAGTTCGTCTTCAAGAGAGCAAAGGAAAAGAAGATTGTGGAAGCCGACTTCGGGCCACAACGGGAACGTCGTCAATAGGCTTCACTCATCACATTTTCAGAAATACATCCACTTCTGCTTGCGTCTCACTTTGCGTGTCACTGAGCAAGTTGGGTATTAACGCGAATGCGGCGCACTTCGGTCAGGGGTTCGCATCATCGTTAAGTTTCCGCTCTGCGTTTTGCTGGGTTCAACGTGGTGTTTTATTGGTGCGATCTTTGCTCGTTTTTCTTGCGGTTTATTCTATTTTTTTCCAGCACGAGTCTTGTAACGGAGCGGGTTTTCGGGTCGCGCTAGGCGGGGCGGGTTTCAGCGACTGCATTCCGGATCTTTCTTCTTCTCTCAAAGCCTTTGCAAAACTTCCGACAAAAAAGAGGAGAGGGAACGTGTGGATTTTGAATCGGAGGAGGAGTTGCGGTGCGGAGAGGAAGACGTTTTCACATGTCGCCCATGTCCCTCGTTCCGACGGCACGAGGATTGATTGCCTGTTTTTGCGCAATGTCGTCCGGCCTCGATTTTTGGAATCGGAAGCTTCTGTTCTTCTACCTTCTTTTCCCTCCGGGATCTGCCCCTCGCGCCCGCAGTAGTTAGTTTTTCGCATTTGGGTTGTATGTCTGCGGTTGGCGGTGCGGAGTGCTTTCTTGTGGGTTGTAACGATACTAGGTAGTTTCAACGAGGCAAACCAATGCCGGGCCGGCTGGCAAAGTTCGAGACATAATTGAGAGATGAGGAGACAACTCCGGACGTTGGATGGGGCTTTTTGGGGGGGGAACATGAACTTGCGGGCCGTGGATCTGCGCCCACGGCTCCGGCAGCGAACCCAGCCTCATCATGCAGGTCCGCGCCGCCGGGAACGTCCGCGCTAACGTCTGATCTCCATTTGTCGCGCCCAGCCTTGTCAACCCTTCAATACCGTGTCATCGCGTGGCAAGCCATGTAGTTGGCGCCCGCCGTCCCCTCGCATCCCGCCCACGTCCCTTCGTACCACATAGCGCCCTCCATGGACACTATCACGGTGACCCCGAAGGCTGCGGGCCCCATGTCCAACTCGAAGCAACCCAAGGGCAAGCTGCTCACCGGCACGAGCAACTTGCCCCAGATCCTCTACGGCTGCGGTAAGCTAGGCCAGGCAAGGCCGAGGCCTGAAACACATGGCTAATCGTTTGTGGGCGTGGGTGTAGAGCATCTCGAGCCGCTCTTCGCGGAGCGCCGCAAGGTGCTGGTGCAGCAGTATACCAACATCATCCAGACGATCCACGAGCGGCACAACATAATATCGCAGACGCACCGGTCGAGCCTGAACGGCGATGGCAGCCCCGTCCTCACCATCGCGCCGACGTACATGTGCCTCCAATGCGTTGGCGTCTTTACGCCCGAACTCCGCGACGAACACTTTGAGGCGAAGAAGCACGCCTTTTCGGTCGAGTCGAAGCATGGCTGCGTCTACTGCCAGCAGTGCAAGGACTTTATCTACGACCCGATGCTGGAGAATGTGCGGTTGCTGCAGGGCCGCAAGAAGCGCAAGCTCGAGGAGACGATGACGCCCGAGGACCACCGCCTGGTTGCGCAGCACTCGACCTTTGCGCCGTGCCGGGCCATTGGCCTCAGAGGGCTCTACAACATGGGGCAGACGTGCTTCATGAGCGTCATCCTGCAGTGTCTGATACACAATCCGTTCATCAAGGCCTTCTACCTGGGCGAGGGGCACACGTCCAAGGACTGCGACAAGGAGTCGTGCACGAGTTGCGCGCTGGACGAGATCTTCACCGAATACTACTCGCTGGAAAAGACCGAGGGATACGGAGCCGTGAGCATGCTGTTGGGCAGCTGGATGGGTGCGCAGGTACGTATGGCTTCTGCCCTCCCCACTCATCTCATCATAGGGGAAACACGAGCGGCTAACCACTTCACCTCGCCCAACGCAGGCTCTCGCGGGATACCAGCAACAAGACGCGCACGAATACATGCAATTCATCCTCAACAACCTGCACCTCGAAAACGGCGGCTCGGACTCAGGCGTCGACTCGGACGGCAAAGCCGCCGACTGCACCTGCCTGATCCACAAGACGTTCAGCGGCAAGCTGCAAAGCACCGTGACATGCGACAAGTGCCGCAACGCGCGGTCGACGATCGACCCGGTAATGGACCTGTCGCTAGACCTGCGCTTCCAAGCCAAGAAGCGCAAGCTCGAAAAAGACGACGACGGCGGCGCCGACAAGGAAAAAGACAAAGCGTTTGCGCTCGACCTGCGCGACTGCCTCGACCGCTTCACGGCTAAAGAGAAGCTGGCCGCCGCCGAGTACACGTGTCCGAATTGCAAGACGCAGCAGAACGCCTCCAAGCAGCTGAGCATCAAGAAGCTGCCGCCCGTGCTGCCCATCCACCTCAAGGTATGTCGCACCCATACATACATACATACATACATATCACATGCACCCGTTCCGCTCCTCACGCCCAACTAACCCTTACCAGCGCTTCGAAACGACAAAATCCTCGTCGACCAAACTCGACACCAAGATCGCGTTCCCGCTGACCCTCGACCTCTACCCGTACACGACACGGGCGCGCAGCAGCAGCAGCAGCAGCAGCAGCAGCACCAACACCAACACCACAACCACCAACGGCAGTACCAGCCCCAACCCAGCCAACAAAAACAACAGTAGTAGTAGTATTGTTGCGCCCCCGCAAACCTGCCCCTACGAGCTCGCCAGCGTCATCGTCCACAAGGGCAAGATCGACAGCGGCCACTACGTCAGCTACAGCCGCAAGGGCAGCGACTGGTTCCTCTTCGACGACAGCAAGGTCGTGCTCGCGTCCGAGGCGGATGTCCTGCGCGCTGAGGCGTATTTGCTGACGTATGTGGTGCGGAGTTTGGAGGGGTGATGAGTGGGTGGGTTGGTTGGCGAAGGTGCTTGCATTTGGTGCTTGGTGGGGTTTGGTGGGGTTTGGTTGGTTGGGTTTGGTTGGGGGTGGGGTGGACAGGTACGAGGGTAGGTGGACGGGTGCTGGGTAAACAGGAAAGCAAGCAAGAACGGAACGCATGCATGCATGCATGGCGCACGAGCGAGGCGGCGAGACGGCGCCACAGCGGCGTTGTAGTACACACACACTTTTGATACCTCATGGCCCTGGCGCAGGGCCTCCCTAGGTGCCTAGGGGGATGGATACTCGGACGGGGGGCATATGGCACGGCGTTTCCTACGGCATATACTACTACTACCTACTACCTACTATGACGACGAAGGCGAAGATACAAGGGGCGGGAGTTGCAGCAGCGGGGCACGCAGAGCTTGAAGTCTCCTACTTCTTCTCCTTCCCTTTTCTCTTGGATCGATACCTGTTTCTGTTTGTTTGTTTGTTTGCTTGCTTTTATATAATCGTCACCCAGTCACCTAGTTAGCGGATACATGACATGACATACCATACCATACCACACTATGGTCGAAGACCTTGATTCGCGCATTGTGTTTGCTTGGGCTTGCTTGCTTGTTCTCTGGCGGTGTGCATTTCGCGTCTACTTGGTACAACCGGGGACTTCTTTGCTATATACAACAAACAACAACGACGACGACGACGAACTTTGGGAAAAAACACAAAGGCAAGGAAACTATTGGTCGTCGATGACGTGGAGGTACTTCTTCTCCTCGCGCTTCTCGCGCTCCGTCTGGGGCGGGAGGTCGTAGAAGGAGGAGCTGCGGTAGGCCTTGAGGTAGGCGTACGCCAGGCTCTTGATCTCGACGGGCTCGATGTCGAGGTCCTTGAACGTCTTGGCCTTGGGGTCGATGTGCTGGTCGATGAACTCGCGCTCGACCTCGTCGGCCGACGTCGTGGGCCACCAGAGGGCGCGGTTGAGCACCTTGGCAATCGGCTGCATGAGCTTCTTGGGAACGTTGATGTGGCGGCGGTGCTTGATGATTTCCTTGTCGACCATGTCGGCCAGCTCGGCCATCGAGTAGTTGGTCGGGCCGTAGAGCTCGTACGTCTCCGACGCCGTGTGGTCGTTGTACAGCATGTGCTCGAGAGCCATGCCGACGTCGATGGCGTGGACGGGCCAGAAGCGCTGCTGCATCGCGTTCGACGTGATGAGGTTGGTCACGCCGGCCAGCGTGTTGAGCAGGTTGTCCTCGTAGCCGAACATGGGCGCCGGGCGCACAATCGTCGTCTCCGGGAAGATGTTGCGGACGGCCCGCTCGCCCCACGCCTTGGTGCGGTAGAACTCGGAGGGCGAGTTGACGTCGGCGCTGTGCGACGAGACGTGCACGAAGCGGTCGACGTCGTACTTGGCGACGGCCTCGGCGATGCGCTCAGCGCCCTCGATGTGCACGTCATCGAGCTCGAAGTTCCTTTGTTTTTGGCGCACTTGGTCAGAGATCTATCTCGCGGGGGCAGTCTTGCGCGCCGGTACTAACTTGGTGGGGTAGTCGCGGCCGACCAGGTTGTAGACAATGTCCGAGTGACGGACGCTCTCCTCGATCGACTGCGTGTTGCGCAGATCGTACTCCTGCACCACGGTCAACATGTTCCTCCGAACCTCTCAATGCGGCGCTCTTACGATGAAGACGACTCTGCCCAGGTCACCGGCCACCTTGAGGTGACGCTTGGCCATTTCCTCGCGGAAGGGCACGACGACCGTGACACCCTGGCGCGCTGTTGAACCCCCCCAATCAGCCCTGTACATGTCGAGCTCGAGAAAGAGAGAGCGTACCCAGCCTGTTGACGATATATCTACCCAGGAAGCCAGTGGCGCCGAAGACGGTCGCGGTGTGCCCTTTGCGAAGGAGTCAGTTGCGGTAGAGTGCAGGGCGGGTGCATTGAGATCGAACCTCCGAGCGAGGACCTGTAGCATGTCAGTGAGTGCACGGCACAGGGCCATTCAGGGCTCCAGAACCTACCTGCCACCAGCTATCCGGATAATGGGCTTGCCGGTGCGAGTGATTGCTACATCGTGAACGGCGCGGCGGGCAGGGCGCGGGAAGGCGGGGGACAGGCGCGGGGCAGCCAATGCCTTGACAAGGCCGACGCCAGGGCCGGAGCAACTCCTGGAGAGAGCCATTATGGGGAGTGGAGAGAGCGGAGAGGTGCGGTGATAGGTCGTAGCAGCGGGACGGCGTTGCGGAGCACCAAGGACGGATTGACCTGACGCCTTGTCCCGGAGCGGGTAAACTTTTTGACGTCAGCAGATCGCCATGAAGCTTACTGGCCTGCTCCAAAGCCGACGCCGCCGACCAAAGCTCTCGAGCTGCTGCTGCAACCTAACCTCACCATCCCGCCTAGACCACCACAACCAACAACCCTCCCGCCCCCGCCGCGTCACCACTCCATCTCCCACTCCATCTATCCATCCTCCCATATCTCCTCCCGCCATTCTCCCTCATCGCCGCCATGGCGACCGTCAAGGAGCTTGAGATGATCCCGGACTACCTCTCCGATCAGCGTGACAAGGCCCCGGACGAGCTCCAGCACTTCTTCCTGTCCTTTGAGGACTACTGGGAGCGGAAGCTGTGGCACGAGCTCACCCACAGCTTGCTCGAGTTCTACGACCAGCCCACCAGCGCGCCCCAGCGGATACCACTCTACAACACTTTCGTCAAGGCCTTTGCCGACAAGATCAACCAGCTGAAGCTCGTCACCGTGGGGCTGAGCGCCGCATCGCAGTGCAAAGGTCAGCCAGACGCGCACCAGCCGTTGGGCCCATGCTGACCGTCCGATGCAGATGACAAGGAGCGCCTCACATTCCTCCAGCAGCTCGCCGAGAAGGTCAACAAGCCCGAGTCCCAGGACGCATACGTATACGCCACCGTCGCCGTGGCAAGCGTCCAGCTGCAGCTGAAGGACTTTGTTGATGCACGGAAGAAGCTCGACGAGTGCGAGAAGGTCTTGGACACGTTCGACACGGTCGAGACGGTTGTCCACGCCGCCTTCTACCGCGTCAACGCTGAGTACTACAAGGTAATGGATATCCCTTTCGTGCTAGGATTAAACTAACGGAAATAGTCCCAGCACGAGTTTGCCTCCTACTACAAGAACGCCCTCCTCTTCCTCGCCTGCGTCGACATCAAGGACCTCAGCCGCGAAGAATGCCAGCAGCGTGCCTACGATCTCAGCATTGCCGCACTCGTCTCGGACTCCATCTACAACTTCGGCGAGCTTCTTCTCCACCCCATCCTCGACTCGCTCCTCAACACGCCGCACGCGTGGCTGCGCGAGTTGCTGTTCGTGTTCAACCGCGGCGATCTGGCCGAGTACGACGTGCAAGCAGGCAACATCTCCAAGAACCACCTCCTGAAGGAGCACCAGCAATTCCTGTACCAGAAGATATCGCTGGCCGCGCTGACCGAGGCCGTGTTCCGGCGCCCGCCCCACGACCGCGCCATGACGTTCGCGGCCATTGCGCAGGAGACCAAGGTCTCGCCCAACGACATCGAGCACCTCATCATGAAGGCGCTGAGCCTGGGCCTGCTGCGCGGCCAGATCGACCAGGTCGCCGAGATCGCAAAGATCAACTGGGTGCAGCCAAAGGCGCTCGATATGCAGCAGATTGAGAGCATGCGGCTGCGGCTGAAGGAGTGGGACTCCAGCGTCAATCAGCTGGGCAACTGGATCGAGGGCGTCGGCAAGGACGTGTGGGCGGCATAGATGTTATAGAAGCAGACGAAACTTGGGTTGCGTGGGCGGCAGCAGAAGAAGCAGATTGTCGCCTCCGTGCGTGTCGTGCGGCTTCGAGAACGATTCTCCAAAGTCGCGTGCGTGTGTTCGGCCGCGTGGCCTGTTGGTGGGTGGGGTAGGTAGTTAGGCGGGGTGCGCAGAGACGCGGAGCCCGGAGCTGGCTAGACACGGGGCTTTCGCTAGGTGGTGGGTGGGCAGAGCAGCATTGGGCTGTGCATATAAGACCCGGAAGCGTAATGCAGGGCGGAGACGCATGGATAGGTGGGTAGGTAGGTAGGTAGGTGGCTCCGTAGACGGATGCTGCTTGCGTAGGTATGTCGATTGCGTGCGTTATGAATGACTATGTGTTGGATGTTCTGCTGTCCCCTCCTCCTGCTACATGTACGTGCCTCTTGTACTTGTTCACTCGTTCACTTCTCGTATACATAGTACGTTATGAATTACGCACTAAGACACGCCTATAACCTACGTTCCTCGTCCCCACCTTCTCTATCCCCCCTCTCCTACCTATCCAAAAATATATAAAAGCACAAGACCCCTACAACACCACCCCCACTCACACTTCCGTTTCCATCAAGAAAAATGAATCGATAAACAAACAAAATAAAATAAACAAAAAGAAATACAAGGTAGTGGCTACCGAGATGCTGAATTGACCTTGCCTCAAAGACGCCAGCTACTGCAAAGAAACTGCACCAGCTGTGCCTGTCCGCCTATTGCGCACCTACGGTCTTTCCGCCTCCCTCTTGCATGCTAAAATCTACTATAAAAATCGCAAGCATCTACTATCTACCACTGACGAAAGAAAAAACCCCACTCTAGTATTATACATACAACACAACAAGCACAAGCAGCCCGCTCGTGGTGCCGCAATGCATCACTACGTACACGCACGCCAATCCCAGCGCAACCGCCACCCCTCACGCCCCAAACGCGCCCAGCACGTCCTCCAGCCGCAGCGACCGCGCGTCGCGGAGTTTGCGTTTTTTGGTCTCGGGCCCTGCCTCCGCCGCAGGAACAGGCCCCACAGAAACAACCCCCACAGGCGCAGAAGCCGCAGCCGTAGGCGTCGAAGTCGTAGGCGTAAAACCCATAGGAGCAGAAGCCGTGGGTGCAGAAGGAAGCTCGACGCGCTCGAGCAACGGGCACGTGTACAGCCGGTACGAGTGGCCCGCGAGGTTGCAGCGCAGTGCGAGGGCGGGCGGCTCATGCGGCGATGCTGTGGGCGGTAGCGTGTAGTCGGAGCTGAAGGTGCGGCGGTAGTAGTCGTCTGGGCTGTCGCGGTGGGTGAAGATGAGGCCGCAGGCTATGAGCTTGTGGGCGGTACTGTTGTGGGGGGTTAGTTTGGGTGGGGATTGAGGGTTGTTGTTGTTGTTGTTGTTGTTGTTGTTGTTGTTGTTGTTGGGGGATTGTGTGTGTATGTGTGCGTACGTACGCTGGCACGGCCTTCCAACCGCGGGGCTCGGCCCGGCTGTCGTAGCTGATGTCGCAGCCGTCGAGGGTGCAGAGCCGGAGGGAGGGGAGGCGGTGCAGGTGCTGGAAGGAGGCGTTAGAGATGCTCATGATGTTGAGGAGCATGACGACGCGGAGCTCGGGGAACGCGCCGTTGGATTGCGCCTCGTCGCTCCAGGCGCGCAAGACGCGGTCGTTGAGGTTGGTGACCTCGGTGCCAATCACTTGCAGGGTCCCGAGGTTGGGGAGCTTTGCGAGGCTCGTCCACTCCGCTGTCGAGATGCTGCCGGCGTCTTTGAGGCTGAGGTGGTTGATCCATTCGAAGTCGGGCGCCGAGATTTGCTTCACGATGTTGGGCAGCGTGAATCTTTGCGTCGTGTCTGATAGCGACACTTTGTGGGTCTTGCTGTTGAATACGTCGCGCGCTTCTGGATAGGCGCAGACGAACATCTTCCATGTACGCAACGAATCCAAACGCCTGGGATGGGGTTGTTAGATCTGGTTCCAAGACGGTCTTGAAGGAAATTGTTTCAGTTCATATAACGGGCTCAGAAGAGATTGAATGAGAGTATGTTTAGAAAAAAGAAATTGTTAAAAAAAGGGAGCCAGTATGAAAGACGCACACGCGCATAATGTAATGCCATATCTTCCTGCCAACAGTCCAGGGAACGCAGGAAAGCGTCTCGACGTCCAAATCATTCAGGTTAGCAAGGATCGAGCGCAACGCCATCTGCTCCAGACTATCTGCTCCAGGGGCGTCGCGGTTCTTGAAGTTAGTGACATCGTAAAGGCTCCCAATGGTGGTGGTGGTCCAGGACGAGAGCATTGAAGCTGGCATTGAGAAGGTCGTCTCGGTGAAGACCTGACCGTTATCGGGAGCATAGTTGACGGTTCGTGCGGATGACGGCACCAGGGCCGGATCGGATGCTAGAAGATGTCGCCAGACCATATTTCAATGAGCTGTAGGTACGGGGTGTCGGGAGCGGACACGAGATAAATTAATTTAAACTCTCCGGGTCGCACGGCGTGAGCTTTCGCCCGCTAAGTCCGAAACGACCATGAGCCTCCACCTACATCCCTCCCCCGCCACTCTCCATTCAAGCTTGCTTGAGGAGCCATGTGCCCCGCGAGCGTCCCGATAGAAGATGCCCATCCGAAAGTCCAGCATCCTCGCCTCCGCCACCGGCATCAACGCCCTCTATAACCACTCGAGGACGTCATACATTGTACCCCCACGACCGCACGCCGCAAGAGGCTACGCCGACGTCCCGAACAATGGCCATTTCGGCGCAGAGTACCCATGGCCGCAGTGCGCGCACCCGCACAAGCCGCCGACGCCCTACCAGATCTTCGACCTGTGCAAAGGCGCGCCCTACAGAAAGGACCGCTTCGTCGAGCTGGTCAAGATCTACCACCCGGACCGCAACCTGCCCTCGCACATCAAGCCCGACATAGCATGCCCGCACGCCGTCCGCCTCGAGCGCTACCGCCTCATCGTCGCTGCACACGGCATCCTGTCCGATCCGGCCAAGCGCAGCGCCTACGACAAGTGGGGCGCCGGCTGGGGCAGCGCCAAAGACATCAACGTGCCGTCGTACGAGCGGCGGCACTGGAAGCCCGGCCAGGACCCTATGGGGAACGCGACGTGGGAGGATTGGGAGCGCTGGTACAACCGCGACAAGAAGAGCGACCAGCACCCCGTCTTCGTCTCCAATGGCACCTTTGTTGCTTGCATCATGCTGGCCATGGCCCTGGGTGGCTATGGCCAGTTGCAGCGCGCCGGCAACTTTGGCACCACGCTAATAGAGCAGCGGGATATTGTGCACTCGCAGGCTAGCAAGGAGCTGAAGCGCGCCAGACAGGCCAGTAGGATTGGCGATCGCGATGAGCGGGTAGAGAGTTTCCTCAGGCATAGAGATGCTACGACTCATCGCGAGGAGGCGTACAGGCGGCTCCTCCCAGAGCCGGAAGTCTGTTCCAGCGAGGACGTGAAGGGTGGAAGCGCACTGCCGGGCAGGTCGGCTTGACAAGTGCCGCCGTACATAATGAATAGTGTAGATAACCGTGGCCAAGGGCGTTTGGGGCGACGGACAGGACTCGGTGGCGTTCAGCATTCTCTGGGCAGTATTGATTTACATAGCAAGTACGAAGAGAGAGTGGCTCAACTATGGGCACGTTTCTCGCGCGGCGAATGACCTCCAACGCTTCGACATTCCGGGGGACAGCCACGTCAATGTCGTCAAGGGTCCTGGAGGGCGAGCGGCACGCATGGCCCCACGTCTGGCTTGAGCGGAGGGGCGCCCACAGTCAACGCCCGACGCTCCCGGTTTCAGACCATCCTCGACTCGTGCTGCGCCACAGCTCTGACGATGCCGAGCACCACTTCCCTTGCCCTCACTGCTGTCACTGCCACAGTAACAGCTGTTCTCCTGTCCCTATATCTTGCCTCGGAGCCCTTCCGTGTAACACAAATATCATCCTTTGTTTCTCCGTTTATACCCTTTCGTGCAAACATGGGTGGCGGTGACGGATACAAGTCCGTGGCGTACTTTGTCAACTGGGTAAGCAGTCCATCTGCATCTTCCTCGACGCCGCATGCTAACAGCGCCAGGCCATCTACGGCCGCAATCACCAACCGCAAGACCTTCCAGCTGAAAGGCTGACCCACGTCCTCTATGCGTTTGCCAACGTGCGGCCGGACAGCGGCGAAGTGTGCGTACTGCGTCATCACCACCACAGGCTGCCACGCGGCAGCTACCCGGCAACCCACGCGCTGACCTCCAAACAGATACATGACGGACAGCTGGTCCGACGTCGAGAAGCACTACCCAGGCGACTCATGGAACGACGTAGGCAACAACGTCTACGGCTGCATCAAGCAGCTCTACCTGCTCAAGAAGCGCAACCGCAAGCTCAAGCTGCTGCTCAGCATCGGCGGGTGGACGTACTCGCCCAACTTTGCGTCCGCGGCAGCAACGGACGCAGGGCGCAAGCGCTTCGCGCAGACGTCGGTGCAGCTGCTCAAGGACCTCGGGCTCGACGGCCTCGACGTCGACTGGGAGTACCCGCAAGACGACGTGCAGGCGCAGAACTGGGTGCTGCTGCTGCGCGAGTGCCGGCAGGCGCTGGACGCGTACGCAGATGAGCTCGCGCGCCGCCAACAGCAAGGCCAAGGGCTGCGCCCGCGCTTCCTGCTGTCGATCGCCGCGCCCGCCGGCCCGCAGAACTACCAGCGCCTGCACCTCGCCGCCATGGCGCCGCTGCTCGACTTCATCAACCTAATGGCGTACGACTTTGCCGGCAGCTGGGACAGCAACGCCGGACACCAGGCGAACCTCTGGCCCTGTCGCAGCAACCCCCAGTGCACCCCGTTCAACGCCCACCAGGCCGTCGCCTGGTACCTGAGCCACAGCGTCCCCGCCCACAAGCTCATCCTCGGCATGCCGCTGTACGGCCGCGCGTTCCAGGGCACTGCTGGCCCCGGCCACCCCTACCAGGGCGTCGGCGAGGGCAGCTGGGAGAACGGCGTCTGGGACTACAAGGCCCTGCCCCGCCCCGGCGCCCAGGAGTACTTTGACTCCGAGGCCGGTGCGAGCTACTGCTTGAACCCGGCGAACGGCCTCATGGTGTCGTATGACAACAAGCCGATGGCGATCCAGAAGGTCGACTATCTGCGCCAGAACCACCTCGGCGGCGCCATGTGGTGGGAGTCGTCGTCGGACAAGGCCGGCGAAGAGAGTCTCATTAAGACGGTGAGTGCCGCTGTTTCTTCTTTTTCCCCTCCTACCACAACTTTCGTCTCTTGATTGAATGGGAAGGGAAACCTTGCGTGAAGCCCCTTGCTGACGAGAACAGGTTGTCGACCGCATCGGTGGCTACAATGGCGGCTTGCTCGATAACCAGGACAACGTGCTGACGTACCCGGACTCGAAATACGAGAACTTGAGGAAAGGCATGCCGGGCGAGTAAGAGCGTAGAATAGTCGATGAGAAGAGAAAGAGGAAGATGCAAATTAAGGCGAAGGAGAAGACATTATGAAGAGAAGAGGTAGCACCAGCACACTTACTCACTAGAGCCACCTAGCACCAGCACGTGCTGTGTTGTATGTACACGAAGTAGGCATGTACGCGTGTAACGGCGTTCCCGGCGATCGTCTTCATGATGAATAAAGAATGAACAAACTAGTCCTTTCCTCAACTGCGTTCACAACCGCAGAAACTGTGCTGTGCTGTCTCAGTGCACCTCAGTGAAGCAAACGGCACAACACCCCCTCCCCTCCGCCCCCGCTCCACGTCGTGCTATCGGGCTATCGGGCTAACCGTGCCCCGATCATGCATGCATGCGTGCCTGTGTGTGCGGGTGGGCGTGCATGTGTGCATGCGGGCTTGGGTTGTACGACATGACCATAGGTAGGTATTGCGCGGGAAGCGTAAAGCGTAAAGCCCACGTCTGCGTAGGTATAGATGCACCAACATCACCAACATCACCGACATTGCCTACTAACTAGGTACTAGATACCTAGATAACTACGCTACAGTACCTACATACACACTCTGTGACTGCCTAGGTAGTTTCTTGCTAGGAGTATACTAGCTAGCTAGCTAGCTAGGTATCGCAACCGTGCTTACCTTATAAACCTAATTATAATCACTATCGCAATCGCAATTATAATCACGATTTCGATCCTGTTCATTGTCCTGCTGCACACACCCAACACGCAACACGCAGCTACCCAGCATACTAGGCTGGCTGACTGACTATGTGCCTGTTCTACTCTAGGCGGTAGCTAGCCTGCCAGCCTATGCAAGGTGGTGGGTGGTTGGCGTTGGGCGTTGAAACGGCTGGCTGGCTGGTTGGCTGGCTGGCTGGGTGTAGTGTAGTGTAGTGTGTAGCACACCTCGATTCGGTGCGCGAAGAAAAGAACGACACAGCTAGACAGCTAGGTACCTACGAGTAGGTAGTTACAGCTACAAGCTAGGTAGCTAGCTACTCCAGCCGTAGGAGCACTTTATAGCAAACACCAAACCTCCTTACTCGGCAGCCCTCATCACTCCACCCACCAATCCAGCAGGCACGCCGACAACCCAAGCCCCAAAGCCCAAGCAAACCTGCACAAGCCAAAACCGCCACCGCGCTTGCGGGCGGCGGCAGGCCGCCCAAGCACCCATTAAAGTAGCGCGCCGGCCCGGCCAGCCTCCCTTCCCGCGCTAAACTGCAACAGGCAACAAAGGCGCGCCGCGAAAATCTTCCCGTCCCACTTGCTACATGGATGCTAGATTGCCTGCAACGCCAGCCTGCCAACTGCCTCTAGTGGTAGGCGATTTGTGGGGCTTGCTTGCTGGGCTTGGGCACGAGGGTTAGGGAGGTGACTGGGAAGAGAAGCGTGGTGGAGGGAAGAGGGAGGCATGTGAACACACGTCGTACGCTGTAGTGTCCAGTAAGGTAATACTTGGTACCGAGGTGAAGCGCAAGTTCGCCACACCAACGGTGCGGAGACGCCGAGGTAAACGCACACCTTTTGCTTCTTCTCTATGAGTAGTAGGCATGCAGCACGTCGTACTCATGAATCGAGCCGAGTCGCCTCGAGAGCGGGCGGGACGAGCCTGCCGGGACGCAGCACGCATGCGCATGTGGAGCTCTCGTCGGAGCGTCCTCTACTTGGTTCGTACATGATAGTTACGGGTCTTTTTTTTTTCTCGCACGTTGCACGCACACCCGCAAGCTTATGCACACGCGTCGTGCTGCACTACCGTCCAAAACTCAAACAGCCTGTTCCGTCGCTCGAGTCGCGTGTGGCGCCGCCATTTGCGCGCCGCTATGATATTCCTGCAGGAGCGCGCAGGGCTGGACGCCGTGTTTGGTGGATATCTCGGCTGGGGGGTGGAGATGTTCAATTTTTGAGAGAAGGGGCACGGTACGCTACGGTAAGGTACGCGTAAGTGGGAAGCGAGACGGTGAGCCGGTCTTGTGTTGTATGTGTGTGCTTGCTTGTACGGTGTACGAAGGACAGATGCTGCATAGCCCGTGTCACAGCGATGCTGTTGCCCTTTCGGCAGCTGCGTGATTGGTTGGTATTCTCGGGACGAGAAAGTACCGGAAATTTACGGGGATTTCCCTCTTACGGGGATATACAAAGAAGCTTAGCAGTTACCTCTTCCGGCGGTAAAGGAGGGGGAGATGTGGCGCTCAAGCGTTCTTTGTATTACCTAAAACGGTATGGTTGCTCCTTCCCTACTACCTTTTCCGTAATAGCGTCTGAATAAAGTCGCGGGACTGAAATAAATAAATCCCCGAGAGTCCCGGGGACGGAATTTTCCCTTTAAGTTTTAGAAGCACGCGCACGCCCCGGTTAGGCCGAGTCTATATATCAAGGGCGGGGCTGCTGCATGTCTGCCTGCTTGGGTCGAGACCTTCTGTGGGGACTTTTTTTGTGCTGGACTGGACTACTTATAACTACGTCCGACGGACTACTACTCCTAGCTGGACGACTGTGTGCTGCTACTGCTGCTGCGTTTCCTACTGCTGTCGCGTTCTTCTCCACCTCTTCTCTATCTCCATCTCCAGTACCGAGTCTATCCTCTCCGCCACCCACGCCCTTCCTCCCTCCTTCTTTCTCCCACCACCACAATGCACCTCACGGCCTTCCTTGGCCTCTGGGCCATCGCCGCCTACATCATCTACTTCACGCTCAACGCAATCGTCACACGCCGGCGGCGAGCCACTCTCGCAAAGAAGCTAAGCTGCAAGCCGCCCCCGAGCTGGAACGCCGGCGACCTCTTCGGCATCAAGGAAGTTCGTGCCGTGCTCAATGCCGACAACACGAAGCGCCTGCCGCCGTACGTCATGTCCCGCGTTGAGGATATCAGCAAGCGCGAGGGCCGCGTCGTCTCCACCATGGCCATCACTCAGGCCGCCGACGATCTGCTCTTTACTTGCGACCCGAAGAACATCCAGGCGCTGCTGGCGACGCAGTTCAAGGACTTTGAATTTGGCCCTACGAGAAATGGCAACTTCGGGCCGCTTCTTGGCTCGGGAATTGTGAGTTCCCATCTCTTTGTTCTCCATTTTCCCCATTCCCAAATATACGGACGGTGACTAACTATGGCGGCAGTTCGCAGCCGATGGAAAGCAATGGGAGCACTCGCGCGCAATGCTGCGGCCGCAATTCGCGCGCGAGCAGATCAGCGACCTCGAGCTCGAAGAGGCGCACGTGCAGAACATGCTGCGCACACTGCCTGCAGGCAGCGATGGCTGGACAGCCGCAACCGACCTGCAGGTCCTCTTCTTCCGTCTGACGCTCGACTCGGCGACCGAGTTCTTGTTCGGAGAGAGTGTCGACAGCCAGCTCGCAGCCCTGCCGGGCTACGTGCCCAAGAGCACCAACACCACCAGCGACGAGCGCCTCTTCGCCTACTCCTTCGACAAGGCGCAGTGGTGGCTGGCCCGGGGCGCCCGCTTCGGCAGTAAGTACTGGCTGGTGCACGGCAAGGACTTCAAGAAGCAGTGCCGCGAAGTGCACGACTACGTCGACTACTTTGTGCAGCTCGCGCTCAACAAGGCAGCTCGCAACGACGAGGAAAAGGCATCCGGCCGCAAGGAAAAATACGTCTTCCTGGACGCGCTGGCGGCTCAGACGCGCGACCCGCTCGAGCTGCGCGCCCAGCTGCTCAACATCCTGCTCGCGGGCCGCGACACGACGGCCAGCCTGCTGGGGTGGTTGTTCCTGGAGCTCTCGCAGAACGAAGCCCAGTTCACCAAGCTGCGGACCGGCATTCTCGAGGCCTTCGGCCCCGACGGCAGCGACGACCCCGCCCACGCCATCAACTTCGCCGCCCTCAAGAACTGCGCCCCCCTCCAGCAAGCCCTTAACGAAACGCTGCGTCTCTACCCGGTCGTCCCCATTAACAGCCGCCGCGCCTTCGTCGACACGACGATCCCGCGCGGCGGCGGGCCCGACGGCCTCTCCCCTGTCTTCGTCCGCGCGGGCCAGGAGGTCAACTATTCCGTGTACGCCATGCACAGGCGGCGGGATCTGTGGGGCGAGGACGCGGATGAGTTTAGGCCCGAGCGCTGGGAGGGCCGTAGGCCTGGCTGGGAGTACCTGCCGTTCAATGGCGGGCCGCGCATTTGCATTGGCCAGCAGTTTGCGCTGACCGAGGCGGCGTATGTGGTTGTTAGGCTGATGCAGAAGTTTGACGGGATCCAGGGACTGGACAAGGGCACGAAGAACCCGGACTTGAAGTATGGGTTGACGTTGACGAGCTGCCCCGGTGAGGGTGTGAATGTGCGGTTGAGGGAGGCGAAGCGGGAGAGTGCGTGAGAGATGTGTTTGTATGATTAGGAGTAACTAAGGGAGGATTTGTTTGGCATGATTGTGAGAATAAGTACGCAGAGAAAAGGTGGTCGGCTGGCGTAGTTGATTCTGTCTTAAACGTTAGTTGGATATACCTGTATCTACACCAATCTCTACCTGTTTCCGTTCTTAAAGTAAGAGTGAGGACCAAGGCGAAAGGTGACTTTGAACGTCGGCAGCAATTCCAGTATCATGAAAAAGAGAACAAACAGCGCCGTCGGTGTTGATCCGGAAGGACAGAAAGCGGAGCCGCGCGAACCGGGGTTAGCGGCCCGTGCGCAAAAAGTTCTGGACGAGCGAGGCGCGCGAGAAAAAAGTCGCGACTCGCCCTCTCCAACAACAAGCACACCCACCCACCCACACACCTCGAGCCAACCAGCCAGCAGCAGCCATGGCGCGCATAAAGAAGAAGGGCCAATCCGGCCAAGCCAAAAACTACATCACGCGCACGCAAGCCGTGCGCAAGCTGCAAGTCTCGCTGCCCGACTTCCGCCGCCTCTGCATCTTCAAGGGCATCTACCCGCGCGAGCCGCGCAACAAGAAGAAGGCCTCCAAGGGCGCCACCCACTCGACCACCTTCTACTACACCCGCGACATCCAGTACCTGCTGCACGAGCCGCTGCTGGCCAAGTTCCGCGAGCACAAGGCCCTGGGCAAGAAGATCAGCCGCGCCCTCGGCCGCGGCGAGGTCGGCGATGCCGCTCGCATGGAGAAGAACCTCACGCCCAAGATGAGCTTGGATCATATTATTAAGGAGCGCTATCCTACGTTCGTCGATGCTCTTCGCGACCTTGACGATTGTCTGTCTATGCTCTTCCTTTTCGCGAACCTCCCCTCTACTGCTGCCGTCCCTCCAAAGACCGTCTCGCTTTGCCAGCGCCTCTGCCTCGAGTTCGAGCACTACCTCATCGTCTCGCACTCGCTGCGCAAGTCGTTCCTCTCCATCAAGGGCATCTACTACCAGGCCACCATCCAGGGTCAGGACATTCTCTGGCTCGTGCCGTACAAGTTCGTCCAGCGCATGACCAACGACATTGACTACCGCATCATGGGCACCTTTGTCGAGTTCTACACTACCCTGCTTGGCTTTGTCAACTTCCGTCTCTACAACTCTATCGGCCTCAACTACCCCCCCAAGTTCAACGCCGTCAGTGACGAGAAGGGTGGCGAGCTCGGCGCATTCATACTCGAGGGCAAGGGCGTCGGCTCTCAGCCCGCAATTGAGGCTCCGTCTGCAAGCGGCGATGTCGCCATGACCTCGGCTTCGGCGCAGGCTGCGGCTGACAAGGTTGCTGCGCTGGAGGAGCCTGATGCCGAGATGGAAGACGCAAAGGAGGTCGCCGAAGGCGAGGACAAGCAGACCGATGCGATTGACAAGTTCGAGACGACGGGCGAGGACGCGGACGAGCTTCCCCAGCCCCAAGCAGGCAGCTCCGAGGCCGCCAGCCTTTTCTCTGGCTGCACCTTCTACCTTTCCCGCGAGACCCCTCGCCAGCCCTTGGAATTTCTCCTCAAGTCTTTCGGCTGCAAGCGCGTCGGCTGGGACTCTGTCCTCGGTGACGGCGCTTTCACCACCAATGAAGCCGACCCCGCCATCACGCACCAAGTCGTCGACAGGCCTAACATCCCCGTGCCGACGCTTAACGCGCAAGAGACCAACGCGCCGACTGAGAACGGCGTTAGGCTGAAGCCCGGCACCCGCGTCCCCGGCCGCACTTACATCCAGCCCCAGTGGGTGTGGGACTGCGTCAACCAGGGCAAGCTCTTGCGGCCGGACCTGTACGCGCCCGGCGCGACGCTGCCCCCGCATTTGAGCCCGTGGGTCAAGCCCAAGAAGGGCCAGTACGACCCTACAGCGCCGTTGGCGGAGCAGGAGCGCGAGGGCGAGGCGGAAGAGGCCGAGGAGGCCGAGGACGAGGAAGAGGAGGAAGACACACCCAAGGACAAAGCCTCGGCTGTCCTACTCGACCGCACTGGCGACGTCGAAGCCGGCGAGGGCATGGACGTGGCTGGCAGTGATGAGTCTGACGAGGAAGAGGAGGAGGACGGCGACTTTGGCGGCTTCTCAGACGATGAGGAGGCTGAGCAAGGCTCGGACGTCGACGAAGCCGAGGCGGAGCGCATCCGGCATCAGAAAGAACTGGAAGCCGAAGCCAAGGGCAAGCCGTATGCGGCGCAAGACAATGCCGAGAAGAAGAAGGGCAACGAGGCGCGGAAGCGCAAGGCCAAGAAGGACCGCGCCGAGCAGGAGGAGCTGGAGCGCCAGATGATGATGATGCCGCGTAGCAAGAGGAAGCTGCTCGAGAAGATGACGTACTCGAACAAGAAGCGGGACGAGGAGGCGGAGAAGCTGCGGGCGAAGAAGCGGAAGCTGGAGAAGGCGACCAAGACGACGTGATTTTGTGGTAATTACCCTGCCCCAACAGCGAATAAAACGAAACATCTCTTTCTTTCTTGAGCAACAGACAGCAGACGGAAAGAGTGGGCGCGGCCTGTATTGTAGATCTGGCGGAACAAGACAGAGGATTGAGGTTAGGTGTGAGCTTATAGCTCGGAGTACTCCTAGCGGTTGCCGCCCGGCATGTTTCTCGACTGGGAGCGGCCGTAGTGCCGGTCCTTGTTCCTGACTGGTCCAACAGAGCTCCGAGCGTCTGCAGATGAGGGCAGAGGCTCGCGATACTGAACATGCCTATCCCAGTCCTCGAGCCTGGTATACGGGCTCCTGAGCCAGGCACCCAGTTCATGTAAAAACAGCCGGGCGTTGCTGCGACCCAGGAATTCCTGCAGCATCTCCTCCGCTTGTCCGGTGCTACCTTTGATATCCACAGTCTTCAAGATAGCAACAATGTACTCAAGAAGAAACTCGGCGTTGTTTGCGCGACGCGTGCCCTCCGAGCCTTGTGAAGTCGAAGAGCCCTCCCCCGGGTCTGCCGCCGCCAGGAAGCTGAACACGCGGAGCTCGCGGCGCACGAACGCGCGCGCGCGCGATTGTAGCTCCGCGGAGTTGGCGACCATTTGTGGCGTGAGGTTGACGTAGCGTGAGATGCGATTGCTGCCTACATGCATCGAGTACAGGTCGTTGCGGTAGACGTGCCGGCGGCGAAGGAGGGTAAGATCGGGGCCTGGGGACGGGCTGCGGTGCCGCGGCCTGGGGAATCTACGTCGCGGAAGGCGACTAGGGCGGAAAGAGGATGTTGATGGCTGCGCATTGCTCGATTCGGATACTTTTTGCTTGGTCGTGTGGACGTTGTAGGTCATGAAATCTTCGGGCGAGCGCCAGTCATACTGGACCTCTGTGATTTCCGTCTTGCCTGGGATGATGGGTAATCAGCGGGCGTGTCTGGGGGAGGCGAGTCGTCCGCTGGGTATGGTACACACATAGCGGACACTGCGAGCATTCGTGCAGCCAGCTCACGAGGCATTGGAAGTCGAAACTGAGGTGATTGCACGGAACGGCGACAGCGCGCTCAGTGATGGCATCCAGACAGATGACACAGGCCTCGGGGGCGCCATGTCGCCTCTCTTGCGCTTGAATATCCACTGTCGGGGCGTGTATGAGGGAGGTTGCGCGCACCCTACCCGCCATAAACTCGGTGATGGATGACGTTGAGCGGGAGTGGCGCGGAGAATGCGGGCGCGCGCGCCTGTCGGCTGCGGCTGGGAAATCCATTGCGCCTTCCTCGCAGGGCATGTACTCGGTCGACCTTCTTCCTTCCGCCACCACAGTCCTCGAGTTCCGGAACCATGTCTTCTTAAGCCTCTTTGGCCGACGTTCTTGCACTCGCTCTCTCCGCACACTCTCTAGGTTCCGCAGACCTCGCTCAAGAAGCTGCCTCGTCATGTCGCAGCCCGTCGCCAGCGACACGCCGAATGGCGCCATCAACAACAAGACCAGCACTCATACTGTCACTGCGCTGAAGAGATGGTCTTGCGACGACAAGGACCTTCCCGGTATGCCTCTCACTCGACAAAGTCTCGAATGCGACTGACGAGTTACGCAGGTGTGGACAAGATCAAGTCTATTCACGTCTACGACTTTGACAATACGCGTGGGTACTTCTTGCCTCGCGCATGCTCCCCGGACGTATCGCTGACCCTTGTCACCAGTCTTTGCGAGCCCCCTTCCGAATAAGCAGGTGTGGAATGGTCCCACGATCGGTCAGCTACAATCGCCAGACATCTTCGTCAACGGAGGCTGGTGGCACGATGCCAGCATCCTCGGCGCGACTGGTGAGGGCATAGAGAAGGAAGAGCCGCGAGCATGGGAAGGCTGGTGGAATGACCAGGTTGCCAGCCTAGTCGAGCTCACGATGGAGCAAAAGGACGCGCTCAACGTACTGTTGACCGGCCGCTCCGAGGAAGGCTTTGCAGACCTTATCAAGCGCATACTGCGCAGCAAGAGGCTCGAATTCGACATGGTCTGCCTCAAGCCAGCCGTCGGCCCTGCCAACCAAAAATTCGCGAACACCCTAGCCTTCAAGCAAGAGCTTCTCCGGGATCTCGTCTACACCTACAAAGACGCCGACGAGATTCGCGTCTACGAAGACCGCCCCAAGCATACCAAGAACTTCCGCGAGTTCTTCGAATCGTTCAACAAGGCTCTGCTGTCCCCCGATCCGCCAATTCCTCGGAAGACCATAAGGGCGGAAGTGATCCAGGTCGCCGAAAATGCGACTTCACTTGACCCGACGACCGAGGTGGGCGAGGTACAAAGCATGATAAATGCGCACAACAAGCTTGTCAAGGCGGGCAAGGCCCCAAGAGGCTCTGTGCCCTGGCAGATCAAGCGCACTGTCTTCTTTACTGGTTACCTTCTTGAGCCTCCCACTACTGAGCACATCAGCTCCAACATACTCAGTCTACCGAATGTACCGGAAGGTGAAATCCGCATTCTCGCCAACAGCATTCTCATTACCCCAAGGCCTTGCCCCAGGAGCATCCTGGATAAGGTAGGCGGTATTGGTAAGGTGCAGAGGTGGAAGATAACTGGGACGGCCGTCTTCGAAAACAAGCTCTGGGCCGCGCGCGTGCAGCCTATCCCGGCCAACTCCCGCATCTACACCGAAAACCCGACTCCTACGATTGTTCTCGCGCTTCGTCGCGGCGCGCGCCCCGCCGATGCCGCACGCATACAGAACTGGCAGCCCGTTGCGGACAACAATGCCATCGAGTTCGACACGACGGTTGGTGAAAAGGTGCTGCTCCGTCTCGAAGAGGAACGTCGCGGCGAGAGCCAATGGGAGTCGTTCTTCCCAGGCCGCAAGCGCGGAAGGGCAAGGGACGAAGAGCTCGACATCAACGACACAAACGCCTTCCCAGCGCTCGGCAACGGCGCGGACAACGGCGGCGCCACGCTGGCCCCCAACCAGCGCCATAGCAACTACAACAGCTTCAAGCCGCTTGCGCAGGGCCAGGGTGTCTCGGCTCATGCCGCGTATCATCATAGGAATAACGACGAGAACCGCCGTCAGGGCGCCTCGGGCGGTGGTGGTGGGTATCGCGGTGGAAGCCAGGGTAGGGGCCGTGGCCATGGTGGTCCGCGTGGAAGAGATGATAGGGGTAGGGGACGTGGTCGTGGTGGTGGGAGGGGAGGTAGGTCCCGTGGTGGGCACTACAAGAGTCTGGATGATGTGGGCGACAAGGGTATGGGCAATGGGTTTGGTGGCTATGATGATGGTGGGTATGGGTATTGAGTGAGTGAACGGTGGTTGTTGCTGCTGTGGGGAGAGTGATGGCGATGATGAGAGCGATGGAGGGTGATGGCTGGTTTTTCTTTTTGTGGCCTTTTTAGCTTTGCTGGGGAGGTGTTGATTGACTGGGCGGGTGTGGGGATGGGGATGGGGCTTGCTCTCTCTTGCTCTTGCTCTTACACTTGATTTTGCTCTCGGTGGCGCGTAGGTAGGTGGGAAGGCTTCGTCGTGCGGCTATCAGATCAATGTGGTTCTTCTGGTGGATGGGTATGGTATGGTATGCTGGATTGCTACATGGAGCTAAAGAGCTAAAAGCTAAAGAGTTAAAAGGCTAGAGTTAAAAAATAAGTTTTCTTTTTCTTTTCTTCCATTCTTCTGTGTTAAGTGAGTTGGGTTGAAGTTTTTTGTTTGTTTGTTTTGTGCTTGTGGGGTGTTTGAGAGGTGTGGTGTTTGAGATGTGTGGTGGTGAGAGGCATGGTGGTGATGGGTGGGTTTACGAGATGGATATGAGATCTACACACAACCTCTTGCCTGTAGGTTAGTAGAGCAGTTGTCTTGGAGATTTACAGCGTGTGGTCAGTCTTCAAAGTCACAATGCTCAGCTGAAGAATGCCAAGAAGCCACTCAGCATCTTAACTAGACGCTGGCGACGAAATATGGTTACTGGATGGTGGAAAGGTGTCGTTTATCCTAAGGCCTTGTTCAGGCGGTTGGCGTCTTGTTGGCGAGGCCTACATACATGGCATGACGCAAGGCGAAGTATACGATGGAAGCAAGTGTCAGGACTTAGAACTGTGTTAAACGTTAGGCAAAGGCAGTACCTAGTCTTGTGGCCTAAAAGGCAGCGAACTACTAGCTCTGTGCAGGATGGATGCACTGATACGCATGATAGACGTATGCAGACGTAGAGGACCCATAAGAACCTGCCTCATCACCAAGCCATCGACTGACTATCAACGCAAAAGTCATTGCCGTTTCAATAGCCACCACCTGCGCAACAATCCCCGAGCGAAGGCGAGCGATGGCATCGTGGCTGCAGCCGTGTGGTCTGAGATAACGTTCAGGCAGGAAAATCGCGCACGCCGCTCACGCAGCACCGCAGCGCATGAAGTCATTCGCAAGCAAACAGGATCCAGAGGGCCGGGATGCTGCACGGCTGGCGAATGCCGTTGAGCGCTTTCTGTGGGCTGGCTTGTTAGCGCGATCCTGATGTACTGAGGTTATACGTAGTTAGACATGCTAGAGTAGCTACCCACCTACCCCTCCTCTAGCGCCGCATCACGTGTGCGGGGCATGCGTTCTTTTATATATCTCGACCCGGTCTCGGAATCGCTTCTTCTTCTTCTTCTTCTCTATCACTCTATCCTCACTCAGTTTCCTCGAGTCTAGTCTCCGGCTTTCATTGCTGCTACTGCTGTTGCTGCTTGACAAGTACCCAAGCCTTCCAATGCTGCGTTGGAGCTTTACTGACATTCTTTTAGGCTCATCGTTTGCCATCATGTAAATCTGCCCGCATTGGGAGCATCAAGGCTTTTCGGCATGGAGTTGTTACTCTGCTATCAAGTGTCATATCCTTCAGGTAACTATCTGAATGCATGAACCGGTGCTTGGACTTCGGCCGTCCGCCATTCGAAGGGTTTTCCATCTCTCCACCACGCTCGGTTCTTGAGACCGTCCGTGGTGGAGCGTTGCTAGCCTGGCGGGCGGTTCGCTGCCCTCGCTGAGATTATACGGTTGAACTTGATCAGGATAATACCTGCGTCGAAAGAATCATGCTCTCCCTTCCCCCCGGTAGTCTCCAACTGACACCTAGCTAGACACTTGAGCCTTCTCCAAGATGTCTCCCCCAATTGCCACTTTCCCCTCTACCACTGAGGCCCCCTCTGCGCCCACGGTCACCAAGGCCTTGCCGACCAAGGGAGCCGCTCCTGCTGTCCAGGGCAGCATGACCAAGTCCGTTGACGAGATGGCCGGCCAGTGGGAGACCTTCAAGTTCGCTCCCATCCGTGAGAGCCAGGTCTCCCGCGCCATGACGCGCCGCTACTTCAAGGACTTGGACACCTACGCCGAGTCGGACATTGTCATTGTCGGCGCCGGCTCCTGCGGTCTCAGCACTGCCTACATGCTCGCGAAGGCTCGTCCGGACCTGAAGATCGCCATCATCGAATCCGGCGTCGCTCCCGGTACGTTAACACCCCCAACTTATGTCCCTCCACTCAACAAGCAAGCACTAACACGCGCGCACAGGCGGTGGAGCCTGGCTCGGCGGGCAGCTCTTCTCGGCCATGGTGATGCGCCGCCCGGCTGACGCGTTCTTGCGCGAGATCGGCGTGCCCTACGAAGAGGAAGGTGACTTCGTCGTCGTCAAGCACGCGGCGCTGTTCACGTCGACGGTGTTGGCGCGCGTGCTGCAGTTCCCCAACGTGAAGCTCTTCAACGCGACGGCAGTCGAGGACCTGATCACACGCCCGACCGGCGACGGCGGCGTCCGCATCGCTGGCGTCGTCACCAATTGGACGCTCGTCAGCATGCACCATGATGACCAGAGCTGCATGGACCCGAACACCATCAACGCGCCTGTTGTTGTGTCTACAACTGGACACGACGGACCTTTCGGTGCATTCAGCGTAAAAAGATTGGTAAGCATGCAGCAGCTTAGTAAGCTAGGCGGTATGCGCGGCCTTGACATGAATTCTGCCGAAGACGCCATCGTGAAGCGCACGCGCGAGGTGGTGCCGGGCTTGATTGTCGGCGGCATGGAGCTGTCGGAGGTGGACGGCGCGAACCGCATGGGTCCGACGTTTGGCGCTATGGCGCTGTCGGGTGTCAAGGCGGCTGAGGAGGTTCTCAAGGTCTTTGATGCTAGGAAGGCCGAGAACGAGAAGTTCTAGCCTGGGTGTGTGTTAGTGGTGCTGGCTTGTTGTTTGGATGGTGCGGAGCCATTCTCTCACTCCCTCACTATTCGCTTGGATGGTGCTTTACACCTTCACACTCGTTAGTTATGGGTTATGTTGAATGAAACTATCTTGTCTGTCGCTCATATCTGTTTGGTCATCCTGGTGTGAAAGCTCTTTGATCCCTTTCCGGTGACGATGCATTAGTGGATGTGTCAACACAGTCCTAGCTAACGCTGCCGACAAGTCTAAACGCCAGTTCGTCCGCCAACATCAGCATCGACTATGCATCTACACCATCCCCCCTTACCACAACAAAAGCAACTATACGCAATCCCACGCCAACGCTGGCCAGGCATACGTACCAAAACACACCTTCCCAAAAGTCATAACCTTAAATGTCATTACCACGCGAACTGCGTACTCTAGTCCTGCTCCCCGTCGAGTTTAGGTTCTAGCTCCAGCCTCTCTTCTAAGCTCTGACTAACAGTGCGAAATTGCTCTGACATGATGGCAAGGAAAGGAATACTGCTGATTCGCAAGCAAGGGTGGGCTCCTTGCTCTTTGGGCCGTATTGATGGGGGAGGGATGTGACGGCGTGGATGGCGGGCGAGTGTGATTTGATTAGGTTTTTTGGGGGTTTATTGAATGTTTTTGGCTGCTTTTTTTTTTTTTTTTTTTTTTTTTTTTTTTTTTTTTTTTTTTTCCTCTCTTGTAGGGATCTGTTGCGGCGGCGTATAACGTCTAGTACCGCGGGACGAGAAGTACGATATTATAAGATAGCTAATTAGAGGTACTCTTAGCGGTAATTTATAAATCCCTTACTCCTAGGCACCGGATAATTTGCCTACCCCACGTGATAGCGTCTACAGAATTACATGATGTGTTTTCTAGTCTTTAAGATCTTAGGTCTCTATACCCTTATAAGTACGTTTATACCCTTCGAATATTTTATATTTATACCCTCGTAGCTAGTAGTCGTATATATCTATACCTCTATACTCTCGTAGTATACTCTACTACTCGTATATTTTTACTTTCATATAATTATATAGTATCTATTAGCTGTAGTATAATAGTCTATTATAACTATCTAAGAAGTATTATATAGGTATTATATATTTTACTCAATATATAGTTAAGGGGTGGGTAAAATATCTAGAAGGGGTGGGCAAATTATCCGGGGCCTAATCGTGTCAGCCTTGCAAGGTGCCTTCGAGGCGCCTTTACGCACTAGGACAGAGAGAGAGAGAGAGACTGTCATACTTGAGGAGATCAGCTGAGCTTTACAGTTATACAACGGTAAGCTGCATGTTCACCGGTGTCAGCCTTCCAGGACGCCTTCCCGCGTTTCAGCCTGTTATGAAAAAAAGAATTATGATTCGAGATGAATACCTGTTTGTAGATTCACCTAAAGCGCCATCAACCTATCATTAGACTCCAAAGCCTTGCTGATTCTAAAGGTAGCAAAGACAGCGCATTGCCCAAAGGCCATTGTCGCACTGTACAGCATGATATATCAGCGAGTTCGGACATAAGAGAACCAATATATCTGTGAAGCAACGAGGCAGAAGAAAGGAATTGATCGCTGTGGCGAGAGATGAGGCAGCGCTGTCGCCGACCAACCCCTACTAACCACAAAAGGCAAGCGCTAAGCCGCATAAGTAAATGAGCACGAAAACAGTAACACCAGCCCCCCAAGCATATAAAGCCGTTTCGTCAGTTCACCATTGTCCTCCGGAACGCACAGGGGCTAGTGGCGCAGTGGGAATAGGGGGTAATCGCAGTCTTGTAAGTCTTCGGTGTTCCGTTCCAAGACTGCGTTCGAATCTGGGGGTTAGCAACTTTGTAAGTCTTCAGTGTTCCGTTCCAGAGTTGCTGTTCGATCTGGGGGCCACAGCGACGTCTACACGCACTGGGGAAACTTGCTACAGTAAGCGGGTTTGTAGAGCCTTTGGACTTGACTTTTTGCTGTGGTGTGCTCTCTGGTTAATGGGTTTTTCGATTTTTCTCTGCCCCATGCCCACCTACAACCTCGTAACACTGCCATCGACACCCTTAAACACATCAACACTCGGGATCAGACGACGGAATACTCGCCCAGAGGCACCGCAATGCGCCCCAGCCCATAGCCTTCGCCCAACAACTCACTGTCTCAGCCCAAAAAGAAGAACCAACGTCATCAAGAGGATATACAATCGACCTCGCTATCATCGCCATATCGACTTCTGGGTCAGTAGTAGTAAAGTCATCAACCTAATACCCTTAAATAATTGGTAAGATAAATACACTACACACAGTGCATATACCACATCTCAACAGTCTCCATCCAACCAACTACTACCTACAACAAGCACACAACACAAGCACACACAAGCACGACAAAAAGCGCAAGCAAGCAGTCTTAGATTACCTACCTAAGCAGGTAGTAGGTAGTAGGAGCAGTACTAAAGCGTTTACACCCCATCCCATCCATCAATCCATCTCTAACTACTCGTTGTACTCGTGCCAGAGCCAAAAACCAGAAGAAGAAAAAGAAGAAGCAGAACCAACAGCCAGAGCCAAACCAAGCCAGAACCACGAAGGGAAGGGAAGGGAAAAAATGCTCCGTTTTTCACGGACGGAGGACGTCGACGCGTCTCAACTACTTGCTTGGTCTTGACGTCCTGTCCCATCCAGTCTCCTTCATCCTGCCCACACACACCATTCCGACGCACGCAACGCAACGTGTAAAGATATCTAACACACCCCATGCCCTCCACTGCCACCTTCACCCAACCCAAGCCCAAACCTACGCACTAAGCCCCCACAGCCGTCCCGCTCTGTCCCTGCCCCTGACTCCCATAAGACCCACTACTCCCCGGCGGCTGGGGGGTCCCGCTACCCTGGCGCTTCGCCTGCGCCTGCACCTGGGCCTGAGCCTGCAGCCTCGCCTGGGCCTGGGCCTGAGCCTGCGCTTGCGTCCGGCTCAGCATCGCCGCGGCCTGCTGTTCCGCGCTCGTGTAACTCACGCCCGCGGCCGCGGTCGCGTACGGCGTCCCCGCAACCGGCGTTCCAGGCGGGTAGTAGCGCGACGCATTCGCGCCTGGCGTGGCGTACGGGTTCGCGGTGGTCGCGGTGGCGGATGGTGGCCGTGCTGGTGCGTATGGCGCTCCAGCCCCCGCTGCTGGTTGCGACTTCAATGGCGATGCGGTGCGCACGTGCGGGCTGCCCGTTGAGGTGTAGTTGTACACGGGGGCGGCGCCCTGCGTGCGCGGCGGGTAGGCGGAGCCCGGAGGCTGTGTGTACCGGCTCTGCGAGGCGCCCGCGGGCGTTGTCTGGTAGTATGTATGGCCGATGCCGTAGGCGGGCGCGCCGGGCCGTTGCGGGTAGTACTGGTGGCCTGGCGTCGGGGCGTACGTTGATGCCGCAGCACCATACGACGGCCGCGATGGTGTTTGGGCGTACGTCTGCGCGTAGCCCGGACGTGCTGTCGAAGCGTATGCGCCGGGCGTTTGGTACGGTTGTGTGGACCGAGGGTACTGGCCCAGGGACGGAGACCGGGTTGGGGGCTGTTGCTGCGGATAATATGATGGGGCACCAGCAACGGGCCGAGCACCGTACGACACGGACGGCGTGCGACCGTACTGGCTTGCTGATGCTGCATAGTGATGACTTGGGAGGGTGGAAGGCGCACGCACTGGCACCGCTGGCGTCCCGACAGCCGCACCGATGGCAGCAGATTTGGCCAATTTTGAGATCTGATCCTCCTCCATAACTCCGCGATAGTCTTCCGTCTCGATAAGAAGGCTTTTACTGATGTTTAAGTCTGCCAACTGGTCCCCGTTGAGCTTCGCGACCGCATACGGAGGCAGGGTTGAAATCATTAGAGATAGTTGCATTTTGAGCATGCTGTAAATATCGAATTCGTCGGACGAAGGGGTCGTAGGTCGTACCGAATTGTCTTGCGATGCTGCTGCTGGCCTAGTGGATGGCGCCAGAGTTGTGAGCCTGATCCTTTGATGAGAATGGAGGGTCTCTAGGAGCTGAGAAATTTCCGTGAGTATCTCTTCGACTTCTCTATCTTCTTTTTCAGCTGAAGGGTCCTTTGGCGTGAATTCCTCCGGTTGGAACTTTTCGATCGCCTCCTTCATCGCTTCCTCTTCCGTTTGCGAATCCTCCATGGCATCCTCGTCTACAGCCTCTCCAGGCTGAGCATCGAAAAGAGCTGGGTCAATGGCGAAGACTTCGTTGAATCTCTGCTCGCCAAATCTCCGCCAATAAATCCGATTCTTGATTTCCTCGGGGACGACGGCCATTCCATCGTCGTGCGTAGGGGCAAAGCTGGAAAACACGCTTCTGAACAGGGCATCGGCTTTTGCCTTCTCTTGCGCTGCCTTGGCCTCTTCTGACAATGGAGGGTTAAGCTCGCCAGTACTGAGGGCCCTGTCCCTCTGCTTTCGCTTTGCGGACGGCGAGGAAGGCTCCTGGGGAGTAACCACACCGTTATATCCAAGCCAATCACCTGTCGAAAGCTTCTGACTTGCGTAGGTAGAACCTCGGCGGCTGGGCTTGGAATGCTCCGGAGGACCCCAGGTCACGGTAGAGTCTTTGGTAGTAAACTGATTCGAAGGTACAGGTGCTTTCATATCTCGGAACTTGGGTGGAGGAGCGAATAGCTCGCCAAATGTGGGAACCTTGCCCTTCGTGCCTATAGCATCCTCGGTATGTACCGGAATGACCTTTGTGGTGGAAATCATGCTAGGGAGTCCGCTTTCGTCCAAGGGCATGGTAACATCAACAGAGGTGTCAAGGTTAGCCACCTCCAACTTCTGACCCGGCTCGACCTTGACGGGCTTCTGAAGGCTTGAAAACAACTGCTTGTTGCCTTGCGCCGACGCGAACAACGTAAGAACCGTTCTGCTATCGGTAAAGTTGGCGATCTCATCGTCGACGGGTTCGCTCTTCACCACGCCATTGGTCGCATCCGCATCTGCTTCTGTCGGGCCATCCTCCGCATCATCGCCCGGTATCGAACGGGCCCTTCGTTGCGATTCTCGTTCGACGAGGTTCCGGAGTGCCTTCTTGAAGGCGAGAAGTCCAGTAGCAAGCTTGAGGTCGGCGGGTGCGGTCGACTGAGCGTTGGGAGAAGGTGAGAGTTGGGCGCATACGGTGTCGACATCAGCAACGAGCTCGTCTAGAGACGCGTAGGTGTGCGACTGGAGGTTGGCGGCAATGGTCGTGTCGGCGGGCTGGGTGAGCTTCGCCTTCTTGGAGTTGGGTTCGCCCGAAGTCGCGCGATGACCATGGTTGCGGATGGGTTGGTCGAGCACGGAGGGATTGGTGTCATAGCTGTAGCAACGGGCGCGTTAGCATGTTGATGCGAGGTGGCGCGCAAGGGTCGCGCGCGTACCTCTTTAGTATCTCCAGGACATCTTCGAGCAGGGCCTTGATGTCGCGTTGGGGCAGCGCGATTGCGTGAGAGCGCTTCCGTTTGGCGTTGTGAGGGGAGGCGTCGGCGGGAGAATCGTGGGGAGCGGGCGGAGGCGTGACGGCGCCGTTGGCAGGCGACATGGCGAGCGTGGGCACGACGAGAGCGAGATGGTCGTCGCTGTCTGGAGGGTCGACCGAGCGCGGCGGGAGGGTTCGAGCGAAGGGAATGCAAACCGACCGACGCCAAGACCACAACGCCCACACGCGGCCAGCTGCACCACGCGCGCTGCGATGCGATGCACGCGATGCACAAGGGCTGACGAAATGGAGTGAAGTGAAGTGCACCGGTATTCCACGCTTTCTTGATTGATGGCTTCACTGATCCCCCTCCACGCTCGCATGCAGTGCACATCGCTGGCGATGGCCCGATTAGATGCCATCAGATTAGATGAGATTAGATAGGCAAACTCGACCGCCCCGGCCTTCTTCAACCGCGGCACGTCCGGCCTCTACTTGCGACCCATGCCCGTCCTGCCCTCTCCGTCCATGAATGCCCTTTACTGCTCTGCCGCCAGCGTCGCGCAGACTACTCGCAGGTCGTCCGGCCCCGGTCTGCGCAACTTCTTCTCAACGGGCATGTTCATCCCGCAACAATTCCTCTGCCTGCTATTCTGACTGGATTCTAGGGGCTCCCTAAGTCGCTGTTCACTCTTAACCCCATCCAATGGCCCTTTTGTCACCGTCGCTGGATCAATGGCGGCACGGACAGTGCCAAATCAACAGACAATTTCCAACCAAAGAGCAATGTCAAGAAGCGAAGCCGTTCCAAACACATCAAAATACTTCATTTTGTGCGCCAGCAAGCTAGCAAGCGCAAGACCAAGACGAGATACAAAGCTCCTTCTGTAGCCCTTGTCAGCGCTTTGGAGAAGGCCAGTATATCGCATGCCACTCCCAAGGTTGTCCGTGGGAAGGTGAATTTGAGCCATGTCAGGCCAGATTCCTTCTTCAAACCTAGGCATCGGGGACAGATCCATCCCCTCCCGGAGTACCGCCAGGCAATGCAGTCATTGCTGGCACACTACATCAAGACCGTCCAGTCCGGGTCAATGAGCGAAGCCGATTATTCAATTAATCCTACTGATGAATACTTTCTTGCATCAAAGGGATATTCGCTTGATGATATTAAATTATGGGCAAAAATCATCCTGCAAAAGGATTCCTATGCCGCTGCGCGGATGTTGGTCGCTGGAAGCGGAGAAGGGGTTTCTGGCACCAAGCAAGTTCCCTTCTCAGTCATGCTCTTTCTTTTGCGGAGACCGCATATTTCAGAACGAGCGCTTCGGCTACTTGTACAACACAGCCTCGATCGTTTGGAAGCTGAACGAATTGCGCTCCAAAAAGGGGAGCTTATGACGGATGAGAAAACCATATTCCTTCTCTTCATTCGTCTTGTCCGCAAGGCCCGGGAGGTCTACCCTGATGCAATTGTGGAAATTACTCGGTTGGTTACAGAATACATCAATGCCACTCACGTAGGAACCATTCGGCTAGATGCTGCCAAGTCTACCATACCGGAAGAGAGGATGCGCCAGAAGATAATACGCTTGACACTCTTGTACAATCGCGTCCTTACCATGCTGTCTTTGCCTCCTTCGATCGAACCTTTCGCGTCCGCTCCGATCATGGAAAGAGCACAGTTTGATGTCCTTCGACGGATGGCAGTTTATCAGACGCCGCTCACGATCAACCAGGATGGTTTCAGAGCCGTGACTCGCGTCCAACTTTCCCACAAGAAGTCCGATGCGGAACGTACATGGGCGCAGTTGAAATCCAAATCGTGGCCTCCCTGGAAAGAAGATAGGACCGCTATGGACGCGGAGATAGGACCAGAACATGGTGTGTCCCGCGCCGGCCAGTCAATTAGCCGGATGCACGAGGCGGGGTATCCGTCCTATCGCTGGGATCGGGCCATGGGCGTGTACGCTGGTTGGGACGAAGACCGCAGCCCTACAATCCAAAAACGTGCCGTCTTTGGAAAAGTACCCAGCGCTATTGTCACGGCGCGACATGAGGCTAATGATACCAAAAATTCCACGTCTGTCGCGGCTGAAGGGTCTACGAACACTGGCTCCTACAACGAACTGCAGGCGATGTGGGTTGCGAGGATTAGGACAACGCGAACCTTGGAAGAAGCCTGGGCTTGTTTCCTGTCCTATGACGCGTTGCCCATCCGGCAGAGTCAAATGGTTTACGAGGTCATGTTCGAAAAGATTGCGTTCGAGCATCAGCGTGAGGGATACGAACGGCGGCTTGCAGAGAGTGGGAAAGATGCAGAATGGTTTTCTGGTGTGAGCAATGCGCTACCTGGCGACGGTATGGAAGTATGGCCCACGCCTGAATCGCCGCACGAACGACTAGACCCGCGCCTTGCCCGGCCGACGATAAAGCTCCTCCTCGAAAAGATGAAAGCTGCGGGTATTTCGCCGGGTGGAAAATGCCTGGCGTTGGTCATCGAAACGGCGCCGACCATCAATTTTGCCCATGGCATGTTAAACAAGAGCAAGGATCATCGTCGACTTTTGAAGGCCGAACCCTCCCATGAAGATCTCATACGCGTCCCGAATCCCCTTTTCCGCGGCTACATTGCACTTCTCTGTCGCCTTTGGTTCATTGAGGATCGTACGCCTTATTCGACATCCCCTCAGGCTCCTCGTCAGATGATCCACCGAGCAATCATGCTTCTCGATTGCCGCAAGTTCAGCAACCAACCTAGCTGGATTGCCGTTCTTCGCGCCTTTGTACGACAACACAAACACCACCCCACGGATGACGCTTTTCATCTCGTTCACATGACGGTGGCTGCCATGGAGCGTGCAAAGGTTGATTTGCGCATCGAAGGCTTCCAGCTTGTGTGCCAAGCAACCAGTCGGCATGCTATTGCCCGCGAAAGACGGTTTTCCGACACGGAGACTACAGATGAGGCGCCATCGGACAGCGACGCCTCAGACGCGCAACAGCAGCTAACAGCAGCCAACGGGGAAGATAGCCGGTACCTGCGTGCCTTGTTCATCCAGCTCGTAGGCACTGACGATCCGGCGTGGAAGCCACAGCGGCGTGCTGGCACGGGCGCCTTGGCGCTGCTCACGACGCCTAGACCTAGCGTTTTACATGACTACATCCGCGCGTTGGGGATGCTGCGTGACTGGGAGGGATTGTTGTCAGCTGCAAGTTTCATGGCAGAGCATGGCGCGCGGCTCGTCAGACACGCGAACGAAGGCGGTGTCGGCGGCGAACGGAGGATGCGGCTGCCGGTGGTGGCGCTCCGGGTGTTTCTCGAGCGAAGCTGGGAGGAGACGGAACAGGTGATGGGAGCGCCGGAGGAGGTGGTCATGTTGGCGAGAGAGCAGGTGCAGCGGGCCAAGGTCCTGAAGGGGTGGGCTAGCGATGAGGAGGTAGATGCGTACAGCCAGAGAATGAAGAATGATTGATTGATTGCGTGGGTGGCGTCGAGTGGTGATCGACGGCAAGGATGCCTTGTGATTAGATTAGATCCGAGCCGTTCCGGAACACCGTCATCCGTAGGTAGCTGTAGGTAAGCGCCGGAGGCGGATGTCAAATTGCCGTCCGAAGGAATTATTAACCAGATGCTCTGGACGGGGGCCTGATCCTCGACCTCTCCCCTTGTCTACATTTTCGCACTCTTCCCTATTCATACCCTAGATACCCCCCGCCATGTCTGCCGCCGACGTCTCGCGCGTCGACTCCTTCCAGTACCCGGCCGCGCATCTGGGCCATCTCACCGCCAGCCAGCAGACTGCTCTGGACAAGTTCAAGCAGCTGGCCCATCAAGCCGGCCACTATACCCCTGCTACCGCCGGAGCAATCGCCAGCCATGATGACGAGACTATGCTGTGAGCCACGCTCCATTCCAACCCGCCCGCCTCTGCTGACCGGTCAAGGCGCTATTTGCGCGCGCGCAGATTCGACCCCCAGGAGGCGCTAAAGCAGTTTGTCGACACTGAAAACTGGCGCAAGGAGAACAGGTTGGAGGAGCTGTACGAGGATATGATCGACATCAAGGAGTACGAGGAGACGCGCAGACTGGTGAGCAGCGCGCCGTGCCGTGGCCGTGTAGGCGCATTCTGACGGGCCCAGTACCCCCAATGGACTGGTCGCAGGGACAAGCGCGGCATCCCCGTATACCTCTTCGAAATCTCGCACCTGAACTCCAAGACCATTGCCGCCTACGAGACGACGTCCAAGCAGAGCTCCATCCCTAACACCAACGTCCCGGTCAAGATGCTGCGCCTGTTTGCCCTGTACGAGAACCTCACTCGCTTCGTCATGCCCCTGTGCTCGGCGATCCCTGACCGCGCACACCCCGAGACGCCCATCTCGCAGAGCAACAACATTGTTGATATTTCCAATGTCGGACTTAAGCAGTTTTGGAATCTGAAGGGGCACATGCAGGATGCCAGCCAGCTGGCGACCGCACACTACCCCGAGACGCTGGACAGGATATTTGTATGGATCCTGTGGAGTTCTTTTTGTGGCATTGGCTGACACCGTAGCAGATTATCGGCGCGCCGTCATTCTTCCCCACCGTCTGGAGCTGGGTTAAGCGCTGGTTCGACCCGATCACCGTCTCCAAGATCTTCATCCTTAGCAAGTCCAACATGAAAGAGACGCTCGAGCAGTACATAGACTCAGAGAACATACCCAAGAAGTACGGCGGCAAGCTCGATTACGAGTTCGGCATGATGCCCATCATCGAGCCGGCCATCGAGAAGAACCTCGCCTTCGAGACACCCAACATGCAGAGCGGCAAGAAGACGATCCCGACGGGCCCCATCCGGTGGGAAGAGAACGCGCAGGGCAGGGTCGAGGCCGTGGCCGTGGGCTCTGAGGGCGGCAAGCCGCGCCGGCACGTCGTGGCCTCGCTGGCCAACAACACCAGCCTCAAAGCCATGCACGGCAGCACGATCAGGGGCGCGACGGCGCCGCCAGCAGCGGGCACCGCGGCCGCGCAGCCCGCGCCCATCACGACGTCCGGCACGCACACGCACGCCGCCGTCGACCCCAACGCGGAGATCTTGCAGTCGCCCACGACGTCCGCCACTGCGGCCGGCGGCCTTGCGACCGCGACGGCGCTGCCCGATCGCACGGCTGCCAACGACGACGCTACCCGCACCGGTACATCCGAGTCCCGTCTCGCGGGCCAGGACGGCACGCATGCGGCCGGACACGCCGCTTCGGGCACGCCGCACGAGGCGGTCAACGACCACGGCCACGGCGACCGCACGCTGACTGTGGAGCCGAACACGGTGGGGCAGGCACCGAAGGCCGGTGCTGGGGAGCCGGTGGGCGGCACCGAGGCGCCGGCGCCCGGGTACGTGGACCAGGCGAAGGAGGTCGCGGAGAAGGCGTACGAGAGTGCGGCGGGTGTCGCGGAGGCGGCGGTTAGCGCTGTTACTGGAGGAGGAAAGAAGGAGGAGGAGGCGGCGCCGAAGGAGGTCCCGAGGGATCCGAGGGTCGAGGGTATGGAGAAGGCGCAGGTGGAGGAGTTTTTGAGGGGCGAGAATGCTAGTACCCCGGCTGGGAAGTAGGTGTGGTTGAGTTGGGTTGGTGGTGGGGGTGGCGGTGTATGTGAGGGTGGGTGTGTGTAAGTGTGTGTGCATGGTTGGAGCATGGTATGACATGGCGTGGCATGGCGTGGCATGGCATGAGGCATAGAGACGGATCTAGAGGCTGGGAGTGGGCGTAGGCATACGCATACGCATAGTTGGAGATTGTTGCTATTCAGCCCAGTCATCCATGTATTAATTCTCAATTGACGCGTTTCTGTTCTGTGGTGCATTAGTTAGTGCAGCAAGAGAGTCGTGTAGGTACAAACTAGTGTGAGAGGGCAACTTCTCCAGTGAGAAGGTTTCAAGAAAGAGGTCATACTGCTGGGGCGAATACGTAGGCCGCGACAGGATCACGCGCACAGCGCTTTCTTTCCTTACCCAAAGGCTGCTGACCCTTACGGAGCGTCTTGACGAAGAACCTCAGCTGTACCGTGTCGGCCAGCGCACGCTGGGCCATAATCCACTGCTACGCAAGAAGCTGTGGGACAGTGACCGTCAGCAGTTCGCCCTCCGCATCAGGGACATGCTCAACGAGATGGGAAACTTTTTTCAAGAGGCTCGGAGAGCGTATTGAAGCTCATCATCACCTCGCCCTGTCTCTGTTCTTCGTCGTCGCGTCATGTCGCTGACATCCACCACCATCACCATCATCATCACCACTACAGTACTCCAGCCAACCAGCTAGCTGTTGCTGCGGTACCGAGTCGACGTTCGATGGCACGGCAAACCCCCATGCGTCGGCTTTAGTTTGAGTGGATGACACTCATTCCCGTCTCTGGAATCTGGTCGTTGGTGGAGAGGAGACGGGTCGAGAGGGTGGCCTTTTATAGTTCATCATTTCTATACGTGGGCTTAGTGGTACAGTGCCTATTTACTCGTCTCTCCCGTGTTGGTGAATATAAATAAATCTGTATTCGCTTTTTCTATGTGTCTTTGGTGTAGTTGATATGTACGGGTCAGTTTGAGACGCGGTAGGAGTGTGATAAGGGGTTGTTGCGGCAGCGGTTAGTGATCGTGATGCGGTTTTGAGGCGGCGTTGCACTTCCATCGAAGGAGGAGCGCTAGTTATGGGATAGAACACAGCTGGTGAAGTCCGCTCTAATCTAACTGATAAATTGTCGGCACGAGCTTCAGTGAGCACTTCGACACACTCTAGCCCGCGAAAGGAGAGCTACTCCGACATAGACGAACTAACACTGCAGCCCTGAAGGACGATCTGGCTTATGCGGTAGCGGGATTGGGCCAGTTATATCGGTATATCTACAGTGCTATAAGGTTGCGCAACGGTAATGCAGAATAAACGCCGCTGATGAACAAAGATATAGAAGTGTAATAAACATCAGCACCGTTATCTAATAATGGTCATCAACAGCGTCTCAACACAACACAACACAACACCACCACCAAAGACGACAGCGCGTCCTAGCGTAACCAGGCTTCAACAGCCCACCCAGCTCAGATCACAAGTCAACTTCTCGAGACCATAGTGTTAGATCCTCCAGATCTGCCTGAGCTGCCCCTTCAAGGACCAGTGCGCTTGCTCGTTCATGTCGAGGATAGCGCGAGGCTTTTTATATGAGGTAAGTGGATTTGCACGTGTTGCGGTGCTGTGGATTGTCTTTCAGCCAGCTCCGAGTGCGGATGATAGATGCGGACGGTGCTTCGGCTTGATGTAGTCTGCGTTTTGGTTCGTTGTCTTGTACCCTCCTCTGTGGAGTTCGAAATGTTGTCGCCATCTCACGACAGAGCAATGGGGACAACAACATGCCCTTTCTATTAACGTGAGATACTTACAGGCGGGCGTTTCTGTATCCAGTCAGTCTGCCCAGAAGGTAAACAATGATTATTATAACCTCTGCGCTGACAAACATCAATAGTAAGTTCTAACAGTCATTAGTATTATGCTCTAATAGCGCTCATTGCTTGAAATTATACTGTACCTCTCACTGTCCCACTCACTGCCCCCACCTATCTCCAGCACCAACGACCACAACAAGTTTATACTCACATATATGGATTCCCTCCGGTATTCAGGCTACTCTCGCGCAATCCAGGACATCAAAATCGTTGTTCTGAGCTTCGGTATATATTTCGAACTAACACCGGCGTACGTCCCCTTTATATACGGCGTCAACTGCATACCCAGGCAGGCAGACAACCACCGCCACCGCACATCTCATCTCATCACATCACATCTCAAGCATCAAACAGCCATCAGCAAACGCAATAACTCAATAGCATATAACATATAACTACCAACCCAACCCCAACCCCCTCCCCTCCTTCCTTCCTCTACTCCCCCTCCACACACACCCCCGACAACCATAACCACACAACAGCAAAACAGCACAAGCACAACAGCACAAGCACAATAAGCACAGCACACCTATCTAGCAACCCAACACAGCAAACACAGCACGCAGTCATCACAGCAAGCAAGAACGAAAAAACGAAAGGAAGAGAGCAAAGAAGGAAGAGCCCTACATGACTAGACTAGATAGACGTTTATCGAAACTTTGAGAAAAAAAGGGAAAGGGCAAAAAAGGGGAAAGGCAAAAAGGAAGGGGAAGTAAAGAGAAAAAGAAAAGAAAAAGAAAAGAAAAAGAAAAGAAAAGAAAACGCCTGCCTGCCTGCCTGCCTGCCTGCCTGCCTGCCTCGTCGCCCGTCGCGTATCCATCCATCAATCCATCCGTCCGTTCGTCCGTTCATTGCTGAGAATAGCAAGTAGAGCAAGCAGAGCATCGTAGAAAGCATCGTACAACCCCGCCTCGCCTCATGTGTGTGCTTAAGGCTGTCCATCAATCCGTTCATCCCGTTCATCCCGTTCATCCCGTTCATCCCGATCATCCATCCATCCATCCATCCATCCATTCATTCGTTGTCAATCTCTCTCTCACTCTCTGTATCTCTGTGTATCTCTCACTCAGCACTTCACCCCAAACCGCACATCCCATACCCCACTACCACACCTTACAACGCCCTCTCCCGCTCCCCCTCCTCCTGCCTCCGCATCCACGCCTCAGCCGTCGCAGCACCAGCCCTCTGATCCCCCGTCGCAGGCGGCGGCGTCGCAGTCGTCGTGTCCATAGCGCTCCCATCAAACGTGACGCCATCGATGCGTTTCGCGTCGAGCATCTGGGCCTGCGCCTCGGGCGTGCTGGGCGTGCTAGCCCCGCTGTCACCACCGCCAGTGCCGCCCATCATCATCGCCGACGACGACGTCGTCTGCGGCATATCCGCGCGCATGTGCGCCGGCAGCGGGACGCCCGACGCGCCTGCAAGCCCCTGCTGCTGCTGCTGTTGCTGCTGCGCAATAGCGGCCTTGCCGATGATGGGGCTAGCGGGGCCGCCGATGCCCGCGCGCGCCGGCGTGCGCGCCCCCTCGCCGAAGCCGACGAGGCTGCCGGCGCCCTCGTCGCTGAAGCCGCCCATGCTCGACGTCTCGTCGGCGGTGTACGAGGCGTCCTCGCTCATGCGGTCAGCGACGCTGGTGCCATCGTAGCCGGCGTCCGAGCCCGAGGCCCAGGTGGTGCGGCCGCCGATGCTGCCCGTGGCCGAGGCCGAGCCGACCGTGCTGCGCTCGCGCGTAATGTGCGGCGTGTTGTTTGCGTCGAAGTAGCCCTGGGCGGGCGCGCCGCCCCCGCCAAAGCCCTGCTGCTGCGCCTGCTGCGCAGCTTGTTGCGCCGCCGACGCGCCCCCGCTCGAGTAGTGCCCGTAGGCGGCCGAGCCGGGCGTCAGGCTGCTGCGCCCGCCGCTGCCCGCCGTCACGCGCTCGAGCCCCGCCAGCCGCGATATGCGGTCCGCGCGCTCGGCGTCGAGGGGGTTTTGCTGGTGGTGGGGCAGGTGCCCGCGGTGGCCGTCTTTAATGGCTACGGTGCTGAGCTCGGACATGGATGTCGTGGTGGAGTTGGGAGTGCCGCTGTGTCGGGCGGGTGAGGTCAGCTTGTGAGGTGTGGGGTGGTGGGAGGGAAGCAACTCACGGGACATCGGACGGAGTGACGGGATCCGAAGGCGGAGGCGGGAGGTTGATGAGCGTGGGAGCGGTGGGAGGCGGATTAGTCGACATGGTAGCTGACGGCGGGTCTTGGAATCGAAGAAGTCTTGCAGGCTCGGAGAAGAGGAAGAGATAAGTAGATCTGACTGGGTGGGTTGCAGCAGGTAGCTCGCGACAGAGAGGGGATTTGGATCAGATAGTTGTTGGGATCGGAGGTGGAAGTGATTGATGGTAGGAGTAAGTAGTGTGATGGTGGATGGCTTGGAAAGTCGATGGTCGTGGGGAGAGGGAGTGATGCCTTGGAGCCTTAGCTGGTCGCCCGCGGGTTACTAGCGGCCTGCCGACTACGTCACGGCCCTTGGCGATCTTCAGGGTCAAAGGTCAATGCCTTCAACAAGCCGACCCGGAACCCCGCATTATCTTACATTCCATTCATTCAATCCTTTATTCGTTCGTTCATTCACTCATTCATTTATTCATTCAGCTAGAATTCTAAAACCCCCAGTACCCTCTCACGATCCAAGCCGTGTACCCCGCCAGGCCCAGCAGCACAGCCTGCGTGCCATAATACCCCGGAATACGGCCCCAGCCCGCCGACTTGCGACCACTGGCATTGGTGCCCATGATGCCGAGCTCGAGATGGGCGACACGCAGCACGAACATCGTAGCCAGCGCGCCATGCAGCCAGCGGCGGTTGGCGCCGTTGAGCTCGGCCAGCGCCGCCACGCCCAGCGTCACGGGTACGGTCTCCAGGAAGTTGGCGTGCGTGCGCGTGGCCAGGTAGAGGGGGTCATCGTCGGGGGCGCCCGTCGTTGTGGCCAGGCGGTCGCCCATGAGGCTGGTTGTGCGCGTTAGTGTTTCGGCCTCTCGCTCTCTGTGTGTGTGGGGGGGGAGTGTGGGTCGAGAGACATACGCCTTGTGCTTGAGCCGCTGGTACACGATGCGGTTGGAGAGGAAGATGAGGTATGCGGCAAAGGGCGCCGTCCACGTCGCTGTGACGGGAGCCAGCATGGGCATGGGTACTCCGAGCCCGACTTGCACCATTGTGACACGGAGAGTGACGTGGAGTGTGACGATGCGAAGTAGTTGACAGATGCCGAGACAGGAGTGCAACGGCGAGGAATGAGGTTGAGGTAGTGACGGATACGACGGGAAGTCACGAAGTTTACTTATACGGGCACTCGGGCCAACTACCCCGCGTGCGTGCAGCTTAGGTACCAATGCCTCGATTGTTCTAGAAACAATTCATCGCATTGCCAGTTTATCAACTCCTTATTCCCTCCGTGGAAAAGAAAGATCCCACATCATCATCATCATCCCTGTGAACATCCATGCCGCTCATCAGGGCCATCCACACCTCCCAGCGCTAATGACATCATGCATTCCACCGTTACCCAAACAGCAATCGAATATCAACCAGGATGCATGCAATGAATCGAGATCCACCTCTCCATAGCGACACACCCACACACATCAAGTCCAATGAGCATTTCTTTGCGATAACTCAATCGATATGTAGCATAGGTACGCGCGTATACGCCCACACGCCATACATAGAGCAGAAGGTACCCCTGCAGAGTGCAGACAAACAAAGCAAAAAGCGGCGCAGACGCCCACCCCCACGCCAACCACAAAACCTAAAGCAATATGTAAACTCCATCCATGCCATGCAAAAAGAGAAGCCAGCGCCCTCCACACACCCCCACCCCCACCCTCACGATCCCAAATCCGCCCCAACCCCCCACGCCCACAACCCCAATCACAGCCCCGCAACCGCCTCCTCCACCACCGCCCCCAACATACCAAACCGATAAAACCGTGCCACATTCCCCAGCACCTCCAACCGATCCACGACCTCCTCCCTCTTCTTCGTAGGCACCCACTCGCCCGCACAAGCACAATGTTCCATGAACTCGTTTGCGCGCAAGCGGGCGCACTTCGCGCACTTGACGTCCTGCGAGCACCACGCCAGCGCCAGCTGCTGCACGCCAGCGAGCAAGCGCTCCTCGATTCTTAGGAGGTCATACGCGGCGTTGCAATTCGTGCAGCGCCACTTGACAGGCTGCTGCTCACTCCCGTTCCCACCACCAGGCCCCAGCAGCAGCTCCGCGTCCCGGCACAGGTCGACGTCGCGCATGGCCGTGCAGTCGTCGCACACGAGGCCGCGCACCCAGAGACTCGCGCTGGGGTTGACAAACGCGGCCGCGGCGCTGAATTCGCGCACGTCGAACAGCTTGAGCAGCTCCTTGCGCAGTAGCCGCACCTCGAGATTGATGCTCTTGTCTAGACTTAGCACCTGCATGATGGACTTGACGAGCTGCAGCGCCGGGTTCTCCAGCTTCAGGTGCGAGCCCGGCAGCACGGGGAAGAGGTGGTCGGCTGCGAGCTCTGGGTGTAGCAGTTCCTGGTGCTGCCGGCGCAGAAGCGTCGCCATTTGCTTGGTTAGTGGCTTCGTGAAGGTCTTGGGCAGTGCTTGCGTCGGCACGCCGTCTGTGGCGTCCACGGTCATGGGCTTGAAGGGCAGCTGCGTCAGTCGCGGCGTCGACTCCGTACCGTCTTCGTTGAGCGTGGGCTGAGGCCGCTTCCGCGCGTGCATCAGGTCGATGAACTCGACGATCCAGTCGTTGAATACGGGCTGGAGGTTGGCGGGCAGGAACGTTGCAAACTGCCAGCACATGATCGTGTCTAGCGTCTGATTCTCCGCCTCCACGACCTCACGACAGCCCTTGCCACCGTAGTTGAACTCGTCGTACCAGGCGAGATAGTCCCAGTACTCCTTGATTTGAATGTCCAGAGACTGGAAGAGCGGCTTTGCGTGCACGGTCTTCAAGATATATTGGCTGTAGGCGTAGGCATTGCCAACTTCGGCCTTGGTCGTCTGGAGCAACAAACGGTTGGCGCTGGCAAACACCACGTGTGATCCCACCCGACGAAAGTCTGTCATCAGCTGCTGGAGAGCCTTGCGTGACATCATTTGCACGTAGTAGTGCAGTGCTCGGTCATAAAGGAACGAGCCCGGACACTCGACCCAGCGGACGAGATGCTGAACCATGACATCTGCCATGTAACCTCCCTTCTCAGCCTCAGCCCACCAGGCCTTGACCATTTCCCGGAGGACCAGAATACCTGCAGAGGCAAAGGCGTTCTCTGCGTATATGACGTTGGATCCATCGCTTGGCCCATTATCCGTGGGCGCTGCGGGATTGAACGACACGGAATCTGAACCCTCAGCTTCGTTGATGATTGAAGAAGAGAGAACAGTGCTGATGGCAAGGTTCTTGATCTCCAAGTCGATACAAACGGATGAGTAAGTTCCTGGGTTGTTGATTGAGGGCATCTCAACAGTCTCCAGCGCGCCCATGACATCGTCCTTTTCATAGCCAGCGTGATCTGGCTTCGGACCGTCTGACCACCAGAGCACAACCTTCTCCTTTTGCAATCGTCGGGCATACGCGATGTCGATGAGGAAACGCGGGTCGTCGCGCTCCAGATTGCAGAGCGGGAGGTCACCGTAGCGAGCAAGTCCGACAAGATGTGCGATCCACGTGCCGAGGTCGAGATAGTGGTCAACGAGCCGTCTGGCGACAAATGACTGCCAGCCTAGAGGTGGCAGATGCTTGTCTGCTTCATCGGCTTGCAATGGTAGAACTGGAAGATCCTTAAGCGCCGGGATGTCGTGCGCCAGCATCCTCTGGTTTTCCGCCCGAACCACAGCAATGAGGGGCCTGTTCTCGTCTTGTCGCATCTTCTTGATCGCATCTGCCACTTCAAGGTGCGCTTTCCTTTTCGTGGTGACCTGAACAGTCTTGAAGTGAATGTTGCTCTGGTACTCGAACGTCTCTTGCCACTGCTCGCCACCGCTCTCTTCCATGCGTACAGCGAAGTGCTCCTTGTAGATCTTGTCCAGGTTTGGCAAACCCTGTATGTCTCTCGACTTGTTCAGAACGACGATATGGGCTTGGTCCTTGCTGCTAGAAAAGATGGCGAAGATTTGGCGGTCGCCGGCAATGACGTGGTGCAGATACAGATAGCCCAGCGGGTTCGAAGAAAGATAGGGTTGCTTGGTTGGCACACGGCAGAGGGCGGACAAGTCGAAGCCTTGCTCGAGACCCTTGCCTAGAACACCGCGCTGGCTTTCGTCAAAGGTACAGATGCTGCCCAGCTCCAGCACAGCGCGAATGTTGAGGGGCACCCGAGTCTCGTACACGCCTTCAACACTTGGGTGGTTGAACAAAATTGTTAGCTTCTTCGCTTCGTTGACGTATGTCTGCTCGGGCATAGTGAGCTTGAAGAGATGCACCGAAGGATGTCCGTTCGGCAAGGTATGATTGACGACCTTTTCCACACTGCAGCCTGGAATTTCCACGTCCGGTAGATCGTTGCTCCGCAGGTTGAGGTAGACTTGCCGGGGAACGATGATCTTCAAGGTGTGAATCTTCTTGTCAATTAGGACGAAGGCCCTGACTTCTCCGGGCAGTTCACCCTCACGCAGCTGCAAGAGCTGCCACGTGCTGATGTAAAGCAGTTCTGCCTGATTTCTGAAGAAGCTTCCGAGTCCGTCTGCAGCATCAGTACGCTTCTCTCCGAAAAGTTGGCGTCTTCTGATCCTTTGTTGCTTTTGAATCTTCCACTTTTGCTTCTGGTACTGAAGCCATGCCGGGTAGTCCTCAGTGATGGAAGGCATCTTTGGAGGTAAAGCTGCGTATGGATCCGTCTGCGCCGGCGTTGTCGGTTCAGTGGCTTTCCGCTTTTGGACCATCTTAGTGACCATGCCCTTCTTAGGCTTGTCGACTTGGGTAGACCCGTAATCTTCCAAGTCTACGACCTTTTTCGTGACGATGTTGGCATCGATGTCGCCGAGAGCCTTCTTGTCGAACATGTCCGTCATTTTCTTCTGCTTGAAGACATCGTCCTTTATCCGGATTCTCCTTTCCAACCAGTCGGGGTGAGGCACTCTGGGTACCGGGTTCCTGATCTTTTGAAGAGCTGCCGGAATGGTAATGAGCTTCTGAATGACAGAGCCCAATCGCTCCAGGTAGTAATTCCAGTCAAGAAGGGTCCTCGGGTCCATATCACCAGGATCTCCCTTGAGCCATCTCCGCAAGAAGTACTTCTTTACGGGCTCTTCTGCCGAGAAAATGGCCACAGGAATAGCGCGTTCTGTGACCGGAGCATTCCTTGGTAGCGAAGATATAATGTACTTGCAGTTCAATCCCTTGTCTTTGATCATCTGCTCACCCAAGAACTCTGCGAGACGCTTGGCGGTGGTGATGGCGGTAGATTTCTGTGCACCATACTCTTCAAGTGTCTTGGTCATGCTCTTGTTCTCGCAAATGAGTTCAATCAGCTCTTCGTCTGCCAGAGTGGTACCATGCGAGTGCAGGACATCTAGCCACTGGTTAGCAACCTTGGCGACAGCCGCATAGGTCTCCGCCAGAGTGGTTCCCTCGAGGAAGAACTTGAAGATTTGCGTCTGGAAGATTTTGATAAGCTTGAGCTCACCCCTCCTCTTGACTTCGAAACCCTTCAACTCAGCAAGACTGCCGTCATGGTTAAAGACAGCATAACGCTTCTTCAAATTCTTGTCTTCTTCCTTAGAAGTAGGCAGAATCATGGCCTTGTACGGGCCGTCAACCTCGAAGAAGATGGTATTGTCGCTATGAGTCTCATAGCGCAGCGTCTGCGTATCAACCAAAGTCTGGTACTGATGGTTAGTGAACCCATCATGAACCAGGTGGTTCAACATGACGCAAGGGTACGAAATTGTGAGCTTCTTCCCATTCTTCAGCTTGAAAGCGAAGTTTTCGGGGAAGGTCGATGGGAGAATACACCAAATACCATCGGTATCGAGTTCCAGGGGTCGGCCTATCCGTTCAACCAGCTGACGCGCCATCTGGATGATTCTCGCACCCGTTAAGCAAGTAACACCGGCCATTTCCAAAGAATACCAACGAGAGCCTTTTCGCATGACGTAGCCGTAGAAACTGTTCAAAATGACTTTGTGGGCCAGCTGCAGCGAGTCGAAAAGAATAATCATCTTCTTGGCTTCATCTACCTCCGAGGCGCTGGCGCCGGACGCCTTCAACGCGTCGGTCTTGCCCTTCCAAACCTTCTGTTTGCCTTTGAAATCGTAACGGCGGTCACGGAAATCCTTGACAGTGTCCACGTAGAAAGGGTTCTCGCGCTGACAGATGATGGCCTCTCGTTCTATCGTTCGAGCGTCGTGGATTTTGTGGTAGATCTTTTTACTATAGTCTTGCAGACGTTTCTTGACAAGAGTTGCTTGTTCGTCGGCGGGGAGCTCGTGGAAAGTTCTACTCGCTCCATTAGGGTTGCGATCAGGGAATCTTTCATTCTCGAGGGCATTGCGAATCATGTTGTATTCGTCCCGTTTCGCTGGCAAGAATTCTCCTCTCCATGCCCAAGGCATACGTCGGTCGCAGGTCTTGCCCGGTCGGTTGAAGTCGCAAGCTGCACAGTCAGCCTCACTGATCATGGAATCCGGCTGAAGACGGTTGGTTGTCATGATGTTTGGATACATGGACGCAACATCCAAGTGGTAAATGAATGGCCTTTCGCTTCTGTTGGGTGTGTCTCTCAGTTGGAGTAGCTTTTCGGTGATTTGTGCCTTGACTTCGTCGTAGTTGAGGACATCATCCATAGACTTCTTTTCTTCGACTGTTATGCTGAATGTCAAGGCCGCGTCCAGGTCTCTGATCAGTTCATCAAAGGCCGCTGAGTCAAGCGCAAAGTTACAGGGGATATCGCTTCGGAAAACACCTGCTTCAATACTCTCGACGTGACCACCGACGTACGTTTCGGACTCCAAAAGGTGTCCGTCCCAAAAAGCTTCCTTAGGCGCCACGTGCTTGTTCGGCAGGACGATACCTTTTTGGTAGGCCTGGACCATCAGCAACATCTCGCAGAGAGTACCCGTGCCTTTGCGGAGAGTATCATCGGGGCCGAGTGGAATGATGGTACATAGGGAGAAAATGAAGGGATGCACGTATTTCATGTACAGATAGTACGTTGCAACCGCATCAGATACTGAGTATTCTGCAAGAATCTGTGGCCTCTCTGCTGCGTATGGTGTCATGAGTTCAGGATCCAGTTCATCGGGGTCGTATCCAAGCTTAGCAACAGTGACGGCTTTCAGGCCTCGACTTCCTTGAGGCAGGTAGGAATCACGGTTGACCCATGCGAAAGCATCGATATGACAACAGTGATCTGACTGGTAGATGTCTTCGCTGTTTTTCCGGAAACCAATTTCTTGGTACATATCGATGCCCAAGACACTTGCTCTGGCTTCAACGAAAGGCCAATCGAAAAAGTCACCGTTGTAAGTGACCATGACGGTTGGTCTGGCTTCTTTAATGTGTTCGAAAAAACGTTCTATGCAGGCCTTTTCGTCTGGCTCGTTGAAGATCATGAAGGGTCCATCGTATTCCGGCCTTGGAGTGTATTCGAAATCAGAAATATCTTCCGATACTATTTCTCTGTTGGTGATCAGAAACCCTTGGCCATCGATCATGTATGAAATCATCATGATTTGGTCAATTGATGCGTCGGGGAACTTTAGCGGGAGCTTCGTCGTCTCAATATCGTAAGCCATGACAACGGGATCGGCACGAGTAAGGCGCTCTTCGATGCACGTCAAGGTTGTCGTGCCGTGCTTTGCTTCCACCGTGTACCACTTTCCAATGCGAATGTCTAGGAGCATGTCAATGACATCTGAAGGCCAACGCGGCAATTTATGTATACTCACCTTTGTCAATCGCAACTCGGACATGGTATGGTACGTCGTACTCTCGAATATCAACAATAAAATCACTCGCGTCAATGAATCCATTAGGTCGTGTCTCGTAATCTTCGTCGTCAAAAATGTCAAAGCCAGCATTGGCGCTGTCAGTGTCAGCGCAAACCACGAACTCAATAACTCCTAGGGCAGGCGTACCTCGCAACCTCCGCATATGTGTCCATTGCATTCATCTTTTTCTTGTTCTTCTCCGCGATTGGTAGAAGCGTTTTCCGTACGCTCAAAAGGTCGGAAACGTTGAAGAAAGAGAGCTTGAGGAAGGTCCGCCGGTAGCCTAGGAGGTGATTGGGCATTTGAAGGTCTTCCTTTTCCACCTTGCTGACGCCCTTGACCAAGCCTTCGAATGCTCTTTTACACCACTCCTCTACGTCCGCTTCCTTCCCTCGCTTGGCGGCCACCAGAAAATATGGATCATAGCCCACGGTGGCTTTGAAGTAGTTGTCGTCGTCTCCAATGAAGTAAAAGTCGACTCCAGCGCGCCCGCCCGGTATGTTTTCGTCTTCAATTGTGGTGCTGTGCATGTTTATAAGCCAGCCGATTTTCTTCTTGCCGGATTCGTAGCGCGAAAAGCCCATGGACTCGTCGATGCTGTGGGCCAGCCGGGTGGCTTCGAGTTTCTCATTTTGCGACGTCACTTCGCTGCTGCGGAGCGCAGATGCGTCTATGGTCTTGGGGCCTTTGCGGGGGGCGTAGGAAGTCGAGCCGCTCTTGCCCATGCGGCGGTAGGGCTGTCCTGCTCGGCGCGGAGGCATGGCGAAGGATCGGAAAAGCCGCGGTGGGCTCAGAAGGAATTAGGTCGTTGAATGGCTACACGGGTATCATCTGAAAGCGGGAGTGGGCCAGTGGAACGAAGGAGGGTATGGGCCGCCGGGCAGTGTTTGTGTTGCTAGGTGCGGGCTGAAGCACGCTCCCCCGATTAAAGTGCGACGCGAGAAGGCGAGTCGCGAAGACGCGTTCGCGTCCGCCAATCGTTGCCAAGCAGACGCTAATCATCGGAGACCAAACGCCGACGCCCTCGAGCTTCTTCCATGTCATCATCGAAAATCGCTCCCGTCCAATTCTCCAGCGACCGCAGCAATGGCAGACGACACACGGCAAGGCCAGGCTCCCGCGCCTGATGTGACTCAGTCTGGCGACCCCAATGTACGCCCATACCAAGGCAAAGTCTACGAAGCTGTCGCTGCGCCGCAGCAACGTCAAAATCCGAACATCATGCCCGGCGGTACTCAGCATACCGCTGGAGGAGAGAAAGTCGAAGAGCTTGCGCTGTCCAAAGCAGTCGGCATGATCCAACCGCATGAATTCTTCGAGATACACAAGTATCCTTGTGTCAGAGAGGCACTGTTGACCGGTATCGGGACCGGCTTTGGCATTGGCGGTATCATGGGCATCTGGGGGAGTCAGTACTCCCTTTGCAGCTCCTGATGAGCGGGAAGATTCAGCGCTAACACTGGTCGATCAGAACCCCTCATGAAGTCTTGCAATTGGGCAATGGGCGCCTTCTGCATCATGTCGATAGGCGGGTACGAGTTTTGCAAGCGGAAAATACAGCTGGAGAAGGAGGGCCTGACCAGAGCTGTGGAGGTCATGGAGCGGAAGAAAGATGAGAAGAAGATTAGGAGGGAGCAGGCGATTGCAGCGCGCAGAAAAGCAAAGGAAGAGCAGGACAGGTTGGACGAGCTGCGCATGAAGGAGGAAGCGAAAAGGAGCAAGTCGTGGTGGAAGGTTTGGTGAGAGTGAGGCAATCTTGATGCTCCGTATTTTTATAAATATGAACATCTATTCTGTGTGCTGGGAGGTAGGTACAGTACCTTTGGCCGCAGCTGTACGCATTAGGTAGTACGGATACAATGGCCTGAATTCCACAAGTTTTGGGCACGCGACCATGTCTCAAGGGCGAACCTCGACCTCTGACCTCACCTCGTCGTTGGAAAAAGAAAAGAGAGGAAAGGCCATCCCAGCGACAATCATTCACGGTCGCGCAGCATCCATCTGCCGGCCTGTCAGCCTCACAGCTCGCTACCAGCCCCCCGGAGCCAATGAATTGCGTCACACAGGGTCCAGTCCAAGGCTAGAAGTAGATCCGCAAGTCCGCAAGTCAGCACCAGCAGCAGACAGCAGAGCGAACAGCACTCAACACCACCCAATATCCCCGATCAAGCATGCAAATACCCTCCCTGCAGCCCACCGTCCGCCCCCACGCCTCCAGCTCGCAGATGACCATCTCGCCCAAACGAAAGCGCGGCCCCTCTGACCCCACTATTGTCCAGCCCTTTGCGCCCCGCATCAACCTCTCCGCCCTCTCGGCCATCAACACCTCCGACAACACCAACCCTCAAGATCTGAGCCCCCAAGCCCCGGACAGCCCACGCAGCCGCATCGCCACCCAGTTCGAAAGCCTCCGATTGCGCAGTGGCGATGGCGCCGGCTCCGCTCTGCCGGTCATGATGGATTTTAGCGGCGGCAACGGCAGCAGCGCCACGGCGTCGGCCAGCAAAAAGGTGTGCCGCTCGCAAGCCGCAGACGAGAGTCTTGACAACGGCATATTTGCCGAGAACTGGAACCATGCTGCTGCTGCCGCGGCGGCAGCAGCGACGGCAACTCGTACACCCTGGCGAAACACCCCGCCGGACTTTGAGATCCCCGAGACGCCGCAGAGCTCCTTCGGAAGCAGCACCACCGCCTCGCTACCCGCACACGCGTCATCGTCGTTCTTGTCCACCGCCAACACCACCACGCAGTCTGCAACCACTGCCTCGCCTCTGACCCGCTTCACACCGCCGCCGCCATCGTCCTCTCCCTCCGTAAAGCTCCTCCTATCCGCACGGCGTCACTCCACCCCCACGACGCCCAGCGGCACATCGACCACCACCACCACCACGACGGCCAACACCATTAACACCACTCCCACAACCTCGACACCCAACTCTCACCCATACCACCGTCCTCACAACCACAACCACCGACGCGCACACTCACCCCCACCCCCGCGCCCCGCTTCTCCCTCCTCCCCCGACCCCACAAGCCTAACCTGGCACGACCACGAAATCACCGGACACCTGATAGACCCGCGCACGGATCCGGACGACGACGGCACGGGCATCAACGGCATCGGCTTCCGGCCCAGCCACGCGGTCGCGCAGGCGCGCGCGCACAAACGGCGGCAGCAGCTATTGGAATGGCGGGCGCGAGAGGCAAGAGAGGCACGAGCGCGGCGGAGGGAGAGACGGGGCGCTGGTGTCACGGCTGCGGTGGCGAGGGCGGGGAGGGTGGGACGGGGCGCCGCGGCTGTTGCTGCTAGTGCTGCTGCTGCTGGAGGTGCGGGCGGAGAGGGCGAGGGAGCTAGGGAGGGCAAGAGGGTCGTCAGGTTTGCATAGAGGGCTCCCTCTCTTGTGTGGATGGGTTTGGGTAGCCGGGAAGGCGTATCGGGCGGGCTGGGTGGATAAGGGCTGCTAGGCTTTCTTTGGCGTTGCGGAAGTTGCTTTTCTTTCCTCATTTCCCCGTTCCCTTTCCACCTCCTTCCTCTCTTTCACTTCCTCTTCCACTTCAAATCTGTCGTTTTTAATACACATGCACGTATACACGCATGGATTGTTGCTTTGGATACCAGCTACGGAGTAGGCCTACTTGCTTGATTGTTCGTGATAGCGGTAGTGGATATGAATTGGTTTCTCCTCTCGGGTCATGCTTTGAGAATTGCGTAGTTGTGGTAAGTAGGTTAATGGCGTCTGGGCTATGGCTCGTCGTGGCAAGGCTCAAATAGTGGACTGTCTCACGATGCCAGACTAGCCGCCGCGGCAGACATCCGTCGTTGGTTGAAGGTACTGACATCAAAGCTGTCGCATATGGGGGCTTTGCATATACAATCTGTCAGCGCAGACAGGAAAGTTCGGGGCGCGCGCCCGCGTTCTTTGCGTGTGGAGGGACGTGGTGGTGTGGTGATGGTGGACAACTGTGTGCGCCGACGGTGGTGACAAGCAGCACACACCACCGCTGGCAATCACCAATAAAGACCGGAGTAGAGTCAATGTCAATGTCCTCGTCTTGAGCCCTTGCTATTTCGCCTCAACACGCCAGCGGTAGTCCGTCTCCCGTCTTTGAAAATCTTGTAAGGGTTTGTGGAATCAGGATAGGGAACGGATTGCTGCCTGAGCGCTTACACTCAGTGGGCTGGGCGGCTTCATTTTGCTCCTTCGTGGGTACGTCTACTGTATATACGGTTTGCTTAGGGCGTACAGATCGTTTGAGGAAAGCCTGCGTGGAGCGGGCTACAATATTGGAAAGTATCCGCAGCTCTATGAATGATGTCACCACAACTGAAGCTCTAGCAGTTACACGACGACAAGAACAGCAATACGACCTTCACATCGAGAAGACAACTGCAAAAGAAACAAAACGAGATACCAGCGAACAAAACAAAGAGCAAAAACCTCGACTCTAGAGGATTTACAGCGTTGCCGCCGACATAGATGAGAAAATCCTACGGAGGAATAGGGTTTTATTTAAATAATTAGGTGCAAGTCGTAGCTTATAACGTTACGTTAAATAGAACTAGGGCGCTAGCCACCACCCTTATAATTTTAGTTGGCGGTTTATATTAGTAACACGAGTTAGAAGCGTCGCGTGGTTTAGTGGCCACCATAAAGGTACCTTAACACTTCAAGGTGTAGCACCTGGAGTTCGAGTGTTCGAACCACAGCGTTGTCACGACGCGCTGGGGAAACCGCCCTTGCACAACTGGTGGTTTATAGGGCTTTCGGGCCCGACTTTTTGCTTCCTTGTCGTTTATTTTTATTATTTTTTCCTTCCTATTTTATCTTTTGCTGACCTAGACCGAAAAGCATGAGTCGGCCCCAGGCTTCTATTTGTTTGCCTGGTCCATCTTCGCAGCTTTTCTCCTCTGCCATCTCTGTTTTGACTCCTGCTCCTGTTCCCGCTTCAATGACGTCTGTTCTCTCGTCATTCCTTACCGCTCAACTTGCTCCACTTGCGTGATATCCAAGTCGTATCCAACCGCACCACTTCACTGGGTGTTCCGCTGACAAACATTTTGCTGTTAGCATGCCACTCGCAGCGTCCGTGCACTGACTGTTGCACTGAAAGCGGTAACTAGCCACAGCCGAGACCAGTGAGGGATAGGTTCGGCGGCGGTGGCGGCGGTGCTGGCGTTTACGTATCTTCTTGCAATACTTCTCACAACCAGCTCATATATGCTAAGTTCGGAACTGCCGTCTTACGAATGGTAAGCTGATCATGACATACATGTTGCTTAAAGGCTTGAAGTTCTAAAAGATTTGTTCTTTGTTTCCTTCGCGTTATTAGCTTCCCGACAGCGCTAATAGCTAGTCAGCCCAACTGCCTATGTCTTCGCAGTTTAGAGCTTTCTCTCTCTCTCTTTCGAGCAACCATCATTCGGCCCGGTCCCTACCATTTTGACACACTGAAGCCGAAAACCAAGATTTTCGAGACCCAGCATGATCTGGCTCGCGCGAGAGCAGATCGATCCCCAAGAAAGCGAGTAGGATATACGCGAGCTTGAGCTTGCTATCGCTAGAAAACACACGAGGTCGACAAGTGGGTCAGTGAAGTGAAAGGATGCGATGCTATAGTGGAGGGCATTAGGCCTTACTGTACTGGCTGAAATAGGTGTGTTGCCGATGCTGTAAATTATTGGATCAATGTGAGAATGAAAGAAGAGAATGTCTGGCATGCCTTTAGCTGTGTGGGTGCAGCATCATCTGCTCCGGCCGCGTTCGTGCGTTCACTTCACTTCACTTCACTTCACTTCACTTCGTCTTCCGCGACGCAAGAGATGTCCGACATCAACGATGAAATCAACCAGAATCCATTCCTACTCTCTCACGAGAAGCAGGTCCTAGGAGTAAGGCATGCAAGCCCACCGCCCAATCTTCCAAGCAGTTCATTCATTTAGTCATCCCCAGCCCAGATCCGCCAAACCACCACATCGTCATGGCAGAGCCAATCCGCCAGAGAAGACCCAACCAAGCCAGCCAGCACTACTTTCCGCCCTTGCCCTGAGTCTGACCCTGGCCACCAGCATTCGCGTTGTGCGCACCAGCGGACTGGGCGCGCGCCGCAAAGCCGCTGGACGTCATGTCGCCGTCGCCGCGAGCCTGTGGGGGGTAATGCTTGTCAGTGATACATAGCCTCAAGACAAAGAGAGACAAGTGGGCGAGAGAGATGCGGCTTACCTGAGAAGACTGGATGCGCGACGCGTCGGAGGACGTCATCTGCTTGCCACCGCCACCGCCGCCGGCGTTGTTGCCGCTGGGGTTGGAAGTGGAGTTGCCGGGCATTTTGAGCGTGTGGGTGATGTGGAGTGGGAGTTTGGGTTTGGTTTGAGTGTTGTGTGCTTTGTGTGCGCTTCAGGTGGGTTGTCTTGAGTTTCGACCGAAGCTTGTGGATTCGTGTTTGGAAGATGGAAGTGGAGAGTGTACGGGGATGGGGTTTTTATAGCTGCGTGCTGGGGGCGAGGGGGTTGGCGAGGAGTCATGGGGTGGCTGTGACGGGCCGCGTGTTGGGGTGGTGTGTGCTATTGTGGTGACTGTGACGGGAGGATGGGAACATTCGGTTGGGTCACGCGTTGTTCTGGAAGGGTTTCTGGTCTGTGAAGGATTGGAGATGTAAACGGATTGGCTGGTGGACAAGTACGTGCGTGCTCGGGCGTTTGCTTTGGCAAACAAAGTGTTGGATTTGCGTCTTTACGGCTCGTGACGTACTCAGTTGACTGCTTTGCTTTGCAGCTTCTTGAAGAGCGTGCTTCAATTTAATTAGATGGATGTAAGATGACGAGAAACCAGGGCAAGACCATTATGCTACTAGCGAGAGGGTACGTCTTAAGCTTTTATTTAGGATGGCAAGAAGTACCTACTGCGTTGACAGTGTCAAAAAGCGGAAGTGTAACAAACAACACTTGTACAGCGAAGTGGGCCACCGGTCCCAAGCACCAACTGCAGTGGCAAGGATGGCAACGTTGCCAGGGTCATTGGCAAGAATGGTGGAACTGGGATAGGGCTGTGCACTTGTTTTCTCTATCGTCGTTTAATGTAGTTTTCTCGTAGTGGCAATCAATGACCTTACAAGTAGTTGACTATTATCATTAGTGAATCAATGTGCATCTTGTACGATGATGTCGCGATTCTGGCCGTGTGAGTCCCCTCTACTCTACTACTTTCTGCTCGAAGTGTTCAGGGAGTCTGGTCCACGTCCAGATAGTAGTTTCTGGGTCACAATGATTGTAAAGGTGTGGAAAGACTTGCTGGAGTGAAAGGTAAAGATACTAGGTGAAAATTGCAAGGGCATTTATAGGCTAGTCATATGAAGGAGTCCTGGGCAGCTTACCCTTCATGACATGCTTCTACGATTCTATTCTTACTAGCCCTTTTCTGAACAAAATTTCCCGTTGGCATTGGGGCAGTATAGAGCTTATTAGTAAAACAAAAAGTAAAACTATTGCACGAACCAACTTATAAGCATCAAAAAGTGCTTGTTGCTTGGGTAGTTCCGTCCGGCATTCTCTGCATTTAGCTCTGCCGTGGTCGCCGAAGGATTTCGTCGTGACAGTTGCCTAATTAGGAAATGGCGTCGGAACTGTTCAACACCACAAAACGCCACCTACAGACGCCACTGCGCTAGCCCTGTTTTCGTTCGGAAGTTCCGGACTGGGTTCTCCTCCGAATAAGATCAACACCTGCAGGTCTGGCCTTTTGAGGCTTGCGTGCAGAGTCGTGATGTCATGCAAAGCGCGGGCTCCGTCATGGTTGACACATGGCATATATAACCGGAGCGGGACATAGCACTGTCAAACTGTATTCCACGTCTCAACTCTTAATCTGACCTCTTCACATAGCTACCACAAATTCTATACACCACCTATCCAAAACCACCACCACCACCATGCCCGACACACTCACCAAGTCCGAAATCAACTCGCAAACCGACCCCTCGGTCGCGAAGCAATACGACAACTCTGCGCCCAAAGACGAGCAAATCAAAGACTACTACAGCATCGTGGACGGGCTGAAAGTCGGGCTGCTAGGCACGTACCGGGACGGCGTAGGCGCGGTATCACGGAGCATGGGAGTAGCGAAGCGACAAGGCCCGGACTTCCTCTTCTTGGCGAACGCGCACTCGCGCAAGTTCGAGGACCTGCAACAGCGCCGCGAGGTGCAGGTGACGTTCCAGAACAATTCGACGCAGGACTGGGTCAGCGTGAGCGGGACGGCGACGACGGTCGACAACTCGGACTCCCGCATCAAGGACATCTGGAACCAGGGCGTGCGAGCGTGGTTTGGCGACTTGGGCGACGGCGTGCATACTGGTGGCCCGGAGGACCCGCGTATGACGCTCATTGAGGTCAGGGCTAAGTATGTCACGTATTACAAGACGCAGGTGGGCACGTTGGGCATGATTAAGGAGGTTGCGGGCGCGGCGTTGACGGGCAAGGTCGCGAATACGGGCGTGTTGAGGGAGTTGGGCGAGGCCGAGTTGGAGACGGCGAGGGGGTTGGAGGAGTGACGGTTGTGAAGCGGTTACGCGGAGGGCTGCGGCTGGGGATTGTACTATAATATGACAAGCTCGAGGAGTTCTATGGAAGTCAGTCAGCTTTTTGATTTGATACGCAGCACCGTTGGTTCTCGTCCGGCGAGTCTCACGTCAACCCCGCAATCTCCGTGCCACCCCGCACTCCAGCTCACACTAATTGCTATATCAACAACAAACAAACAGCAAACTACCTCTCCTTGATCTCCTCACTCTAGTCCTCACTTCTCACCTCTCGCCTCTCACCTCTCACAAGCAACCACAACCATGGCCCCCGCCGCCACAGCCATAGCCACAACAACATCACCCATCCCCCAAACCCAAACACCCTCTCCCGCCTCCCCGGTCCCAATCGTCGACTTCGGCCCCTTCCTCTCCGCCAGCGCCACACCCACCTCCCGCCGCTCCGTCGCCACCGACATCGACGCCGCCTTCCGCAGCGTCGGCTTCGTTTACCTCACCAACCACGGCATCCCGCAGCAGGAGATAGACGCGTGCTTTGCCTGGGTGTGTTACCCTTTTCCATGATCCCTTCCACCTCACACCGTCCGTCAGCCGGCTGGTCCAGCACCGTCCTAATGCCCCGCAGAGCAAGCGCTTCTTCGCCCTCCCCCCCGCCACCAAAGCACTAGCACCACACCCCCCCACCGGCGCCCATCACAGAGGGTACAGCGCGCCGGCCACCGAAAAGGTAACGCAGCACACGTACACCTCGTCAGACATCACCTCTGCCCGCACAGTCCCGGACGTCAAAGAGTCCTTCGACAGCGGAAACCCCGCCGACGAACGCCAGCCCAACATCTGGGCCCCAGAGGACGTGCTTCCCGGCTTCCGCGCAGCCCAAGAGCGCTTCTTCGCCCTTTGCGCCCAGCTCGTGCACCGCGTCCTCGAGGCGCTGGGCACGGCGCTCGCGCTACCTGATGAGCGCGACCTCAGCAACGCGCATGCCGCCAGCGCGTTCCAGTTGCGGCTGCTGCACTATCCGCCTGTGGCTGTGCGCGCGCTGAGAGAGGGCGTGAAAGCGCGCATAGGTGCGCATTCGGACTTTGGGAGCTTGACGGTGCTGTTTCAGGAGAGTGGTGGCGAGGAGGAGGTTGGGGGGCTGGAGGTGCTGGCGGGGGAAGAGGGTAGGGATGGGGCGAAAGAGGGGGAGGATGGTGAAGGAGAGAGGCGCTGGCGGCCCGCGCCCCCGGTTCCTGGCGCCGTGCTCGTGAACATCGGGGACCTGATGGAGCGGTGGAGCAATGGGCGGTGGCGGAGCACGATGCACCGGGTTGGGGCACCGCCTGCAACCGCCAATACAGCACCAAACCCCCATCCAAGAAACAACGAGCCGTGGGAGGGGGCACGGAGCGAAGTGGACGGTCCAGAGACAGACGGCGTCGACGGCGAAGAATTGTGCGCGCCAAGGTACTCGATCCCGTTCTTTGCGGCGCCGGACGACGATGCCGTTATTGATGCGCTGCCGGGGTGCTGGGGCGAGGAGAGGCCGAAGAAGTTTGAGGCTGTGACGGCGAGGGAGTATGTGACTATGCGCATGAACGCGCTTTATTGAGCGGGTGGATGCTAAAATGACAGGTGTTTTTCGGTTCTGTTGTGTTGCTATACCGCTAAAGGTATTTGTCGTCGACATTGCTTCATTACTCAATATGTATGCTACCCAGTGCTACATATGTACGCCCCGCTCAAATAAACACAGCAAAAGGTATCAAGGCGCGCCAGGTACGCCTGGCTGGGGTTAAGGTCGACTTTAACTGGCTTCTCCAAAGTCCATGTGTCCGGTGCTTTTCGCGTGGTCCACGGCGCTCGTCTCCCCGCTGCCTTGCCAGCCGCACGTGTTGCACTTGACCGCGAAGCCCGCCGTGTCCGTGAAGTAGTGCCGGCCCTGGAGGATCTTGCACAGCTCGCGGGCCTTCTCCAGGATGATGCCGTCGTCAGCATCGAACTGCTTGATGTCGAGCTCAGGCGGCAAGTCGGCCTTAGTGTGCGGAGGCTCTGAAGGGCTCATGGCAATCGTGTCGTAGTGGATGCCCGAGTACACGAGGATGCAGCGGCGCGGCTTGCCCTCATTGAAACGGTCCACGCGCAGGTCCTGCACGTTGATGCTCGCAATCTCGAGGTCAAAATGCTGGCTCAGGATGCCGAGCTCGATGCCACCGCCCCAGCTCTCGTCGCGCTGTATCCAGCGGCAGTAGTCGTCGGGCGCCTTCTGCAGCACCGCCTCGTTGTACAGGTCCGGCTGAGCCTGAATGCCCTGCGCAACCATGCTGCGCAACTCGCGCATGCTGTCCAGGTCGTCGCCCAGGACGGCGCTGCCCAGCGCGCGGAACATGCAGCTGTTGTCGTCGGGCATGACGCGCAGGACGAGGGTGCCGCCGTGCGTGGGCACCGCGACCTCAGGCGGGTCGGCCTCAACGTCCGTCTTCTTGCGCGACAGGGCCAGCGGCTCCTGCATCCCCGCCGCCTGGTTCTCACGGTGTTGCTGCGAGCCTGGCAGCGGTGCCGCCGCCGCCGGCGTGCTGTCCGACATGGGGTGCGCCAGCTTGCCGCCCACGTCCCGCGGCGCCACCACCAGCTGCTCCCCGTTGAGCTTCAGCCCCGTGTCGCTAATCTTGGTTATCGGGTCGAAGGCGCTGAGGTCGATGGGCTTGGGCGGATAGCCCGCTTTTAGGTCGAAGCTCGGCACGCCGCTCTTCTCGGCGATGCTGGACTGCAGCTCGGCCATGGTCGCGTGCTCGTCGATTTCGATGGTCGACACGCCCTGCGGGCCGCGCACTCGTACTCTCATGGTGGGCGAGGTGTGAGGGGAGGAAAACAAGCGGCCGGCGCAACGAAGGCGGAGCGGGATGGGTCAGGAGACGGCGTCGGGGAGGGGTGCGGCGAGGTTCTTAAGCAGCAGGAGCGAGGAGGGATGGCTGCGTGGAAGGCGAATTGGGAATTGGGCTGTGAGGAAAGAGGATAGCAATATAGACGGAAGGGGAAGGAAATGCAGGCGAGTGGAACAGTGTTAGGACGAGACGGGCGGCATGGCGGGATGCGATGACGGATGACGTGCGGCCGTTGGCGGCGCCGAGGCGCGGGCGAGGTAGGTACAGGTAGTCGTGGCCGATGGCGGCGGCCGCATGGGGAAGCAGTCAAGCCTCCAATAGACGGCCGAGCGCAGCTGCGCAAAGATGGATTCAGATGGATTCCAGGGGAAGACGTGTGTGCACACGTGGCGCCCTCCTCCTGGCAGCGTCGAGCAATTGTCTGCTGCTTTTGGCGGCGGCGATGCGGCCACGACTTGATGCGGAGCGCCACACGACGCAACGCATCAGCCACAGGCTCGGAACGGATCAACCTCCTGGAGACATGGCCGCCCGGCGGGAAATCGCGTCCGCCCGCTGCTGTTTTTGCGCGTAGAGACAACAGCTTGCTGTCCACGCCCCTCGTCGCTTTTATTTGGGCTTTCCGTTTCTGCCATCTTTCTCGTCTCCGGTCCTTTCCAAGTCTCACCGCTATCCCAAAAATATGTCGGCGGCGCAGTTGCTCAACCCCAAGGCCGAGTCGCGGGTAGGCACACCCCTCCACCAGGGGTATGGACCAAGCTAACCTGTCCCGCAGAGGCGCGGCGAGGCCCTGAAGGTCAACATTGCGGCGGGTGAGGGTCTGCAGCAGGTATGTGAAGAGAAGCTCGGATACATCCAAGCGCTGAAGTTGACGGCTCACTAGGTCCTTTCCTCCAACCTGGGGCCCCGCGGTACCCTGAAGATGTGAGTCCCGCCGCCCATTGCCACGAACAATGACTGACAATCCGCAGGCTGGTCGACGGCGCTGGCGCGATCAAGCTTACCAAGGATGGCAGCGTGCTGCTGCGCGAGATGCAAATCCAGAACCCCACCGCCGTCATGATCGCGAGAGCAGCTACCGCACAGGACGACATCACGGGTGACGGAACGACGTCGGTGGTCTTGATGGTCGGCGAGCTCCTGAAGCAGGCGGACAGGTACATCTCGGAAGGTCTGCACCCCAGGGTCATCACCGACGGTTACGAGTTGGCCAAGACCGAGGCGCTCAAGTTCTTGGACGACTTCAAGCTGCAGAAGGAGGTCGACCGCGAGCTCCTGCTCTCCGTCGCCAGGACCTCCCTCTCCACCAAGCTGAACAGCTCCCTTGCTGAGCAGCTCACCCCCGACATTGTCGACGCCGTCCTTGCCATCTACCAGGCCCCTGCGAAGCCCGATCTGCACATGGTCGAGATCATGACTATGCAGCACCGCACCGCTGCCGACACCCAGCTGATCAAGGGTCTTGCGCTTGACCACGGTGCCAGACATCCGGACATGCCCAAGCAGGTCGAGGACGCATACATCCTCACGCTCAACGTCAGCTTGGAGTACGAGAAGTCAGAGATCAACTCGGGCTTCTTCTACTCGAGCGCCGAGCAGCGCGACAAGCTGGTCGAGAGCGAGCGGAAGTTCGTCGACGAGAAGCTCAGGAAGATTGTGGAGCTGAAGAAGGAGGTCTGCGGTGACGACCCGAAGAAGGGCTTCGTCATAATAAACCAGAAGGGCATTGACCCGCTGAGCTTGGACGTTTTGGTGAAGAACGGCATCTTTGCTCTGCGGAGAGCGAAGAGAAGGAACATGGAGCGGTTACAGTTGATCTGCGGTGGTACGGCGCAGAACAGCGTCGAGGACCTCTCTCCGGACGTTCTTGGCTGGGCTGGCAAGGTCTACGAGCACACGCTTGGCGAGGAGAAGTACACGTTTGTGGTATGTATGCTTGGGATTTTTTGGTGTAAACAATGCTGACAGTGAGCAGGAGGATGTCAAGGAGCCCAAGTCGGTCACGCTCCTGATCAAGGGCCCCAACGCGCACACCATCGCCCAGATCAAGGATGCTGTCCGCGACGGTCTGAGGAGTGTCTACAACATGATTGTCGACAAGAGCGTGGTTCCCGGCGGTGGTGCTTTCCAGGTTGCTTGCGCGGCGCACCTTCGCAGCGACGCCTTCAGGAAGACGATCAAGGGCAAGGCCAGGTACGGTGTTGAGGCCTTCTCTGACGCGCTCCTGATCATCCCCAAGACGCTCGCGGCCAACTCGGGTCACGACATTCAAGATGCCTGTAAGTCAAAAATCTAACGCAATCGCACAAGCACGGTTTCTAACGCAGACGCAGTGGCCGAGATGCAGGACGAGCACGCTGAGGGCAATGTTGTCGGGTTGGATCTGGCATCAGGCGAGGCCATGGACCCCATTCAGGCCGGTGTATACGATTCGTTCCGCGTGCTGCGCAACTGCATCGCTTCGAGCACGGGTATCGCGTCGAATCTGCTGCTGTGCGACGAGATGTTGAAGGCCCGGCAAATGGGCAGGGCGCCTGAGTCGGCCACGGAGGGTTAAGCGGGCGATGGGGGAGCAGGAGGAGGTGATGATGCATGTCATGTAGTCTAGACGGCCCCCAGATGATGAAGCAGTAAATGCATGTTGAACGATGACTGGTGCACCAGATCCGCCGCGGTCATGGACGGACGGATCGCCGTGCGGACGCAGTCGGTCAAGCATGATTTATTAATATCGAAGCGGCGGCAAGGGAGCGGGCCCGAAACCAGCACCTCCACTGTTTCCGTGCCAAGAGCTCTAGACGGCGCGATACGAAACGGGAGAGCTTAGCTTGACCATTATGTACCACTCCGCCCGCCTTGGCTGCCAGCGCCTCTTATTTCAACCCTCTTATTTCAACCACTGCAATTGCAAGCCCCGGCCTGTCAGATGCTGTCCTTGCATCACCCTTTCTTCCCGCGTTTGATCGAGAGCACGCGACCACCTCCGCAACCGACCACCTAAGCATCAATCTCCTGGTCCGCGGGCCGCCCACAACCGCCGCCCACAACCGCCGCCTGCTATGCCTCCTCGTCCGCGCCGTTTCCGCTTCTTGGCGGTCTTCGCCGTCATCACCCTCCTCGCCCTCTACCACTTTTCCGGCTCCGGCAGCGACCTCGGCTCGAAATGGAGGGGCAGCTCGCTGACCGGCAGCGGAGCGTCCGACGACAAGATTGACGTCCTCGTGCCGCCGCCCCAGGGCCCCATCTCCAAGGAAGACAAGCATCCCGATGTTGTTGTGCCGGCCGCCGAGAAGACTCAGGACAAGCTCGAGCTGCCCTCAATTACCGAGCCCACCAAGCCCGCGCAGAAAACCGCTCCGGCCTCGCTAGAGACTGCTGCGGCTCCCGGGAAGGGCAAGCCATCATCTCCTGACCACACCGTTGAAAGCGACTCGGAAGAGCAGGAGACTCTCGTGCCAGAAGAGCATGACGAAGGCCGCAAGGAGGTCTTTGTCCACGAAGAAGCGGATCCAATCCACTGGAAGAAGCTGGAGGAGCATTTCCCGGTGACGTCGACGATACAATTGCCCACGGGCTCGCCTAAGCCGGTGCCGAAGGTCCAGCACACTTTTGCCAAGGAAACACCTGAGCAGAAGAAGGAGCGCATTGAGAAACTGGCTGCCATCAAGGAGGCGTTCACTTTCTCGTGGCAGGGCTACAAGGACTACGCGTGGATGAAGGATGAGCTCTCGCCAGTGTCAAATGGAAGCCGCAACCCATTTGCTGGATGGGGCGCCACGCTCGTCGACGCGCTGGACACGTTACACATAATGGGACTTGAGGATGAATTCGCGGAGGCGGTTAAAGCGGTGGGAGAGATTGATTTCACCACCACTTTCCGCAAGGATATTCCGCTGTTTGAGACGACCATCAGGTATTTGGGTGGTCTTCTCTCGGCTTACGACCTCAGCGAGGGAAAACACAAGGTTTTGCTGGACAAGGCCGTGGAGTTGGCAGAGATCCTGATGGGTGCTTTTGATACACCCAACCGCATGCCCGTTACGTATTACCATTGGATGCCGTGAGTACTTTTTCGTTTCTGTCTTTTGGACCCCGAACATCAAGATTTATGAATGACTTCTAACGATTTGCAGCACTTATGCTTCGCAGCCTCATCGAGCTGGAAACCGCGCCGTTCTTGCGGAAATTGGCTCTTTGTCGATGGAGTTTACGCGCCTCGCTCAGCTCACGAAGGAGCCCAAGTACTACGACGCTATTGCACGCATTACTGATGCTTTTTACGAATGGCAAGATAAGACTCGCATACCCGGCATGTGGCCTGTTTACGTCGACGCCTCTGGTTGCCACAGGCAGAGCCGCGATAGGCCAGCGCCTCCTGCGAACCCTGACAGACGTGTGTCGGAGGCGGCAGAGGCCAAGGCCGCAGGGGCTAAGGCAGCAGAGGATAAGGCGGCAGAAGACAAGGCGGGGGATGTCAAACTCTCGTCAACTAAAAATGAGGAGAGTGCTGTTGTCACTGATGGAAAAACGAATGACAAAGTGAAGCCCGACCCTCAACGATTCGACGTTAAGAACCCGGTTCCTGATGATGATCATGATTTGCTGGGTAACTCGCTCTGGAAGCGACAATTGGATGATGCGCTTTCTCTGGGCAAGGCGGCAGCTATCTCGGACAAGGATACCAAGATGGCCCAGCACGCTTCGGCCCCTGAAATCACGAAGCAAAACATTAAGGCGGCGGCGGCAGCCGTCTCCGAGGATCCCGATTGCATCCCGCAAGGCCTTACGTCTGTCTCTGCTACTGGCAGAGAGCAGTTCACGCTCGGCGGCATGTCGGACTCCATGTACGAGTATTTCCCGAAGGAGTACCTTCTTCTCGGCGGTTTGGTTAAGGAATACCAGGCCATGTACGAAAAGTCCATGGTCCCCGTACGCAACAAGTTGCTGTACAAGCCCATGCTTCCGCCCGGATCTCCCGAAGTGCTCTTCTCCGGAACCCTTGGTGTCAGCATCCCCAACGTCGAAGGCAACATGGGCGAGATCCTGACGCCAGAGGGTGCCCATCTCACCTGTTTCGCCGGTGGAATGTTCGCGCTGGGTGCCAAGATCTTCGGCATCGAGTCCGACATGGAGATCGCGGAGCAACTGACTGAGGGCTGCGTCTGGGCCTACAATGTCACGAACACGGGCATCATGCCCGAGTCCTTCCTGCTCGTGCCCTGCGACGACATCAAGGGCTGCGAGTGGAACCAGACGCGGTACAACGAGGAGCTGGACCCTAGCCGGGAGGCGCGCAAGACGCACTACGAGCGGCAGATGTCGCGGTACAGCAGCCAGGTATCGGAAGCGCGGGCCAAGGCGACGGAAGCACCGGCGGAAGCGGCGACAACAGTGGCGGACAACGAAGCCGTCCCCACGGACGAGGTCAAGGTCGCCCAGGGCGTCATCAAGCGCCAGCTCGGCGACGTCTCGCGCGACGAGGCGTACAAGAAGGCGAACGCGGACGCGCTGGCGGCCAAGGCCAAGGAGATGGCGGGCAAGAAGCCAGCGGCGGGTGCGGAGGCCGCGGAGAAGGAGAAGCCGACTAAGACAGTTGAGACCGGGGCGCAGGAAGCGGAGGAGGAGGACCCCGATAAGAAGGACCCGGTCATCGCGCATATTTATAAGCCGCAGAAGCCGCTGTCGCATGAGGCGTATGTTAAGAATAGGATTGAGAACGAGCGCCTGCCGTCGGGCGTCAAGGCCGTCACGAGCAGGGGTTATATTCTTCGGTAAGTGCCCTGCACGCCCCTCTCCCACCGGGAGGCAAAAACAAGCAGTAAACAAGACGGGGTACTAACGCACTGCAGCCCCGAAGCCATCGAGTCAGTCTGGTACATGTACCGGATCAGCGGCTCAGCGCACTGGCGCGAAGTCGGGTGGGCGATGTTCGAGGCCGTGCAGAAGCACTGCCGGGCCGCGTACGGCTATTCGGCGATCGACGACGTGACGCGGCTGGAGCCGGTGTCCAAGGACGAGATGGAGAGTTTCTGGCTCGCCGAGACGCTCAAGTACTTTTACTTGCTGTTTGCGGACGAGGAGCTGGTGAGCTTGGATGATTGGGTCCTTAATACTGAGGCGCATCCTTTTAGACGACCGGATGCGGGCGAGTAAGCAGTGGAGGGGGAGAGGGAGTCATGATTGATGAGAGTTTTTTGAAAGTTGGTGATGATGGGTTGGTTGGGGTTATTTTTTCTTTTGGTTTGGTCTGGTATTTTTTGCGGGTTTGAGAATAAGAATTACGTTTACATGCTTTTTTGATGGGGTGAGGGAGTGTGCTGTTGTGAGGTGTGTTTGTAAGAAGAGGCGAGACCTATGGACTTTCGGTTCTGCTTCTTTTGGCGTCTGGCTACTTCGCGAGTGTCTGTCCTCGTGGCAATTCGATGATCGGTTAATTTATGCGCGTTATCGTGCTATGTGAGGGTCTGTCTTGCATTATTTGTATACTAACTAACGCGCTTCAGACTACCTAAGGTGCTGAATGTTGATACAGACGTGAGCTCATAGTTGTGCGGTATATAAAGGACCAGCGTTGCTGGACTATGGTCTCCACGACAAGCCTTGCAAATCGAAGCAAGCTGCCTCCGTAGAAACACAAAATGCACGTGGTCCTCCCGGGCATGATCTACTCTACGCAGTGACTCTGTGAGCCTTGAATGGCTGCGCTATAGCGCTAAATCTAGCTGATTTGTTGTCGGACTTTGGCGACATATGACAGCATTTTAATGTGCTGACAATCGTCGGCGATGGGGGGTTGTGGTGGAGAGTGGCAGTGTTGCGTGATGGTGGTATGTTAGAACACATGCTTTGGTTTCGGAAACGCGGTTTCTTCTTGTTGGAGGAGAGGCATAAGAGTGAAATGAAACTTCCCCGCCAATATGGAGTGTTCATCGACCACTCAATTTGGCCCAGTGTCGAACCCAATGGTTGACTGAACTCATGGAGAAGAGATGAGATGTTGAGAATGCAAGATGGAAGACTTTTTATACTCTCGCGGCAGGGCAATGGCGAATGCCTATTAAAGCAATTTTTAACTAAACGCCAACCCAAAACCTGGCCTTCCCTCTACCTCGACTCTTCCAAAGAGAGAGATTCAGAAACGCAGACCCGAAAATAGAAGACAGAAAACAAACCTCCACCGTTCACCTAAGCGCTCCCCGCACCCATAACCCTCGCCTTCTCCCTCGCAGTAAACACGCCCTCGCCCTGCTGCAGCGCATGCACGAGCAGCGGCAACGCCGAATCCCGGAAATCGGGCGCCGCGCGCACCTTGTCGAGGTCTTCGGCCAGCTCTGCCGTCACGGTGCGCAGGTACCAGGACGGGAACACCGCGGCTGCTGCGGCAGTGGACGGGGCGCCGGACTCTGGCTCTGGCGATGAGGATGCTGAAGATGATGAGGGGGATGGGGATGGGGATGGCGCTTTCTTGACGGCTGGTGCGGCGGCCTTTTTGCTGGTCTTGGGGGCGGGGGCCTGTGGTGGTTAGGTTGGTGGTGAGGGAGTTGGTTGGGATGGGGGGAGTGACTTACGGTTGAGGGAGCGGTGGCAGTCGTCTTCTGTTTCTTGCTGGGCTTTTTCTGCTCGACTTCGCTTTCGCTCTCACTCTCGCTGCTGCTGCTGGCTTCGCTGCTGGATGAGGAATAGACTGTTGGAGATTGTGAGAAATTGGACGGATAAAAAGATATGGTATCTGAGCAAAGGAGGATAATTCCACGTACTCTCCGTGCGGCTCTTCTTCCTGCTGCGTCTGGACTTGGCCTTTGCGGCTGCGGCGGCCGGTTTGGCGGCCATGGTGAGAGTGACTGAAAAAGTTTTCACGCTTGAAATGCGATGGTTTCGAGAAAAGCTTGAATGGTCTCAGACTTGGGTTCTTGAGCGGGTTACAGAAACGTTGAAGTGGAGCTATTGTCTGTGATGTCTCTTTTGTTGTTTTTCCATGTCTTCTTCTAGAAGGCAGAGGTGAATATCCGGGGTCGAGTCATGTCTTGGGGACTGCCTGACTCAAGCTCAGCAACTCTATTTCTACACCAAGCGCCATCCATCACCTCTTCACACCATGGCAAGTACAGTCCTCATACTCTCATACAGCGCCATAAATCTCTTTACCTGGTTGATTACTGTTATTAAATCTATCGTACTGCCGTATCTTCTCTCCTCGGCTTCATCTGAATTTATGCGGCGTCAGATGCACTACCATTGGACACGTCGAGATGGAGGCTTGCAAACTTCTATCATTTGCTAACCTCAGATGCCTAAATACTATGATTAATATCCACTAATGAGCTGGCTGCAAGCGCTCAGCTGGTCAGCTACCCTTGTCTGTCCGGTTACACTGAAGTGGTTAACTAGGTTGCACAGCGTGCGACCCAGCTGAGCTGATATATTTAGACTCGCGCTCCTATTTTTCTTTCTTTCCGACAGTTCTTGTGACTCGCATTGCTCGATATTTCACTTTTCCGACTCTCCACATCTCTCAACTCCCCCCTGCGTCCTTTCCCTTTCGACTATTCGGACCAAGTTTTGCAAATCCTCAAGTATGCGATGCAAATATTGCGAAGGGCTCACATTGAAAGAGTTACTGAAACATGGCAAAGAAACCCTTGATGAACACCGCTTTAGTTGTTATAAGCACCGCTGGAACCCTTTCGCAAAATTGAAATACTGTCTCTCTAGCCCACATCACTCATCACACGTTTCATACAAGCACCAGCCGTCTTTAAGAGCCTTGGTAGCTTCAGCTCTGGCTGGGTGCGAGTTGTGTGCAATTTTTTACGCTGAGTTTAAGAGTAAATTTACTCAGCCCGAAAATCACCCTTGGGACAAGTCCTCCGTATTGTCTGTTAATATCCACACAAGAATGTCTGCAACCGTTTGGCCCTGGTCCCTCGATTTCAAAGGTTGGCATGATAGGCTGGTTGTGTACCTTGGTGACGATTGGACTTGGCGTACAGAAATCGAATTTGATATGTTCAATTCAAATAAGTGCGTAATTTCAATCCAACGAGACCAATCTAACCTCAGCTGAGCGCAGACAAATCAACCATCAGTTACAGTCCTGTCCTTGGTAGGCATGTCGATCCAGATCCGAAATCGTCACAGACTCTATGCAAACTGAATGAATGGTTTCACAACTGCGTAACAAACCACGCTAGCACGTGCCAATCGGTCTCCGCCAAGCAACTTCCAACCAGGGTAATTAACGTTGGCTCTCGAGAAGGCCATTCGAAATTGTTTTTATACGAAACAAAAGGCGAAAGTGGGCAGTATGCGGTCCTCAGTCATTGTTGGGGAGGTGTCAGACATTTCGTAACAACGACGACAAACTTGGACCAGCGCAAGCGCGGATTCACTTTGAATGAGTTGCCCCAAAACTTCCAAGATGCTGTATTCATTGCAAGGAACCTTGGGTTGCAATATTTGTGGATTGATTCTATTTGTATATTCCAAGGTATTGGCTTCTGTTGTCCTAGTCGTTCAGTTTACCCACTGACGATACAATATCAGATGACACAAACGACTGGCAAAACGAAGCAGCGAAGATGGCCGAAGTATACAAAAACTCAACCATCTGCATAGCAGCAGCGGATGCAGCCACAAGCCACGATGGGTTTCTACACCATCGACCTTCTTCCGCTCTCTGTAAGCTTCGTATTGACAAAAAGCGGACTATCTGGGCTCGCGGTACAGATGAAACAGAACACAACCAGCCTTGTTTGAGAACGGTCTTGGACGACTTCAAGAAAATGACAAAAGAATGCGCATTAACACGACGTGGATGGACTCTACAAGAGGAGAAACTCGCCCCCCGAGTAATTTGGTTCGGCAAACATCAGAATTACTGGCAATGTCATTCCGCTAGGATCCCGGAGGGGACTTTCGGCGAACTTCACATAGACGAGTGGGAAAAGATTTACAAATACGAGCGTCATAAAGCTTCAAATCGTCTTCGCCGCTACTTCCCCATTCTGAAGGAACCACTTTTAACCCCTCCCCCAGAAAGGTTTTTGGCTTTCCTTGACAAATGCAATGGCAATACGGTTCCAGTACCATGTTGTAGCCCTTGGATTGATAACTACGGCATCCACGAAGAAATATTTACGCCAGAGACCTTAATTCATGAGCCTGCAACTCTTTCTGCATCTTACCGTTGGCTCCTAATAGTCGAGGACTATACAACCCGAAAATTAACGAAGCCAGAAGACAAATTTCCGGCAATCGCTGGTTTGGCTCGAGAGTTTTCTACTATTGCCGATGACAAAATTCCTCTCGGTGGCTATATGGCCGGCATCTGGGAATCGCAAATCTATGGGTTATATGGTCTGTTATGGGAGACTGTGGCTCACAGTGGTGATGAGTCATTTGGTTCCTGTCACATTCCGTCTTGGAGTTGGGCAAAGACATGTAATCCTGTCAAGTTTCGGTCGTTGAAAAGGGAAGACCAGTTTCAAAAGGAAACTAGAATTCTCAATGTTCGAATTCAAACTGGCGCCGACCCTTATACGACTTTCCTTGGAGGTAGTCTCACAATTCAAGGACTATGTGGCCAAATCCCAACACATATCCAATCGCCCATGACGATTGCGTTTGACACGGCTAGACTTGAGAAAGCATTCACTAGAGAGCCGATACCTGAGCTAAACGACAACGGAGAAGTGGAAAGACATGTCTTACAGCATTTGTTATACTACTGTGCCTGTCTTGTAACCGACCGTCCTTGGGCATCCTCGTACGCTCTCGTATTACAACAAGTGGCCAACCAAGAGGACACATAAGCGAGTTGGTCTTGCTACAAGACCCCTGAATGCTTCTTCGGATGCAATGAAGAGATGGTTAGAATTGCGAAACACTTTCAAATTGCGGACGATCACCATAATCTGAAAAGACAAGCCGGCGAAAAATTCATAAAAGGGAATTTATCTGTTTCTTCTTCAACAACGGTCACTCTGTCACCAAATTTCTGTGGCGCGGTAATTTTGGCTTTGTTAATTATGCACGGCGTAAATGAGTAGAGGACATCTTTGTATGTACTGTGTTGCAAATTCTCAATCATTGGCTTTCCATCTAACCCACCGCTTTTACAATCTCAAATGACACAGAGGTCTGGAACGATGTGCAGACAGGAGAACGCGTTAGTGGTTCATGCATCACAAATCACAAATACAACTCGTCTTTACAAGTAAGCTAGACACGAACTGGAACAGTCGACCAATTATGCATTGAAATACAACGGAGAAAGACAGTATAAATTCACAAACTCTCAGACACAATACCAACGCACAAATTCCATAGAGACAAGTATATACATGTATATATATATATATTACTATGCACAAAAACAATTAAACAGGCTACTTATCCTCGACCAGCAAGGAGGGAAATACACACCAAGAACAAAAGACAGCAGCAAGCATCCCGCACAAAACCCAACACCTACTCCCTGCGCTCGGCCTCGTCGCCCTCGTCCTCCTCCACCACAGCCTCCTTAATACTAACCGGCATACTAAGCGGCCTACTCCGGCGAAACATCATCTTCCGCCCCATCGCCACGCCCCTCTTCTTATCCAGCTGCTTCCCCCTCCCCGCCCTCTCCCACACCCCCCGCCAATTCTCCCTCAAATACGCGCCGAGGTCGCCCTCGCCCCTCTCCGCCTCCTCAGCCCTCACTCGCTCCACCACCTCCTTGACCAGCGGATCGCGCTCGCCGACCGTCATAACCAACACCTTGACATCGTCGACACTCAGCGGCAGCGCGCCTCCCTGTTCCCCCGCTTCGCCTCGTTCGCCTCGTTCTGATGCTTCGCCCGCACCGCCAATCCACCCCCGCAGAAACCGCACGCACCCCCCCTCCACCTCCCGCACCCCCAGCCCCCGCGCCGCCCCCAGCACCTGCACCCCCAGCCGCCAGCTCGCCGCCCCGGGAAACAGCGCCGGCACCACCTCCTCCTTGCACGCGCGGCGCAGGTACGCCAGCAGGAACTCGACGGCCGCGGGCGACACGCTCGCCTCGGACGACAGCACCACGGACCGTCTCCCCGCCGCGCCCGCGGCGCTCTTCATCCCGCTGCCGCTCCCACCGCTGCCAACGCTCCGCACGCTCCCGACGCTCCCGCGCGCCCCCGCCGCCCCTAGCGCTCCCCATCCCGCTCCCGCCGCGCTCTCAACCGTCGGCGACCCAACACCCCCGCTCCCGCTCCCCGTCGGCGACGCGCAAAACCCCTCGATCCCCAGCCCCATCATCCCGACACCAAAGCCGACCTCGATCCCCAGCCCCAGCGGCACGACGTCGGCGCTCGCCCGCAGCTGCAGCGCCGCCTCCCGCGCGCACGCAAACAGCAGCTGCCGCGGCACCGCCGGCACCGTGTGCGTGAGGTCGGCGCAGCTGGCGAAGGGCACGACGACGTCGACGGTCGGGCCGTTGAGCAGCGCCGCGCGTTGCGGGTGCGGGGACGTGCTGAGCGTGAACATTTGTTTGTTTGGGTTTGTTTGGGGGGGTTTTTTTTTGGGGAGGGGTTTGGGGGTTGTGTTTTGTGGAGGGGGGTGGCCCCGTTGTTGTGGTGCGGGTTTGGGAGTTGTGGTTGTGGTGTGCTTGGTTGCTTTTTTGCGGGGTTGGGGGTTGACTTTTGGATTTTCTTGGGGAGAGATTTTCGATTTTTCTTTATTTTTATTTTTTTATTTTTATTTTTATTTTTTTTTTTGAGTTGGAATTGGAGGGTTCTGATTCTCGAGCGTGTGGTTTTTCTTTGGAGTTTTGGTTCTCGTATCGTCCCGTGCTGTTTCTAGGGGGATCCGTCGTCGTCGTCGTCGTCGTCGTCGTAGTAGTAGTAGCAGCAGCAGTAGGGTTAAAGCTGACAGAGTAGGTAGTGTAGCGTTGCGAGTAGCGTTAGCGCTGCGTAGTGGCGTCTTTCGCAGGTAAGTTTCTCCCCCTCCCCCAATATCTCGCCTATCCCCTCCTTTTTAATATTTTTAATTATCCTCCGAATTCTCTCTTTTCGTGGATTAAAGGAGTGCACGCCCAGGAGGGCGAGAGGACACAGACGCGTTCGGCTCCGGGATGAAAGGGTCAAGCGAACGCGTAGTTAAGCCCCGTGCGTGTGCCCTTCGGTGAGATTCGGAGCGGAACGATGCGCTGCGATGCGATCACCGTGTGGTTGGTTGGTTGGTATATGTATGTAGGTAGTAAATTGCAGGGCGCGTGCCTGTGTTGCAGCAAGGCCGCGCTTCATAAAGCCTGCTCGCCTCCCCTCTCCCCGCCCGCACACATACGTACATACAATGCCCTGCCCTGCCCTGTGTCTCCCGGTTGTCGCAGCCAGCCCACAGCTGTGCCACAACGACGCGCCGGATTGGATTGGATTGGACTGGATCTGGAGACAAAAGCAACACACAACACGACACAACACAGCACGAAAGGAAACACGAACAGGGACGGGAACACGGACGCGCTCTCGACTAACGAACCAGCCAGCCAACAAACCCAACAAACCAACACCGCCAGTCACGTCTCAGCCTCCCTACCTAGTCATTTCTTTCTTCGCACACAATACACAGTAAGCACCCAACCTCACCTCTCACTTCTCACCCCCACCAGCAGCATCCACAGCAGCAACAGCATCCCCCACCCCCCTCCACCCTCCCGCAAACCAAGGCGCGCACAGCACCGCCCTCTGCGCATCCGCCAGCGAGCCCGCGCGCGCATACGCCCCCGCCAACCCCGCCGCATCCAACGGCCCCGAGGGCGGGACGGCGCGCCTGGCCGTCGCCAGCGCCATCTGCGCCGCGAACCCTGCCTCGCCCTCGTCGTCGTTCGTCGCAACCGCAACCGCGTCCGCGAGCTGCGCCCACCCGTGCGCCCGCTGCGGCGCCAGCATGATGCTTGTCGCCATCTCCGCCCGCGTTGCGCGCGCCGCTGCCGCCTCCCCGCCACCGGACAACGCGGCGATACTCTCCAGCACCGTCTCGACCCGGTGCAGCTGTTGCAAACCAAGGCCGGGACGCGTGCGCAAAGCCTGCAAGTCCGCGCGCACCGCGTCCATAGTCTCCTTGTCCTCATCCACCGCCGCCATGGCGCCCAGCAGCACCACAGCGCCAACATGATCCGCGTGCTCCGCCACGCACGCAAACAGCTGGTCGCGCGCGACCGTCTTCTCCGCCGCGCCGCCCTTGGCCCACAGCACCTCGGCCAGCAGGCACACGACGTCGGGCGCGCTGCGGCTGGCCTCGAGCGCGGCGCGGAAATGCGCGAGCGCGGCATCCATGTCATTGAGGTAGTACTGCGCCAGCCCGGCCGTGAGGCGCGCTCCTAGCCGCACTTTGCGCCGCGACTCGGCGCTGAGCCCTGTGCCTTCTTCCTCGCCCGTGAGGTCCAGCGCCGTTTCTGCGTCTTCGGCTGCACCGCCGAAATCGCTTGCTGCGAGCCGGTTCCGGGCCAGGTCCGTCTTTGCTTGCGCGAATCTTGCGAGCGCCTGCGGCGACTCCGAGACCTCGTAGTCGGCCTCGGCGGCGGCGCATATGGCCTCCAGAGCCTCGATGGCGGCGAAGTAGTTGCCGACCCGCTCGAGGTACAGCGCTGCGAGGTGGCGGTGCGGGATGTCTGTCGGCTTCTGCGAGTGCAGCTGCTGCAGAGCAAAGAGGGGCTGGATGAGGTTGGCAATGTCGCTTGATGCCGTGGACGATGACAGGAGGTGGTCAAACGTGGACAGGGCATATTGGCGCTTGATGATCAGAGGAGCCGAATCGCTAATCTCGAATGCGTGAGTAAAGTGTGACAGGGCTTCCTTTGCGTCGCCCAAGAGGAGAGCGATCAGCCCCTCGCCCAGCCAAGCCTGAGGATAGTCCGGATCGGTGGACTGGGCCCGGGCGAAAGCCATGTGAGCAAGCTCGTAGTCGTTCTGCAGAAGGTACAACGTGCCAAGGTTGACCCAAGCCTTGACGTTCCTCTCGTTGAGATGCAGACTCCTCACCAGAGCGTGCTGCGCGACCTTCGGGTTCAACTGCGTCGTGACAATCCCCAGAGCGTTCCAGAACTCAAAGTTTCCGGCCTCGAGCTCGATGGCTCTCTTGAAGCAGCGCATGGCCGCCTTCAGCAGCTTCATGGACTTCTTTCCCTGCGCTGCCTGGTCGGGCTTCTGCTCGTTGCATGCGTGAGCCCGGTACTCCGTCCAGCCAAGATTGTACCAAGCCACCGCTTGAGCATGAATGTCATGAGAGCAAGCGTGGATGGCGCGCTTCTGCGCCAGAACGGCAGCATCAAGGCATTTGCGAATCTTGGAAGCCGTGTCTTCGGCCGCCTCGCCGAGCGAGCTCAGCTGGGCCTGGCTGACACCGTCAACCTCCGAGAAGGCGTCAAACTCTTCCTTTGCAATGCCAATTTCGAGCAATTCCTGGACACTGCCGGAAGGAAAGTCGTCGACTCGACCTTGGACCCAAGTGAACAAAGAACATGCGTCGCCAACAGCCTTCCACAGGTTGAAGGCCTCAGGTTTGTACTCAGCGACACCCTTTGCGACGGAGATGGCTCCAATGGCACTGTCCGCAGCTTGGCCATAGAACCCCGTTTCAATCAGTCGCCAGCCTCTTTCGACGAGCGTCTGAAGCAGAGCTATAGAAACTCCAAACTCTTTTGGTCGGCTTTCCAAGACCTCCTTGTAGCTTCCGATAGCCTCATCATAAGACCCAAGTTCCCGGTTGACGTTTGCAAGCATGTACTTTGTGAACCAGTTCTCTGCAGGCTTCTGCATCTGCACGCCATCAGTGGGGTCTTCAGCATACTTGAAAGTCCGGAGCGCCGAGTTGTATCGGCCAGAATTGTGATAGCTTTCTCCCAAGCCCACGTAAGAGTGGTAGTCATCCGGGCTAATCCGCAACGCGGACAGGAAGGAGACGACGCTCTTGTTGTACTCTTGCTTGTTCATCTGGACAATACCAAGGGCAGAGAACGGCCAACTGACACCCTTCTTCTTCTTGGATCCTGGCGCGGGCTTGCACTTGCCAGAATCTATCGCGCGCTGTGCAATCACCTCGACAATGTCCCAATCGGCCTGATCCGCAAACGAACGGGCCAGACGTTCAGCAGCTTCAATCTCCGATGCTGACAGTTCAAACGCCTTCTGGAAACACTGTCTTGCGCGTCTCCTGTCGCGAGCATAATCAGCGTAGTAAATGCCCAGGCTAGTGTAAGCGGGAGCAAGGTTCGGGTTGGTCTTGATTGCCTGCAACAGCCTGGCGTAAGCACCCGTCCTGTCCTTCCGTGCTTGCCTTGTGGGGTCAATCTTCCAAATGCACATGGCGATGCGGAACAGCGTCTGAGCACGCAAGTCACGAGAGCGAGGATCATTGGTCGTCATCTTTGGCAGGTACTGCTCCAACTCCTCCAGAGCAGCTGTATGGTCGCCATTGAGAGCCTTGCACCACGCCGCTTCCGCACCAATTCGGGCATTCTCTGGATCGCGATCGAGGGCTCTGCTCAAGAAACTGATGGCTTCGGCATATTCTTCCTCCTCTTCTAGGATAAGACCCACACCGATAAGGGCAGGGGTGAACGTAGACTTGCGGTTCAAAATCTCGTTGAAGATTTCTTTAGCTTCTGGGTGGTTCTTCGGCGATTGATATTGGATGAGCGACGTAGCAAGTGTGCTGCTTATTGCGTCCTTGATATTCTGGAGCGAAAGGCCGGACTTTTGCGACTCGGCGACAAGAAGTTTCAAGCCTTTCCGGGTTACTTCGACTGCTGGCTCATGCTCTTCAAGGTGCAGGTAGTATTCGCTCATCAGGCGATGAGCCAGAACAGATTGCTTGGAGTCATCCAACCCATCAGACATGAGCAGCAGTCGATCCTCCGGACTCAAAGGGGGCTCTTTATTTTCCTCCTTCTCTTCTTCATCCTTTTCCTGCGGCAATTTGAGCGGGAAAGGCGCGATTTCGCTCGTCAGATAGCCCTTCAAGAGCCTCGCCAAGCCATTGTCTGGGAAGAACTCAATGAATTCGCGCACGATATTTGCGTCGTATTCCTGTAAGGATTCCACATCCTTCCATTCAAGCTCAAGCTGCCAGGCTAAAGCAAACGGATGCTTAATGATGACCATGCCGTGGGCTTGTTTCGCAACCTGATCCCTCTTGGCCTCCTTCTTCTCAGACGGCAGCACGACAAGCGTATCATAGGCTCGCTGAAACATCTTCTCCTCATACTCCCGTCGCACCTCATCGTCGCCCGTCCAATCGATGACATTCTGATATAGTTCCTCGAGGTTGCTCTTGGTGAAGACCTCGCGCTTGACTTCCGTCGTGACCTGGGTAAGCCTCGCACCCAACCGAGTCCGCCTCTCACCAATCTCCTTGTTTATGCGCTCTTTCTCTTCGGTCTCGGTAATCTCGGCGAGTCGCGTGTAGGTATGCGAGGGATGAGGAACGCGGCCTTCGGCGAAGCTGTAGGTCGAGCTCGTGGGCAGGTATGCGGCCTCCAGCGCGCGCTTGTATTGCGCTTTTGTGCCTTGGGCTCTGGCAAGGTCCACGATCTTGTCTAGCGCGACCTGGCAACGGTGGAGATCTTCTCTGCAGCGCAACCAGTCAATATTTGCACCAAGCCGAACTGCTGCCTCTGACCTACGCCTTTGCATATATCTCTGCTAGCTTGACGCCAACTTTGGTGTATTCATCGATTTTCTTCCCGCCCTGCTCCTCGTACAAGCTCCGCAGGCCGAGCAATGCCTGATCGTCGTCCGGTTTGATCTTCGTGGCAGCTTCGTAGGCCTTGGCGGCGTCTTCGGGTTCGCCCTTTTTGGTATGGGCAAGACCAGTGAACAACTTCCTGTGTAGCCATCAGCCAATGCCTCGAGAAACTTCAAGGTTTGCTTACGCGAAGTAGTTGTCCGGATCCGAGTCCAGGACTACCTGAGCCTGCGTGATGGCCTCATCCCACTTCTGAGCGTCCAAGGCCGCTTTGGCAGCCTTCAAGGCTGCTTTGTTGACGGGTGCCATGTCGCAAAGTTCAAGCTAATGTTCGAAGGGAATGGAACGAGCCGCACATGCTACTGCAGCCGAAAGACGCGGGGCGCGTTTGTAGCTCGGAAATCGCCATGACGTTGTCTTTCAGCCCTATAACGCACAAGCCACTCGGCTGGTGAGAGCCACCACCAAGAGAACAATCATACGAAAACATAATGTATTTCAGACTAGGCCGAATTTTGGAGTCTTCGCATTTGTGCTATTGAATTCCCGAAAGCCCCAACACCATGCTTGCCCAGCTCGCAGTAAGCAATACGACACATTACCCTCCACCCATCGTCTCTAGCCCTGATCTCCACGTTCTTTGCTGGGTGTCAAGACACCGGGCTTCTCCGTGTGTGTTGCGACCTCTACAACGCTGAGTGCACTATCTCCCGCTGAAGGAACGCTCATACCTAACATACGTTGCGCCACCGTCTTATGCCCAGAGTCGGTGCTAGGGCTTTCGCGGCCTGCATCGGCGTCGGGAGAGGCAATGCCACTTTGCCGCGGCTTGAGCCATGCCACATCCGCGCACCGCTTGGCTAAACGAATCGTCGTTTCGTCTCTGGAGTCAAAGTGTCTCCACGGGTTGTCGTTGGACTCGCTCAAACTGTTCAACACCCTGAGCAGCTCTGAGGGTTTGTAGTGCGGAGGCTGGTTGACCTGGCTGTTGGCGAGAAGCGGATGCAACACGCGAAGGTACGTGTGGCGGACAGCGTTTGCGGAAATCGAGTCGGATGGAAGATCCAGCAGGTTACGGATGATGATGTCAATCAGCACGTGCAAATCGTTGGTGTAGAAGTAGTCTGCCGTCTTGTCGGTGAGGAAGAGGAGGTAAAGTAGCTTGAGGATGAGAAGGGTCAAAGAAGTTTCGACTTCCCGGTTCAATAAAAGGATTAGGTTTTCTCCGAATGTCTTGTATATGTGTCCATGGGTTGAAAGAGCCTTGATCACCCGATTCGTGAGGGGAACAGGAGGCGGCGGAATATTAGCGACGAAATATTGCTCGTTCAGGACTAGCTGTAAATGGGTGTTAGCATTGAGAAGTGGGCACATTTTTTAAGGCCATACCAGAACGCGAATGACGTGGTAGCAATAGGGATCGTTGGGGTCATTGAAGAGCTCCTCGACGACCTGGAAGAGGTAGAGCACGAACGTGTCGTCGATGGCGGCTAGAAGCCAGGTCAGCCTGGTCTCGCTGTGGCTGCCAGCGTGTCCAATACTCACACAAGTCCGCGTATGTCAAGCGCTGTATCCTCCCCATCTCATATAACAGCTGCAGAAGCATCCGGTGCAGCTCTCTATGATCGTCTCCGTCGAGTTTCTTGATAAGCTCCACGAGCCTGCTGAATGCCCCCTCGGTTTCCATCATCTTGAATGTGTCACGGTCATCATCGTCGGTGCCGTCGAACAGCAGGAAGGCTGCGACAAGGTGAAGGGTCGCGGGATCATCTTCCTAGTGTGCGTTAGACTCCTCTCGAGCAGGCGGAGCGTGTGGGATCTCTCTTACCTGGATCAGAGAGTATATAAACTGTCTCCGCACGTAGGCCTTGTGCGCCGTGAAGAGCGGGGCTTCAAACAGCTTGCGAACACATTGCTCGATGTCGTCTTCGGTTTGGAGGTATTCCTCTGGCAGCGTCAGCGCTTGGTCCCTCTGCAGGCTCGCCCGAGGGCTGCATACCTTTGAAGCCTTTGGTGAAGCTGAGGTAGGATCGCAGGGCGTTGTCTATCTGCTCGTGGGCTGGGCAGTCTGCGGAGAGGATATCATCGAGCTCTGGTATCGTCAGTCAGCGTCCGGCGCGGCATAAAATAACACGCGCAGCTCACCGGCCCAGAACTCCTCTTCATTTTCGAGGCTGTACGACACCTCGAATTCCATGCTGTCGCCGGCGCGCACAATGCATCGTCTCTGCTGATCGTGGGGCGGGCGGTAGAGGGGCAACTTATTTACCTGGAGCTTGCAGGCCGGGGCTCCATCTCCTACGCGAGATCAGCGGCAGCGGCTGGCAGACGACCCGCAGAACAACAAGTCACCAGGTCACGACAGGACCACAGCTGGGCACCGTGGACAGCGATTATCACAATATGCCCAAGTCACAGGCGTCTGCGTGATCAAGCCGCACGCTCGACTTCACCGCGAGTGTGCAACACCGTTCAAATATGCAGCAAAAATAGCAATGCTCTTATCGAATTACTCCACCCAAGCCCTGTGCCAATGCACGATGACTCGCACGTCCTGGTATAAATACCCTCTCAAGCGCCGCTAGAACACCGCAAAACTCCTCCGCACGCTATCGCAAAGCAATAGATTAAGGGAATTGAAATCCGCCCGGGAACTGGAAACCACCGCCGCCTGCAGAGAACTTGAAAGAGCCACCAGGACCCTGCCTCATGAAGAACTGACCTCCTCCGGGGCCCTGACCGAACGGCGAGCCTTGTTGGAACGGGTTGCCGCGTTGCTGCTCTTGGTCGTTCGGGTCGTCGCCGTTGTCAAAGCGAGCCTTCAGCTCTGGGTCACTCAGGACTTCGTAGGCCTCGTTGATGGCAGCCATCTTCTTCTGGGCATCCTCGGGAGTAAGATCATTCTGCGACGCCTTATCCGGGTGGAATTGCTTCGAGAGCTGGCGATAAGCGCGCTTGATCGTCCTCTCGTCTGAGTCTCTGCTGACCCCCAAGACCTTGTAGTAGTCCTTTTGCTTCGAACGGCGCAGCAGGTTGTGCGCTTTTTGAAGAAGCTCTTGGATCTTGCGGTTGCCCGGATGATGCTCCTTGGCATCATTGAGCGTCTTGATGGCTGGCTCAAACTCGTCGGCGTCGATTTGACGTTCCGCTTCCAGAAGAAGACCGTGGATGTTTGTAGGGTTGAACGTGAGCGCCTCGGAGCAATACGGTTGAGCGCGCTTTTTGTTGTTCATCTAGGAGACGTTAGCAGCCGTGGCGGTATGTTTCGTCGCAAAATGGTAACATACCTCGACGTATGCTTCGCATGTCATCTCAACCAAGTTATGGTACAGACCATCAGGAGCCTTGCCGTGGACATAACCTTGTTCCCTGTACGATTGGGTGTCTTGCTTCACATCTTGAAGCAAGCTTCCGTCTTCTCCTGAAGAGACCAACTGCTTGACCGCGCTGCTGAATTGCCTTTTCTCGAGTAGTCCCTTGAGTTTGCTTAACCGCTTGTCAAGAGCCTTTTCCCGTTTCATAAGTTTCATGCAGGCCTTGGCGTCCGGATCCGAGTGAAGACACTTTCTAATCTGGGCAAGTCCTTTGTCGGTTTCGCCGAGAGAGTAAAAAGTCATAGCCGAGCTCTGAAGGTGTGCTTCCATGGAACCGGACGAGATTTGCAGAACGTGCTGCAGGTCACTGACTCCTTCCACGACCTCTCCCTTCTCGAAGCGGCATCTCGCCCTAAGCTTCCGCAAGTCCAGCGCTCCACCAGCCACCATGATAGCAATGCCAGCATTGGTGACACATCCGTCCCAGTCTCCTTGCTTTTCCGCCTCAAATGCCAACGTGGTCGCACCTTGCGCTTCCCCCAGCTCCGCGATTTCCTGGCCACCCTTCTTCCCGGCCTTTTCGTAGTCCTGCCTGGCATTCTCCCAGTCACCGTTCCTGCCCCTTATCTTAGCCCGCTGCAGCAGAGCGCCGTCAAAGTCCGGCTTAATGGCGAGCGCTCTGTCGAAATCCTGCTGAGCCTGGGTGTTCTTTCCCAGCGAGAGGTAGGTCGCGCCGCGCTTGAAGAAAGTGAGGTAGTTTTGCGGATCTTTGTTTATGGCCGCGTCGAAGTATGTCAAGGCATCCTGAGGGTTTCCCGCCGCCAGGTTCTCGTTGGCAGTGGTAATGAGCTTGTTGACCGGCCAGTCCGCGGGGATTTCCGAAGGCGAGAGCGCAAGCGCGAGAGGCAAGGCAGCACCGAGTGCCAATGCCTTGAGCGGCAATAGCATCTTGGGGGAACGATCGATGTGTGAGTGTGGCTCAGAAGGGAGAAGACTCGAAGTGGGACAGGGTTTGGGGAGCCAGTCGCATGTTGAAAGCTGTCCATAAGACAAAGAGGCCCGAGAGTTCCAGCCCTTATCCGGGGACCTATCACACGAGTCAGCTCGTCGCAGACCCCTGCACGTGATAGCGCATCTCCGATGCATGACGACAAGCCCCGGCCGCATACGATCAGCCTAAACACCTCCAACTCCACGGTCAAGCCAGATCACCCGTTAAGCCAGCTGTTTTCCTCAACATCTCTTATTCAGTGAGTTTTAGGTCCCACAGTCTCCTGAACTGTCGCTCCAAGCAATTCTCCGCCCCCACGTCGATGGGCAAACATTCAAACTGTGGTCTGGAGCACAGAGCGGAGGTTCCGGGGCTGAGTTCTGGGGATGGGAGTACGTCTTTTAGCAGGCAGACAGAGACAATTGCATCAGCAGACAAGTCCCGTATCAGCGTAGGTAGCAATCGATTCCCCTCACCCAATTTGTCCCTGTTGCACAGGGCTTCCCGCGTGTACGAGAAGAGATATTGCAGTTACCGGGCTGTAGGTACCTTTGTGCTTTCTGCTGTGTCCGGAACAGTAGAAGAGAGTTCCAATCAGCACTAGTTTTTGGGCAAGAAGGAAAAGATTACATGGTCTACTCTCTCATATTTCCTGGTTTAGTTTCGGAATCCTTTCCATTGGATTTCAGAACAAGCCGGAATGTTGTAAGGTATAAGTTTTACCCGTCTAGTTAATTCCAGTCGTAATAAATAAACGTCCTCCGCTGTAGCCTCAATCTCCGAAACTATATCCTCTATCTCTCACCCGAAGCGCTGATCAACTAGAGAGGGACAGCTGACGGAAATATGCCTGCCTGACCTCTATACATCAAGACAGCACGGCGGCCGAGATGAGCGGGGCAGGCTGACCACCGATGTCGGCGAGCGGGAGGGGCGCGGCGATGCAGAAGCTCAGTGGTAGCATGCGGAGCGCGAGCGGGAGATCACGATCCGCGGCGTCAAGCGAACGGTACAATACCTAGGTGGCGAGCAGGGCGGACGACGAGGAAGAGGAGGAGGGCTATCTGGAACATGGGGTGCCAGAAGAATTGTATCGTCATGTAGTGTAGCATAGACCAATGTGCATGCGGGCAATTCAGGAGCCAGGCGCATAACTGTACGCGCTCCGCGTGTGGCCGTCGGATGCGCGCGACTGACTCGCAGCTTTCAAGACTTGGCGGGAGCCAGCGCAAACATCATTCGAGCTGCGGCCGCATGAATCCTTTACAATCGACACAATGACTGCCGCTGCCTAAGCCCGCGCTGACCCCTCGCCGCTTCCAAGACATGACTACTGCGCTGACCTTTAACGGAGAATCCAGCTACGGCCAGCCCGAAGGAACCATCGCCTTCCACCTCCACCACATTTCTTGATCCCAGCTGACCGCCGTCTGCCACGTCCACCCCACCCTCTGCGGCGTAGCATCATGGACGGCTTCAACGAAAGCTCACAACCCTCACGCCCCGACGGCGCTGCCGACCTCTCCCGCGTCCTGGAGGCGCTTGAGGCCATCTTCGACGCCCGCTCGTCCAACACCACGCGACAGGAGGCCTCGCTCTACCTTGAGCAGATCAAGCAGCTGCCCGAAGCCCCCTCGCACGGCTTCGCCCTGGCGCTCGATGCCTCGCAGCCCGTCCACCTGCGCTACTTTGGTCTCCAACTGCTTGAATATTCGATCAGATATGGCTGGGAGGACTACACGGAAGAGCAAGCTCTGGCCATGCGCCAGTATGTGATTCGGCTTGCAGAGGGCGTCTCGCAGCAAGGTCCGACGTTTCTGCGGAATAAGGTTGCGCAGCTCTGGACCGAAGTCGCTAAGCGGTCCTGGGGAGCGGATTGGATGGACATGGACGAACTCCTGGTCAGGCTCTGGACTTCATCCCTGGAGCACCAGGGCTTGGTGTTGTATATACTGGAAACCCTCTCAGAGGAGGTCTTCAACCGCGACGACGCCATTGCCAGCCTGCGCGGGAACGATCTGGGCAAGGCTTGTGTCAGCATATTCACTCCCGCTACTATCATACAAGAAGAGCTGCCCACACGCGACACCAGTCTGAACGTCAGGTTCGGCGACGAGGGATGGGTGAAGAGAGTGTGCGATCTTCTTGACTGGTGCCTGGCGAACAATGCCGAGAAAGATGAGCGCATCTGCGCCATTGCGGTGAAGGCTCTGAACACCATTAGAGCGACAATGCCATGGTTAATTCCTAAAGCAATTGTTTCGACGGAGAGCGTCAACCATATTGGCAGAGCCCTTTCTGTTCCGGTGATTCCTGTCCAGACGGTGAGCTCATCTCTGGTGAAAAGGCGTCCGTAACAAGCTAATAACCCGTTCAGGCTGCCGTCGAGGCCTTGTTTGCCATTTACAATCGAAGCAACTTCCTGGAGCAGGACTTCGTCGACATAGTATGTCCGATGTATGGGACGGAGATTGTAAATCTGCTTCGCGAAATCTACAAGTGGACGGCGAGCGACATGGACATTAATGACATGGATGAGCCCAAGTACACCTTGTCCAAGAAGCTTTCGGAAGTAAGCGGCTGAACTCATCTCGTAATCACGTCACACTAACCCTTCTCAGGTCCTTGGGAGTCTGGCCAGCTTCGCCGAAAGCAAGCCTACGCTCATCCCCGAAAGTAGTGATCTGCCTGGATTTTTCTCGCTCTTATTCGAGGTCATGGGTCACCCCAGTTTGACTGTATCGATTCCAATCTTACACGCTTGGACGAAGCTGTTGAGAGCTCGTGTCATCAGAGACTCGCAAGCGGTCATTCAGCTGGTCCCAGCGCTACTGGAACTATGCAGTCAGCGATTAGTGCGCTATGAAGCGTTGCCCGACGATTCGGAAGATCCCACCTTCTTACTCCTGAACGAGGACATAGACACGGTCCCGGAGCGTCACGCTTTTCTCGGCAACTACCGTAGATATTGCGTAGACATCGTCGAAGTCGTTGTCCGGAAAATGCCCATGGACGCGATGCAGCATATTCTGGGACAAGCCACGCACCTCTTTAGGCATCTATACGACGGCCAAGCCCCTTTCCACGTCCAGACCTTTATCAAAAACTCTGGATCAGTGCTCCGGATGGACGCTCAGATTTCAGTGATTGACGCTGCATTGAGGGGGTATCTCAAGTGGGTCGCGGGGCACGGGGCAGATCCACAGCACGACGAGAGCAACAGACAGGCGATGCAGGATATCTTTGAACTTTGGTGCCAAGAGGTCCTCCAAATCATATTCGAGGACCCGGAGATTACAAGGAAACTGATTCAACTCTTGGTCACTTTCTCCACGAAGGCATTGGCGACGAGGCCGAGCTTCGCTCTGCAACTCCTCGAGTACATTCTTAATCTCCCTATAAGAGACGAGCCATCATTCCCACAGTATTCCGAAGCCGTCAAGGGTCTGGAACAAGCATGCACGGCGGAAATGCAGCGACTTGCCATGACCTTCCCCGACCACTTTTTGTCCGTCTACGACGATATCGAGCGCCAAATAAATGTTGTTATGGCTAACAAGCCGGTCGACGACCGCCAACGGATGGGATACACGGCTTTCCTCTTCATCATCATCCACAGAGCCTCGACCCTGGACCGGTCAGTCCAGGAGGCACGCCTTGCGGAGATAATGAACGCGGTAAAGCAACAATGGCTCAGCCCAGAGCTTTCGGCGTCTCTCTCCTCGTTCCAGTCTTTCTTGGAAATGCTTAGTCTTGGTCAGGTCAACGAATTCTTCTCTACTCATGGATTTGACAGGACCCAAGACTGGGCAGCGCAGCTGCTTGACGCCGAAGGACAGGCCAAACAGGCCGAGATCCTGGCACGCTTCGGGCAGCTGCCGCTTCGATTTACCAAGAACCTGCTAGGCGCATCGACAGAGAGACTCCGTGACGGCTCTCAGCCATATGAGATAGCCTGCGTGCTATGGGCGGACGCTATACCCGCGATATTGCCTAATCTGCTCCAGCTCATCAGCCACGCTCAAGCCTTTATGAATCTCAGAAACTGGTCCCATCTGCCGGAAGAGATGCAGATGGTCATCAAGAGGGTCCTCACCGACCGTTTTTGGCAAGCGGGCATCTCCACGGAGAGCAGAGATGACTTCTTTGCGCGCGTGAGCGGATCAAAGTCATCCTATGAAGGATTCGCTTCGACTGTGCGTGGCACCGTGAGGCAGATCCGCGAGGTATGTTACTTTATCCTGTACGCCTTGACTAGGTTCAAGGAGTACTTCTACGGCATCGCGGACCTGCCCATCCCGCTCAGCCAGGCATTGTTCGAAAACGCACAAGCGCTGTCGGCGCATCACGTTTCGGTGCTGCTCAACGTCTCGACGCAGCTGATTGAAAGCTGCCCCGCCGATCTCCGGGCGCAATTCTTGCCGCCGATCGTCGCAGGTCTCTTCAAAGAGCTTGACACCAAGATCAGCACCGAGTGGGACATGATCAACAAGCAGATCAGCCAAGCAGGCGATCAAGATAACCTTGGCGATGAGATGAAAAATGAAAGCATCCTGCGTCAACTGACGCACTCGGCCGTCATGCTGGTGTCACTGCTGCTCGACGACCAGCGTTTCGGTAAGACAGACTCCCCGCATCTCCCCCCTTGCGGCTGGGACAATGATACTGACGTTGTGCAGACACCGGACGGTCCTCGCCTAACGCAAAGGAGCAGCGCATGCAGACGTTCATCCTCAACACGCCGCAGGTGCTGGAGGCCATCCTCGTCTTCTGCAAGACGACGATCCGGGTGCGCGATACGCGATGCGTCACGCTCGTCTCGCGGCTGATGCGCATGACGATCCACCACTTCAAGGACCAGTCGCCGGTCCGCGACTACATCTGTTGCGACATGCTCCAAGCTGCGATCACGTCGTTGCACGAGCCCGCGTTTGTCGACGCGCAAAAGGACCTGGCGATGCTCATCGCGCAGATCATCCAGCTCGACCCGGTGACGTCGCGCAGCATCATCCTGTCTCTGCCAGGGCTGTCGAGTCGGCCGGAAAAGGTCGACAAGGCGTTCAACAACATCCAGAACGTGCCCAGCGAACGCCAGCAGCGCGGTCTAGTGCTCGACCTGCTGTCAAGCGTGCGCGGAATCAGCATTCACGAACAGGGCAAGATGGCGCGCCCGCAGGTGAAGAAGGCGGCAGTGCAGGAGCAGTACATGGCGGTAGAGCAGCAGCCGGCCATTGTCCGAGGAGGCAGCCCCGAGCTGGCGGGTATGGCTGACATGTTTGGCTGAGCAGGTTCCTGCGGCGACGCGGCGGACGAAGACTACCAGTGTGGCGGGGGTGGGGCAGCTGAGAGTCGCCGTTGTCGCGGTCGTGTGCGACGTCGTCGGGCCCGAAAGCGCGTCGGACCCGATGCTTCCTCCGCCGTGGGCGTAGTACCTAGAGAGAGAGAGAGAGAGAGAGAGAGAGAGAGAGAGAGAGTAAGTAGGTAGTTGGACAAGCAATGCCAACACTACTGCCTCGGTCGTAACGGGTAGGGAGGTGTCAGCTGCTGGAGCAGAGCGAAAAGCGTTTCAGGTCATACTGGCGTGACAGTCGGGCGTGGAGGGGCGTTGGGGGGGAGGCTTATTTTGTGCAGGGCAGAGAGGGCGCGCGGCGGCGGCGGGCCGGGACGGACGGCATCAGCGGGCCCTTCCAGTGGTGGGGGCGAGACCAGAGTACGCTGTAGGCATGTACCTAGACACGGAGTCATAGTGTGCACTAAGCACGGAAATGCAACCCAAAACGCCTTTTTGATTAGAAGAGAGAGAGAGAGGGTGTTGCGAACTGGGGGCTGGTGCAGGATGAGTGTCGTGTCGTCGTGTTTCTATAATTTGCGCGCATGGGTTGCCGGGGCCGGGGTTGTCAGACTGGCCGGGCCCGCGAATCCGCAGATCTGGATAAGTGGATGGAGATAAGACGGAGTAAGGAGCAAACAAACACCAACAGGGGCACGCGCGAGGGCCTTGGGGCCACGAAACAACAAACATAAGGACGTGGACGGGAGGATGCGAGGCCGAGTTTAGTGTGGCTCTCGTACGAACGATGTCGAACACTTGTGAAGTTGGTCGCGAGGGCCGAGAGCCGGGGCCCACTGATTGCCAATCCTACGAGAACTGGAACGGTGGAGCTAGCACGGTCAGGCACGCGGCGGAGGGCGATCTGGTGGACGGTAGAGCGGTGGGCTGGAGTGAGGATGGGACGACTGCTACGGCCGAATGGCAGCGATGGATCGGAGCAGGGTTAGCGGAGCCTTTCGAGAATGTTGCCGGTTTTCGTCAAGCGCGGGCGGGGCGGCGTGGTGGCGCGGAGCTTGGCAGTTCCGTTGTGCGCAACTTGTGCACGCCTTGTGCAGTGTTTATGCCAGTCCGCCCGGCTGTTGCGCCCCCCGCGAGTGACGAGAGGCTGCATCAGCCTTAACTCCGCTCCCCTGGGGCCTTTCAAATACTGAAGCCCGCCCCGTCCCTCCTCGCCTCGCCTCGTCTCTAAACTACCTATCTGTTTCTGTTTGTGTGCACAGGCTTCCTCCCGCGCCGACCCTCGAAGCCAAGCCAAGCCGCTTTCACCATGGGGTCCGACCTCGAGTCGCAACCAACGCGGCCCGCCCGTATCGCCTGGCTCACCCAGGTCTTCAACCCCAAGGTCGTCACTGACCATGTCAAAAACTCCCACTACGAGGGCAGCGGCACCGATGAAGACCCTTACGTCGTCAACTGGTTGCCCGACGACCCTCGCAACCCCATGAACTACCCGACCTCGGTCAAGTGGGCCATTACCATGCTGGTCGCCATTGCCACCCTGGCCGTCGCCTTCGTCTCCTCGGCCTACAGCGGTGGCGCTTCCAAAATCATGATTGAGTTCGAGGTCGAACAGGAAATTGTTATTCTTGGTGTCTCGCTCTTTGTCCTGGGTTTTGCGATTGGCCCGCTGATCTGGGCCCCCATGAGTGGTGAGTAGGAGTAGTGGAAGTTTTGTGACTGGAAAATAAATTGCTGACACCTTGGCAGAACTCTTTGGACGTCAAAAGCTCTTCTTCGGCACTTACATGGTGCTGACGGCATTCAATGCTGGCGCCGCCGGCTCGAAAAACATCCAGACGCTCATCATCCTCCGCTTTTTCGCCGGCGCATTCGGTTCCTCGCCGCTGACTAACGCCGGAGGCGTCATCGCCGACATGTTCCCCGCCGCCCAGCGCGGTCTCGCTATGACTCTTTTTGCGACTGCGCCGTTCCTTGGCCCCGTCATCGGTCCCATTGTGGGTGGCTTCGTCGGCCAGACGATTGGCTGGCGCTGGATTGAGGGTGCGTCTTCCTCACGCTGCTTGTGCGACGCCCGCTAACCTTTTGCAGGCATCATGGCCATCTTCACCGGCGTGCTCTGGATCCTGTGCGCCTGCCTCGTCCCCGAAACCTATGCCCCCGTCCTGCTCAGGCTCCGCGCCGAGAAGCTCTCTGAGCTCTCTGGCAAGGTGTACAGGAGCAAGGCCGACGTCGACACGGGCAAGGTTACCATCGGCGAGGCTTTCAAGACGGCCCTCTCGCGCCCCTGGATCCTTCTCTTTAAGGAGCCCATTGTCCTCTTACTAAGCATTTACATGGCAATCATCTACGGAACGCTTTACATGTTGTTCTCGGCCTTTCCCATCACATACCAGCGCTACCGCGGCTGGTCCACGGGCATTGGCGGCCTGGCCTTCCTGGGCGTCGCCGTGGGCATGCTTGGCGCGGTTATCTACTCACTCTGGGACAACAAGCGGTACGTCAAGGCGGCGGAAAAGGATCCGTCGGGCTTCGCGCCGCCAGAGGCCCGTCTACCGCCCGCCATCATCGGCGGCATCGCCATCCCCATCGGCCTGTTCTGGTTCGCGTGGACCAACTACCCCAGCATCCACTGGATGGCGTCGATTGCGGCGGGCGCGCCATTTGGCTTCGGCATGGTGCTCGTCTTCCTGGCCATCATGAACTACCTGATTGACGCGTATACGATCTTCGCGGCCTCGGTGCTGGCCGCCAACGCGGTTCTGCGCTCGCTCTTCGGCACGGCGTTCCCGCTCTTCACGACGTACATGTACAACAACCTCGGCATCCACTGGGCCTCTTCGATCCCGGCCTTCCTGGCTCTTGCCTGCGTCCCATTCCCCTTCCTCTTCTACAAGTACGGCCCGGCCATCCGCGCGCGCTGCGAGTACGCGGCGCAGAGCGCGGCCTTCCTGGCCAAGATGCGCGGGCAGATGGCGCCGGCGCAGCCCGGGCAGCAGGGCGAAGTCGGCTCGAACTCGAGCCTGGAGCTGGCCGAGGAAGAGAAGCGCGGCGAGCAGAGCACGGCGCAAAGCACAGCTCCCGCCGCAGACGTCGACGCCGACGCAAAGGAGCCCGCCGAGCCCGCCGAGAGCAGCAACGACGTCTCGAGGCAGCCGTCACTGGCGAATGGCGGCGAGAAAGAGGATAGCCGGTTTCAGGCTATCAAGCCGTCTGGTGAGCCGTTGGGCCGCTCGCATAGTCGTGCCACGACTGTGGCGAGCCGTAGGAGCGTAAATTACGAGGGCAGTCCGTATGATATCGATCGCGTTAATACGAACGAGAGCTTTAAGCGGGTGGCGAGTAAGAAGGGGCGGAAATAGGCGGTGGTAATTGGAAGGGAGGGAGAGGGCGTGGTTAATGGAGATGGTGTGGGTGAGGTGGAGTGAGGTGGATTCTTGATTGGTTGGTTGGTTGGTTTTGGAAAAATTACTGATAGCTGTAGTGATACTGTAGTGATGATACCCCTGCGATAGGATTGGTAGTTGGTTTTTAGGGGGTTTGGGTCTGGAAGCAAAAGTTTCTTCCATAGGATCGGATCGGATTAGACGAAAAATAGCATGGTTTAATGATGGCTGATGGCGTGTTTGCTGCTTGTGCCGTGTCTTGTTTAATAGTGTCAACAAGGATATAACATACCTCACCCTAACTTTATATATATAGCTACCTACCTACCCACCCACAAACCCAACCCCAAAAACCAACACTAAACCAACACAACGTCCAAAACCCCCACCCTCCCCTCCCCCCTCACAGCGCACACCAGCCGCCCCACCGCCCCCGCCACCTCCTCACTCCGCGTAACCCGCTCCCCAACCGCCCACCCGCCTGTCGCGGCTTGCGCGAGGGCGATGTAGTCGATGCCTGCAAACGCGCCTTCTTCTCCCCCCTCCCCAGCAGAGCCATCAGAAAGGTCAGGAGTGGAGGGATTGAAGGTCTGAGAAGCTAGACCTCCGGGGTGCACGTCAACGAGACACTGCCGCGTAGCCCGCCACCCGCCGTTGTTGAGCACGACGAGCAGGAAGGGCGCGCGCTGCTGGCGCGCGCTCGCGAGTGCCGCGACAGGGGCGCCGAAGATTAGCGCGCCGTCGCCGGTTATGCTGACCACCAAAGACCCTCCGCTAGGAGGGTCTTCCCCCTCCAGAGCAAGTCTGGCCCCAACAGCCCCCCCAACAGCCCACCCCAGCCCACTCCCGCCCTTGGTAAATGCCCGCCCAGCAGCCCAATGTGCCTGTAGCTGCGTGGCTAGCGCGCCCTGGTTCGTCACCGCGTCGCTGAGCAGCACCGCGTCGCGCGGCAGCAGCTCCCGCAGCGCGCGGAACAGCCACGCGGGCGAGATGGCGCCGTCACTCTGCGGAGCTGCCAGCGTCTCCAGCGCCGCGGCTTGCGCTGCGTGCGCTGCTGCCCGCTTCAACGCTAACGCCTGCGCGCCGTCGCGGCCTTTGTCTTTGGCATGGGCGTTGGCGTTGGCAGCAGCTGCTGCGCACAGCTGCGCCAGCGCCTCCCCCGCATCCGCCTGGAACGCCGCACGCGCATGCAACTCAAACAGCCCCATCCGCGCCTTCAGCACGTCAGAATCGATATGGTACACGCGCGCCGTGGGCCCCGGCGCCGCCTTCACTGGTATCCACGGCACGTCGGCCTCGAGCACGAGGACCGCATCTGCATTCTTAACCGCGTGAGCGCCTGCGGCCCCAGGCGCGACCCATGCGGGGTGTGTGGCTGGGAAGGAGGCGTACCGCGCTTCCGCGTCGAGGACGTGGAGGTGGGGGAGTGCTGTTGCGAGGGAGGCGAGCAGCGACACCGCGTGTGCGCTCCGCCCGAGGTAGCCCGTCACGACCAGTGGGTGGGAGGCGCGCGAGAGCGCGGACACGACCTCGTCTGCTGCGCCGGCGGGGAGGCCTCCGAGCCGTACTCCCGCGGGCACAGTTGCCCCTCCTCTTCCTCTTCCTCCTTCTTCTTCTTCTCCTTCTGCGGTAGCAGTGACAGCAGCAGTAGCTCTGACCCCCGTCCCCATAGCCAAAACCTCGCGCCCCGCAACCAAGTACACCGGCCCCGGCCCCCCGCCATTCCCGTTCACAGCCATGCGCACCGCCCGCCGCACCACGCCGCCCACCTCCTCCCCCCGTGTGAGTTCTGCACTCCACGCCGCGTACGGCGCCGCGAGCGCGGCTTGTCCGCCTCCTGGCCGCCCGGACACGTCCTGGTACCACTGGACGTGTTCGGAGCGGGCGCCGCGCAGGGGCGTGCTTGCACCCACACTGCCACCAGCAGAAGTAAGAGCGTTGCTCCCCTCGGCCGTACAAGGCGCCTTCCCAGCCAACACCACGACCCCGGCGCGCCCGCTCGCAGCATTGTGCAATCCCGGCATCAGCGCGCCGGTGCCGACGTCGGCGTGCGCGAGCACGAGTTGTGGCCGCTGCGTTAGCCGGAAGAAGGCGTCTGCGGCGGAGAGGGCGGGGAACTCGTGCAGGAAGATGAGCAGGTGGGGTGGGTGGCCTTGCTGGCGTTGGCGTCGTCGTGTGTAGGCTTCGATCAGCGAGGGGTGGTCGGAGCCCAGGACCGCGAAGATGTGCGTTATCCCTGCCTGCGCGAGGTTTTCGAGCAGGAGGTCGGCGACTGTGTGTGCTGGTTCTGGGGAGTGTGGTTGTTGTTGTTGTTCGTGTCCGTGTATTTTTTCTACTTCTTCTTGCTCGTGTCTTTCTTCTTGCGGTGGTGGGGATGACGCCATGGTTGGTGAGTGAGTTGGGGAACTGGCGAGAGAAAAACAAGTGAAAGAGGGAAAGAATGTATGTATGGATAATTGGGAATCTCGAGATGAGACGAGAGAGAAAGAAAAGAAGAAAAAGAAGAAGAAGGGAATCAAGAAACCCGGATCTCAAACACATGGCCTGCTGCTGTGCTACCAGCCAGCGAACCATCCTGCCTAGGTACCGGCATACTGACATACATACCGATATACGTAGGTATGCACCTCTCTCACCGTCTCCCGCTCTGCATCCAGTAAGCGAGTGAGAGGCTTGCAATTTGGACGGCACGGCTGCAGCGCGGAGATAAGCCTGCGTTAGCTTGCTAGATACATATCTTACATATCGTATCTCGCCCAAGGAAGATGAAACAGGGTGTGCAGTGTGCATGGTGGCATGGGGTGTGGTATGGCATGTCGTAGGTGGAGGTGGAGGTGGCGTCCAGGTACAGTAGGTAGGGCGGACGTTGGACGGTTGGCGGGGCCGACGCGGCACCAGCGGGAGATGGGACGGGCCGGTGCGATCGCGACCGACGCCAAGAGGCGCTGCTTCCATTCTTTGTCTCGAGCGGAAGCTTGACATTTCAACTCTGAACACCTTGACTGTTCTTCTCTCACTCCTCACTCCAAGCGTTGACGTCCATTGTCCTCTGTCATCATCTTTCATCTTTCGCCGTCGCCGCTCTACTTGTGTGCTTGATGTGGCAGCGACGGTAGTGCGTGACTGGGCAGCTGCTGGTACTGCTTGTCTGCCTTGATGCTAACGTGAATGCTAGAGTTCTTGTCCGCTTTGAAGCCAACATGAATGCTACAGAGACTTCTGTCGCTCCTTACTCAGCTGTTGCCTCCTGGCTGTACCAAGTATGCCATCAGGCACTCCAATATTCATCTCCGTACCAACGCTCCAATACGGCAAATGGTTGCCATGCGAAATTTATGCAATGATCGAGTGATGTGTGATCAATATCCAGCGCTTGTGGAGCGGAGGCTGAGTTCGTTTACGATCGCTCTTTTGGCCCCCATATCCCCACCAAACCCCTGCTGATCTCCGGGGCAAATATAACCGTGCGACTACAAAAGGATTCGGCAGGCACATTAGCGCTTACAAGTATGACTTGTCTGTGAATACGTCCCACCTGCTAGTCATCCTTCTGCTTCAATGGGTATGTGCTTCTTTGTTCAAATGCACGGCCTAGACTAACCAATCAGACAAGAAACTAGCGTTGGTCCACGCAAAGACCGTATCGACATTCAAATCGACTACGAGTCCTGCTCTCACCGAAAAGTCGAAAGAGCATCAAGAATGGGTTCCATCGACACTGAAAAAATCAATAGCTCTGCCTTTTGCGGCATTCTGCTTCCTTCTCGTGGGAGCGCTGGAAGCACTGCGTGTCGCTGTCACCAAGAACCAAGGAATCTCTGCTAGCGAAAAAGAAACTGTGTTTTTCCTCAAGTACTTGCCAACCTTCTGCGTGGTTCTCCTCGGACTTGTCTGGAAGTCCGTCACCTCCGAAGTCAAAAAACTCACGCCATGGTCCGCCATGAGCGGCAAATGGGCCACAGCCGAAGAATCCGTTCTGGTCAACTACATCGACAGGCTTGAGATCTTCGCAGTGTTTTCTTCTGCTAAACGAAAGCACTGGGCGGTATTCATGGCGATTGTGATGGGATTCATGATCGGAGCTGCCGTCACGGCAGCCAACGCCTTGGCTTACAAGGATTTATCTGCCACCACACATTTTGATACCCCGATGAAGAGGCTATCACGCTTCGACTTCGATGGCACACTTTTCCGTCGGGATCCGAACACGACGATAACAGACTACATGGGTCGCGCTAGAAACCGCCCGTATGCAGCAGTAGCTGCCGAGCGTCTTGTTGGAGGGCAATCAGCAGATTTTACGAGCCAGGCGTACGCGTTTGACAGGTTCGCCAGTGTAACTGAACCACCGACAAACAGCACCACCCAAGCCAACGTGGCCGCGTTTAACGTGGACTGGGGTTGCCAACAACTTAATTATACCATCAATTATCACCAGAGGGATCCCTCTAAGGAATTGCAGAGCGACTACGATTTTTGGGATACCTACAGTTATTGGGATCTCAATGCGCATAAAGCCGATACAAAATGCCCTCAAGGTATCACGCAACGAGTGACTGATTCAAGCGAGGGCGCCAAGGACATCAGGCAATATGCATGGCTGAATGTCACGTCTTGTACAGGCCTGAGGGATCTCCGGCTGCTCGCAACCTTTTTCCAAATTAACCCGAATAACGAGACACAAGCCGTTGGGGTCATGTGCACTCCTCAATTCACTATCGGGCAGGCACTGGTACGAATTGATCAGTCTGGTAAGGTCCAAAGCTACAAAGCAGACCAGTCGACATTTGAAAAAATTGACATTGGAACCCCCATGGAAGCCATCTATCTCTATCTAGTTGGCATTAATGACGCATATGATGGGGCAGACACCGGAGAGCGAAGCTTTACGGAGGTGGCTTGGAACAAATCGATTGATCTGACCTTTGTACATCTCGCAGCATATGGATTCGTTTTCGGCAACTCTTTCGACACATTCTTCCAGTCCATGACAGAGTCTGGTATGCCCAAACTGAATCAGACATACTTGGAAGATCCCGATCTGTTTGAGATGGAGACAAAAACCCTCGCTAGACAAATCATGACGCAAGTCGTCAGCGTGTTTGCCAGGGTGAATGAAGATACCCCTAAGTCGATGAATGGGACAATAACCCTGAAAGAGCCTAGGTGGTTATTAAGGTATACTGCGCTCCGGATACTCCAGGCCATATTGGCCATGCTGGGGATAGTAATGGTTTTGCTGTCGACATTGCTAAGGCCGAAGTCTTTGCTCAAGCAAGACCCTGGCCTGCTAGCTGATACAGCTATCGTCTTAGCACGCTCCGGTTTGGTGGAAGAAATACTCAGCCCACACGCTGTCACGTCGGACAAAGAAATGCAAAAGTCGCTAGCATCAACCCGTTGGCGACTGCACGAAGAAAGCCGTGGCAGCACTTCTGGGCCGATTCTCGAAGTCGATACGACGCCGTTACCTGCAGAAGGCCTTTCTCCAGCGAGATGCCCCACAGTGCACTCTGGATGCCATCCAATCGCTTTGCGTACGGATGTTAAATGGGTCGTTGCCGTGGCTTTTGGCGTTGTCATAGCCGTCCTTGGCCTGCTTCAGGGCCTTTCCACTATTCGCAAAGGCATCTGCATGGACGGTACGACAGCTTCGAATCTATTCAACTATGTACCTACGCTGGTACTGGTTTTGTTGAGTAGCTCATGTTCGGCTCTGGATGGCGCCACGCGGGCAATGATGTCTTACAGAAGCCTCAGGAAACCATCCAAAAAACAACCGCTCCTTTCCAACTTCCAGGACACGTCAACTTTCCATGCACTCTTTAGGTCCCACACAAAGTCTGGCAGGGTTGGATTCGCGCTCGCAGCGGCCTCCTTTGCTACGCTTGTCTTCCCTTGGATCAAGATTGTTGCCGCAGGTCTTTATGGCACGACGACTCTGACAATTTCGGATCCTGCCATCTTACACATGGACAACAGCATTATTGAGGGCTCCGAAACTTATTTCCTTTCCAGTCAAAATGACCTTACAACCGCTACCTCGAAGGCCTCAAAGTTCACCGAGTGGTCAGTGACACCGGACTTTGGAATTGGGCAGAGACCTGGAGTCCTCGACAACCTTGTGATCAGTAATCTCACAGAGTGGTCATCAAAGCGAGCTGCGACCGATATGGCGGCTTATGAAATCGAAGCCATGGTTAAGGCGATTGCTGTGAACAGCCATTGTGAAGCAGTCCACTCGGATGAGTTTGAGGTCCTGGCTCATTGGAGCACCGACTGTGGCAACAGGACTCTTTTCGATTTTCGTTGCAAGACCGACCACTGCACAAAAACTTTAAACATCATCGAAAAACATCGAAACGAACCAATCAACTTTATGGCGTTCAGTCAGCCGGAATGCGTTCTCGGGTCTTATATGGGTATATCTTGGTGGGACCTCTACGATGTCACGCGTAGTGTGTTCCTGGCCGATTTCTCCAGCGTGACGGGCCCATTCCAGAACTACACGGCGATAAATGCCAACCAAAGTACTGTCGTCGACTCCAGCATGTTCAACGTCTCACTACCAACCTTACGCGCCGTATCATGTCTGTACAACGTATCGGCTGTCGACGTCAACGTCACATTCACTCGAAATACAAATCTCGACGTCGGCGGTGCGACCGTCACGCTTCCCTGGGCCCCATCTAGCTACGATCGTGAATCTCTCGTTTATCGCTCATACATGGACGAACTATCTTCAGGCGCACTAGATGCTTCTGGTAACGGTGACTCCGTCTCGTACTACCCTAAACTAACAACGGATAAAGTAATGGCGGGCAGATTGAACAGCACCTCCCTCTGGCCGAACTCCACCGACACTACCAACGTCTATGAGACCGTGGCCGCATACGCGCAATACCAAGTTGGCAATCTCAGCGCACTACTCGACGCGGAGCAACTTGCCGAAGCCGTGTCGACAATCCAGCGGATCCTGGGCACGGAAACGCTGACGAACGCGCGCCCCTTAATCCTCGAGGCGGCGAACGCGTCCAGCGCGAAGACCATCACAGGCACTGCGCGCCATCGCCAAACGCGCATCAACCAAGACGTCACGACGACAATCGTGCTCGAGGTCCTGCTCAGCGTGGTGCTGGCCTGCCTCCTCTGGATCATCTACCGCTTCCCGAGCTCGTCGATGCTGCCGAAAGAGCCCAACTCGATCGCGGCGCGGCTGTCTCACTTTGCGGGCAGCGCGCTGGTGCGCCGCGTGCGCGACGAGGGCGTCTCGCGTGTCGAGGAGACGAGCATATGGAACGAGAAGGCGGGGCTGGGATGGTGGCCTGTCTCTGGCTCCGAAGAGGATTCAGCGTCGAATCAGAGTCAGGAGCACCGCCAGTGGAGATGGGGCATCGATGTAGGGCCCGACATGGTGCAGCAGGACTGGGACTGTCCGCCCTTTGGCGAGGGCGCAGTGAGTGGCGACAGAGATAGTGGGGACGAGACGGAAGGCGATGCTGACTCGTCGTCTCCGGGTCCTGAACAAGCGACCACTGCCGCTCCGAGTCCGGTTTCGCCGGCTTATGAGCGGGTCAGCGCGGCTGAGGGGGAAGACGTCCTGCAGCGGGTTAGTTGGTGGGAGGAGGGAGATGGGCCTGGGTTTGTGCTTGGGAGTTGTGGGGTGTATGAACGGGTTCCGCAGGGGGAGGAGGGTGATGGTGGGAGGGTTTAGGTGTATGTGTATAAGTTATTTTAGTGCTGTGTATATATTCCTTTATACGTTCGATGATTGTAATATACAGATGCTAATTGTTCATGATTAGTTGATGTTGCTGTGGATGGTTCTGGCGTACGCTTAGAAATCTATATGATATACTGCTACCCGGCGTTGGGCCACCGCCTATACTTTCCATTACCCATTTACTGCTGCATGCTACTGCCACTGCTACTCACATTTCAGTCAAACAAATCTCACTGCAGATTCTATTGCACAGAACGTTATTAGTTTTGAAAAGGCTCTCTTAGACGCTTACCAGCCATCAAACACGTTGAACCTAGATATAATCGCATAATCACACCGTTTATACATATTTACTTGCTAATAATCCGGGAAGCACGCGTACGACTATAAATCTTTGTTCTTGGGTGTACGCGCTGAGTTTGCGTCCCAGTTAGGCCTGAATTAAGTCATAAGACGAATGGTGTTACATGGCTACAACGTTGAGAAAGTGATTTGGTATCTCTAATATACCTTTCCGATGTAGCCAGGATTGTATCCCAGACGCCCAAGGTTTTTCTGAAAAACTGGATGCTCTCGAGGACAATCTTGTCACTTTCAGGTGATGTTGAGCCGGGGTCCTAGCGCTCCTAAAAGTAAGTTTTTCGTCTGAATATTTGTAACAGTTACCCTATTGGCATGACCTCGGAGCAGCTTAAGTATCGAGATTCGAGCCTCGTCAAGGTGCTGATTACTATCATGCCTCAAAACTTCCGGGAATAATTTTCCAGAAGTATTCTATGGCATTGATAATCCTGGGTCATTTCACAGCCCTGGTTCACTGCTTTGAGGAACGCCGGTATCTACGAGGCTGGAGCACCCGGGTATAGCCCGTTGTAGATAAAGCTTTGGATGAGCAGTGGCGTATTTGGCTTGATTGGCCAAAAATGTTCACTGTAGACGGTATCGAAGATGCGATGGCGATGGTTCTTCGAGGGGACAAGACTAGAGTGCAGTTATGTAAAGATAGAAAACGGCATGGGTAAAGGCTTTTTGTACGTGTTTTAGTTCACAATATACCCAGGGCAAGCTACGGCGCCTCTTTAATCTATTATATATTAGGCCCTCCCTTGATCTTTTCTTAGGCTTTGCCTCAGCTTATTTGTATTTCTCTAATACCCGTATCCTAATTCTATTGGGCAAGGAATAGTCCTACTAGTACCTCGTTATGCATTTGTCGTTGTCCCTTAGGGTTGGCGATTTAGGGGGATTATTTTTATAGGTAAGTTAAAAAGTACTAAGTGCTATAAACACCGAAGATGATATAAACTTTTTAGTTTAGATAGAGCCTACTGCGGCTTCATATTCGGAGCATTACTGTAAATAAATACAGAGTTGACTGGCTCTTATTATCGTTGATTTATTTGAACAGATGTGAGGTATTGGACTGAAGGCTGAACCGACTATTATATAAGTTTTTCATCATACTCTATACGGCTATACGAAGATTCGGAGAAATATAGTCAGATATTAGTGTGGGTTTCTAGAAACACAGTCCATCGAATGCATTTGGTGCTTTCCCGTCAATGCTTTACGGATGCCTTTTCTCGGCTTCGTATGGTCCCACCGTCTCGCCGCTTACCCAGTCTGTCACGACGCCTTGTTCACTAGAGCAATGGTGCAAAGTGGGTGCTGAATGTTCTGGATTTCTAAATGCCTTTTTCAGCCCCTAAAGTTGAAGATGTTGAAGATGCATTACAACACCACGCTGGTGCCACTACTGGCTGTGAAGCTGTACAACGAGAGAACCTGCTACTACCTGTGGCTCAATTAATACATGCTTATACGAACGTGATTTTACTATCAATCATCGCCGCCAGTTTTCCCACACTAGTTTGTTTGCCTACCTTGAATACAATTGTGCACCACCACTCGGCTCGGAAGATGCATTCCCAAATGTGCTGCTTAGGTTCCATCGCCACTAACATCTGAGACACTGCGTTAAGCTTACTTGGCTTAGTGACTCGGCCGAGAGCCGGCGTCTCCTTTCCCCACGGCCCACCGGGCGGGACGGGCGGGAGAGCGGATAGGCCGTTTAGGCGCGAGCATAGCCCCGTCCAGGCCTCGAAATCGCAAAGACATCTCCCAAAGTTTCTGGAGAGCTGCAGTTCAGCAATGCGCGGGACAACTTGTAGCGAAATGTTGTGAACGTACGGAGTAATATGTTAGCCAACAACGTTGAGCGCCCAGCGCTGTCACTCTGGCATTTGAAAACTTGGAAGCAAAAACTGACGAAATGTTTAATGTAGCCCTACAACAATCTACGCACGTAGGGATTCACGAATGCAATGACCTTCCCGTATCTGCCGGGGCAACGCCGTGGCCTTTGCCTCATGGCATGATTATCAACAGACTCCACGGATCGACGGTCGATCCAAGAACATCAAGCTAGTGCCATTCAGGGGCTACGGTCAAACAAATTGCCACGATCATGGATGTGCGGCAGGCACCTTATTATGCGAGTTTGTTTCAACCTTCAAGCCGCAATAGCTAGATTGTCCGAGCTTTGCCTCTCCGAATTCCCGTAGGGCTGCAGGTTAGCAAGACAAGGGGCCGGGTGGTTTGCCGAAAATAGGGCGCGGTCGTCGCAGGGATAGTGGCTCAGTCTAAGCTTGACCCGTTGAAGATAGCGGAGTCGAGTTGTATTGCCACGGCGGGCAGGGCTAGGACGAGTGTCGGATTGATAGTAAATACGAGGGGGAGACGGTGGGAAAACGTTTCCAGGCGAAGCGACTTGCCGGACTGTGCCTAGGCTGTGGCTAAATTTACCGTTAGCGAAGGCCGCTCCCGATGCTATACCGAGTCAAGAAGCCCACCACAGAGCCCTGCTCAGAGGAACAAGGTCAACACGAAGAGCTGGGTCGTGCTGGCTCTATCGCCTTCAAGAACGTCACACAGCCGCCAAAGCCCTTCGTGTTCTTCAGTGATAAATACCTGCGACAAAGCCCGTCCAATGCCATCACCGCACACTCGTCTTCCACCCTCACCAGCCATTTAATCCTTTCTCGAAACAGTCGGAGTCCTCTCCTTAGAATTTAAAATCATGTTCCCGCTTCTGCTTCTTCCCGGCCTCGCGGCGGCTGCTCCTGCTGCCGCTGCGGCCAAGGCTGCTTCCCTTCCCATGCTCCCGCTCGCCTATTCGTATGGTGGCTACCCCAAGATCTCAACGAACATTTCGTGGGGGAACCCGCCCCAGGAGCCCATCAACACTGTCGTTGATCTGGGAAGCGCCGACTTCTGGGTAAGTGAAGAATACGCATCCGATTATCAAGCAGTATCACTAACCTAAACAGGTCTACGGCCCCAATGCTACCATCAACTCCGGCAGCCCTTACTTCCTGACTCCCGGTCCTTGCACCGAGCAGCCCAAGCCATTCTTCAACTACCCGGAGTCGACTTCCGCTGCCAAGCCCGTTGACGCTAGCAGGGCATACGGTAAGCATAGCTAGCTTTTGTCGCAGTTTTCTCGACCGCTAACAATCCCAGCGTACGGTGGCAACGGCAAGATCGTTGAGGCACACTTTAGCGTCAATGACACGATCAACTTCGGCAACGCCAAGTACCCGAGCCTCGAGAACCAGAGGGTCGAGGTTGCCAACTACACGATCCTGAAGCAGAGGGCCCAGACTTGCACTGGCGCAGAGTACGACAAGGCGATCCTCGGCATCAGCCCGAGGACCGAGGACGGGCAGGGTCCTTCTTTCCGCGGCGACCTGCTCGACCGTGGCCTTATTGAGACGCCGTCGATGAGCTTGTGGTTCGACAAGGGCCCCGAGGACGTCCGCGGCACGTACCAGGGCACTGCTCTCTTTGGTGCTGTTCCCAAGAACAAGTACGAGGGCGACCTGGTCAAGGTTGCGCTCGACCCGCCTGAGGAGGGTGGGGTCGGCTACTGGGTGACGATCCCCAAGTGGGAAGTCAGCTCGGTGAAGGAGCCCTCGAAGAAGACGGCGGTCAAGGTCGTGACTGAGTCGAACGTCAAGCGCTGCCTGGTCGACTCCGGCTTTGGCACTGAAAGCCTGCCCGTCAGTGCCAAGGACTTCTACGCTGCCACCGGCCTCGTTGAGAAGGACGGATTCCCTACCTTCGAAGGGCCGTGCGACAGCATCCCCAAGGACGCTACGTTTGACTACACGTTCACGGGCGAGGCCGGCAAGCCCGTCACGGTGAAGGTTCCACTCCGCAACTACGTCCGCGGCATTTCCGACTTCAACAGCAACAACGACCCCAACGTCTGCGGTCTGAGCTTGACCCTGGAAGAGTACAACTGCTACATCGGCGCTCCTTTCTTCACGGCCGCCTTTTTGGCCTTCAACGACGATGCGAACGAGATGGCGATTGCGCAGGGTGGCGTCTCCACCGGTGCCGAGGACGGCGCGGACGGTCTTAGTGACGTCACCATCATCAAGAAGGGCGACAAGCTGCCCGTCAGCTACTAAGCTCGGCTTCTGAATACCCAATGCTTACAAGATTTAATGATTGCAGTTTGTTATAAATAGCGTTTCGAACAAATCGAATGGATTGGAAGACAGACTTGTTGTTGTCGAGGTGATGAGTGATCGATCGATTGCCGTTTTGCTCATCGATAGTGATTTAAACCATGCTGTAACCGAGGCACTAATTATATAATAAACATAACATTCAGGACCAAGGACGTCGAATCTAGCTCTTGCATATGGATAAGCTTCTTTCGCATCAGGCTAGTCCATGTCGCTATGGACAGGAAAGCGTCTTTGACCATGCTGGATCCCTGCCATCGTGCGACTGATCCACATATTTTGAACCAAGCAAAGGATGCAACGGAAAAAAGCGCAGGCAGGCTCTATAGATGCTGTAAGACGACGACAGCAGGGGTGACGAGTAGGTGCCTATGTGCAGCCGCAGGGCTCAGCTGTGCCGCTTCGGTGCACAGCCCACCTCCAGCGGGCGGATTTAGCCCCCAACCGTCGACGCTTATTTTCGCAGGAGAGAGAGAAAGTCAAACACGTCGCCGACATTCTTGCGCTCGTTATAACCCACCGAGCCCGCTCTCCTGTGCGCTGCGATTAAAATGGGGCCGCCCGAAGGAACAACGACGTCAACGCCACAGGTCCTGTCCAAGACGTGCCAGAACTGCTTCCATCTGAAGATCCGCTGCGTGAAGCACCCGCAACGTGACGCGTGCGACAGGTACGTACATACATAAGGACGGAAAACCCGAACGCCCGTAGGAGTAGGACAGGAAGACTCCGGGTCCCGCTCCGGTCCGCCGGCGGCCAGCCAGCCACGCTCGCTGATCCACCACTGCCGCTCACTCACTCACGGCAGATGCATCCGCCTGAACAAACACTGCGTGTTCCGGCCCGCGCGGCGCCGGCGCAACTCCGCAAAGCGGGACGTGTGAGTGTGTTCGCGGCCCGGATCTGGCGCGTCGACCTGCTGAGCTGAGCGCATTTCTTATCTAGGCGAATCGAGGTGCTCGAGGCGCAAGTGCAGCAGCTCCTGCAGAGCCAGCAGCAGCAGCAGCAGCAGCCGAGCACAGAGGAGGCGCAGGCAGCTCGGCCCGCGCCGAACCAGCTGGTGACGGACAGTACGGCCGGCGATGTCGTTGATTCCGGCATCATTAGCCCAGCCTCTGCGGAGCGGCTGCTCCGGATCTACAGGGCCGCGTTGACGCCACACTTCCCGTTTGTGGTCGTTCCTCCGGACACGGCGGCCGAGCAGCTGCGGCGTGTAAAGCCGTTCCTGTTCCTGGCGATCATGACGGCCGCGCTTTTCGACGACATGCCTACGCAGCGGAGGCTGGGTGAGATGGTCAAGAAGGCTGTGAATGAACGCATTCTTTCTGACAGCACATTGACGCTGGACATGCTTCAAGGGCTGTTGGTGTTTCTCGCATGGTGAGTATTTCTTCATTTAGTTCTAATGTATTTGATACTTATACCTGAGCCAGGAGCCAGTATCACCCCAGACCCCGGCGTTATACGCAATACATGCAGCTTGCGATCTCCATTGTCATAGACTCCAGGCTCGATCGAAAGCCAGTCAGTCTGTGGAAGACTCGGTTCGGCAGCAGCCGGGACCCGCCTACGGCGCCGAATTCGCTAGGATCGGACGAGCAACGAGCATTTTTAGGGTGTTTTTATCTTGCCTCGAGGTTAGATTCCTTCTAGTGTCAGAACAGGGTTACAAACTAATCCTATCCAGTGTTTCTAAGCTTCTGCATAAACACAATCCACTCCCTTACTCCAAATACATGGAAGACTGCTGTCTTTCTCTCCGCGAGCGGGATGAATATCCAGCCGACACGTACCTCCACGACCTCGTCCGCCTTCAACACATCATCGAGAGGACCGAGGGGCTTTCCTCGCTAGAGAGCGAACCGCACGAAGCCAAAGCTCTAATAAGCAACTTGCGATCCGAGCTGGAGACGTTCCGAGCGCGAATAGCGTCCAGCGTGGGCGGCAGCAGTGGTACGTCAAGCCAAACCACGGTATATCCGTTTGCTCTCTCTAACAGACAGCGCCGCAGCACTGCTCCTAACAAGCTTCTACACGGCCGAAGTCTTCCTCTGCCAAGAAGCCTTCTTCACGCCCACACTCCCCCTCCCCCCGCCCCAAAAGCAAGACCTCCTCTGCGCAGGCCTCTTGGCCGCGCACTCCTTCCTGGCCTTCTACTTCTCGCTGCCCGCGGGCGCCGAAGTCTGCTTCAACAACAGCGAATGGATCCAAGTCAGCTACGTCGTAACCCTCGCGTCGCGGTTCGCCATCGCCTCGACCGACAAATCCGCTGCAGCCAGCCACCGAGCAAGTGAGCTGCGCCACGCGCTCGACCTGCCGCGCGTGCTGCAACGCCTGCAAGAGCGCATCGGGTCGCTCGTGACGGCGCAGGTGGACGACGCCGGCGAGCGCGACATCTTCTTCTATTACCAGCAGCGCGGGCGGCGCATCCAGGCGTGGTTTGAGCGGAGTTTTGCGCCTGCGGAAACAGAAGAAGAAGGAGGAGGAGAAGAAGAAGCAGCAGCAGCAGCGCAGACGGAAGCACCGCCCCCAACGTACGCGCCGCAGGCAGCAGCAGCCGCGCAGAGCACTATACCGCCATTGCCTGCATACGCTCACTCGCTAAACGGCCTCTTCACCACGACGAACAACGACAGCTCAGCCGGCAGCGCGATGCCGCTCGACGGCTTCGACGCGGGCACGGCGGGACCCTGGCAGGGCTTGCTGCCCGGGGAGCAGTATGGCGGCAGGATGGCGGACGTGTTTCCAGACGCGGCGGAGGATTTTATGTTTTCGGATTGGTGGCCGTGGATGCATCCGTAGGGGAGGTGAGGGGACGGTGGTTTGTGGCGTTCTGTTCTAGAGCCTGGATCATGCATGCATGTGCAAGTGCGGCTTCGAGTTTTGGGTGTCGGATTCTGCCACCATTTTTTTGTTTTGTCGTTTTTGATACATATAATATATAATCCTGAAGCACAACGAACGCCGTTTGACCATTCATTCGCTGCCAAACGACGGCACCGAAAACGGCAAACGTCGCGATCCGCCCAACCATCCAAAAGCTCATCTCAACGCCCTACCTCGCAACACACCCCCCAAACCGTGACCGCGCACATCCACCACCGAGCCAGCAAGCCAGCAGCAGCGCGCTTGGCGAAAAGGCTGAGCACGCACGCACGCACACGCGGCAGCGCGCAGCGCAGTGGAGGCTGAGCCAGCGAAAGTAACGTAAGCCGCCCTTTCCCAAAGCGGCTAGCGCGCATTTCTCTGCCCAATCAGGGAGCGCGCGGAGTGCCTGATTGGGGGCAGCTGCGTTTCTTACACCGCACGGAGCCGCACGGACAAGGTCTTCCGCGCCCTTGTCCGTGTCCGTGTCCGTACGCCGCGGATGCTTTGGGTTGCGATAGGGCGGCGGAAGCGGTGGTGGGCTGGGGTTGGGGGCTGCTGGGCGGGCTGTGGCTTTGGGGCTTTTGGCTTTCTGGAGGATGCGAGCCTGCCGGGAGGAATGCGTTAAGCCAACGAGGCTGGGCTGCTGCTGGTGATAAATACGGCGAGGGCGCTGCGCTGGTTTGGGGGTGCTTGCACTACAGACAGACTCACAGTTCTTCTTCATCTCATCTCATCTCTGCTTCTGCTCCCTAATTTGACCTTTTCTCTACGCGAATACCTATACACTCGCTGTCGTTGCATCTGCTCTGATCTGTCCTGCTTGCCGGATTTTACTATCGTCTTGAGTTCTGCTTCTGCGCGCGCGCCATGGCTTCCAACTTCACCCTCCCCGTCAACATGACGGACTTCGACCCGGAGACGGACTGCAAGCTGGGGACCTGCCCGCTCGAGCTGGCTCAGTACACGTACGTGCCCAGCCTGGCGGGGAACGCCGTGTTCGCGGCGCTGTTCGGGCTCATCCTGCTCGCGCAGCTGGGCTTCGGCGTGCGCTACAAGACGTGGGGGTTCCTGGTTGGGATGGTGGGCGGCGTCGTGCTCGAGATAGTCGGGTACGTGGGGCGCATCCAGCTGCACTTCAACCCGTTTCCGTTTGATCCGTTTCTGCAGTGAGTTGCACTCCCTCTTTCTTTCTTTCTCTTGTCGGTCAGAGATACTGACGTGCACAACAGACAGCTCATCTGCCTCACCATCGGCCCCGCCTTCCTCACCGCAGCCATCTACGTCTGCCTCGGGCGGCTGATCGTCGCGCACAGCCAGGCCGTCTCGCGCCTGCAGCCGCGCACGTACACGTACATCTTCGTGAGCTTCGACATCCTGTCGCTGGTGCTGCAGGCGGCGGGCGGCGCCATCACCGCCACGGCCGACGACGACCAGCGCGACCTCGCCGACGCCGGCGTCAACATCATGATTGCCGGCTTGGCGGCGCAGGTTGCGTCGCTGGCCCTGTTCATGGCCTTGTGTGCCGAGTACGCGTTCCGCCTGAGCCGGAGGCGCGAGTTGTTGGACTCGTCGTTTTCGGGCTTGCGGAGCACCTTCAAGTTCAAGGCGTTTCTTTTTGGTGAGTTTTTCCTCTCGTCGTCGTTTTTTGGTTGGACCGTGTTGCTGATTTGTGCGATCAGCTCTCGCCGCCGCCACCGTCCTCATCTTCGTTCGCTGCTGCTTCCGCGTCGCAGAGCTCAATGAGGGCTTCAATGGCGAGCTGGCCAACGATGAGGTCATCTTCATGATTCTCGAGGGCCCCATGATCATTTTGGCGTGTGCTTGTTTGACTGTTTTCCATCCTGGTATCAGCTTTGGTGGCAGGTGGGCGGAGATCAAGGCGGCGCGTCAGCAGAAAGCCGTTAGGAAGAGTGTGTACGCTTCTTCCTCTGAAATGGAGCTTGAAGATGCGCGGAATTAGTTAGGAGGGGTTTCTCTAGGAGTGAATGAGGGGTTTTTGTTGTTTCTTTTGCGTTATCGATGGTTGGTTAGAGGGGTTGGCCTTTGTCAGGCTGGTCATTTCCTTGGAGTTATAGAGAGATTTCTGCCGGACCAGTCAATGGATTACGATCTAAAGACGGTTTAAGCATTCGAGATTTTTGTCAACGAGACTGCGCAGTCCGAGCTTTGGGAACCACTTCCTAGTATTTGTTAGTAGAAGGTGTTGGGGGCCAGCACACTCACGTTTCTCGCCCCCAGATGCGTGGAGAAAGACGAGACTCTGTTCCGGCCCGCTTCAGTTCTTTCGAGGAAATGAAAGCATTGACCAAATGCAAAGTCTATGGTGTTGCTGTCGGGGGACGTGATTAATGCAAGCCTGGGGACCCGATGCCGCCGCCAACGGAGCCGATCAGTAGCCTGGCTAGCAATTATCGTGTTCGCGGTGAATGATGGATAGTCCCGTATACCCGGTTCATATTTTCTCTATTAGTCCGGACGTCGTCCAGCTAAGTCATGGTTATCGGAATTGGGATTGTGACACGACGGCCACAGATCTCAGCTGGTGTGTTTCTGGAAGCGACGTGATCGACGACGAGCTGACGCTCGACAATCGCACGACCTTGGATGCCTAGCTGGGTCAGTTATGCTCTCCTCAACCGCTTATGATAACCTACCAAGGCATGCCGTTCCATCTCATCTCCACCCACCGCACTCGCTCAGCGGCCGCCGAACACAGCGCGCTTAGCTCGACATTAGCAGTCTCAGCTAGGTAAGAACCCGCCATTTCAGCGGCACACACAGACCCAGAAACCAAGTCGATCAACAAAGGCAGCACGACAGCGCGCGCGTGATGGCACGGTGCGAGTGTAGGCGAAGGTACACGACAGGGACGTCGGCGCGCCCGTACCCGTACGCGAGGCGGCTGGCCAGCGCGACTTCTTCGCTTCTCCCCCTCCCCCATCGCCCATCATCAGCATCAGCATCAACACCGTCATCGTCGTCACCAGGCATCGTCGTTCTGCTCCTGCTCACACACTCGTACAGTACAGTACAACTTACCTACAAGCGAGGACGCACAACATCTCCACCGTCACGCACACACAAACCAATCGCCCAAAAAGCCCACCCTGACGCGCGTGGCGCCTCCTCCATGCATGCCGTGCCCCCTCGCTTGAAGGCTGTTTTTTCTTTTTCCGTACTCCGTACTCTATGTAATTACCTAACGAGCTAACCTACATCGCCGCCATTGTCGCACCGCACCGCACCGCACCGCATGCACGCATGTACGCATGTACGAAGCCGTAGCAATACATACCCACGCACCGGCAAATCAGACCAGACCAAACCAGACCAAACCAGACCAGACGCGGCACACCGACCGCCCGGCCAGGCCAGCAAGCAGAAAAGCAGACTGGAAGCACGTGCCGCGGCGCGCCGGCCAGCGACCCGGCGGGGGACGAGGCCAACCACGCCCATGCCCCGGGCAGGGCAGCACGAGGCATGTCTCAGCCATCTATCCATCTGCACCAAACAGATGCATGTTCTTTTCGTGAGTGAGGCTTGCGAGTGGCAGCCCCGGGGCTGAAAAACTGATGGCTGGACGCGAGCGTGCGGTGCAGTGCGGTGCGGCTGACTGACGATCTTGCCAGCCCAGTTCAGGCAGCGAGTGGGGTGGGGTCCAAGAAGAGGGACGGTGGGTGGGTAGGGAGGTATATATATGTATACGTGCGTGTAGCACGCGCGCGCGCGGGCGGTAAGTCTGGTCTGGTTTGTGTTTGGGTGGGTGAGCGAGCGAGCTTGTTGTCTTTCTTTGACTTTCTCTTGGCTCTTTACGTTTTTCCGTCTGTTGTTTGTTTGTTTATACTGCCTGCCTTTCTGCCAGCCTGCCTAATATTTTCGTTTGCCGGGTATTACCACTTCATTTCACTCCACTTCCCTCTGGCCTCGTTGTTTCTTTTCCTTCCTTCTTTCCTCCGCACACCTCACCCCACCCCACCGCTACCCTTTGCCTTTTCCCCGTGCGTACATACATGATGTTCCGGCGCGGAGATTCTCAACGGAGCATACAAGGTACATCCGTGCACATGCGAGCGACGACCCCCCAGCAAGTCGGAAATGAAAGAGAAAGAGAAAAAAAGAAAGAAAAAGAAAAAGAAAAAGAAAAGGCAAGAGGAAGAGCGAAAAAGAAAGCAAAAAAAAAAAAAAAAAAAAAAAAAAAAAAAAAAAAAAAAAAAAAAAAAAAAAAAAAAAAAAAAAAAAAAAAAAAAAAAAAAAAAAAAAAAAAAAAAAAAAAAAAAAAAAAAAAAAAAAAAAAAAAAAAAAAAAAAAAGCTGCATTTATAACGAGCAAACACGCAGCCGACAGACGAACGCACGTCTTCGCCCCGCAAACACCACCACGGCCGCCAATCAATCACAGCTGGTACCTAAAATCCGGATGCATGTCGCCCAGATCCTCAAAGGCCTTCTCGTCCAGCACGGCCGGCAACTCCTTCCTGCGGCGGTCCCTGCGCGCATTCTCCCACTTCAGGCCCACATACATAGCCGTCTGCGCGACAGCCGAGAGGCACACAAACCCCAAGTTCGTGCTGAAGCCGGTGCGATAGCGGGGCTCCTCGCGGGTGATGAAGACGTTTGCCGCGACAAAGGCGCCGCAGTTGCCGAGGGCGATGACGCACGCAAACGCGACGGTGCGCTTGTAGCCCTTACCGACGTTGATGGCGAGCCAGACGACGGTGATGGGCATGGTCAGGTACGGGCCCGCGGTCACGAAGAACATGCCCATGTAGCGGAGATTAGGGTCGGCGTTGCGGGGCTGGGCGATCTCGATAGCGAGGCCGACGATGCTGACGACGGTGCCCAGCAGCCCGAAGAGGTAGCGCTGGCGCAGGCGCTCGCTGACGTACGCGCAGGCGAGGGAGAAGACGAACGAGGCGGCGTAGATGGGGATGCTGTGGACTTGGGCTTGGGTGGCCGTGTAGCCGAGCCCGTGCAGCACCGAGGGCTGGAACGAGATGACGGAGGCGGCATTCTCTTCGGCGCCCATGTAGGCGATGACGCTGCTGGTGTGAGCGAGTGCACGGGATGATAGTGGGTGGGAGAGGGATGCGTGGGCAGGGCTAGGTGGGTGACTTACGCTAACCAGATCTTCCAGTCAAGCAGGTATTTGATGGCCCGCTTCGGCGTCATGACATCGTGCGCGACGTGGGCGCCATCCTCTCTAATGCGAGCCAGGAGCACGGCCTTTTCCTCGGGCGTGAACAACGTGCTCTGTTCGGGGAAGGGGACAATCATGAAGATGGAGAAAAAGCTGGCAACGACGGTGAAGAGGCCTTCGATGATGAAGATCCTATCGGTGTTAGTGGGGTCGGGGGATTCCTGTCGCTCGCAGAGCTCACCATCTCCAGCCTTCATATCCACCAATGCCGTCCATCTTGGCGATGAGGCTCGCAAGCAGCTGTCCCATAGGTGGTCAGCCCTAGCCCGCCGCACGTCGGAGAATTTTACCTACCCCATTAAAGGCGCCGCTGATGATGGCCGCGCTGAAGAAGACGGTGTACCGCTTCAGGAACTCGTCTCTCTTGTAATACGAGCCAATCAAATAGGCGCACCCGGGGACAAAGCCCGCCTCGCAGATACCCTCAAGGAAACGACAGGCGACCAAGCCAGCATAGCTCTGGGTCAAGCCCTGGCCGACAACGGTCAAACCTGCAAGCGGGAGGGGAGAGTCAGTCCTGCAGCGGCGCGAAAAGCACGGACGATCGGGGAAGGGGGGTGTTCATGCCACTGACCCCAAAGGCAAATCATGACGCTCAGGGACTTGGGGCCCGTCTTCTTGAAGACCAGATTGGCGGGGACGCCGAAGATGACGTAGGCGAGGGTGAAGACCATGACGGCCATGTTGTACTGGTTGCCATGGAGGCGGAGCGACTTGTCGAGACCCTGGATCTTTGCGTTGCCGATGTTGCTGCGGTCGATGAAGGAGATGAGGAAGAGGAAGAAGAGCAGCGGGATGACCTGGAAGTCGAGCTTGCGCAGGATTCGGCGCTCGATGGTTCTGCGGTCCAGAGGCAGCGCGGTGGTGGTGGCGGCGGGGTGCGATGTGCTGACGGTAGAGGACGAGGGTGAGGGCGGCGCCAGCTGCTCGTCGACGACGGCAGCATCCTTTTTCGAATCCATGGGTATTCTCGGTCGCCGGAGCCGTGTAACGGTCGGAGACTTTGAGGGAGGGGGGTATATATGAGGGCCACTTGTCGCGCGTGTCGAGCGAGCCGGGTTAAAAAGCTGGTGGGTAGGGGGAGGGAGGGGGGGACGTGGTAGTCGTCGCCACTGCGCGGTGCGCCTCATGCTGTGCGGGAAGCGTGGGATGCAAGGGCGCGCTGTCTGGCTGGCTGTCTGGCGTCGACACATCACCACCATCGCTACTACTACTACCACCACCACGACAACTACTACCACGGCGCCCACGCGCGGCAAGCAGGTACGGTAGGTAAGTACCTAGGGAGGCGCGGCGCGGCGCGGGATGGACGGCCTAGAACCAGCGTGGCAGCCATGTCGACGCTGCTGCCGCTACCAACTTTTTTATCTCCTTGGGAGCCAGGAATGGCCCGCCGTGGTAAAGACCTAGAGCGTTGCCGGCGGGGAAAAGGCCACGCAGCGCAACGGTCGAGGTGCAGCAGGGCGCGCGAGCCAAGCTCGCTTCTTTTCTGTCACATAGCGGCTACATACAAGCAGTGGCATGATGGCGTGGTCGTCGTCGTCGGTCGTCGTCACAGCATCAGCATCCGCGTCAGCATGAGCAGCTATGTGGGAAGACGGTGGAACGGTGACGGTAAGAACAAGAGAGTATGTGAGTACCTAATGTGTGCAGTGTACAGTGTGTGTGTGTATGTCGTTCAGTTTCTGTTCTGTGCCGCACGTGCAGAGTGCAGTGCCGGCGCGTCGGAGATGGGTGGATGGGCAAGCGTGCTTTGTCGTGGCACCCTTGTGCGAGGCTCTGTGCGACCTGATGAGTGAGTGCGACTGCTGACCCGGACGCGCGGTCTGGCCGCGTTTCAGCATGAGCAAGCAAGAACGAAAAGTCTTTCGATAGCAAAAGCACAAGTGCAAAAGAAGAGGAGGATTCATTCAACCCAGCGACGTCAAAGTCGTGCTTTGCTCCCGCTCCCGCTCTTGGTTACTTAAGCGAGGAAATCGTGGGGTACACAGGAGCAGACAGGGTAGGTAATCTGTAGGTACACAAGCACCTCCCCACGCAACCATCTTCCCAGCGCGCAGCCACTCCGCTCCGCACACCAGCCCGAAACGCCCTGCCGTACCACCCTGCGCGCGAGAGCCGGCGCCGCCGCGGAATGCTGCCGGTCGGCAGTGGCAAGGTCTGAGGACCTGGGGCGTGGTGGCGGAGCTTTTTCTCCCTCTCTCTCTCTCTCTCTCGCTCGCTTTTTCGCCCTGCCAACTGCCGCCGGGCTTTTGGGGCTCTGTAGCCGCGTGGCTGCCGCGTCTTGGGGGAGTCGGTCGGAGAGAAAAAAAAAAAAGAAAACAGCGGTGCGTGGATCTGTGTGCATGTGTGTAGGCAACTGAGCAAGTAAGTGGCCATCGACTCGCACGCGCTGGGCTGGGAGCTTGCTTGCTTGAAGCTCGATAGAAACTGGGTTCAAGCCTGCCCACAGCCAAGAACCCGGATCCCGGGAGCCGCATCAATCCGCAGCAGCAAGCAGCAGGAGCAGCGTGGCAGGCTTACGGAACACCAGCAGCAGTGTTCTACAACAGGCAGCATTTCATTCATTCAGTCAGTCCGTCATTCCGTCAGCCATGCCAATGCCATGCCATAGCACAGCAGACACGCACCAGCTCGCTCGGCCGCTCGCTTGCTCCGACAGTGGCGTTTCCTGTGCGCCCTGAGCCTGCTCGCAAGGCCAAGCCAAAGCAACCCCAAAAGGCGCACGAAAGGCTTAGAAGCAGCCCGGGTCGCGCATATGGCATGGCCAGCTATCCCGTCGACCTGCTGCTGCTGCTTGCTGCTTGCTGGCTGCTGGCTGCACGCACGCTCGCGCTCGTGCGAAACGAAACGCAACGAAAAGGAAAGAAAAGAAAAGAAAAAGGAAAGGAAGAGCCCCGGAACTGCTGTGCCGGCCCAAACACTCCCCGCTGCCGGCGTCGTCTTGTCGTCGTCGTCGTCGTTGTTGTTGTTGTTGTTGTTGATATTGACGTCGTTATTTATTCATTTATTTATTTTTTTTTTTTTTTTTGAACACCTGGACGCGAATAGCGACATCGAACGCAAAAGCAAAAGCGAAATCACATTATTGTCGTCATTATGGAGGCGTTTGATGGGCAGGAGCGCTACATCACCGGCGTGTCCATCTCGCTGGCGTCGTTTGCGACGGCGCTGGTCGCGACGCGCATTGCGTCGATCTATCACCGGCGCGGGTGGCTGGGGCGCGAGGAGGTCATGGTGATGCTGTCGAATGTACGTCTGCTGTTTCCCTGCGTTTATTTTTATTTTTTATTTATTTATTTTTTTTTTTTTTTTGTGGTTGTTGCGCGGAACTGGTTAAACTCCTAAACTACTACCTACCTACCTTCGCCAGTGCCCCGGCGGGGGGGAGAAACACTGACACTGACGTGTGCCAGACGTTTTTGATCGTCATCACGGTCATTTCCTGCTTGGCGGTGCAGAACGGGTTCGGCCTGCGAGGAAAGGACATTGCGGCCGCGGGCGGGGACAAGCAGAAGGCTTTGCTGGTGAGTACCCACCTAGCGCATGCTCCGCACCCCTTAAACGCCAAATTCCCATGTACTGTCCACACTACGCACGCGCGTACAAAACTAACCTCGTTGCAGTACTTCTACCTCTTCCAAATCTTCTACAAGCTCGTCATTTGCTTCAACAAGCTGGCCTTCCTGCTCCTCTACCTCCGCGTCTTCCAATTCACGCCCTTCCGCCCCATCTGCCTCGCCTCCATCGTGGTGGTCATCGCCAGCTCCTTCAGCTTCATCCTCGCCACCATCCTCGAGTGCATCCCGGTGGCCAAAAACTGGGACAAGGCCCTACCGGGGCACTGCATAGCGAACGCGCCGTTCCGCTGGTCCTGGGCCGGCGTGAACACGCTGACAGACATCTGGGTCTCCTTCCTCCCCGCGCCCTTCATCCAGCGCCTGCAGATGAACCGCGCCAAGCGCGCCGGCCTCGCCGTCCTCTTCGCCCTCGGCCTGTTCGTCTGCGCCGCCAGCGGCATCCGCATGAAGGCCATGGTCGCCAGCACCCGCGCCGCGCGCGACCCAACGTGGGACTCGGCCCCGGCCTTCCTGTGGTCCTATGTCGAGGCCAGCGTCGGGCTCGTGTGCACGTGCCTGCCGTCCCTGCGCTGGCTCCTGGCAAGAGTGATTCCGCGCCTGGCCAGCTCCAAGCAGGCCTCTGCGAGTCGCCGGCGCGGGATGGCGGGGGCGGGGGCAGGCATGGGCGACATCCACGGCGAGCCGTATCGCTTGAGCCGCGTCGAGCGCGAGCGCGAGCGCCGCTTGCGCCGCACCGTCAGTGCCGCCGGCGGGACGTTCGACGACGCTGAGAGCAGGGAGTGTATTGTCGAGGGCGCGATCCACGTCAAGACGTCCGTGTCGGTGCGCAGCTCAAACATGGGCACCGAGGTGTCGGATTGATGCGTGCGTGCTATGCTTTATGAAGGAGGGTGGGTTGTTGGCTTTGGAGTCGACGTCGCTGCCTGGTTCCGGTTCGCTTTTTTTGTACGTATACCCCCTGATGATGACGATGACGATACCACGAGAAATCGCCATTTTTACCCAGATAGCATGTTCCGTAGCTAGCTATATATTTAATCTCTTTGTACCTATGCACGAGCACCACTTACGCCTTACATACATATATACATATATACATACACATGTACATACGCCATGCCGTAACGCGACGCACGCCGCACGCGCAGCGCAGCCAGCGCAGTGAAAAAGAACGACCCACCTACCTACCTTAGCACGCACACACAGTACCTACAGTATGTACACAACTGAACATCTAGACACGTAGACGCTCCTTGCATACATACGCTAGCCGTGCGACGCTGTGGCCGCACCACCGGCTCTGCAAACTCAAACTCAGCTGTCCAGCAACGTACGTGCTTCATTGACATTCTCCGGGAAAAAGGAAACGGAACCGTCGCTTCTACCTACCACGTCACGTTGCACGCCCCTAGCGAAGCAAGGCTCACCTTTTCGTCGTTATGCGTCCCCACACCCGTTTTCCCGCGCTAACTACTGCCGCTATTTTGAATTCTCTTCCATTCTTTCACCCGGTCCGACCATACATAATATACATGATGCTCGCAGCGCGACCCGGCGCGCCGTCTACCCACGTACGTCGCTGCGGAGAAAGCGCCGTTCGGCTTTCACTCACAAGCGCGGGAGTTGGAGAACCAGGTAGGTAATAGAATCTGTGCGGATGGTAGGCGGGAAAAGACCACTGGAGATGGCGGTAGGTGGTGCTCTGCCTGCTCGGATTAGGAGGTAGTGGCTTTTGCAGGTGGGACGGTTCCAGTACTAACCGCGTATTTGGGGTGGCATATCCGCAAAGTGGAACCGCCCGTCTATATATCTACTTTGGGCAAAGAATCGTCTGGGAAACATCGAGTAATCCCTACGCTGGAGCGTGCAGCTGAAGTCGCCTTGGCCCTTGGGTGGTAGCGAAAATTCTGTTACTGTTACTCTCCATGACGGTTTTCAGGAAAGGCGTTGTAGCTCTAGCAGCTTTATGAGCTACTGTATCTATTCAAGCTTGATTGGTCCCTCTGGAGCATGTTAAAGGTGAATTTGTCAATGGGTTGAGTGTTGCTGATGTACTGCTCCTCTGCCGCGGGAGCGCCGAAATAGAGAAAAGCTGTTAACTTGTTGCAAGGATCAATTTCCCTGTAATTCGGTGCCAAGTTCATGCGAATCTGTGAAGCGATACATAGATAATCGGGCGCTTAGCAAGCCGCAGACGTGTTTGCTATGCTGCTTTGATAGAATGAGTGACAACGAATGATCTACACAAACAGTGTCGTGTGAAAGGGAGAGGAAAACAGTGATGATTCACAACTGATAGAGGCTATGTACAAAGCAGAGAATAGCTTCGGCTACTCAGACGACGAACAAGAGATGGCTTAAAAACCAAATGTACCAGTTCTTCTTTCCAAAAACCCAAAGGCATGTATGCACCCCCTACAGCCCTACATAATTTAATAGATGTTCAGAGTATGTTCGAATACTTTCTATGATCAGCCATACTTAAAAGTAGTTGCTTTCAAAGGATACCGAAAATCACTAGCACTGTTATCGGTTCCTAGAGTCTTAGACTTGAAGCAGAATGTGGTTGATTGAAGTGTTGACATCATATTTGATCCCCTCTCAGAATATTTACCCTTTGGCGCAAACACCTGGCTGGCCACTCTAGCTTGCCTTTCCATGATTCATCCAAAGTCCGAAAGACTAATTGCAAAACCCTATCGCTCCAACCTTCGATATACCAGAGTCTATCCTCACAGCTGTGTACCAATGTTGTATAATAGGCGAGTATGAGAAGAGCAATCGGATCGGCCGCCTCGATTAGAGACAGGAATTCCTGTGGCACCGCCCATGGCCAAGTCCATATACGGTCAGGCCGGTCGCTATTAGCCAGAAGAAATGAGTATGTAAGCGTGAGAGCATCTATAGCTGAGGAATAGATGGGCAGGTTTTCTGGAAAACCGATGTTGCTGGACACATCATTGATGAAGACTGTTAGGTCTTTGACTTCCTCCATGAATTCCCCTTCCAGATTTGTCGCCATCTGGGGATCTTCGTATATTGCCGCTAGTGGCCCTTCTTTGGCAGCTTGGCCAATTGAAGGCAAACTGAGGATGATTCTGACGCCTAAAATAGATGTTAGTTAACTAAGGTTACTTGAGATGACGTGGATGTCTAGTAACCTTCGAGCAATTTAAACACATGTACAAGGCTGTGGAGGGTGATGTCCTGTTCTCCTGTTGAAAAAGGGTTTGCCGTCCAGAATGTATTGACCAAGAAGACCATAGTGGCAGTCGCAAGATAGGCACCGCTGTTCTCCTCGGAGACGTCGTCTAGCGTGGTGGAGAACGACGTAACCGCTTGTGATTGGTAGCGGAGTGCAAGAGAATTAAAATGTCTCTTTGGTGCGGCTTCTTCGTTAAGGTATGCCAAATGAGCGGCGGAGATGGCAAGTAACGAATTCATGCAAAAGTCCTGTGGTCTTACGTTAGCAGAGATTTGGGGTTGTTTGTTGTTGAGTGTTAAGCCTCTTACATGTTCTAAAGCCAGCTGGGGCACGACTTTCTGCCATACTTGACATTTAGCAAGTGTCTGGTAAACAGACGAGCAGTAGTGATGGAAGAGAAACGGAGTTCGAAGCTGAATCTCATCCGATCCTTCTTGGATGCGACTACTCCCTCCCAATGCAATGTTTTGTGGAAGCAACTGGCGTCTGGGTTGTCTAGGCAAGGGAACTGGGTCTAACGGGTTGCTTTCAGGTTGTTGAGTGAGCGTGACATTTGTAGGCTGTTGCCATCCAGAGTTTTGGCTTGTAGGAGTATCGGAGTTATACTGCGGCGGAGTTGAACTTGTCGCATTGGATCTTTCAGGGATAGGTGTAGGCGTAAGCATAGGCTCGCGTGGGCGAATTTCACAGAACTGGCGTGTCTGCTTCAAGCTGCAGTCTACTCCGTGTCGAACGCAATTCGAACAAGGGCCTTGTTCATCGCACTAGGGTAAGCGTTAGTAGGTATGTCATTCTAGATGGGTTGATGGGACACTCACCTTGACGTGACGCACCTTACATTGCCTGCATCCATGGCGGGACCTTTTGTGAGCAGAACGGGCCATGTACAGTACACGCGTGCTGATTCCAAGCTAACCTGATGGATGAAAGAGATGGTCAGGTTTACTAAATGAGACTAGCGCCGCTTTGGAGGATTGGCTGATAAGCGAGCAAAGTGGTCAGCTCGGGAATGGACCAATCAGGTTGGATCTGGAAACGGAAGTCCTTTCTGGCGGCAAGCCACAGATTTATATGTATATGCTCTTACTCTAACTCCTGAACACAGCCACTGCCTTAGGAAGCAAATGTGGCTTTTGTCGACCCTCTAAGGCCAGCGTCGGATATTAAGATGATCCAAATCGCTAAATAGTAAGGCAGCGTTTTAGGGTACACTCTTGACAACCTTTGGGCCGTTCAGCCGATATGGCGCACGGGCTTTGATAGGTTTCGTATTTGGCAAAGCAAGGCTTCGGACATTCGGGCTCTCGGTTATAAAGAAAAGCCACACACAAGCTACGATCCATCGCCTTATAGTCTCGGGCTCGGGCCCGGGCCGATAGCAACGTAGCATAGTCTATAGCTTGATAGTGTTTGAGAGATTTATCCTGTATGGTTTCCTTCTATACAGAAGAGGCGCAGAAGAGGCGCATTGCAACAGGCGCCGACTGCAATGGGTCCCCTTTCCCCTTTCAATAGATCTACCACACTGCTAACGTTTTCCGGCGCTCTAGGCGCCCCGAAATGTGGCTAAGCACAGTTGTGGGGTGTTTAAGATGTGGCTGGTCCTATACTAATTTCCGACGACTGCGCCTCGCCAAGAATTACCGATTACCCGTTATCTGTGGCGCCATACGCATACGTGATATCTATACTTTATTCTCTTGCAGTAGTGTTCTGAAGGTCGTCTAGAATTTTAAAAAGACAAAAACGTCCGCTTGTGCTTGATCAGAAGTAACGCTGACTACCGTGACCAACATCACCATAAACGCAGCCAACACATTCTCCACCTTCATTTTCAGCGTTCTTGATCCTGCATCATGAAAATCGACAACTAGATAGTAAAACTAGCCTATATGGCTGGGTCAGTAGGTAAAAGTGAACCCGTCTTCTAAAAGTTATTTCTGACCAAAACATCGCTGCAGCATGCTTAGTCAAACATGAGCCACTTGCCGAGAACAATGTTCACTTTGAACTGTCATTCAAGCGTGCCGCTCCACAAGCTCCTAACGGATATGCCTCTGGCACAGCCTAATGTCCTACACAATGTCCCAAAATCAGAGATGCACTCTCTCTCTTTCCAAGTGATTCCTCATGGCTCGAGAAGCGACGGAACAATACAGTTGCCCCGATACGCGACTTGCTCGGTCGCCTCAAGATTTCGGGGTTTGGTTCGAACTCATATACCGGTTCCGCGGCAAAAATTGTTCTGCTTTGCCCAACATTGGTATCGCAGACTCAGGAGGGGGTTACCATGCCTTGATGATTGCTGCCGGCGCTGCCGCGGACTTAGACAGTCGTACGCCCGGCCCACTGCAATTTGCAACGTACTTTGCAGGATTTTTTGGCCGAGGTTGGCTCATCTCTTCATTATGCGCAAACAATTTCACGTCTGTCCAGAGCATCTTGGACAGTCCTGCCGACCATCCACCGGGAAGACACCTCACAGCGCAGTGGTGCAATCACGCTCTTTGACAGTGATAGAATTTAGGGAGCCGCAAGATTATAACGTATTTGTTGATTGAAAAATTGCTTTCTACGGAAGCTCAGAGGCTTCTCTAGTAGATACTAAGCCTTTGTCCCCGCTTGGAAGTTCTACCGGTTCTGTTTCTAGACTGCGTTTGCGTTTGCTCGCTTCCATTTCTGAAACTCCAAGTTCTGCTGGCGCTACACTTGATTCGATCTGTCGGTTTTCACTATCGAGTTCTTGTATCTCGGATCCGAGTGGAAGTTCAGGAGGTTGGGTTTCTGAACGGTTTTCTGGAGGTCTTGTCAAACGACGATGGCGATTCCAAAGAATGTAGCCAAGTACTAAGACAGTACATAGAAAGAAAAAGCCTCCAATCGTGCCCCCGACAATAGCTCCAGTGTTTGAGGACGTATCTTTTGAAGAGATGCTAACACTGGAGGTCGTTGAGTTGGAGTCGGGGTTAAAGCACATGTCAATGGAATAGTAAACCCATTCATTGCCGTAGCACTTTAGCTTTTTTGCAAATTCCTTTCTGTCAGAGGAGCAAGATTGCTCGTCTGTATCGGCTCCATAAATTGTGACTAAATACCTATTAGCGACCCTGTTTAAGTTTTAGAGTATTTGCTAAAACACAGAACTATGAGAACTTTACAAGGGCTAAGCCCTTTATCCAGTTTTAAAACAGGTGTGTATACACCTTGGAGCTTGGGAAATGGCAATACGAAAAAGGCACCCTGAAGATAGTTGGTATTTACCTGAACATCCGTCATCCGCTTGAATAACTTGGAAGCTTGAGAATGGACCGTTCCTAACAAGTTTCGAGCACACGCCATCCGGGTATCCGTTCGGACCGTCTAGTATTTGAGAGCTATGCTGACAGTTCGTATCCGTGAATGTGGAAATCTTTGTTGCAGAAGAAAGCAGAGTGGAAAGTGTGAGATAAGCGATAGTAAATGTTTTCACCATTGTAGGTCAACCAAAATTTCTGGCGATAGTATGTATTTAGAAAGAAAAGGACATTACCTAAACAAACAGTAAGGAAGACCCTATTATATATCCGTCTACTTTTGTTCGCAGAAGTCAGCTTAGATTTGCCAAGGTCCGGTGATTTTTTTCGGCAGGCCACGCTTATCAGTTAATCATTTCTATTTCCAGGGCCCCATGTAACTCAGTGGCGTGCCTACGGACGCATCACTACATCTGGAAATACGCATGGCTTATGGCTTATAGATTCCTGCCAGGTGCCTAAAACGCGTAAGAGGTTAACGCTCATCCGTCGAACAACTACGGCAACAGGGTTCAATGTGAGTTAAAAATAAAATAGTTTCCATGACACTAGTAAGAATATGGAAATTCCCTTAGTGTTATTTGACTCTAGAGGTTCTGTTTTTAGTAGGGCGAATGCCGACGTCCGACTCGTTCTGCCGAAGCCACAGTGGGAACGTGCAGGAAATCCCGTATAGATAATTTGCCTTGTTGCCTCCACAGCCACATGACGTGTAGACCTAGGCAAAACCTCAGCTGAATTAATATTTGCAAGGGTTAACCTGTTGGCAATAAAATATCAATTATCGTGGTGCAGATGACTTCAGACGGAAAGCGTAATAAGCCGCCTTTTTCTTAAGTGTTGATATTTTGAGCTTTTGGGAGTTTATTTATGGAACCATATAATCCGGAAATACTAAAGTTAGTATTATGCAAGGCAAAATTTTTAAAAGTGAAACGATTTTGAAGCTGAGAGCCATTATCTAACAAATGGGCTTATGATCATTTCCTAGTCCAAACCATTATAAAAGGACTTATCCCTTTCATTTAACCCTTAGATCACTCAAGCAGTTCTTTACGTACTCTCGTCTTTCAAATCATCTATTTACTCCTGAAGAAACACTAGCACAATGTATTTGACCGTTTTTGCAACTGTTAGCGCTTTGGCTGCTGTTGTGACAGGCCAGTGCACAACTATGGACTCTGTTACGCATACCTTCTTTGGTTTTCCCGACAATGATCCAGCAGGGCCCGCCACCGCTTACGACTGTGGTCGCAATTATGTAGCTGGAGGTTCCGGTACCTACGACGATCCCTTGACGTTCGCATCCGCGCCTGGAGAATTCGAAATCTGTGAGATCATTTACGATCCCTACCTCAAGAAGTACCTTCGTCTGGAAGACTACTGCGAGCAATGCACACAGGACTGGTCCAATAGGAACAACAGACACATCGATGTCTGGACTGGGTCAAGCACTGTCAATGGCGAAGGCGCACAGATCCAGTGTGAAAACGACTTGACGCCAGCATCCAATAGCCAGACAATCATCAGACAGCCGGGCGCGAATCTACCAGTAGACAGTAAGTTTATTTTTTAATATCTTCAACTGCTCATAAAAAGCTGGCTGCAGCTTAAAAGCTTTGTGTATATACAATCGTTGACCAAATAACAGATACTGTTCTCTTCGCTGACGGCCAGTGTTACACTTCAAATGTGTACGCTAATTACAACATCGGGGATTACTGCTAAGGTGCAGATGAATAACTGGGGGAGAGTAGCTTTCGTTAAAACAGACAGGAAGTTTGGAAGCTATCAGTCTCTCCACCATCCATTGTCGAGAGAGTTTCCGTTAGCTTTCTTGTTGACGAAAGGACATTGATATTTGGGTATGGGTGAGGTGAGAGGGCTTTGCTGTGCGCGTGTCAGGTTTGCTTTGTTTATGTGTCACTCATTAAGCTGTTGAAGCTCATTATCACGTTGGGCTTTGTTCTGTTTTAAGATCCTACTCTTTACCTATGCGCCAAGTACCCTCTTCCAGTTAAGAGATTACATTCATTACTGTTATTACAAAAAATATTTAGAAATAGATGTTGGAAAATATCGGCTGCATATGCTTAGAAAGTACAGCATGTATCAGGGAAAGTTACTGTTACTTTCCCATGAAATAGCTCTTGAAAGGCAAATAATTTCAATTGATAAGAGCAATGTCAATTCGGCGAAAACGTCCGAGTTAAAAACCTAGTACTAGAATTTATTTATCGTACTCCCGAGGACGGTATAAATTTTCTACTCTATAGAGTACTAATATGTGCGATTATTTTCTATAGTAACAAGCCATGATTGAAATATAACTAATTTGGTATTCCACTATGAGTACGAATATTGTATTGGTAGCTTTTTCTTAAGTATCAACTATACTATATCAAAACTATATTACTTCGTTCTTTTCCTTCAAACACACTTAGACAATCTTCGCCAAGGAAAAAAAGTCCAACTCGATAAAATGTATCGACCTGTACACTACTGCGCTCTAATAATAATCCGCACCAAAACCTCATATCTCGATATTCAGGTAGCCTCGGCCATTGTTCACAGAGCTGCAGAGCAAAAAGTTCATTAGACACTAACTCCGGGTTCTTGAGATCGAGGTGCAGGGATCCAACTCTTTTCCCTTCAAATATCATGTCATAGCCAAACCAATTAGAAGGGCCTCTGGAATTATCATGTCCGCTGATTTCAACATGGGCAAGGGGTCCTAAAATCCTAAGGCTCGCGCTTTCATGAACTCCTCCAAACGGATCCTCTCCAAGTAGTTTAATGTCCGCTCCCAACAGCTCAAAAATCGGCACCAATGTTTCCCGCTTCCAGTTGGATGCCCAAGTAATTTGGCCGTCCAAACTAGCCCATGACCAGGATGGCGCGCGATACGTTGACACTGGAGCGAGATCGCTCTTTTCAGCGGCGGAAATCCAAAGTAATCCGTATATCAGATCTCCTTCCCAGATTCCGGCAAAGTAACGTCCCAATAGTCGAGCAGAGGCGATATTTTTGGCGAGACCAGAAATTGCAGGCAGTTTATCAGTACTGTATGTTAGTTGTCGGGTAGAGAAAAGAGCTACGATCTTGTGCCAGTGGTCAAAAACTTCGTCAGCAATGTCATTGCCGTCGTCTGTTATGTCCGTTCCAGAACCCTCACTTTGGCCAGCTTCGCTGCCTTCTTCGGGTGTTTCAAAACCGTGTTGCTCCTCGCCATGATTGCTCAATGTTGAATCGTCCTCAATGCTGCCAGTTGCGGGCTCTCTATTGCCGCGGAAAGTTTCAAAGCCATCGAAGGACTTGGCTGTCGGCAAATGTTGGACTTTGTGGTTATCTTCAGCCTGCAATACGTTTCTACATTCGAAGTAGGCCTGGTGTTTGCAGAAGTGTATTAAACGACGAGAAAGGAATCTCTCTTGTCGCGTCCAGCCTCTGTTGTTCCATGTAGACGACTCAACATCAAATTCGTAGCTGCATGCATGCCTATTCGCGGCCGGTCGAAGGTAAATGTAACCGCTTGTGATGCTAACACCAGAAAATTTGAATGGAACTCGTAATTCGCTGGTTGATGGCCGTTCCAAAAAACCGTCATGGCTTGTTTTGGTAGACGTAGCAGCGAGTGTTGCATAGGCATGCTGATAGACTTGAGACATTAGAGCCGCTTCATGTAGCCAGTCTTCTACGGAGTCTTGGATGATGCAGAGGGAATCTATCCAAAGATAGTGGATTCCTAGGAGACGGGTTACGGCCACAGCGTCTTTGAAATTCTTAGGCATGCTGCTTCACCAGTAAGTATTCATGGACCTATAACCTATTACTTATAACCAAGCTTACATAGATAGCGGGATGTCTTCCATTCTTTCGGATAGGGTTGAGTGTTCCGTTTTCAACATAGGCTTTTGTGGATCCGGAGGACCCCAGCAATGGCTTAGTGCAACGTAGCGCGTGTTGGATTCGTTTGTCATAGTTTCCAGTCTTACTGTAGAGTGGTTGCTAGCTCCAACATTAAGTAATCGCGTAGGTGTGAATGCTTTTGTGGATAAACTGCACATCGAGTGTGCTTCACACTCACGAAACCATTTTTGCGTGAGGGAAACAAAAGAATCGGATACTGCATTCGGTGCTAGTCTCCGTCGCTGGATCCTGCCGCTTATTGATGCCTCTTCGCCTGCAGGAATCGGCATTAGTAGCAAACATAACGAAATCTCGTTCCGGCTCTAAATTTACCTACTTTCATCAGCGTATACCAAAAAATACAAACACTCCTCTTTATTGTTGCCTATACGAAGCTGGATCTCGAATGCGTACACACCGTTATCGTCGTTGGTTGTGTCACTTCGAAGCACAGCTTCCGTGTAGAACCCCGCATTTCCCAGCCAGACAGGGATTACTCCATTAGACCCAACGATGTCGTTGAACCTGCTCTCCACAGTACTCCGGACATTGTCTGCGAGGAAAGAGCAGAGCTCGCAACCATAGGCCACATTTTTGCTAAGATGGGGAAGACAAGGGAGTTCGTAGTTTATCTCAAAGGCGATAGGAATAAACTCCTGTGATGGATCATCGACATCGTATTCGATTATAAGCGCCGTACAGCTTTTACACAGCATAATGCGGGTGTTTTGAGTTGAGAGTATAAACGAGGCAAGAAAAGTTTATGTGTTGCAGAGATGAGGGGAAGGTGAAAGGCTGGCGAAAGACGGGTTGTTTTCCATTTAACCGGCGGATGCAAAAGCAAGACATTATAAGCCACACGGGACAGCCACACCGACTGCATGCATATGCATATTGTCAGCCAGGATCACTCCGATAACTCTCGTTTATCAGCCTCATTATTTAGTTGTTACACAACAGCCTTACCCCTGCACTACTCATTTACCACTACTAAAGAGAAAACGTGTTCTTTTAGATAGCAGCATATATACCTCCATAGGTAACAGTAATCTAGAAGGACAAGCGGCGTCCAATTCCTCGCGCCCAGCTTCACACATATCGTCCATATAGATTAGTTATACTGATCGCTTCCGGTAACTCTCTTAAGTGTATGGAAATTTGGCCGCTTCTATTATTATTTCAAAGTGTTTTTAGATGGGGCATTCTAGCTTTCCGGCAACTGCGCGTTGCGCACGGGAATTACTTGATGAAGTTAAGAAAGAATCTCGAGATGCTCCCTTTTGAAATTTTAAACCGTGCAAAAAGGCTAGCGAGGCAGTGGTAGATAGCTTCTTTCTAACTTGCTTACCTATAGCGCAGCACGTGTAGGAATAAGAGGCGAACTATCCGCCAATAGTAAGGAAGCTGACATCTATCGCTCGCAAATAGTACTGCAATAAGCAGAACTTATGCATTAGCGTAGATACTTGCTTTGGATCCCATGTTCGAGCGGACGTTTCATAATTGGAAAAAGGTCTTACATCACTTCATGAACTCTAGACAGTACTATCGGTTTTACCCATATATATACTCACTTCATTAAGAATAGAAGAACTAGTAAGTATTAGTAGTAGGCATAGCAGCGAATAGTAGTATTAAGGCTTAGCAGAGAGCGATAGAAGTAGGTAGAGAAATTATGTAGGGATATAGTAGCATTTAGTAATGGCTAACTAGAAGTTTGATGTAGCGAAGAGATAGCAAATGCTTATAAAAAAAAAAACAAAAGGGCATACAGCTCTGCTACAGTAGTAAGTTTAATATATTTCTTTCTATCGGTAGGCTGATTAAACTTTAAGCTCTTCGTTGGTGAGCTCTCTCGCATCCTGTTGTAACATTTCCAACGTCGCATGTCTTTGGTCCCAGTCACCTCCTGGCTTCTCGTTACCTGCTAATCTCGTCGTTAAGTTCTGGGCTTCGTAATTGTCGGTAGGTTCCCGATACTGCAATCCAAGACCTTCTTCTGCTCCCGAGGGAAAGAAGGGTCCCTCATTCGGCGTGAACTGGTATCCCAAACACTCCTCGATTTTTACCTGCGGGATTGCTGAGTAGTATTCATCGTAGTCAGGATTTAGCGCCTCCTCCAGATTCAATACTGGCTGCCCAGGAGGAGCGTTAGGGGGCTGCAAAACGCTCCACGGTTCGCGACATGAAGATTCCGCGCAAGATTTGCCCACCATTAGTAAAGCATTCATCCTTGACAATACCCGCTGGATCGCAGGATCTGATGCATTTGCCAGATTTAACAATTCATGCGGGTCAGCCTTGACTCTTGTTAGCACGTAGATTACCCTCTGACTGCGAAGAACGAAGCCTACTGTGATGTTGTAGAGTTCCGTGTCATCGTTGCACCACCTCGAGTACATCCAAGAGGACTTTTCACCGACAACTCGCATTGTCTTGTAATCATTGTCAAGATGTAATTCCTCTCCGGCGGGAATCTCGTTGAAGGCATAGCCCCAAAATTCTATATTTATGGCTTCCTGCCTTTGGGAAAGCGCAGGCGACGTCGCATCCTTCCATGCATCAAGGAGGCTGGAGCCATCAAGAAAAGGCGGATAGTCCTCATCAGCAAGTCCCGCGATGTCGAGAAATGTTGGGGCAAAATCAGTTATGGTACCCGGCAAGTTTGAGGTGGCGCCCAGCTGTATGCCAGGCCCTCGCACAACCAATGGAATATTCGTGTCTTCCAAGTACGGAGTCGATTTTCCAGCTGCTTGTCGGTGCGTTCCAAGGTGGTAGCCCTGGTCAGTAGAGTATATGACTTAAGATGATAATCAGTATGCGACAAGAAGTTCCAGATTATTTGCCATTTGAGACACGTACCATATGTTTCTTCTATAACGCCTTTGTCCTTCAGCATTTGGACGACATCATCTACAATATCATCGACCCCTTGAAGCGACTCGAGCCGGCGGCGGAAAAGTCTGTCTGACTGGTCGATCTGGGTTTGGTTCAAAAGCGGAAGTTTTCCAAGCCATGCTGGCTTTTCATGCTGGAATTCGTCAGGAGGGTTGTAGTTCGGAGCCCGTGGTGCGGTTCTGTTTGCAAATTTATCGAGGTAGCGTGCTGGAGGCGTGGGTGGATCGTATACATTTTCCACATGTGGAGCAGTAGGAGCGATCATGAGAAAGAACGGATCCTCTTCTTGAATCAAAGCCTCAAGCCGCGACAGCCTAAATAATGCGGATACTCAGCTGTAGTTCTTCAGTTTTGTGAAAACACTCACGCTTTAATCCGCAGAACATCTGTTTGCTGGTATCCCCGGTACCATTTTGGCCTGTCTCCGTTTTGAGACATAACGACAGTGTTGTGCGCGTTGATGTAAGGATCAAGCTACAGACACCATATATTCGTTAGATGTACTGTGAAATTCAAAATCATTTGTGGAAAAAAGCCATACCAAAACATCAATATGATCCCACCCTTTGGGTGCGGGAGAGTAGTTTGTGAGGTCGACACCATTGAAAAGCTTTCCGATGTCTAAGAAATATACAGTTAGCGAGTCGGTGTATTTTGCGGGATGGTACGATGCTACATTCAGTCCGATATCCGGCTTTGTCCAGCCAGTGAGGGAGATAATTATTGTCCTCTGCGGATTTGAGGAATTTTCCGTATCCTCCACTACAATCTCAAGTAAGCTAAGTTTCCATAGTCCGCTAAACAACTGAGTGAAAATATTGAAGTACTTACCCAGGCGTTCGTACGTGTGTGTTGTTGGTATTGTGCGCAGCTTGGCCTCTCATCAGAGACACACGACTCGGGCAACACACAGCGATTGTCGCATAGAAGTTTGTGAAGAGCGTTCCTTTTGCGACAAGCTCCTGTTGCACTGCTTTCATTGAGTCTAGAGAGCCATGACGGTAGTCTTGATCATCGGTGAAGATGAAGACTATGTTAGGACTGTCTTTGCTGGCAACAACCGAACAAACCAATGCAGTCACAACTGCAGAAAGAAGTATAACAAAATGCATATTCTTACTTAGGGTTGTAGGATTAAAGCTTCAGGTAAATACTATGATCGTGTAAAGACATCTTGCAAGTCTTTGTTTTTATATATTTCTAGTATCGGCATATTCTTCGGACTACCGTGAATGACGTGCTAAGATATGTTCGACATTTGTGCGGGGTAGTCTTCACGGGACGCAGAACCCGACCCGTCTTACCCCACTTCTGACGAAAAACTCCATGGTTTCATGGAACTCGATGTTACATTGTAGCATAATCAGGTTCCGGGTAGTCTTCACGTGACGCTCACCAACCCGCCAAGCCATGTCTCTTAGTCAGCGCCATCGCCAAGCCCCAACGTCAGACGTTCAACCTCCCCCGCCCAATCGTCAATCCAACTCCATCTCACCCAACGTCAACCGTATCCACCCTCGTTCATCCGTTTCCATCTCCCATCTCACTGACCCAGCCTTAGACAACCAGACAACCGGTACTTCACCCACCACCACCATCACCGCGCCCCCAGTACAGCACACCATGACCACACCACCTCGCGCGCATCCAGTCCCGCTCCACAGGCCCTCGCACCATCAGTGCACAGGCCGCGCCTCATCCGCCGGATGCGCGTTCATCGGCCAGGACGGATGATGCACCCACGCACGGCGGGGTGATCTTGCCACGTCCTGACAAGAACCGCATCCCGCCGGAATGAGGGTGGAGCGGCGACACCGCCCGACCAGGCGGTCCGGTTCACAGACATGCACTCGCATGTCGCGCCCCGCCCGCCGGCCGCGAGCCCCGAAGCATATTTCCTTGACACTTGCAGCGCAGGCCATCTTTCCAGCGCCTACCCACCGGACGGATGGCCCGTTTCGTCGCGTCGCGTCGCGATGACGGGGTCCCCCTCTGGTGGAAGGGCTGGGGTCTGTGTGCGTCTTTTGGCGCTCGTCTGCGGTTCCAGATGCTTCGTTGGATTCTACTCGCGCGTTGCCGGTGTGGGGGTGAACTCGGTGAGTGTGGCGGATTGGGGTTGGTGATGAGATTGACGAGCCAGGGCTGCTCTTTGAAGCCCGGGTGGGAGGGAGCTCGCGCGTTTGCGTCATGGGCGGGGTTTGCACTTTTGCTGTTTGTTTTGCTTGCTTCTTTCTTTGGTTCTCCTGGCTTGCATCACGCGCGCGCAGTTAATTGTTGTTGGCATGGTCGTGGGATGGCGTGCTGATGCTCCGTTGTTGTAGATAGGCATATTATTGTTCAATCGCACACCTACCTACCCTTCCTCGTGATGCCACCAACATCCTCTCAATCACCCACCGATGATGCTACTACCTCGATCGCCCTCACCAACGCCCCCGCCGTAGCAGCATGGCGCATGCCCACCAACGATATCGTCTACCTCGGCCAAAAAGGCACCGCCCGCATCGGCCTCGACATCCGCCTCTCGGCCCGCACAGCCCTCATTGACCTCCGCGTGCCCATCGGATTCCAAAACAGCACAGCCTACACGACGCTGCACCTGGTGATCCCGCCCTCGCGCATCTCCCACCTAAGCTCAACAAACACAATCCCTACCGCGGTCAAAGAAACCTTCCTACACGGCCGCACCTGCACCTCCGACCACGACATCCTAGGTCTCGCCTTCGTGCTCTCTACAGCCGGAGACCTCGTGGCGCCGGCCGCGGGGCTGGGCGTTCCGCGCAGCAGGAAAGCGGACGAGATGCTTACGCTGGTAAAGGCGCTTGGGACGGCACGCGAGTTCGAGATATACGTGCCGCGGGCGAGCCTGGCGGAGGCGCAGGCGCGGGCGCTGTGCGAGGTGGTGTGCGGCGGGCGGGTCGTGGATGATGGGCTGGTGCTGGAGCGGCTGTATGGCGGGGCTGGCGGGGCGGTTGTGCCGCTCGAGGATCCGGACCAGGTGGTGAGTGGTAATGCGCCCCTGCCGCCGCCGGCGTACGAGGATGTGGCTACTGGTACGGAGGGGGAGAGCTCGCGGCCGGGCAAGCGGCGCAGGCTCAACGACGCCGACGACGGGCAAGGCAGCGTGGATGAGAAGACCACTGAGTCGCTGGACGAAAAGCCCGGCAGCAGTAGCGGCACCATGGATATCAACGCGCTAGCGGCCGTAGTGCTCTCTCTGCAAGCGCGCGTGAAGCAGCTCGAAGGCGAGCGCGCCACAGCTCCCACACCCGCAGTCGTACGCAGCACGCGCACAACAGGCACGCAGACGGAGCCCAACCCCAACCCCGACGTCGATGCGCTCGAAGCCCTCGCCACCAACACGACGGCCCATATCGCCCAGCTCCGCCACGACATCTCGACGCAAGCAGCCGCGTACGCGACGGCCCTCCGCGACCTGACGGCGCATCTCGAGGGCAGCGTGGCCGATATGCAGTACCAGTGCGGGCAGGAGGCGGACGCGGGCCTGGACCGCCTGGACAGCGAGTGGCAGGAGCGGCTGACGGGCATTCAGCTCGAGATGCAGGACTTTGTGACGCAGGAGATGGAGGAGGTCGAGGGGCGGATTAAGCGCGATTTCGAGGCTGGACGGGCCGTGCTGAGGGTGGAGTGGGATGAATGAATTGCTCAGTAGACTCCCTCCTCGACGGAGCTAAACATAAATCTGCGTAGCCTTTCGCCAACCAAGCGCGTCAGGTATGCTGCGCTGGCTGCCTCATCGAGAAGGGCTGGCTCGGCGGCTACCTTCAAGCCGTCGTTGTCGGGGCTGCTGCTGCTGCTCGTGTCGATAACACCGTGCGGTGCGAGATGCGCATGCGTACATTGCGACGCCAGATGGCGCGACTGTTGGGGTCCGAGAGCGGCTTGGTGCTGCGGAGGCCGATGACCACCTCGGCCGGGATTTCGCAAACGTAGCCTACGTCTTCCATGACACCGATGTCGAGCGAATGCCGGTATTGCGTGAATGCAGTGAGGAAGGCGTTCGCGGCGGCGTAGTTGGCTGGTCCAACTTGCCCGACAACGCAGGAGAGCGAGCTGAAAAGAATAAAGAAGTCGAGAGGAGTATCGCCAAGTGCATTGTGGATGTTCCAGGCCCCGTCGACTTTGGGCTTTATAGCTGCGGTCCAATCTTCATGGGAGAGCTTCAACAGGCTCCGGTCCTTTCCGGCTGTTAGTTGTGGAAAAAGCAACATTTTCGGAAGTTGGATGCTCACCTTCAGTACCATCGACAGATGCATAACTCCAGCGATAGGTTTTGCAACACTTCGGACCATGGAAGTGACGCCCTTGGCGCTGGCTACACTTCCCTTGAATGTCTGGACGGAGCAGCCCTGCACCTCTAGTTCACGAATGAAAGCCTGGTCATCGTCCGACTCGCCGCCCGACCGCGACAAGTAGACAAGATGACGAGCGCCTTGCTCTACCATCCAGTTGGAGATGGCCTTGCCGAGGCCCCCGAGCCCTCCGAGCAGAATATAAGCTGCATCATCTCGGAAGCTCAAATCCGGCGCAGTCGGCGTGAGATTGAGCTCTGCAGCAACTTCGGGCATGGAAACGATTAACTTGCCGATGTGCTGGCCCTTCTGCATGTACCTGAACGCTTCAACAACATGGCTGGCTGGAAACATCTTAGTCGGCGCTATCGGTCGGATTGCACCCTTCTGATAATATTCCATGGATTGCTCGAGAAGCCTATAACTTGATTAGTCGGTAGTCATCGCACTAGGAAATATCAACTCACTTCCGGCAGGACTCTGGTCTTTGAACAGCCATCTGCGCCATGTCGATTCCGTGGAATGTTCGGTTCGCCTCAAAAGCGTCCATACTGAGCATAGCTCGGCCGATGAAATCTCGTTTTCCAATCTCGAGCATCTTGCCAAACTCGGCAACGCATCTCCAGGATACGTGCAGAAGCTCACCGGAGAGGGAGTTTAGAACCAGGTCGGCCCCTCTGCCGTCCGTAGCAGCCATTAAGTCGGCATAGAATAAAGGGTCTCGAGAGTTGAATATGCGACTTCGCGGCAAGCCAAAATTCTCAACCAGATATTACGTCTTCTCCGCATTAACGACCGTTGCGAAAATCTGCATCCGTTAGCTATAAATTCGTAAGTCAAAGCTGAAGATTGATGTACCTCAGCCTCCATCATCTAGCACAGTTGAATGGCCGCAATGCCCACGCCACCGCACGCCGAGTAAATCAACACTGTTTGGCCTTTACTCAAACCACCGACGTTGACCAGCGCATGGACGGCCGTCGCATAGACGCACGGCATGGTTGACGCGTCTTCAAAGCTAAGGCTGTCCGGAATCTTCACCAAGAGGCTGGCAGGGATAACGAGCCTTGTGGAAAAGCAACCGTGTTCGACAGCGATGACGCGGTCGCCCACGGTGAACTCTTGCACTTTTGCCCCGACACTGCTCACAACGCCGGCGCACTCCAGACCTAGGCACGGCTTCATCCCTTCCACTATGTCCATGGCCACCAGGACGTCCTTGAAGTTCATTCCCACAGCGCGTGGGCGCGGACAGACATTGTGGTGGTGGTAGATAGCTATTTTCTGGCCGCTGATTGTGACTCCGTAAGCTTATTTGGATTACCTCATCTTTGGCTGAGCGTGGACGATCCTGGCCGTACCTGATTGGCCGCCTATCAACCTACGCCCAGCTGCGATGGACGCCATGCCAGCTTACAGGCTTCAACCAACAGTCACAAGGGCACTGCGTTTAAGCCACCGGTAAATGCTTCAAGTTATGGCAGCCCAGGTCATCCATCAGCACAACTTTCGGAACGTGTGGCTGACGCCCAAATATTGCTGACCACCTGCGTCGGTTTGGCCGCTGTTGCTGCGACACACCTGACTCGCTGCCTCTACAGCAAGCTTTCTCTTTGCAAAATCTCATTTGTTTCTGCTGAAAAGCTTGATGGTGGGTTATAGCAGGACAGCGCGGTATGCGGCTTTACCGCTTTGCAGATTCCTTCTTCGGACTTAACTGTCTTCGTTTTCACTGCTTTCATTTCTCGCATTACTCAACAACTATTTTTATTGCAACTTCACTTCCACACCATGAATTCGCCGCTGTCATCTTCAAACTCGACTGATAAACAAACCGAGGGCAATGCAACGTCTCAAGATGCTCCGGAGTGGAAAGCTGGCAAGGCCGAGTGGACAATCATCATCGTACTTGCTTTCGTCTCCTTGATGGTGTCGATTGATGCTACGATTCTCGTCCCTGCATTACCTGTAAGTCCTATAATCCTTCTCACTTAATCTCAACGACTAACCATGCAAGTCACTGGCCGTCGCGCTCAACGGGAGTGCCGCCGACACGTTCTGGACCGGCACCTCTTACCTTCTAACGCAGGCCATCTTCCAGCCCTTCATCGTCGCGCTCTCTGATGCCTTCGGCCGCCGCATCTTGTACTGCATCTCGCTGCTCTTCTTCACCGTCGGCACACTCATCTGCTGTCTGGCCAACAACTTCATCCAGCTCCTCGCGGGGCGCGCAATCCAAGGAATCGGGGGCGGTGGTCTCCTCTCGCTTGGCTTGGTCATCATGACTGACATCGTACCGCTTCGGCAACGGCCCTTGTACCTCGTCGTCAACCAGATGGCTTGGGCTGTTGGCACGATAGTCGGCCCGCTGCTCGGCGGCTTGTTCGTTGAGAAGACAACGTGGCGCTGGATCTTCTACGTTAATTTTCCCTTCTGCGGTGTGGAGTTGGTGGCTGCTCCTTTGGCTATCAAACTTCATGCTCGTCGTGCTCCAGTCAAGGAACGCTTACTCAGTACTGATTGGGTTGGTGCTGTCCTTTTTATTGGCAGTACCTGTAGCTTCTTGATCGGTCTCACGCGGGGAGGGACTGAGTACCCGTGGTCGAGCTGGAAGATACTTGTGCCAATGGTCGTCGGCGTGGTCGGTACTGCGGCGACTGTGGTCTGGGAGATATACGGCGCGCCTACGCCTTTCTTGCGGCTTAGTGTTTTCAACTCGCCTTCCGCGGCTTTTGCCTACATTGGCGCGACTTTTCAAGGCTTACTGGTAAAGCTGAGGTCACCTTCCATTGCTGTACCGCGGCTAATTTCGACGTCAGATGTTCTGCAAACTATACTACATTCCTTTTTACTTTGAGACTGCCAAAGACTTCGGGCCAATCATTACCGGAGTGACATTACTGCCGATTATCCTCACAATGCTGCCGACCAGCATGATCGTGGGCAAGCTTATGACCAAGTCTGGTCGCTACCGCTGGGCCATCTGGTCTGGATGGGCCATTACCTGCCTAGGCACGGGTCTGCTCATCCTCTTGGACAATGAAACAAAAACGTACGCCTGGATCCTAATCTTCATCGTCGTCGGCCTTGGCCACGGGCTGATCATCATGTCGTTGAACATCGCCATCCAAGCCATGGCAGAAACGCAAGACGTCGCATACGCCGCAGCCATGTACCTCTTTCTACGTACGCTCGGCATGAGCATCGGCGTCGCGATTGGTGGAGCAGTGTTCCAGAACATGCTCTCGAAGCACCTCGTCGAGCACAGCCTTCCGAGCTCCATAGCGCACGATGCTGAAGGCTTCGTTGCTGTTCTGAAAACGCTTGTGAAAGACTCGGCGCAGTACCAGAGCTACGTCAAGGCGTTTTCGACTAGCTTCCAGAACGTGTTTCAGACGTTAACGGGGGTCGCAGGCTCGGCTGCTTTACTTAGCCTGTTTATACGGAACTATTCCATGGACAAAGACCTTAATACTGAGCATATGCTTCGGGTTAGGAGCTTGGATCGGGAGCAAACCATTACTAAGGACGGGTTTTCAAGTAACGGTAGCAAGCATTAAGCTGGGTTGCAGCGGATTAAAACATTACTAATAATAAAATGCTTGGCTCGAAAGGGGGCACCGAATGTAGCCTTAAGCTTAGTTTAAATACATAAGAATATCGCTAATCTCTTGCGGCAGCTCGTCCAGTAGAGCGATAGAAGTAGGTAAAGCGACTATAGTAGGCGTCGCAGCAAACGATAGTAGTAGGTAAAGCGAATTTATAATAATATAGTTCTACGAATATTATATTAGACGTATTAATAGCTAATTATTTTATATTAATACGTAGAGGTTAGTATTAGCTACGAATATTAAAACTTAGTTAGTATAGGCTATAAATATAAAACTCTTTCGTCGTAGATTAATTAATTAATTGATTCGTTTAACGTCTATATATAGTCTAAGACTGATTGATTGATTGATTGATTGATTCGTTTTACGTCTATATGCAGTTGGAAACTATGACGGACGGTCC